AATAGACTCCTCAGTGGCATCCTCTGCCTTAGGGGGATGACTTACACTCCTTTCAACGATGATGATTCTTACCAACATGGACTACCTGATCTATGGGAACGGACTCCCTCGTTACAGTTACTTTGCCCCTGGTCCCTTTTCTTGGCAGTAATCCAGTACAGTTGTAAATAACAGCATAAAAATAGCCTCTGTATTAAGCTTATATGGTCCCAAGGACTTCTAGAACGTTGATCATGGAAACAAGGCGAGTAGAAGAGGGATCTGCTAGGTCAGTCTGGCTATCTGGCCAGAATTCGAACTCTCCCCCTCTGCTACTAGTCATCCTCCACAGACGCGACAACTGCAAAAAAGTGAGGTGTATAGAGAGTGTACCAATGGGGTGACCAATTTCCTATGCGTTGTATAACAGCTGGCCTTCTGATTGGGGACCAGTATCCACCACACTCAACTGTCCGAAGTTATGCTAATGTTAGAACTGTTAGAACAGAGATGATGATTGCTAACCGGTATTGCAAGGGTAATTATTTTCAACCCTCCTATAAAGAGGGAGCTTCGGACCAAGATTCGCAATATGCCCCCCTACTCCAGGATACTTCGGTAGCACACCTTTGTTAAGATGTGAGCTTAGCCCTTCGTCTGGCTATTGCACCCAGAACTGTCTGGGAGAGTTGAACCAACACCACCTGGAAAATCCGAGGCCACTCCAACTCTTCGAGTGGGACGACCAAATTGCAAATGATGAGCTCCCGCCAAGCTACATCAGATATATGATTGAGTGGAAGGTTACGGTGAATGAGTAGGTCATCTCACGAAAGACGTAAGAGGACGTAGCGCTAATCCGCATTGCACAAGTATTGTAGACGTGATAAACGCTGATGTTCTTTCCCCACGTTTATTTGGTTTTCACGGAAGGACGAATAATCACTATTCAATTATTTTACGGGTCCAGTGCCTCCAATATCAAAACCTATCAAAGCATACTACTTCTCCAGGCCTTCGGGACAATGGGTAACCTGTAAACCCCAAATGAACTTAGGGAACTAGCGGAATCAAGGTACTTGTACTTACCATCTCCACATTATTTCCAATTGGATCCAAAACATACGCCGCGTAATAATGCTTATGATACTCTGGTCTCAACCCAGGCTTGCCGTTGCAGGTCCCCCCAGCATCGGTAGCAGCCCTGTGGAATGTATCGACAGCAATCTGGTCTGCAGTGAATCAGTTAGTGAAAATAAAACTTGGACTTCTAACAAGAAGTCTATACATCAGAGATGTCTAGGAGGGCAACGTACTCGGAGCTGAAAAGGCAAAATGAAACCCCGACGGAATGTGAATTTCCTTCTGAGCGATCCAGAAATCAGGAAGCTCGCTGCCCAGTCCGACAACACCAGGGAACCGCATTATTTCCGTATAACCCAGTGGAGAGAGAGCTTTCTTATACCACTCGACAACAGGATCGAAATGCTCTTCCGGGACAGGGATGGTGAGGTGGTCGATGTTCGCGGACGGCATAGTTGCTGACTGTTCGAGAAATAAATTAGGATATAATTAGATAGTAGCGGAATGAGAAGAATTTTAAATCTTGAAGGGGTTCCTTTTCCACCTTTTTATATCTCAAAGGAGTAGAAGCATAGTGGAACATGGACTTGTGGCATCTACCAAGAAACGCACGGACCACCTTGCTGCTGCTTGAAACTTTCCCGTTAACGACGAGGTTGACCTTATATTCTGAAATTGAGTCTCCCACAACGTCTGGTTTAATCTTGACGTAATGGCCCAGCCAATCGTAAACATGGGATGCTACACATGCAGTTGGCTTTTGGGTCCCTCTAGTGCAGCCAGGCTTCCGCAGCCATGGAGGATTTGCGGAAGAGGTGCGGAAGACTATTTTTAAGATGCTTCCGCCTCTGAGTAGAAGGCTAGCGGAAGCTTGCTGAAACTGAAATAAGAGGATGCATTTAAACCCGAGTCAGCAACCATCTATGTTAGCCTGCATTTTCACTGTTCATCGCATAGTCTAACTATCATTTACAAGTTGCCAAGGAACTTTTCAATTTGAACCATCAATGAACCATCACAACACGCCAAGCACTATGGGAGGCCAACTGGACCATCATCCCACACCTCTTGGAAACTGGCTTGAAGACCTCTTCAACAAGGTGTTTTACCAGCCAAATGATGGACTATGCAAAAAGGCGATGGAAGAAGAAATGAGCCCTCAGTTGAAAATTTGGTAATTTCTTCCATCTGTGACTTCTTGCTCTGGATCGTCAGTCAGTCTAATATGCTATACAGTATCAATGGTCAGCATGTGTCCAGGGAGGGGTATGATCAGGTGATAACAGAGACACGACGCACCTACAACATCAGTGTGCAAAGTAGCCGTGAGCTGCTGGCCTCACCTGATGCAACGGATAAAGGCATTGGTTCCGTCGCGCACATTCAGACTTTTACATTGGAGGATAAGAAAACAGGCACTCAACGCACGCAGACAAGCTTGACTATTTCTGTCATTGAGAGTAGTGATGGGAGGAAGCAGTTGAAGGAACTGATGGAGATTATACTGGACCGTTGAGATTCCTAGCTTTATGAATGTTTTGAAGGTCAGATTGCTATTGTCAGGCGGAGGAGCCAAGTTCGTGTAACGTGAGACCAAATATATGGAGTGCGTCTTTTCCTAACCAGTGACGGCAATAATCTACTCCCTTTATGAATCCCATCATTATCATCCCGAGTTCTTCCATGTCTCCTGGTTGCGCTTGAGCAGTATCGGACTCCCATGTCCGAAACGACACTGGAAGCAACAAGTGGTCCTGGAGAGCTTCCAGCCAGAAGTATTCGGATGGTGCAGTCCAGAGCGCCCGCTGTGCGTAGAAGCCCAGTTCCGCAAAATCATGGTGGGAAGCATCCCAACCGTTTTTGAGAAACGAGTAGAGCCCTTCAATGGAAAATCCGACGATGAGGGTTCGTCGTACACATTCATCAAATACCCATGTCCGCCATGCATCGTGTGCAGACCCTGTGTGAGTCGCACTTCTCAATGCTTCGCTTACAGGCTTGGCATGGCACTTGAGCTGTCGAAGCCATCGATCCAGGACAGGTCCCGCCGCTTCTGCCTGCGATCGTAACGCAATATCCCCATCAAATAGTTGAACGATCTGGTAGAGGCACAATGCCTGCACCGAAGCTAATTGGTCGGTGGGTGACACATTGTCTGACTCGCAGTGCTCCGTTATTAGTCGTCGCGCCGCTTGGCTGATGCACCGATTGACTAAGTGTTCGTTGTAACTATTTCTCTGAGTATAAAGGGAGCACATTCCTAGAGCTTCTTGTATGACCAATGGTAGGTGGTGTGTATATAACCGGGCGTGTATAAACGGGATATGTCCACGACTTGCGAGTATACCTGGCCAGGACTTGAATTGCTTCACGGCCGAAATAATTCGCTCTTGATATATCTCACCTGCCAGGACACTTCGAGTCGGTGTCGTATTATCCATCCCAACTTGGTCCGGGACCGCAAAGCTGTCGATATTTTTCATGATATCTTGCCAGTCCAGGTCATAGTCTGGGAAAAAGGGCAATGCTGACCCAGTTAAGGTCTGACCCGCGGGAGCATTATTATATACGTCCAAAGGTCCGACGGCCGTATTCACATCCGGCACCTCAGCAGCGTTGATCCTGGTCACACTTCGCGGCGAGACTGTCGACATCGGATCTTCACCGTCTGCAACTTCCGCTACCGCTATAGGTCTCGTGTGTAGCGGGTTCTCATATATACACGGCAAGGATCGAACGCGGCAGCGATAGCATGGGGAATATAGGTCACAGCGGCGTTTCGCTTTCACGCAGTCTCGGCACGATCTCCGATAAGGTGAAGGCATTGCGAATGCCGCGGGCGAAAATAGGAGAACAAGGAGGTCGTCTTCCGTCAGGAAGGAGAATAAGCGAAAGCGCCTAACCAGGAAGTACGCAGGATCGTGGAAGCTAGAAAATGGTGAGTCATCTATTCATCCCTATTGCCCGGTAACACGCGAGCCAATCCTCTCATACAAGACCTATTTTCATCACGCCTCTGAAAGTGCTCACACGTCAGGGTTCCCTTGATTTGGGCAGAATGTGGGGACGGCTGCGGGAATGGGACGAGTTTGCCAACGTGAATCTTCCGCGTCACTTCCACCGCGATCCACTAAGAGTCCCACATTCGGCGGAACTCTAAAGCCAGCGCAAGGACGGCGGCGAAGGAAGATGACGAAAGCACCCACTATCAGGTGATCAACCAAGCTACGCCAGGGAGCGACCACTAGTATTGATTCAGGCTTCTCGTTCACAAGAAGCAAAGCATTGAGATTTTTTTTTCCCTTTTTTTTCCTGTTCATATTTAGTGGTAATTATCTAAGCCTAGTCATAAAGAATTATCTACTGCCGTAAACAAAACTATTGTCATCGTTTAGTGGTGAGGGGTCGAATACATTTAGCCACGTAGTAGTCGTATGACTTCTTTCCCATAAGTAATCAGGATTAGAGAAACAATCGTAAGGGTATAATTGATTGCACCAATTTCGGGACGTACTGTTCTTTTATTTTAATCGAATTCACTAGCTACCATAAGCTCAGTATTCAGGCTATTTTATTGTAGTCTCTCAAAAGATCCTTCAATATGATTTTCTTCTTTTGCGAGTAAAATAAATAACTTCTACTTGGTAATATGATTAGCCCATAGTTAGGAACGATCTCCCAACTGTCTAGCTGTGTATTAGTCTTAGCAGATTGGTAAGACATTGAATAAAAGAAGTCTTTTCATCGTCAACTGAGGAATTTTCAAGATCATATGCTTTCGGTACTTTTATTGGTGTCTGATTATTCTCGCGCTCAACACTGTACGTTCCATGCTATTCATACAATATGTTGTAGTTAGAATCGTCTTTCTCGAACCAGGGCGTGAGAGGATGTAGTGAGAGATTGACAGTAACATTCACATCCAGTCAAGGATCTCGCTAGACTGAAAAGTCCTCCAAGATCTTGACTACCTCAGAGTTATTCTGCCCCATTGCGATCTGCTTAGGTGTCAGGCCTTGTGCGTCCGCAAGACCTGCATCAATACCATCAACCTCGAGTAGCCTCTTAACAATCTTCGGCTCCCCACGCATTGCCGCAAGGCACAGTGCCGTGGCCCCAGTATCATCCGTGAGATTGACATCTGGGCAACGTGAGCCCGAAAGAAGACGCTCAACAATCTCAAGACGACCTCCTTCAATAGCAACCATCAATGGCGCCATGCCATGTATGTTGCTCCGATTCAAATCGACCTGGTCATGCTCTTTGAGGATGGAGACCATTTTCTCGAGACCTTGGCTTGCCGCACGGAATAGGGGAGTCCTCTGCTGCCAGGTGTCGTGTTGGTTAGGGTCGGTCTTGTCCCATTTCAAGAGAAACTGGGCAATGTCTTGGAGGTTTCGCTCAACCGCCACCGTGAGCACAGCGTAGTCAGTGCCTGCAATGCCCCTCGCGTCTCCATTGGGGTTCAACTTCTCGCCATAGTATGAGACCATATGCTTGGTGATGTCGAGTTGGCCGAAGATGGCGGCGCAATAAAAGACCTGCTGACAATGCTCTTGGTCGTCGTATCCGTCCAGAATGAGGCGCAAGTGAGCGGCAAGAATCAAAGGAGTATCCGGATTCTGCTGCTGCGCAGCCCGAGAAAGTGGGGTGCGGCCATTCGTGTCTGCCACTCGAGGATTGACTCTGGCACACCCTAGCAGTACGGGTATCAAGTCAGACTGTTTAACAACGGCAGTCATCAGCGCCGTCTCTCCATACTTGTTTTGGAGATTGGCATCGACACGCTCATCTTTCAGCAAGAGGCGCAGAGTTGAAGCTTGGTCCCTTTTCACAGCCCAGGTAATGGCCGGACAGATGTTCATGCGGTCGCGGGCATTAGGATTGACGTCGTTTCGGGCAAGGAGAAGAGCCAGAACATCGGTTGAACCGTGATATGCAGCTAGCAAAATCGGAGTGGCCCCTCTAAGCCGCGACAGGTCGGCTGTGACCTGTGGATCTGTCTTTGCCTCGAGCGCATTGTTGGCGGTTTCTGTCTGATTGTGGATGGCCGCCCAGCAGAGTGCATAAGGCCTTTCATGCTTCGCATCATTGGCGTATACCATACGGTTCAGAGTTGCATGATAAGCTCTACTGACTCGGGAAAATGCATTGAGATCGCGGGCAGTCGTGAGACACCGGGCCACATGGAATATGAGCTCTGGAGGTAGGAAGAGCGGCGATTGAGTATGTTGGTCGCTCATCTTGCAAGGGGAGACGGCTCCGCGAGGCGTATCTGGAGGAGAAAGTGCTGATATTGGTTCAGTCGAGGGATGAAAGGTTTGAAAGCGTGATGGTCTCGTTTGATTGAGAATCAAAGCCGGCCTGAGTGTCCGGGACACACGATTCAGAAAGAAAGTACAGCCGCATATTTTCAGCCATGTGTTATTAAAGGGTACGTGTCCACAGATGGAGGCAACGTTTGTAATCAGATGGTCTTTCCACTTTCTGAAAGCTGCTAGCTGCTAACAAGTCGAGAGTCGTGAGCTTGGACGTGATTTACAGCCAATGCAGCTGTGGTATAATCATCGAAGTATGAGATCTAAATTTTACCCGCGGAGCAACAGCGAACGCGACCAAATAATAGGTAGTAGGGCAAGTTTATGGGCGAAAATGTGCCTGAAACGTGAGTGTCAGCAGATCAATGAAAGGATATGTTCTCATCTGTGAAGCGAACATGATTCTATAACAAGTATAGACTATGTACTTGAAGGGCGAACATACTTGAGCACAAAGGCAGATACTGTAGCTTTCCTGCTAGCGGAGACCCTAGCTTCAAGACCGGTCCGTTTTGGTGTAGGATGATTCAGACAGGCTTCCATAGCTACCAGAGCTAGCCAAATTATCGAATCCAAGAGCGACCGAATGTCATACTAAAAAATCTTCCAGGAAAAAGGAACGTTGGATGAGAAAGGGAGGGGAACTGGAGGACTGGCGTGGGGCTACGAAAGGCCGGATGGATGACGATAAGATAAGATAGTCTGATAAGCGTCGATAAGGAGTTTCCATGGCGACCGATATCCGCCCAAGAACGAACGTACCTCAATCGCATCAGTTCCAGCGTCTGGTGTGCCTCCGGCCAGCGTCCCTAGGGACATGCAATAAGATGTTTTCACCAAGTAAGAAGTTCCCAAAGTCACCGCACACAGCGGTGCCTTTGTACGGTCTCTTCAAGGACGGTATCTGGTGCTGCAACTGTCCTGCTCGGCCCCCGGCAGCTCGGCGCCAGACAAAGAACGGCGGAAAGAACCATGGGCGATGGTGTAAGTTTGCAGAGCAGGGATCTGTCTTTGCTATACTCTCTTTACACTCAAGACTGATCATTCTACTTCTTAGTTTACACTTGCGAGCAGCTGCCCCCGAAAAAGTGCGGCTTCTTCCTATGGGCCGACGAAGCTGAACCGCGCGAGAAAGCCGTCGTTCTTTCAAACTCCCATTCCGAACTTGATCCCCTCGATTCAGTGCCACGAACTCCCACGAAGCCTACACAGCGTGGACCAAATGGCTTATTGACACCGCAAACTGAGCGTCGGAATATCGACATTCCACCACGCGGATTCAAGACACCACCACAGACTGCGAAGGCGAGAATGATGGCAGAGGACTCTGATGAATTTGGCTGGAACGATAATTCTGATGACAACGAGGAAATCGCGCAAGTGTTGGCATCTAGCCAAGCGGATCAGTCTATACTGTCGCAACCGGTCTTCTATCCCGAGCTGCCATCGAAAGTACCGCGCACACCCAGAACCACATCCCCCGGCAAGCGCAAACGGATATCCGAGTTTGCATTCGACCAGTCCAATAGCAGCTCATCGGCAATTGCCACGCCTGCTTCAACTCGTACGACTCAGTCAGCTCGATTCCCTCCATCCTCGGCCGAGCTATGCATGACGCCCACACCAGTCAGAAACCGCGACGCACTGAGCTTGGACTGCCGACCAGAAGAATCGGATCTGTCCAAGAGCGCCTGCGCTATACTTGAGAAGCATGGCGTTGTGCTGCCGAACCGCGCATATGACGAACTTGTCGAGCTTCTGAATCGTCATGATCTGAAGTTGAGGGGAGTTAATCGCGCAAGAGATATCCTGCGAGTCGCGATGAAGAAGAAGGATGATGAGATATTCCATCTCAAGGAGAAGAATACAAATCTCCAAGCACAGAATGAGATGGATCGAAGTATCATCGATAGTATGAAGCGTTGAGATTGAAATCATTTGAAGATCCACTCGGTTGGCTGGGTATAAGGTTATGGAGGCCTCTGAATACCGTTATTCATGTTTATCTTTTTTTTTCTTCATTGGATCGGTTATGTCTTTGAATTCTAGCGCCGAGAGACCCCATGTTAGCAATAATGATGTTACGACTTATTTCCAAAGCAGCAACACTCTACCGTAAATCAACTCTGTCGTATCACACTAGTTGCCTGTGGAGTCCGTAAGAATGATGTCTAGAAAATTGATGAATGACATTATTTAATACATATTATTGAATTATGCCAAGACATATACAGGTTGCGTTAGAAGTAGTCCCCATCTACAGCGACAGGACGAGTTCCTTCAACTTCTGGAAGTTGGGAGTTCCCAGGCCAGTAACTGGATCCCAACCCTCAGTGGCATTCCAGTGAGCACCGGGAATAACCAGACTGCCATTGACAGCCTGGTCGCTTTGAGGGTCAATACCACCGCAGCCGTAGGAGCTTCCACCAGTGATATCGTTCAGGGCCTTGTATCCCAGTGAATACAAGAAGGGGTTCAAGAAACCCAGGGGCGACTTGCCGGCACGCAGGCGAGCATCGTTCAGAAGACCGACGATACCAGCGAAAACAGGGGCGGCAGCAGAAGTACCACCCGAGCGAGCCTTCTTGCCGGTGTAGATCACCTCATAGCTGTGAATGGTTAGAGAAAGGCATGCAGTATGGCTGAAGGGAAAACTTACTCGGGATACAAGCTGTGGGCAGAAACATCGGGGAATCCACGGCCCTCAAAGTCGGCATACTTGCCGTAGTATTCCTTGGTCTCATCGCTGACTTGGTCCAGATAGTCCTCGATGGCAGAGTACTGGTACCAGGCGCGAGAGAAGTAGTTGGAGAAACCGCCAGAGGAGGCGTTCCATGCAACTTCGGGGCTCACGTCGGAGGTGCCTCCAACTGAAGTCACGTAGGGGCAAGTTGCAGGGAAGATGGGGTTGAACTGGGGAGTAACACCGTCGCTCGCCTGGCAGGCCGAACCAACACCTAGTTTTGTTAGACCATATCGAGCGGTTCATGGGTTGCATATTGAGACTCACCCTCGTCACCGGAGGAGTGGAGGATAGTGAGTCCACGGAGGGTGTTCAGACCGATCAGGTTGCAAACGCGGCGAGCATATTTCTCAGGAACGGTCTGACGTCGGGTTAGCATGGGCTTAGAAAAGAGCTTTTCAAATTCGAATTACCTGCTCATCATCGCCATATGAGTTGGAGATGACCTGGGGAATCTCGGAGATGTCCTTCGAGAGCAAGTACTCATAGTAGATCAGGTATGGCTCGTTCTCGTCATCGGATGCGGTAGGCTCATCGGCGTCGGGGATGAAAGGACTGTGTACGGTTCATGAGTAAACTCCCAGTCAGAAATTCATACGTGATTGGTACTTACGCAACACCGCCAGTGATGAACTCGTGCACAGGGAGCGGGTGGGCAACAGCGACGATCAGTTGTACATCCAGATTGGCCTCGCCAACATCCGACTCGCTAGCACTCTGGTTGTTCACACCGCCGTTGAGGAGCTCCACAGTGAAAGTCTGGGAAGGAATATCGAACAGTTGCTCATACTGTGCCAGGTCGGAGTAAGAAGCAGACTGGTTCAGGAAGCTACCGAACGCAATGCGACTACCAGCCGAGGGCTCAGGGACATAGTCGCCAACATTGTACATCTCCTTCAAACACGACGGGGTGATGGAAGTCTGGCAAGAGGCAGAGACCTCAGTAGACGAGGCCTTGCGAGCCTGGACCATCCGAGACTTGGACGATGCAGGGGCAGCTCCACGAGTCTTACCGAAGAAGACAGTGGGCGAGATGACATCGATAAGGTCGGTCAAGTCGCTCGGGATAGAATACTCGGTCGTGCGCAGTTTGACGGAATCACCACTCTGGTAGTACCCAAAGGTTGTGTCAAGCAGCTTGTTGACGGTCTCAACAGTACCAGTGAAGTTGAGAACAGCACCGTCGCGAGCAATGTTAGAAATGCCGGCGCTCTTCAGCCAGTTCGTGACTAGGGTATCATCGACAATAGGGAAGTGTGTGTCGATATCATCCTTGCTGAGCCACTGCCCGTATGAGCCCTGGCCAGGAGTCGAAACCTCCGTGAGCTTTGACTCCAGCTGGTCAAGGTTCTGACGGCTCAGAGCAATTGACAGGGCCATGGTCGAGTCGGCAGAGGGCTTCTCAACAAGCGACCAGGTGCTTGGGACACCTCCAGCCAAGCTCTCCCAGACCACTGCCATAGACTGGCCAGCCAGGGCGCAGAGCAGCCCAGCATAGACGTTGGAATGCATGATGGATGCTCTACAAGCTCTGACTCTTCTCTAAAGGAGGATGGAGCAGGGAAAAGGGGAGAGTAGGGATCGGCAGGTCTATTTATCTACCTGCAGGTTTGGCAATAACGAGTGTCAATTATTCGCTTAATGAATTGTCTTAACCAGAAAAGGTGTCATTTGTTCACATAATGTGATGAGGAGAAGGTATCAATCTTTTACCAATCGACCGGCGGGGCTCCGCATTTCATGGGTTACATCGTGTGTGGAGGTTGTTATCGATGGTGCAAAGGTCCCCATCGCTGGAGATGCCTCCATTGCGGCATTTAGTCACTTGCGGAGAAGATTGAAGAATTTCTTAGACTTCTGGGACTATAAACTCGATATGCACCAATAATCCACACAGCTAGGTCCGCCATATCCCATCAGTATGAAGTAGAAGTCCATCTCATACTGTCCCCTGTCCTGTCACAAACAATAGCATTGTGATTTGAAGTGGGGGCTCGGCTGTGATCGAGCCACAGATAGCGATCGTCAGGGGATTACTCGCTTGGGTAAACCCCGGAGTCCGCCGGCCAGTCCTCTCCACGAAGCTTGGCCTGAAGAAGCTTCGCCGAGATTCATCGCTGATTGCTTAGATCCAATTAGGCGGCCAAATTCTGGCCAGTTTGGCGGGTTAAGCCGGACTTTCTGGGCATGGAGAATATCCAAAGTGGGGCGAGGCTTTCATCTACCTACTTTATTCGCTGTCTACTAAAGAACGAGCGATGAATGCAACGTGAAGAGACGTGATCGTAAAAACCTTTCTACAACTCGTCAATGGGGGCAAATGTGACAAATGGGCGCACGGGTAACTAACTAATATTGTTTATCTTAAATGCTCACGGAGTACTCTCGGTCTAACTGAAATCATTCGATGACCATGTCCGATAATATACAGTTGAGAGGCATGACTCGGCTGTAAAGAAATAAGACATTGAAGACCAGAGTTCGGTTGTTGGATTTGTGCTCGGGTCGGCACAGGGGGCGCTTTTTGGCGTGATTGGGCCACTAGTGTGATGCCATTGTTCTCACATTTATCGGCATCAACGAGCCCGTGCCGCGCGTCTATCAATCTCATCAGATTGTGTAGATTGGCCTGCGTGCTTTATGATTAGATTACATGGCAGTCTAGCAGCAGTTTGGTGGTCTGTCTGATTTGCTACAATTGATGACATCCGCTTTTCAACCGTCAGTTACTGTGTACTGTGCATTGATTAGTGTGGCAGGCTGGAATAGGGATAGATAGAAATGATCAACCACTCATTTCGTTCAGAAGGCTCTATTACGAAGTTTGGAGGTGATAAAACGGAGAAAACTATAAGAGTGTAGCTCATTCAGATAGGCCATCTTCATACTTCTTTATTCTACTAGGTCACGGAAGGTACGGAGTATATATTTGTGGAACAAACAACGTGAACAAAGGAGTCTGTGATCATCGACCCGATGCCTGTGGAAGCCCCATAATGGAATATACCTTTCAGCTATCATGAAAGAGACCCGATTATAACATGCAAATTCAAGGGCTGGGACGAAGTCCCGATAACTGAATAGAACGTTTCCCAGACCAGCATGGCTCCAGACAATGAAAAGCACTGGTTCATTCAAAAAAAAGCATAGATTCATGTGTAGGCCAACGAACACTGAAATTTGTGCTGGCATAGAATTCACGATAGAACGATACTCCTCGGAAGACCCTGCATCTTACTAGGTAGTCGGTAATAATTTCATGAATTATGAGCGGGAGTTCGATTCTTCCATGGATACCCCTACTCATTGAACATCACCAAGAGGTCATAGAGAAAAGGCGATGTGTACCGGTCTCAAATTAATTGGAGGTAGAAAGAGATGGGAACAACCCTGGTAAAAAACACTTTGTGAAACGTAGTCCTAAATGATTCATGGATAACGAGCTTGCTGAGTGAGGTGATCGCCTGCGTAGTCGCAAATAGCCAAGACGAATGTTTCTATATGTCTTTTCGATTCGACTTGCACAAAATCACAGTCCATTTTCTCTTGGAGGACTTATTGTTGTCATGATTGATCATCAAGTTCTTCGACAAAAGTTAGCCAACTCTCCCGTTCCAGTCTCAACCAACACCCGCCTTCAATCCTACTGATCCATAATTCGAGAGCCAGCAACATTGCGAGGCAAGTCAAAACGAATATAAAAAAAATCAATGTTCCCTCGAACCGGAATCGAGCCGGTGACCTTTCGGTTATATGTGGATCCATTACAGCCGAACGTGATATCCAACTACACCATCGAGGGTTTAATTGATGTCATAATCAGCTTCTAAACTGACTGATAAGGTCCATCACGTGGCCGATAAGGATCTGTAACACAAATTATCGCCGAGACGCGAATCGCAACTTTCTTCCAACCAGCAACCACTCTGACAATACCCCGAGTCCCCGCAAGGCCACGGCCTTCCTGTCAATGGAGTCCAGTAGGGAGAAATTCCAACCGGTTCCCCGCGAACTGCCCGCCATGTTCCGCCCCCCAGTCAACCGCGCGATGAAGACGCTCGACCGATCGTTCTTCCGCAAAACGGTGCCCATCGCTGCCGCGAAGATCTTTGAGAAATCGCAAATTTCAAGCGTCCGCCAGGCACTAGGCAAGAACCGCGATCTACTGGTTCTACCCCGACTCAATGTTGTGCGTGATTTGAGGGAACAGGATGGGGCCATCCGCAAAGGCCTTTTGCTACGGGAGGATGTTAAAGCTGATGGTGGGTGAAGGATAAACCCTGGGTCGATGTGGAATTGGATGCTGGAATAGGTTCTGATTCGAATGACAGACAGGACTACTTGGTCGCCAGTGATCAATGAGCTCGTGGAGAAGGGTGCTGTGGATGTGTCACCGTATGATCTGGAGTTGGATTATGATTACTGGAGCTACGGTACGGCCAACTGCCATTGATATTCTTTACCATGCTTTGAAACTAACGTGTCATAGCCGAGATTGCCAGTGCGATCCTCCCCGAAGAAATGGAAGAAGTCCCCCAAGGGTTCACTCAGGTGGGGCATGTCTGTACGTTTCTGCCCAACCCACCATGACCAAGCGAGGCGCATTGAAACTAACACCTAATTGCAGTGCACTTGAACCTCCGAGAGCATTGGCTTCCATATAGACATATAATTGCAGAGGTTCTAAAGGACAAAAACCCCTCCATCCGGACCGTGATCAACAAGACCGAAGATGTCGGCTCACACAGCCAATTCCGCACATTTCCCTTCGAGCTGCTTGCCGGCGACAGCGACATGAACGTTATTCAACACGAACAAGATTGCGAGTTCCGGTTCGATTATTCTCGGGTCTACTGGAATAGCCGTCTTGAGACTGAGCACCGCCGGCTCGTGGAGAAGTTCGAGCCCGGCCAGATGGTTTGCGACGTGATGGCAGGAGTTGGACCCTTCGCTGTTCCCGCTGGCCGTAAGCGAATCTTTGTCTGGGCCAATGACTTGAACCCGCATGGCTATGAAGTGATGCAGGATGCGACCAAACGAAACAAGGTTCAAGACTTCGTGACCCCGTTCAATCAGGATGGACGCGAGTTCATCCGGTTCTCGGCAAAGTCGCTCCTCGAGACAGATCCCGTGACTGTCACTATTCAGAAGGCCAAGGGACGAAAGGATAAGAAGGGCAAAGCGAACGACGGCAAGGCCATTGAGCAGCCTCCGGCACAAAAATATGTTCGCCCGCAGTTCGTTGATCACTATGTCATGAACCTGCCCGCTACCGCTATCGAGTTCTTGGATGCATTTCAGGGTCTCTATACCGGCAAGGAAGAGCTTTTCACACCCAACACCTCTCAGACTCTCCCGATGGTGCACGTCTATTGCTTCTCGGGCAACTCCGATAACGAGGTGGATGACCACAAGGATATCTGTGAGCGGGTATCGGAGCGCATTGGATTCACTATTACACCCGAGGACCGGGTCGGAGGCACTGGCAATCCTGCCATTGAACTGGACGTCTTTAATGTCCGACTCGTCAGTCCCAAGAAGCAGATGTTCTGCGCGAGCTTCCGTCTCCCGCCAGAGGTTGCATTTCGCAAAGTTTAGAGGGGTATAGTTGATGCATGAGAGGCGTTCAAAAATCGCATGTTTATAGCTGGGAGAAGGGAAAAAAGAGATAGACAAAAAGAAATCACCACTTGATACCCTTAAGAAGATGATTTTCCGTTGAAGGAAACAGTACTAGTAGATGGTGGTTAATACCTGGGAAGTTGGTATACCCGATTAGGAAATCCAAAGGCGGCGTGCTCACCGCCCCAAAACTGCCGCGCAAACCTGCACAGGTTCAACATCTCAAACCGCCTCAAAACCGCGAAGCTCCCGCCGACGACCCCGCCATCTCAGACACCTTATCCACTGTGCTCGAAAGCTCTCTGACTATCCCTATTGTGACTCGTCGCCTCGTCAAATCTCCAAAGATACAACAAAATGAGCGTCCAACTACCCCCGGCAACACACCGCAAGCGCGCGCTCCCTCAAGGCGAGCTCGAAGCCGCGGCTACCCTCAAGCTCGGCGCCGATCAGAACACGCATACCCTCTCCCTATCAGAAGCGCGACTGGTCATCCACAAGGTGCTGGAGAACAAGCGCCGCGGAGGAAGCAAGTACGAGGAGCCGGAGTACGTTACAGAGGCAGACCTACAAGCCTACCGACCAGGCTACCAATGCGATCAAAGTGGAGTAGATTTACTAACTGGGGGATTTTGCGACAATTGTATAGGAACTTGACCAAGACGCTGGATTATCTGGACATCTTTGCGCGATTCAAGGATGAAGAGAATATTAAGGCGGTGGAGCGGTTGTTGAACTCGCATACGGAGTTGGAGATGTTTGAGCGGTCGCAATTGGGTAAGTGACTGGCTTAGTACTAGCTTGAGCTTGAAGTCTGGCGTTTGGCATCTGGCTGTGTGCTCGACCTGGCCTGGCTGGGTCCTACTCTGGCCTGAACTACAAGGCGGAGCTACTTCCCTTCCCGCAAATCGCCGCTGTCGGAACATTACACCCCTGGCATCGTCGGGAACTCTCGTGGTGATTGTGGCTATGCGCATATATACCTTGTCAAATTGGTCCGTGAGGTTGTACTGACCAGGGTCGTTTTCCTTTCCTTCTAGGAAGCCTGTGCTGTGACAATGCCGAGGAGGCCAAGTCACTTATTCCAAGTCTGCAGAACAAAATTTCCGACGGCGAGCTGCAGGAATTGCTGGATGAGTTGACCAAGTTGCGGAATTTCACTGAGTAGACTACAGCCTGTCGACAGGAACAAGGTGGTGTGGGACCGTTGGGCATACCTGGAAAAAAGTCGAAGCCCATTTGTCAGTCACGCCTTTTAAGCGTGCGCTTTGTGGTTTAGTGATCTCTCATTTTACATTTCTGGGCATATGGAGTTTCTTGGGCGTTTGGAATTGATTTGATGGGTCCTGGAGGATTTCCGGGCGGAGGGAGCATTGCACATAGAACCGATATACCAAATCACAGTGTTTGTTCAGCTTACCAATTGCATCTGCTGGACTTGAAATATAGTACAGTAGTATCCGATGTGCCTCTTTTCATGATGAGTAGGAATGTGCAATGAGTCATGTTATCAATTCTGTCCTCCGTGCGACGGGGTACATAGTCATATTGCATGATGCTTCCCTTTGACAGCGTGGACTTGGCACATAGTCCATGCATTTTGTTCGGAGGTCAGCTTACATGCTCACTGGGTCGGTATAAACTAACACCCCCTCCCCGAGGACAATACTGTAGTTCTTATGACTATTAATCAAGTCAATTCATGCCCAACCTGTTCATCCCGAGATCACCCATCGCCACTGGGGGCTAAGCGTTTTACAGGGAAGGCGAGCACATGGAGTCATGGGCCGGGGACCAACTGGCCGTCTCCGTTGGCCCACTGGGCGGGTCCTTCACCGTGAAACTCATTGCAAGGGACTTCCGCCCCGGAGCACAGTGTGCCTGCTACCTGGGCATGGACAATTGGACATACTCTTTGGAGGGAGGAGGGAGTAGTTACTCTATGTAAGGTAAGTATACGATTGAGTAAGAGTAAATGCACGACAGAATATTATATAAAGTACACAGATCTATCTTTCCAAGACCTGAATCGCCGCGGCAATGACCCCATCGAGTAAGCAGTTGAACCGAGGCTTCCTATAGGATCAAAAGGAATACACGGAGTACTATGGTTTCAGAGGTTGGGGTGCATCCGTTGATCGGTGGACTCTCCACAAGGAAGATATTTACATTCAAACATTATTATTATTAAATCTATGAATATTTGGTGATGTGTACCTTATTTTGGGCTGCTTTCTTGCTGCATCCGTCATCCTTTGTGGATATCCTGATTGGCTGGGGAAGTAACCGTTATCAGAGATCTCTGATTGGTTACTTTTGTCACAAGAGCGAAGGTTAGAACTTACTGTACTCCTTGTACGGAGTGGAGGGCCTCGGCTGGTTGGTTGATCGATGGCAAATTGACGGATGACAAATGGAGTCTGGTGAACTCTGTGGAGATTGGTCTGGGGGATAATCTAATGCCCGTATTACAATGATGGATGGTCTTTGTTGAGTTTTGGATGATTGACGGGATGGTGCATGTGAGCTGGACGCTGATCTGTAACTTCGATAGTTAAGTACATAGTCAGCTCATGATTAAAATAACTACCAAATAACTAGTTAACTACAGGAGCAAGAAATACTGTAGTCATCACTACTACTCCGTAACTACTCCGGACAGATGCACTGCACGCTGAATCAGGTTATTCTGATTTCCATCGCCCAACCTAATCAGGACAGCCGGATCGAACTGGGTGATTAGGTAAGAGGGATTCCCCGTACGTAATATGATGGCGGCTGATCCAGTGGACCAATCAGGACCAGGCACCTTATCAGAGATGACAATTGCGCCCGCCTAATTATTATTCATCGCGACGGACGGGACTGGCTACAGCTGATTCTTGTTACGAAACTGAAAAGAGGATCGTCTGGGACTCGGAAACACTGCACGGGGACTATCCCAATTATGATCGTATATACTCGAGTCGATGTCATCACCTTTGGGAGTCTTTCCTTTGATTTCCCTCTTTCTCAATCTCTCTCTCTCTCCTAGCTTCTCAGTGCCTGTCTCAGCCATCCAAGTCAACATCGATATCTCCTACACATGCGTCACGGCCAGCCAGTTGCACTGCACTCATCGACCTAGCTGCGAGGTGTAGGAATGACAGAGCGAACCATCCGCCATCTCATCTTGCTGCAGTCTCTAGCGGGCTCATCGGCCTGATAGATTGACGAATCTGATTGACTGGTTATTATTTTTTTTCTGGTTTTCTTTTTCTCCATCTTATTCTCGATCCGCAATTATTCATTTTTATATTATACCATCGAGGTATATACTTTTTTTTTTCTACTTTTGCTACCAGAGTATTGAAATACCGATTATTATTATTATATACTCGATTGTCTCTTTCTCCGGTGCCGGGGCTACTCTGAGATCGTCGGAGATAACAAAAAATACTCTTTTTTTTTGGGGTGATCTGGTCCCGATAAGCTCTCTCGTGTACGTACCCTCCCCTTCTTGGTCCTTATCTCTTCCTTCTTCTCCAGTCTTCACTTGTCAATGGTCAATTCTCTGAATGGCTACAGGCTAACTCTTCGAGTGGCTTAGAGCTGTTCCTCTCAACCCCCGTCCAGGTCAGCTTGTGGAGTGCAAAATCGAAGGTCCAATCCCTTTTTCCCCTCCCCGGAATTCCAACAGACGCCAGCTCCGAGGACCCTTACGTGACGAATTCGATTGCACGAATCGCAGCCTATCCATTATCTATCTTGGTACCCCAGCATTCTCATTATCTCTGCGAATCCTCCGCCCAAGCCGCCCCCGGGCTCCGTCCCGCTAGAGCCTAGCACTAGCACCACCTTCCTCCCCCGGTACGCCGGTACCTGGCATCCCCCAGCTTCGGGATCTATAAACCTCTGGCTTCCCTATCCCATACCCACATGGCCACCGTTATCACTATCCAGCCTTCCCCAACGGCTGGCTCGGCAGCCTCCCCAGCCTATTCACAGGCTCACCATTCCCCCTCCGAGCATCTACGCCGTCGCCCTCACCCATCCTCGACCGCCACTCCCAATACCCTCTCACCCTCTCCGGTCTCTGGTCAATCTTCCCTAGCCCGTGTCCCAGGTCGGGATGGAGCAAGCTGTGACGCCTGTCTTCGTAGACAAAGCCGCTGCGCCATGAATGACATCACCAACAAGTGCTACTCGTGCGACTTCCACCGCCAGGACTGCACGTTCACGCTCTCTGCGGGCTCCGCAGAAGCCCCAACGAAGAAGAGGAAATTGGACGACTCTACACGGGAACATGCAGAGTCTGTAAAAAGGTATGCAATTGATCTTGATCAGTCACTCCGTCGCTGCTTAGTGGGCAATGGCGATGCCAGGACAAATTCCACTAACTTGATATCACATTCAGACCCTCTACCGTCCAATCAAACCAAACTACCTCCGAGAGCGAGACTCCTCGCCCTCAACAGCCCCACGCCATGATTCGTTCGGGCTTTTTCAACCAGACCACCCAGCACATTGGTATGACCACCGAGTTGGAGCCCACCCTCCTTGAGTATCTCCCATTAGACGAGTACCACGAGTGCACCGTCTCGGCCTCGCGCATCCGTCGGTGCGCCGACGACTGTACCTTCATGCGGGTGGTCAATACCGTGCCCATCGGCGACTCGCAGGCCGTGTCGCTGGACGCTATCGAGAGCCTGGTTGCTCCGTACGGGTCAACGCTAATTGAAAAGTTCTTTGAACATGTGCATCCCTCATTCCCGATTCTCATGGAGGATGCCTTCCGCCAGTCCTACCGTGAGCGCAGGCAATTGTCGCCTCTGCTGCTGGCTGCCGTGTATGTGTTGACCCTGAAGTTTGTGGATGTCGGCGTGTCATCGCAAACGGCACGGCGGCCCGATGCCTCGCGATTGGAGGCCACGGCGCTGAAACTGTTGATCGAGTCCTTGCCGTACCCGAGTATCTCGACTATCCAGGCTGGCCTGCTGTTAACGCAGAAGTCGACTTTGGCGACGGCGTCTTTGAACGGACAACTTGTCACGGCCGGCTTTGAGCTGGGTCTGCACCAAGACTGCTCAAATTGGCGCATGAAGACCTGGGAGAAGGGTCTGCGGAAACGTCTGGCCTGGGCGTTGTACATGCAGGACAAATGGTCTTCGCTTGTGCACGGCCGTCCTTCGCAGATCTTCGCTTTCAACTGGACGGTCAAGGATCTCGTCGAGCAGGACTTCTCGGACGCATTCGCATCTGGTACGGACTCTGTCCATAACGACGGAGATGTGGGCCACGGGCCTCTTCTCTTCTGCCACATGGTCGCATTGACAACCATCCTTTCGGACATTCTGGACCGCTTCTACACGCTTCAGGCCATTGAGGACTTCCGCGCTGCAGGAAATCAGCGCACGCGTATCATCCTGGACAAGGCGAAGCCCGCACAGATCCGGCTGAAGGAATGGTTCTCATCTCTGCCGGCGGCGCTGAAGATGGAGTCCTCCAGCGGCGAGCTGGTCGAGACAATCACCGACGAACATGCCCGCAACGGTGCTCTGCATTTGGCCTATTTCGCGACCGAAATCACTCTGCATCGCTGCATCGTGCGCTCGCTGTCCGGTAACGGCACAGACTCGCACCTCGCGCACATCTGCCGATCCGCGGCAAAGACACGACTCATCTCAGCAATGGATTTTGTCAACCGCCTGCGACCTGCGCACCTGCGCTCGTTCTGGCCCGCGTCGGCGCGCACGAACTTCTCACTGATCGGTTCGTTCGGCATGCTCCTGCGTATTACGGCGCCGACCAACGAGGAGGCCGAGTTTTACCGTATACGACTATGCGAGTACCGCTGGACGCTTAGCGTGTCTCACAAGAATGCCGAGTTTATGGGCTTCGCGCTGGAGAGCCTTGACCACGCGACGATGCTGGATAAACATGTCCCTGCCAAGCCGGGCATCGACGAGCTCATGGCTAGCTCCGCTAAGCAGCCCTCGCGACCGGTTATGGGACCCGGTGACTACGACGAGGTTATGGGCGATGTCGATATGCATGGCACGGCCGGTAGCTCGTCGGTGATCTCTGGGCTGGCCTCCCCGGCGACCAGTGTCAGTGATATCGAGGACGATGAGACGTCTATGGCACCTCTTTAAATGCTCTCCTCCTGATCAACATTATCCCTCCTACCTCACATCTCCTCCTTTAACACTATGATCTCCTCTACATCCTCAATCTACCCCTACCTCTACGACACTCCTGTTGTGCTATTGACCCTCACGACATCTTCGGCGTTCACGGACTTCTCCTCAAATGAAAGCGCATGATCGAATACCTCTTTGCACATTTGCATCTACCCTCCTCCTCCTCCTCCCCATTACCCCGCCCACCAAAAGCGGGTAACCTCTTAAAATTATGATATCGGAATTCGCTCTCGTTGGAACTTGTTTTTATTTGGCCTGATTTTTGGTTTACCTTGATATGTATGCCCGGGATAATTTGGCTTGGACTTTTGGGACTTTCGACTTTGGAACTTGGATTATTTCCCCCCGCTTCCTGAATGATGGATTCAGTGAATGTATAGACTTGGACAGCATAGATCGGGCTATGAATGAATTATGATTTTATTTGGATTGATTTTGTTTCATCTTTTATGGTACACTACAGACTTGGTAACGTTTCTGGCTAAAAAAATGAATCATCGTGTCCGCCAAAGGCAAAGTCCTCCAGTATTGACGGATCGACTAGATTCGCTAGCATCTCCGTGCGTGTTCGGTCGGCTGGCTGCTGGGGATCTTGGCTGAAGAGCGAGAAGAAGAAATCTTCTTCGGTGGAGCGAGAGGCTAATGCTTCTCCTGCTCCTGCTCCTGTGTTGTCAAGGGGTAGAGCGGGAGTATCTGATCCATAGCCCAGCGGTACATCTACCAGCATTCCTGGGAGTGAAGTGCCCATCGTAGACGAAGCAGCAGCAGCAGCAGCAGAAGAACTGCCCGACGCATAAGAAGTGGTACCAACCAGCGTCTCTCCAACCGACGACTTATCCACAGGCCCAGAACCAGACCCAATCTGTCCAGAGACTCCAGACCCCTTCCCATTCACAAGACCATTCTCACTACCCCCCCCTCCTAACAAGGCAAGTCCTTGCAACATCAAGAACCTCCCTCAACATCACCGCGCATCGCCTCGCAACGATAATATCATCCATCGACTCGAAGATCTCAAGGGACTTCTCCACGTCCGCGAGGAGATCGTCGTCCGGGAGGTCAGGGTAATTTGAGAGGACGAGGTGGAGGAGGATCATTGAGCCGTAGAGGGCGTAGGTTGTGTTGTACCACCTGCAAGCCGAATCAGAAACAAAGCGCACCTGCCAAGGTGGGATAGATGGGATGGGATGTGGAGAATTAAAGCTAAAGCTAAAGCTACTTACCATGTTCGAATATAGATACGGTGCATAAACGACTCGTATTGCATCGTGATACTTTTCCGCGCAGCTTCGAGGCATATGTGTAGATGGTGGCGGAATTCGCGGGAGTGCGTGTTAGACGTTGCCGCGACGAGGAAGGGTCTGTGAATTAGGATGCGGGTGTTATAGTATCCTAATATGAACGATCAGTAAACGGGACACATTCACGCTGTTCAGAAGACGTACGCAGTCGCAGGACCAGTTTTTGTTTAAACGCCCACTCGGGATCATTGAGTGTTGTTGCGTCTGGGTTGAGGAAGGGCGGTATATTTGCCTTCCAGTCGAGGAGGCGTGCGTCCAGGGCCATTGCGAGTCGGGATTTTTCGCTCATTGAGCGCTGTGTGGAGTGATAGAGTTGGTGTGAGGCGTTGGACATTATCTGGGCGAGGGAGACCATGGTGGGGATCATGACTATGTCGTTGTCTTCTGCGTCGGGGTCGAGGGGGCCTGCGTTTACCTGGAATTCATTAGGACCTGGATACTGAATGTGAGGGGTGGGTTGATAGTAAAGCTGCTTTACCTTTAACTTGGGTAGGGAGACTTGGTAGTAGTGTAATTCCTTCATGCTGTCTAGGCGTCCGGAGGAACAGCACATTTCGCTAGAGATTATTAGTACCTGTGTAGCATCTCGCTAATACGGCCAACTTACATCTCGTGAGAGTAAATGCACCTAAGAGAGTTAATAGAGACACATCAACGAAGTTAAAGAATGACATACCACCAAGTTCGCTTTGCTTCTTTCCTTATACCCGAGGGTAAAGAAGACATACTAGAAGCCAACCCAATAGCCGCCGCTGTTCGCACAGCCATTCCACTATACATATAGCAACTATGCGGCTGCAACGAATTCTGACGGAAAACACTCTGAAATCCATCCTCAGTAACACAAATTTCACTTGCATCTCACAAAGACATACCATAAGAAACAGTGCCTGCGCAGTCTCGAGGCAACTACTCTCAAACAAATCCCCAAGCGCCTGCTTCGCGATATCAAAGTAGAACTTTGCAAAATCCAGAGCCGAGAACCGCGTTTCCGGCGGAAGCGTTTTATCGGGATCTTTAAACTGATGGTAAAAGTGGTCGAGGAGCGCTGTCTCATTTGGGCTCGCATTTATCGCACCCAGGGCTACCACGGTAAAGTAGAGACCGGCGAACTTGATGGCGCCACGGAAGAGTGCGGTACGTTTGGAGATGGGCCATGCCTCCCGTTCGCAGCGGCGCATGAAGGAGCCCTTGGATAGGACGGGGTGGATATAGTGCTTGTTGGTGAAGTAGCTGCCGATAAAAATCTTTTCGATTTCAAGTTGGGCTGTAGGTGTTATGTTTGGGAAAATGGCAAGGAGACTGATATCTTGGGCTGATGGGAAGAGTCAATGAAAGCGTTCTTGGCTTGGACGTGGTGGTAAAGGAGACCCACAGCTGTTGACAGTACCGGTGTCACCCTGCCCAACACTGAAAGACGGGCTTAGTTTTGTTCCACTCTCGATACCAGCGAGTGAATGCGGTGATGGATGACCTGTATAGTCTGCGTTGTATAGTAGATTCACGATAGAAAGTTGCGCCTTGCTAGACAAGGGCCCTGTCCCTGGGCATGTTGTGGGTGAAAGAGGTTGTGGTCTGTTTGTAGTAGCTGTCGTATCTGGCTCTGTAGGCCAGTATTCATCAGCCCGTATCTCTGCTTGATTCTTTGCTCTTGTGTAGAGGTTTCCTAGGAATGCCAAGTTGGACGAGTTGCCATAGAATTCTGTTCCTTTGGTGTGAAGGTTGACTCCACTCAAGCCATCTCGAGATGCTGCGTCTCCGATCTCAGAGGGCGCGACTGATCATTGGATACAGTATTAGTCCGGGGGAATATTGCACAATTCGGTAAAGATACCCTTACTCGGAGTTTCATCATGTACTGACGAGGCGGTTGGCGTGTCTGGAGTGGGAGTATTCTGTTCAGCCGAATGTGGTCCACGGGATGTGTCTCTCAACAAATGACTAGAAGACTCAGAAGTTCCAATTGCTCGAGTATGCGAGCTTTCATTGGTATTGCTCCGATATATCCCGGGCCATGGTGATAGGCGAACAGCTTTATCCGGACTTGATGAGGTCAGCAAATGGATGCACCTCGACATCGGTAGTGAAAGAGGTTTGTATACCATACCTTTGGTGTGAACTCCGAATGACTTTCTTTTTCTCAGACAGAGAAGGTCTAGACGTTCCCTGTCCACCAGTGGTGCGATAGATACAGTCAAATGAGTGATCGGTACCACTCGTCAGATTTGAACACTATTGGCGACGTCATCTGAAGAACTTACAGGCACAATATGAGCAAGGTTGTGCTTGGTCACACTATGGGATAAATGTTATCACTTTTATATCCAATTGGCATGATAGAGATGGGCTTGGTGAATATCGGATACCTTCGTTTTGCGAGAGCGGCACGTCTCGCACGCGCGTGAAGCCCTCGGTACGCGACGCTGCGAGGCCCATCGGGCCTTGGGCTCGGGGGTGTCCATATCGCATCAAGAATCTTGGAGAATTGTGATCAATTCCTGCATCTAAGTCTCTGCTCCGTCGGGGGTTGTTGTCAAGGAATAATCGCGACGGATCGTGGAGATCTAGCAAAAACGGCAATGGAAGCAGCTGCCGAACCGATCGCCACTCTTCTCCGATGAGCCTTGCTCTTCCACTAACTTCATCGCCGGGGTTGCGGGGTCCGGGGTAATTTGTTATTGGCATTTCAATACATTCTAGTCTTCTAGTAGATTTGTCATCATAATAGACCGTGGGCTTTATCTTACTTTTCTCATTCTGAGTGAGGCATCGCGGCTCTTCGACTACCGCCTAACACAATACTTCGGATACGTTTATGGGTCAAAATACAGACCCGTTCCCTATATAATGAGACTTATAACTCCACATATAGATGTCAGATCATTTGAAGAATTCCTTTCAGGATCTACATAATGTATTGAATGTTGTTTAGCAATAATTCAAAGGGACGTTCATCGATGACATGGAGAGTCCGGGTTCCGACGGAAGCTGGGACCCGTCGGGTAGGACAAGGGATCCACTTACGCTCTCTCATCTAGCAGACTACTCCCTGTGTCAAAGAAAGACGAAACGCGGGGCAATGGGCTAGGTAGTGAGTATGTTTTGTTCAAACATATGAAAATGATAATGAATGAGTAGGCTCAAGAGCAAACATATAAAGCCACATATCGCGGGCCAAGATGGACGATCAAACACACCATCTCATCGTCCTCCTCATTGTTCCTTGCCTCTGAAAGCAAAGATACCATCGAAGTTTCTGCACTTAATGGCATTAGTGGTCATACCAAGGCCAAATGGGCTGCTGGGTCTCCAAACGATATCGCAGCTCGTCTGCCCCCAATGCTTGACTTGACGATCGAGAACATCACAGAAAACATGATGAAAATCAACTCCATGTGTGACAACCCTCGCCTTCGATATCTCATTACAAAACTTATCAAGGCATCGCAGGACTATTTTCGGGATGTGAACTTACAGTTCGATGAATGGGAGCAAGCCTGGCAGTTTCTCACCTGTGTAGGTGACCTGTATATCCTCTGTTGAAGAGCTGGGTATTGACTAGTTTGTGCAAGTGGGCTAGATTTCCACCGATGTCTGTCACGAGTTTGTCTTGTTGTCTGATATACCAGGCATCTCAGCTCTGGTCGACGCCATTTCGTACCCAGCTATCCCGATGCGACGGAGTCTTCCGTGTTAGGACCATTCCACGATGAAGAAGCTCATTCGTTTGAATATGGCCAGCCTATCATATCTGATGGGACTCCCAGAGAGCCAACAATTGTTCGTGGCTTCGTTCGTGACACCGATGGCAACGTGGTTCCCAAAGCCCTGATCGATGTGTGGGAGACCGACGGTAACGGCGTATACGATCTTGATTGCGCGGGGAGCCAGTAGCCTAATTGTCGTGGCAAGATCTTCACTGATGATCGTGGCCCCTTCTCTTTAAGTGTGTCAAGCCAGTTGCTTATCCGATCTCCAATGATGGTCCAGTTGGCAAGCTTCTTCGAAAGTTGAAGAGACATTGGTACCGACCTGCTCATATGGTGTGCGAGCGACACCTTCCTCTCCTACGACATTTTTCGAGCAGCATTTTATGGTCATACATCCCGAGTATACCAAGTTGATCACGGCGCTCTACTATAGTGATAGGAAATACTTGGAAAGTGACACGGTCTTTGGTCTCAAGAAAAGCTTGATTGTCGACTACCAATGGTGTGAGGATTTGAATTGGCTAAGAAGCACAATTTAATACCCATGGTGAAAACCGTTGACGGCCGTGAGTAGAGAGGATTCTGGCTCCTAGATCGGGACTTTGTCCTGGTGAAGGAAAGTCCTTCTCCTCCACGAAGGGTCAAGGATGAATAAAGGGAAACAGGCAGGCTCTTCTAGTCAATACGTGATTTGAATCGGAAAATTCCAGGTTTCTTGCTTTAGGTATCAAATTCTGTGCAAGGGTTTTCAGTATCCGCCTGTTGCTACAAACAAGTACAGTAGACCGCAAATAATGAGACAGTATCTAAGGAACTATGTCTTAGTCTCCGTACATATGCGCAAGATAATGTTAATCAGTTTCTCAAGTACAGTCAAGCGCCACCAGATTGAACCCCTCAACCAAACTTCGAAATTTCCTCATCGGCGATAAAATGAAGTATACTCGAGATATTTCTGGATATATTAAAGGAGATGAGACGAATTGATAAACAATTAGGAAGATATTTAAACGGAGAGGAGCTTTAAGCGCATCTTGTCAGGCATTTCCCCGGTCGCTAGATTCGGACTCTAGGAGGGGGACTCGATTACACAGCATTTTCTATGTCATGATGAGTCTAGAATATACGAAACCCAAGAATTCTGAGGTTCACATACATCATCATATGCCTATTCGAGATTATGTGCCCCAAGTCGACGATCAAGCTCACTCCCAGGGAAGGTAATATCTTTACTTGCCGCATCGGCGACACGGCGATTATCGGCGATAGAGCTGCACAATCATGGTCGTCCGACGGACCTACATCCTATTGGCTTGTATGTCTCCAGGAATCCCCGCATAGCGCCTTGCTTCCCCAACAGATGCTGTAATAGTTGCAACCTTCTTGGTCGCATTTCGTAATGGAAATCAGGTGAGTAAACTTATTCCCCGCATGGACGAAAGGATGCCGAGGGTAAACGATATGAATACTATGAAATGTCCAAATTAGAAACAAGATAACAAGCCACGCTGTTATCGGGTGCTTCCTAGTGATACTGGCACTGTACAGTATCTTATCAGTGACTCCGACGGGAGGCATCCGAGAGTTCGCGGATAAGGACGGCGAGGGCGAATGAGGTTATAGCCGGCTATTCAAGAGAAGCTCAGTGTGATTGTATAAATAAAGTGACGCATACTCACACGTCGGTCCAACTTTCACATTAATTATCAAATATATACTTTATCTACTAAGTATCTGAATCATTGAGCTACCATCAAACAACATTCAACATGGCTATGGCCTGGGATCAGAATACGCTACGGGCGAAATTTTGTCACGCGTTGTCAGAAATGTACAAGAGTGAGGTTCCATTATACGGTGACTTGATCGACGTTGTCTGGCAGGCCGATGCAAAGGCGGTTCAGGCCAGTAAGACGCTAGGCGGAGCCAAAGCTATCAACCCAGACGACGTCTTGCCTTCACGACATCGAGTCGAAAGACATGGCGCCATTCGACTGGGAACGGCATATGAGCTGAGCACAATTTGTCGCATGTTTTCAGTCATGGGCATGTATCCTGTGGGGTACTATGACCTAAGCCTCGCTGGCTTTCCCATGCATGCTACAGCGTTTCGGCCGAAGACACAGGATGCACTATCACAGCATCCATTTCGCGTCTTCACCACGGTCCTGCGGATGGAACTCTTGACAGAAAATACGCGAATTCTGGCACAGAAAGCCTTGGCGCAGAGAAACATCTTCACCCCAAGACTTCTCGAGCTTCTGGATCTGGTTGAGAAGAACGCTACTTTAACGCCGGCTGAATGCGCCGAATTTATCGAGAACGGATTGGAAACATTCCGATGGCACTCAAAAGCCACGGTGACTCTTGATGAATATATGCAGCTCACGGCTGAACACCCTCTTATCGCCGATGTCGTCTCATTTCCGAGTTCACATATCAATCATTTAACACCCCGTACAATCGACATCGACCTAGTCCAGCAGCTCATGGTGAGTCAGGGAATGCCAGCGAAAGAACGAATCGAAGGACCTCCAAAGAGAAGCTGCCCAATTCTTTTGCGACAGACAAGCTTCAAGGCATTGGAAGAGACGGTCTACTTCCGAAATACATTTGATGACTACGTGAAAGGATCTCATACCGCACGTTTTGGAGAAGTGGAGCAGCGGGGCTATGCATTGACACGAAAGGGGCGTCAGTTGTATGATCAGATTCTGGACCGGGTGAATGTTGACGCCGCGAAAAACAAGCTCGAGGGTCAGGATTACGAGAAAGTTTTGGAAACCCACTTCAAAGCATTCCCCGATAGCTTGTCAGAACTTCGCGACCAGAACCTAGCTTATTTCTGCTACCGACTTACCTCAAATGGGGAAAAGCTAGCAGAAGATGGTTCCATGATGGCAAAATTTGGAACTAAGGTATCTGTCCAAGAGCTTCTAGACCAGAACATTCTGGCCTATGAACCTCTCACTTACGAGGACTTTTTGCCACTTTCGGCTGGGGGTATCTTCAATTCCAACCTGGGTAATGTATCCCAGTCAAAGCAGCTCATTATGAGTGCGGAGCCGGACTTGGATGGATTTCAACTTTGTTTAGGCACCTGTGTGGCCGACGAGTTTCATCTTTACTCCGAGATGCAGGATGAGTCTATTCAGCGCTGTAAGCATCAACTTGGGTTGGAAATCACAATATAATACTGGATTTCGGATCACCATCGTTGTTTCATATTACTACCATGCTTTCCCCCTTCCGGATCGCATCAATTTTCGTTATTACTTTATACCCTTACTATACGTCATGTTACTCCTGTATTATCACCCTTTTTTTTTGATGACTTCAATGTTTCGAGTCTGACCCTAAAAGGTGTACGTAGCTTGCCTGTAGCTTGTGCCATTTAGGCGCCAGTTTCTCTTCCAAGGTAATGTGATCGATGTATAGAGTGAAGATGTTCACGTCGGTGACTATTTTTGGCTGCTTGAACAAACTTTGCATCAGACCATTTACTATACTTGAACAAGGAACACAATCGCCGTTTAGCCGTTGCTTGGATAGGTAGGGAATGGGATTTCCTCGCGCAACTTCCCCAGAGTCCATCTTCCACCGTCAGTGCTAGATTTGATCTACCGGACGGCTCCGATCGGTTGGTTGTGGACGAATCAACATCCTGATTAGGCAGGTATGAAAGTCTACGGCATCATCAAGTTTGGGACTACATGTTGCCTCGAGACGTTTAGCCGAGCGGTTCTTATACAATAAGCGAGCACCCTATACATCTTTTTGGCCTAAACTGGAAGTCATGGTGGCGATTCAGGCCCATATATCCTAATGCGGCCTTCGGCCGGGGAAATGCCGTCCCCGGAAGCGCCCGGTGCACGGCAGCCCGATCTTCTTGGCCGTACAAGGCGGTTCATCCCGCATCCCGGCCGAAGCCACATCGCGCGAGAAAGAACAATGAGGCTCAGCTTAGCGGCTTAGATATCTCGGGTCCGATCTATCACAATCTCTCTCCATATTTTCACTAGTATTTATAAATAAGATCTCAGAATAATGAAACATATATAAACATTGGGGAGCCCGGGCCATGGCCACGAGTCCGTGCTTCGTCGATGTTGGGGCGGTAGAAGATTATTGAACTGCATGGAATCAACTCAAGGTCCATCATCTGACAACATCTCTTGGTGTATCTATGTTGGGACAATCACCACCATTGTGCCTGCCACTTTTGTGGTGATTCTGCGATATATCGCTCGCTACGTTGCTAAAGCTGGCTTTTGGTGGGATGATTTTATCATCGTCGCGGCGCTGGTAAGTATACAAACTTTCTTTTAATGCTGCATCGAGGACTAATCCTTTGTTTGTAGGGGATTAACTGGGCCCTAGCAGCCACAAAATGGGTACAAATCGCGAATTATGGTCTTGGTCAGGATAATGTACATCTACAACCCGATCAAGCTGCAGGTCTGGGAAAGGTATGAATAGACCCCTACCTAATATCTACAAAGCCAAGCTGCATGCTAATAACCCTGAAGAGTTTCCTAGCTACGCAAATGCTATACCTCGTCAATGCCGTTCTCACGAAAGCATCTCTGATCCTCCTATACTATCGCATCTTTGGAGTTGTCAGGGGATTCCGCTGGGCTCTCTGGGCATCCTTCTGTTTGGTGATCTGTTACTACGTTGCCTGTGTGATCGTCTCAATATGCGGTTGCTCTCCAGTCTCTAAGTATTGGGATTCCAGTCTCCCAGGAACCTGTATCGACTCAATCGCCTTTTTCCGATGGAACGGGGTTGCCAACATGCTCCTCGACGTTTTGATTCTTTGCCTTCCATACCCGATGGCATGGCGCTTACAAACAACTTTGCGACAAAAGTGGATTCTTACAGGTATCTTTCTCCTAGGTGGATTGTGAGTCTTTATTCAATCGTGCAACATTCATTTCACTCGCTAATAAATGATCCAGCGTTTGTGTGGTTTCCGTTCTTCGGATTACGAGCTTCGACTTTAACACTCTGGACAATGCCACTTATGTCAGTGTCGTACCATCAACCTGGTCCTCTGTTGAGCAATCGGTTGGTATCATCTGCGCGTGTCTTCCAACACTTCGGCCCCTTCTTAGATGGCTAAATGGTAGCTCTGTCAGGAGTATCCGCAAAAGAGACAGTGCTTCTTCTGACTTCCCAGAAAGAGGCCCCTTATCCGGCCGATCATCGCAGGGAGGCGAAGAGAATTCTCTTGATGCCTTGGCTTCTCCCACATCTCCCACTCCCCTCATCTCCCAGGTGGAACAAGAGCATATTCGTGGGTTATCATGTCAGGAAGGGGATACCATTGAAGACCAGAACGGGGACGTGTGGACAGTGGAGGAATCTGATAGGGATCCTGAAAGCCAAATTCCTCGGCTTGAGTCGTTTGCCTAGCCAGACTAGTACCTTTTGTTTCGATCGTGATACCCCAACTAATCACACTAGAAATACAGACCAAAGTTCTTGGATTGCAATTGATCATTGTAGGTTTTCTAATACACTCATCATATATCGGATTAGGGGAATATACACCATCGTAGTTGATGGCAGCGCATGTATTTGCGGTGAAAAACAATGCGTGCTATTAATGCTATCGAATTGCCTTTTTATCCATTCCTCTGGATGTTCAGCGTCAACGACTGGAGCCCAGTCTTGGAACAATGTTGGAGCATATCGTCGAATCATATCACGGAGAAAAGAAATAAATGCTTCCATTCTGAATGGACGTAATTTGGAAATAGATATAGAATACAATGCACAAACGATCAGCCCAAAAAATCCCATCTATCTGTACAAAATGATGCAAGAGGCCAATGCATCATATCTCAGCAATATCGCGAGTCACACCCGGAGCGTCACAGGATAAATCTTCTTGTGGGCCATTCCTGGTCATCTCTCCCCTTGCAAATTGCTTTCATCATATCATGACCGAGCCTCAATTTGAGGTGTATCCTCACTCTCCTCAATGACAACGGCGCCCTCCTCCAACAACTCCTCAGGGGTCTTCACCCGAACTTCCATCACCCGCATGATCGTGTAGCGGTGCTTGCTCCGGGCCTGCTTGATGTGTCGCTGTCTCCGCTTCGTCTTCTCCTTGATACGCATGGGCTCCGACTCGACACCCGTCACGCGAACCCGGCACTCGAACAGACGTTCGTCAAGGTGGGGCGAGCCCTTCATTGTGAGATCGCGCGATCCAAGAGCGGTGGCACGATTAAAGCGGAGAATGTCGCCGGCCTTGACCTTGGGCATGAGGAAAGGAAGACGAACGTGGTCACCCTCCGTCAAAAGGTATGGCCGGGCGTGCAACTCTGCGACAATGTAGTGTGGTGATTGGCCCACCAGGTGCGGGAGGCGCGACATAAGAGAGTTGGTGACCTCGAGGGGAGAATCGAAGCTCGGTGCGACTGGTTGTTTGGCAATCGGGACATCGGCGCGCGTATGAGGGACGGAAGAGGAGGAGAATGGGTCGAAGGACGGCACCTTGGGTGCGTTCTGAGTCTCGGTCTGGGCCGATTGCGCACGAGGAGTGGCACTCAATGGTGACTCGGGCTTTGATGAGGAGGATTGAGTCTCGGTTTCTTGTTGCTGTGTTCGGAGCAGGGCAGTTTGGTGCAAGCAAGCTCGTTGCCGAAGGGGAGCTGCAGACGAAATAGAGGGCGGAGCAGACAACCGCAATTCAGCGGCTAGGCTCCGGAATACTGAGCGTGAGAACATCTTGAATGAACCCTTTCCCGTGGCGTAGAGCGAATTGCGGGAAATAAATGGTTCGTTGGTGGCCGAGTTATTTGCAAGAGCGGCTGTCCGCTCGAGAAAATCATCAACTGCGCTTGTGGCCGCTTGGTTCCCCGTAGATCACGTGCCCCTTTACTCTGCAGGATCAGTCAAGCAACAACAATCGTTTCGACAATAATTGCAGTCATTGAATATGAATCAATTCATACATCTTCACAGGAATTCATCCAATTGCAGTTAATAATCAATCTGACCATAACTAGACTCGCTGTGCTGTCTCTATGTCGCTAGCATTCGACCATATTGGGGGGCTGGTCGATAAGGAGATCACATGATCTGCTATCTTTGCTGCAGAAACAACTTTTTCGGTCTGCGATTAGATCTTGCTGGTCAACCCCATCTTCTGTTATTCCACCACTTGTGCTCATTTTTCGTTCATCATGGTATGTTCTCACACCTCACTCTTTCCTGAACTCGCTTGGAGCAGATCAGCTAACCGAACCTTCCCCTACAGCCTCAGAACGAGTTCGTCGTACCCCCGCTAAAATCGCCCGAAGATTTCCACCTAACACATTTTCCACTAGGTATATCGAGCGCTGGCAGAAGCAGCATGGTAAGCGGCTGGATCACGATGAGCGTGTCCGCAAGCGCCAGGCTCGTGAGGGCCACAAGCAGTCGTACGATGCCCAGAACCTGCGCGGTCTAAGGGCCAAGCTGTACCAGCAGAAGCGCCACAAGGAGAAGATCCAGATGAAGAAGCGCATCAAGGCCCAGGAGGAGAAGAACGTCAAGTCCGCCGCTCCCGATGAGCCGTCCAAGACTCCTCTGCCCCAGTACCTGCTCGACCGATCTCAAGCTACCAACGCCAAGGCCTTGTCCAGTGCTATCAAGGATAAGCGGGCGGAGAAGGCGGCCAAGTTTGCCGTGCCTTTGCCTAAGGTTAAGGGTATTAGTGAGGAGGAGATGTTCAAGGTCGTCAACACCGGAAAGAAGACCCACCAGAAGTCCTGGAAGCGTATGATTACCAAGCCTACCTTCGTTGGTAACGACTTCACTCGTCGGCCTGTCAAGTACGAGCGATTCATTCGCCCTATGGGTCTGCGTTACAAAAAGGCCAACGTTACTCAGTATGTTTGATCCCCTCGTCTGTTTGAGCCAGTCGTGCACTATGGGGAAGGCGGAAGACAGTTCCTCTCCATGACGACTGCTCTCGTTTGTGTCAATCCTGAGGAGTGATGCTAATATATCTCATTTTTTAGCCCCGAACTCGGTGTGACCGTCCAGCTGCCCATCCTTTCCGTCAAGAAGAACCCCAACAACCCCCTCTTCACCCAACTGGGTGTTTTGACCAAGGGTACCATCATCGAGGTCAACGTCTCGGAGCTGGGTCTCGTTACCACCACCGGTAAGGTTGTCTGGGGTAAATGGGCCCAGATCACCAACGTTCCTGAGAACGACGGCTGTGTCAACGCGTAAGCAATCCTCCTATCATCACACCTTTTCTTCCATGCTGACCTGTCAATATAGTGTCCTCCTCGTTTAAGCCTCCCTCACAAGGCCGCCACTATTTATTCCTCATTCCTGGCAGATTACCCCGTCTGTCTTCGATACCACCCATGCCCGAGGCATTACTGTGATTGGTTTTTTTTTCGCGGTCTATATGGTTCATAGAGAACTGCTCTTCGGTGTTTCTGGCGCATACAATGTTGTCTTGGTTCTTTCACGAAAAGTATTCTACCTTGCATGCTCGACCCTTTTGGGGGCTGTATTTAACTAGATGAGCTTAGCTACATCCAACCAAACAATGAGTTCATGATGATTTTGATTTAACCTCAGTAGAAATGACTCCCGGGGTGTGCTATGATATTGCAGGATAGTAAGATACCGCAAGTTTGAGGTGCTTTAGTCTAGCGAGAATCTTGTGGTTTTTTGTTTTTGTGGGAGAAGAAAGTTGATCATGTTAAACTTGGGCACCAAGACAGGAGCCAATGGCTCAAAACTCCGGAAACCCCCAATGCAAGTAGACCGAAAAAGGAATGAAAGGAAAGTCATGTACATGAAAAATGTGAAATCCACAAGCCGCACTTATGGCAGCCCGACAAAGGGCATCACCTGTATACCTCCAATTGAATAGGCAGGTGAATACAAGCCTGACTTGCATAGTAGTGCAGGGAATGGAAACTGTAACGAAATGCAACGGAAGAAGAATAAAGCAGTCAGATAGATGCCGTCAGATTAGCCATGAGATAGCTTTAGACAGGAAACGCCGAATTTGTAAAGGGGGCAAGAATAAACACAGACAACACCATTAAACACCGGTCATGAAGTCGTAGTAACAAGCAGGGATGAATGAACAGAGGAGGTATAGAACAAAAGAAAAGATGTAAAAAGACCGGCCGAGCACATCAAGAACTTTCTTCTTCGAGTGCTGCTTTTATTTTTGCAAAGAATCCCGCAGGCCATGCAGCCAGCTCTTCTTCTTTGGGAATGCCCCGGACCTTGCAGTGGTTGACAACATTAGCCAGAATGCGACCCAGCATGTCCTGTGTAACAGGTACGGCACCCTCGAGTTGGGCATCGGGGTGCAGGAAGGGATCCCGGGGACCGAGCATTTCTTCAATGGTTGGGCGAAGAGTCTGGTCGCGCTGAAGGCATCGTTTCAGGGTCTTGATTAATCCAGGAGGCACCGGAATACCGCCGACACCGTGCGAGGGGAAATCAATTTGAACACGAGGGTTCGGGATTGCCATGATACGCTCGTAATATTTTGCGATCTTGGCGAAAGGCGGCTGGCCGTACACCATTTTGTACAGAATACAGCCCAGACTCCACACATCGCTGGGTTTGCCAAGTTTCATCATCTTGCCCACACTAGCCGGGAGGCCGAGGGATGCATTGGAATCAACCAAAGCTTCTGGAGACATGTAGTTAGGTGTGCCGACTTGTTGCTCTCGGTGGACATTGACGGTGTTGTCTTGAATGGCATTGGCAATACCAAAGTCAATCAATTTCAGCCGACCCTGGACCATCAAGAAGTTTGCTGGCTTCAAATCGGAGTGGACGATGTTGAAGTTATGGACAGCTTGAACACATTCCAGCATCTCCTTCCAGTAAAATCGGGTAAAATTGATGTCGAACACAGCGTCCTCAGCATTAAGACGGTAGGTCAGAATCTTCTCCAGATCAGATTCACCAATTTCCATCAAAACACTAAGGCAATGTTTGTCCAGGTTGAGCTCCCAGTCAAACAGGCGCACCACCCGATCAACATTTTCAAGCTTCTTCAAAAGATCAATCTCACCCTTGTACCCAGTCAAAGTCAAAGGGTCGACATCTTCCAGATTCACTCGCTTGAGAGCGAAGATCTTATAGTTCTCAGCCATGACACGATATACACGAGAGCTTCCACCCCGACCAATACAGTCAAGACGGGTGAAGTGCTTGTGATTAATCGAGACCTGCGTCCGCTTCTTACGGGACTGCGATGTAGAAGCACCACCAGTAGCTGTGGCAGTTTCGAGAACCGACATCTTCGGAGGCGGAGGAGCCGGTCTGTGTGGAGTGTTGTTGCTTCGGCTCGCAAGAATCCTCCGGGGAGAATTACCTGCGGGGGTTTCGGCGGCAACATCTTTCTTGTCCGTATCGTATACGACGGAGTACTTCTCGGGCTTATCTAGCAAATTGAGGGCCTGTGGTTTGGCGCGCTTGAACGTTGGTGGAGGTTCATTCTCTTGATCCCTCGCGGAAGGAAGTGATGGTGGTAATGACGGTACCTTGAAGGCAGGTTGCTCCTGAGCACTCGACGATTTGGACGACACTTCTGAGGACCCTGGCGTGGACTTGGACTGCGATACATAAGACTTCGGCGACGAGGAGCGTGAGAAAAGACCTTCTCCACCGACCCGACTCGCGGGTCGATCCGGGAGGGGCCGATGTTGTTGTTGGTCTTGTTCATCGTTATCATGAGAAGGGCTGGGATCTGCCCAGGACACCTTCGGTGATGATTGCTTCGGTGATGATTGCTTCGGTGATGATTGCTTCGGTGATGATTGCTTCGCAGGGCGTTGAGAGTGATAACGATATTCAGCATTGGCATCTTGCGGCTCGTCATGCTCCCGAATAATGCCGTCATTCAGCAAGTAATTATCTTCGTTATTCTCCTCACTTTGTCGACGCAACACGCCTCGCCGCGCAGGTCCATTCAGGAATGTACCAGTAAGTCGACCAACTCGCTTCACCCGCAGAGAGCTATGGGGCGCAATATCCTCTCCAGTGCGACCGCGCAAGACTGATGAAGTACCGATTCGCAAGACAGGATCATCATCGTAACGCGATTTTCGGTCACTGTCAGACCGCTCACCACTTCCATACTCGTCACCTGGCTGGCGTTCCGTTGACCGTTTCAATGATGGCGAAATGGATGCTGGGGAGCGGGTACTGCTTCGAGAGGCATTGATCCGAACACTCCGTGGTCGGGGAGCGGGCGTGATGAAGTCATTGGGTCGGTCTTGAGCTTCGGAATCGGCACTCTGATTATTCGAAAGCGGAGAGCCCTCGCGGGAGAATCTCGAAGAGGATGAAATGGCACCAATTCGGACTACCCGAGGTGCCGGACTTCCATTGGACTGGTCATGTGGCGAGGCATTCCGCGGCGATTGGCTATGTTGTCGCGATCCGGTCGCCGAGCGCCGCTCGTATGAAGAGGGTTGTTGGTGTTGGTATTGATGCTGTTGTTGACCTTTGTGTAGATGTGGCGACGAACCCAACCCGTCTCCATCGAGAAGCGCTTTCACGGAAGCGCTGAACTTTGGCTCTGGGACCTCATCATCTGAGCTGTCCCCAGAGTAATGTCTTGAGATTGATTGTTTGGCGTCGGCGTATTGTAGGGCTGGAGAGGCCCGTCTGGAACCAGAACGTGAAACTGCGGTTCGGGACATCGGTCGGGTTCCTTGTTGATACAGGGCGTTGTTGTAGGCAGATGAGAGGGAATTCGGGGAGGCCATGGTGGATAAGCCCTACATTGAAGTCGTGTATCACTGCCGGCCTCGGGGTGGCCCGAATGTGTCGAATGTTTGTTGTTATTCACAAAGGGAAAGTCCACTCATCTCGACCCGAGGATCCATCGCGAGTCGAGAACTGGCGCGCTATAAAGTCACGTGATCTATGGTTGCCATGGCGACAACCACAACAAGGAATGCCTTGATAGACGGGTATACTCGAGAGCGAGCCAAAACCTGGTCCCTCCTTGCTGGTCGATGGGAACCTCTACAAAGTCTTTTGTTAGTTGTGAAGTTTGGTCGTGGGCTTGCGTAAGATTTGCAGTATCTCCGGAGTGCCTTTTCGTCCATTATAGACTGGTAACCTGAGCAAAGCGACCGTCCGAACCTTGAATCATGAAACCAGCAGTGGTACCCATCAAACTTCCGAAATTGTTTTTTGGTGGAGTACTGTTGCCACTATTGTCAATTGCTATGCTGTATTGTATATGTTTGATTGATTATATCGCTTGTGCAACGAGTTACTCCGTCGAGACACGGGTATGGTGTCAACGATTCGCGAGCAGACTACTCACAGGACCACCTCAATATATCTCTGCAGTTTTGCGGCGCGCGTTCCAATGAACCTTCGGCCACAACTCCCAACGGCTCATCACCATAAAATCTCCAAGATGGACTTAATTAGACATCAAACAGGTTACCATGTCATTCGAAAATTTTTATTAGGTCGTTAGAATCTAGCCTGACAAAATTCTCCTTAATCAATGTCTCCATTGGGTTGACCAAACTCTCACGGCTGTCTATACCCACAGAAATTGTACAAAGTACAAATGATAAGGCAAAGAGTGTAATCTAGATCAAATTGAGCAAGAACAAGGCTAACTACAGTCACCATACCGGTCAAGGGCATGGCAACATCTTGCCCTGGAGAAAGTACGCTGTGCACACTCGTCCTCCATGTTGAAGAGAGAGACTTACAACAGTGGCCCGACACATCGCAAGTTGATTGGACAACCCCTGGCTACCTCCATCGGCTATGATAACCGCAAATAAGAGTAAAAGTCAAAGATACGAATTCTATTTCCATGACTCCAGCCTTGCATATGAGCTATCCAACGTTTGCATGGAGAATTTCCCACATGAATTCCCTCGTTCTCATGCAAAAACGACCTGACGCGTCGCAGCGCATGACTGCATATAATATCATAATTCACGTTCGGAATGCGAAGGACCGGAGGAAATGACTATTACCACTGCAGAATTCGTAGGAAAGTCCTGGAAAAATGATTACATGTGATGCCGTACAACGGTCCACTTATTGAGACGAAAAATTTGATCCTCGTGATCCGGTCCTCGGCCGCATGGCCGAGGTAGGGTATCAGTGCATAATCTATTGGTTTTTCTTTTGCGACGAGATAACTTTCATCTAAGGAAAGACCACGCAGTTGGAGCATTGAGTATGTATCATGAAGATAGATAAGGTAATTGACTAACGCGAATGGTTCTTGAAGGCTTGACCATGGTTCGCAAATCCCAGACAACTGAAGATCAGGTACGAAGTCTGGAGCCTAGCGATGAGGATGATCAAATTATTACTCAAGCGAAAGAATCATGAGATTGAATTGCAGGATGTCGCCTATTGACCTCAATACACGAGACGGTAAAACTCAAGAAAATGGAGCCGGTGTAGGGTTAAATAATGAATTTGTTCCTGAACTGACCCGAAATAAGGAACCTGACCCTCGACTCGGATAGCGGCCGCAGGTTAGTCGCAACCAAGGTCGAGGTCAGAGCAACCCTTTGCAGCTGTATGTCCCACCAAGACGTGTTGACATGTTGGAAATCGGACTCCTCGCAACCTGGCCGAGAAAAAAAAAGGGGAGAAAAAGAAGTGTCTCCTCGGAAGGTTAGCGAGGTCGGAATTTCAAGCATCGGCATTGGATTATACTCCGTCACAGAATCACGGACAACGATCGATCGAGATGTTCTTTTTTTAGTTCCTCACGAACCTCTGTGGACGAACCTCGTGGAGTAAATAAGCTCACTCCAGCACTATATCTGCGACGGTGCACGTCGCGATATGTCTTTGAAGAGCCTTTGAAGACCAAGGTTTGGAACGATGGGCAACCCTGAAACCGCGATCGCCTCAAGATCGCCCCCAGAACTGGATACCCCCCGTCTTGGTTCAAACGAACCGGTTCTCCATTCCGAGCAGGGGGTGCATTGCACCAGTGGCGGCGCGCTAGTTTTATTCGAGCACTGGTAATTTGTGTAGTCCAGTAAGAAGCTACCTTGACCGAGTGGAAGAAGCTTAAAAAGATTTTTTAGTCAACAGACTTAACTCGCCACGTCGGGGAAGGAGTCCAAAAGGTTAGAATTTGCTTTGCTTCCGAGTAGCACTACGCCGTATTCTGCTTAACCAGCTTCAATCAAACGCTCGCCGAGGCCCGCCGTGTGGATGATCCGGGTAACAGGAACCCCTGGCCATCGGCGGGGCCTACTAGTGGCCCCAATTTTAGGGCAAATCATTCTGAATACATAATAGTTGATATATACTGTAGCTTGTTACCTTGTTAGCTATTCATGTGCTATCTCCTCTTCCATGGGTCCCTCTGCACAACTGCGAGTCTGCAACACCGATTCCTTTTTGCGAGTGGAGTTGTTTTTGCGCGAACTACTCCGTACAAAGTTTTGAGTACCTGGCTACTTTACCATTGACTACTATTGTTGGGATCCGGGCGGTGGCTTGCTCTAGTGTACTGTGGCTCTCTTGTCTGGGTAACAAGCAATGAGCCTCGAGTCTCGACTCCAACGCAACAGGAGAGTATGCAGCGTGATTGAGGTCGTGGTTTTTATATTGGACCGATCTAGAAAGGGTGAAGCAACATATCATGCTCACCGTGGATTTGGTCGCTGGAAATCCCGACAGCTGCAGAATATCGGCCATTTGTCTATCATTCCGGCATATCCGCTGCATCTCTCGCACGGCGATACACATGGAGTAGAAAATAGAAACATAAACAAACGATTATTGAACCTTGGGTGATACTCCATACTCGACCATGGGTTGCTCCCTTCTTCCGCATTGAGTTTAACCTCAAGATCAATAGGGCGTTTCAGAACCCGAGCAGCAAACCAGGTCGACGGACAAATAATGTAGACCCACCGAAGCCTGGGCTCTTTGACAAACATGTCTCTTTGTACTGTTTGGATGCGGCCCAGTGGAATTGCAAGATTGAAAGTTGGATGGAGGCGTTGCTCACCCTAAACCGAATAGCGTAAAGGCCGTGCATTGCATGCATTGTGTGCCTGACCCGGATCCGCGGGGTTTGGCGAAGAGACAGAAACACAAGCAAAATAATAATACCGAGGACGAGAACGTCCAGCTGCGCATGCCGTACAATCGTGCTCGTTTGCAACGGGTGCTTCGGAGTCATTTCGGACAAAATTGCCCCATTCTCTGCAGGATGTAACTTGTACAGTAGCAGTTAGTATAGTATACTACTAAGTGATATTACTTACTCCAAACTAGAACCAGCGGACTTGAGAAGGCTAAAAAAAATCCTCCACATACTCAAAAAGGGGCACAGAAACAGTCGCGGCAGAATTACCTCCGGGCCCTGGCCCGTCAACCTTTGGTGGGTCCTGACGATCGCTTTCTCCTGGATCCCCTGGGTTTAACTGGATTTGGCTGGCTCCAACTGGGCTTAGTCCGGGCATAGTCCGGGTACGACCAGCCTCAATATGAGTAATATGACCGCATTGCATGCACAACGCTCCATCGGAGTCCATCGAACCATGCAGGCTCTGCTACTTCTCGCCCGTCAACCACGCTGGGATCCTCGCGATGCCTGCCATTCTGGGCCGTGGCAGGAGAGACCCGCCCACCCGGCTCTCGTGCCTCGTCAACACTGAATTCCGACTGCAAAATGAGTGGCCACCTTCTGCTCCGAGGCTTGACTAGCTCGACTGGCTTGAATTGGACCTCCTTCCTCGCTAGGACCGTCAGACTGTCAGGCTGTCAGACCTGGGAAATAATCAGTAGCAAATCTTGGGAAGATTATTCGACATCGCAGTCAGTATGGCAATCGCAATTGATCGTCCCGTCCATTTGACACCGTCTCCGACCTACAGGACCTCGCCACACCTGGACGGCACGAGCGGATGCAGAAGTTCCCACCCATGCTGTAACCAGCTTGCCCGTGGTGATTGCTCATTGGCGAGTTGAGACAGGCCTCGCTCCACTCAGCCTGGCAACAGATCCAAGCTCTCCTCCCCGATATCTGGGAGGCTCAGGCCAAGGCCAGGGGGGAAGGGGGTCCTATTCAGGTGGATCAGTGGACATGGAACATTGGATAGCTCGAATTGGGGACTGACTCGACTGAGGGCGTTTTTTCACTTTTCGAGACCGGGGTAACCAGCTTGTGCAGGGCTCCAGACTCTGGTCTATTCCCATTCAGGACATGGGCTATCTGGTTCTGATGGATCGCGGCCTTGTGAAAGGCAACGACACAAAAAAGTGGAGAGCACTAGGCGTCTCAGGGTGTGCTATTCTTTGCTACGGAGCCAGGTACCGAGTCAACTATGCTGACTATCACCCGTATCCAAGGCATCGACCCGTCATCCTTGATCCATGATCAGGGGTATATAAACATCGAGGATCTTCGCCTGGTATGGTGCGTTATTCTTCTTCCATCTTCACCAGTCTATCGCTAATTGCTTCAAGGAACGGCTTCTGGTCCGTCCTGCACTGTCGCTTTCTGTTATTTCTCTTTTCCTTTTTTGACTCTTTTTGGGATATCAATTCCCTATCCATCCGTTTGTACAAAAACTCAGCCATCGTTGCTATACACTCGCTATCACACGTTTTGATATACCCCCATCGAACTCGAAACCCAATTGATCCTCCTAATCGCGGCCAAGATCAACTATGCGTTCCGACCTTCTTTTGCTCGCTGCTCTGGCGAGCTCTGCTCTCGCTTATCCTACCGAAGTCGCCGTTGAGCGTCGTACTTTCGGACTCCTTGCCCACCTGCTCGGTGATGCTGCCTCCGATGTCATTGGACTCGTCGACTCCCTGCTCGGTGTGGGCGCGCATGGTTCCACCACCATCCTGGCTGGCCTCAGCGCTCACGGTGCCGCTGCCCTGGAGGGAGGTGCTCTGGGATGCACTGCCGGCGTCATACATGCCGATGCCCGTGCTCAACTGAAGTTGTGGCTGGCTGGCCAGACCAGCATTTCAGGCTCCCTAAAGACCTCCCTGCTCGCTTGGTGTGAGGGCTCCGGCTCTGCTACTCTGAGCGCCGACGTTATTGCTGCTCTGTCAGTCTATATCCCTACTTGTGCCGACATCGCTGCCAAGGAGTCGATCTATGTTACCATCGATGGTATCTTCTCTTCCACCGAGCTTTCCTCGACTCTCGTTCTGAGCGCCGCCGCTCAAGCTTCTCTGTCTGCTTTCCTTGATGTTCATGTTGACCTTGCTGCCCACATTCAGGCTGGTCTCAGCGTCTGCGCTGCTGGCGGTGTTATTGCCAGCTTGGATGTTGATGTCAAGGCTTCCCTGATTGCTTGGTTGAACGCCTCAGACTGTCCTCTCGAGGCTGCTCTGAAGGCCTCCATCCTCGGCTGGTGCCACGGTTCGCACGTCAGTGGCCTCGTTGAGATTGGTGTTCTTGCTGAAACCGCTCTCAGTGCCATCTCCGTTGGTGCCTCCATCGGTGCTTACGTCGAGGAGGCTGGTATTCTTTCCGTCCACGCCCAGGCTTCCCTTGCGGCTTTCCTGAACACCAAGCTCGCCGTCGACATTGATGCCGATATCCTCGTTGCCCTCGAGGCTTGCGCTGCTGGTAAGCTCGCCGCTTCCCTCGATGTTGAAGTCCGCACTGCCCTCGCTATCTGGCTGTCTGGTTCTAGCTGCTCTCTGGGCGTTGAGCTAAAGGCCGTCGTCCTTCTCTGGCTGTCTGTTGCTGCTTCTGTCGAGGCCTCTCTCGACCTTGTTAGCGGTCTCTTCGTTGATATCACCGGCTTCCTGACCGAGACCATCCTTGCTTCCCTGAGCATCAACCTCCGCAGTGCTCTCGGCCTCCTCGCTGTTGGCGAGAGCCTGACCATCCTCTCCTGGGAGGCTCGTGCTGAGCTCGCTGCCTTCCTTGGTGGCTGCACTGGCATTGACATTGGCATTAGCATTGAGCTGATCATCATCGAGTGGTTCACTGGCTGCAGCATCCCCGGTGCTCCTGCTCCTTCTTCCTCTGTCCCCAGCCTGCCCTCTGCCACCCCCACCGGTGTCTCCAGCACTCCTCTGGTTCCCTCTGGCCCTGCCCACACTGGTTCCGTTCCCTCTGTCAGCATTCCCTCCGGTGGTGTTCCCACTGGCCCTGCCGGCTCCATCTCCGTCACCGTTCCCTCCGGATCTACCGCTACTGGCCCTGCTGGCGGCGTCCCAGGCAACGGTGCCTCGTCCACTCCCTGCGACACTGAGACCATCCCCGTTGTGACTTCCTCCGTTATCTCTGGTGGCCCTGCTGGTGGCCCTGCTGGTGGCCCTGCTGGTGGCCCTGCTGGTGGCCCTGCTGGTGGCCCTGCTGGTGGCCCTGCTGGTGGCCCTGCTGGTGGCCCTGCTGGTGGTGCTGGCTCTGTCACCGTTCCCTCCGGCCCTGGCTGGTCAGGCTCAGGCTCGGGCTCGGGCTCTTGGACTTGGTCCGCTGGTGGTGCCCCTGCTCCCACTGCTCCCCCCACCGGCTCCGGTTCTGGCTGGTCCGGCTCTGATACCTGGACCGAGACCGTCACCATCTACCACACCGTCTGCGGCTGCGAGTAAGCGGTTACATGCCCTATCCAACCATGTGAAGAGAATTATACCCCTCTTCCACACGCAATTGTCCTTGCACCTTTCTTATGCCAAGATGACCCTTTGACACCCCATGCACTGGTATGGCCTGCAGCGTCTGTCTAGGCGCAGGTCACCTCTAATCCCCGCTTCCCGGTGGTGACCTGTGTGTTCAGTGACTATCCTGTCCTTCCTGTCTGTAGATATTTAATTATAATTCTAATCTGCTGTGGGAGATTCTAACTTGGTCCTTCTTTCATATATGTTCAGCCTCACGGCATTGACTATGGCCCTCATTGTGATTCTGGATGATATTGCGGCTTTGGAGCTAGATAATGATTATTTCTATCATTGTCATACCTAACTCGCTGGGAAGACCTGTCATTCTAACCTTCTTTCCCTTTCATGGACAACATTCCTTAATACATTTCTCGCAATCCTTGGCCACTGTATTATCTTTCTTGTAATTCGGAGTCTTTGTGTAAAACCCTCCTATGTTACATCTCGCACTGCTACAATGTTCTTGCGCAGACTAGAAGGTGGCCCTATGTGTCTGTTTGATTGAGATCCCTGAGTGGAGAGGTAGATTCTACTCTAACAACAAAAGAGTCTACCCAGGGACAGCGTTGAACGTCAGTCGTTCAAGCTAACCTCGCCGATTAGCTGGGAAAGGGGGAGGGGGAAAAACAAAGCATCATCAATCGGGGCCCTCTAGGATTTCCCGAAGTGGGAGGCCGCGGGGCCGGACGCCCGGTGGTAAACCGTAAGCAAACTTCGGGGCTTGGGGAGTCTGGATTAACCATGCGTCAGCTTTTTGGAATAGACATTGCCTCAGGGCGAGTAGATGAAGTGAGATCGGGATTCAGCAGAGATAACAATGAGATAGGAACTTGTTTCTACTAGCAATGGCTTTGGGATCATTTCAATCACTTACCGGTGGGATCTCGGCAAGAATCTTGTCGACGAGGGTGGTAGGTCTAGCCCGGTCATCTGCTCCCACACGGCCTTCCACAGGGCCATCACCTGTAGCTGGCGGGTTTTCGGGCTGCTCAGGCCCGGCAGTCTTCTCATCCTCACCGGCCATCTTATGCTGGCGGAGAGGCAGCCGCTCGACGTTGCTGGCGAAGAGTGCGGGGAACGTATCTTTCTAGAGATCGCTTTCGAGGCCGCTCGTTGCGAGGGCTGAAAACCTCAATTGCGATCTGCTGTGGGCTCTTCTGGGAGGAGGTAAGTGGGGTGAGCGAGAAGGGGGGATGGATCGGTCTCGATCACCAGGGTCCGTACAGGGCTTTGTTTCTTTGCGTTCTGAGGATTGACTGTGAGAGCGGGAATGCTGCCGAGGAGAACGAGAAGGGGGACGAGCACCAGGAGGGGTACGACTTGGCCGACGGAATCGAGGAGGGGAACGAGAAGAGGAACGTCCGCGGGGAGGAGTGCGATCTGGGCGATCCGGAGGGAAGTCGTAGCGAGGAGGGGAGCGAGAAGACGATCGACGACGGGGAGGAGGAGTGCGATCTGGGCGATCAGAAGGAAAGTCACGGCGAGGGGGAGAACGAGAAAAGGAACGGCGACGGGGAGGAGTACGATCTGAGCGATCCATAGGGAAGCCGCGACGAGGAGGGGATTCACGATAGCGATGTCGGCCGTATTGAGGTCCCGGAGAACGCGAGCGACGTCGATTGTAAAGTCGTCTTCCACCGAAGTTACGCTCGCCTCGTTCGGCACGATCTCGACGTCTCATGTCATTCAACTCGCGCTCACGGAGACGTTCCTGTTCTCTCTCGCGCCGAACAGCTTCGGCAGCTCTTTCGGCCTCAATCTGTAAATACAATTAGTCAGAAACGGCTCCAATTAGAGACGGCTGATTTATTGTTCTTGTCACCTTTTCCTGCATGAGCTCCAGCTTCTTGGCCTCTAGAAGTTCCTTTGGAACACCCTGAGGATTTTCCTGGCCGCTGAGACAGAGCGACCATAGCTCCTTGCAAAACTTCGGAGTATCCTTGTCGAGGAACCCTGTGAGTTGGATTTGAAGGGCTTTGATATCCGGCTGTTGCTCGGCAAGTCACAATATTAGCAACAGTGCATCACATGGAGTGGAGCTCAAGATATCGCATCAAGCTCAGAGAGCAGAGAGCCAACATACATAGCGAGAACCCTCGAGCAGGTTGAAGCACAACTCAATGACAACATCATCTTCATTGCCCAGAATGTCGGAGATGCGCTTAGCGATCCATCTACAGCACCACTTGATCAGCCTCTCGAGACTTGGTGTCGTCAAAATCTGGGGATATCACTCACTTCTTCATGACCTCGATGTTCACTTTGGTCATGTCTACCTTCTGGTTGAACTCGGTAGGGAACTTGGTCCTCTTGAGAAGCTTTGCATCCACAGGGGTCGCCATTTTTGCGGGCGAGGGACGTGAAGGTGAAGTGTGACGCGTCGTGGGACAACAGAAGAAGAGAAAGAAGGTGCGGCGGACGAGAAGCTATATTATAAGGCGGTCAGTTAATGCCGGATGATCTACACGAAGGCGGTCAACAGGGCGGTCAAGAACAATTGGATGTAATACTCTAGAACTGGGGAGCGGTCAGGCATTGGGCAGGAAGGACAATAGACTTGAGCAACGATTTCGTAGTTTGTTGGACTGCAGCTGTGCTGTAGCCTCTGGAAGATATTTGTGTACATGAGTTGCAGTCTATAACTGGAAACCGGTTGACATCGGTTAGTTCAACTGATAGAAGGCTGCTAGAACAGGTAGCAATTCATCGGTAGATGCACCCAGCAGGATGGATAATCGATCGCTGGGACGATAGGAAAACCCTTGATGAGTAGGTAGGATTAACAAGGTTATGTGAGCTCAGGGAGTACTAAAGAGATTGGAAGGAGCGCGGTTCGTCCGCATTTGTCGGCAAACTACATGTAAACGCAAGGAAGTGGAGAGAGAACAGCTCAGCCATTCCTGATAGAATAGGTAAAAACATGTACCTGGTAAAAAGAGAGAAACCAAACAGTATCCATCTTGTGAACTGCGCTCATTGGGATGTTGCAGCTACCAGCTTTCGAATCCATTCTGCAAAGGGTGCAAAAAAGAGGCATTCTCTGTACTGAGGTCTGTCGCAAAACTTAAGGAGAGCCTTATACCTTTGAGCTGCTGTGGTACCCGTTGCATATGTGAGCTTAGCCAGATCCACTGGACAGAGGAAGGGGGGTTGCCGAGCATCTTCACGAATAGACGCTGTGCCCTGCATAGCACAGGCATAGTAGACGCAATGATCGATGCCAAAACAATGTCCAAGCTCATGGGCGGCAGTCCGACATACTCGACCCAACCAGAGAGTAGACAGGGCAGATGGAGATAGATCGATAGTCTCCAAGTCTCGATAGATGGATATTGCGGCCATCAGTGGTGAAGATGAAATAGAAGTGGTTTCCTTCGATTTGCTGGAGGCTTTTGATTCTGATTTCTTTTGTCGCTTCGGGTCAGATCGGGATGCAGTACAGCACATGGACATGTATGATTCACAGTGTGAGGCTGGCCAGGCATGGAGTCTTTCAACAGATTGATACTCATCCAATACTGGAGTATACCTTGAACTTGAAACCACTGCAACTCTACTCGCACCATATGCGCGACCGCAGACGAATTCATCATCATCGTCTTCATAGAGATCTTGATTTACCAGGAGCAATAGTGCATATGCATCCTTGGGCAAGATAGCCATAGCAGCATCGAGTAGATCATCAAGGTTCAGTTGACCACCATAGATCCCGTCTGGTGATGCACGAATGCGGATGCGAACACAATCATTCCCAAACTTTAAAGCAACATATTTTGGCTGACGAGATTTTCGTGGTTGTTTGGGTTCTTCATCCCACGCGGTAAAAGCAGTGGCCAGTCGAGATAGAGTCTTGACAGGCAGGCCATGGTAAAATGCTTGCAGGTAATCAAGGATCGCCGTAGGTGACGGTTTAGTGACTTGATGTTTCTCATTGACACTTTTCTCCCACGTTCGCATAAACTGAACTTCGTCCTCAATTTCCGGCGTTGTGACCACATAAATTGTCTTTCGTCTTGCGGACACTGGGTTGCGGTCTTCTTCATCAAGCCATTCTTGGAAGCTTTGAGGTGGGTACTCAGGGTCTTCACTAAGGTCATCACCGGGAAGTAATAAAGGGGCCTGGAATGTCCATGGATCATCAACTGATATTAAATTGGGCTCATGGGTCTTTGACGGATTCGCGGGTCTTGTTGCTGCAAGGCGCTGTCTTGTGTCTGGTCTTTTGAACCCTGCTTTCACGGCATTTTGTGAACAGGCCACAGCTGCAGTTGGATGGGTGCAGTGGGACTTGGAGACTGAAGACATATTTTGTAGTGAAGATGCAAGCTCTGCCACTTCAAAGAAGTACAGCTTTTCTGTTGTAAGTTGGTCCCACTCACAGGTAAAAGGGAGGGTCGGAATTCGGTTGATATTTTGGGGTGGAGGGGGCGGGTGTGGGCCCTCCCACTTGGCTAGCGGGGAATGCCCTTGAGAGCAAGTGGTGGAAATAGAGGACTGCAAAGTCCAGAATTTTTAGCAGTTATCTAGTACAAGCAAATTTCAAAGTATGTTATTAGTGTCCATCTTTTAGTTGACGAAACAGTATGTATAATCGGGCAGGACGCAAACAAAATGGGTGTTGACGTGTAATCTTATTGGCTAGACTCAGACTTTAGTGGCGTCAACGGCCTTAGAAGGCACGCATATAGGAACGTACTAATGCGTATTCATGGTGTGCATGTTGTTTCCCCGCTTTGATCAATCTTCCTGCTCCTGGGAACTGGTGAGAGTCAACGGGAGGGAGTTGAAGAACAGTGACCGAGAAATCTGCTAAGCAGGATAGGCCTTTCCTAACAAAATGGAAGTCGTTGGTTCCCACGGCTCCGAAGAGTTGAATCCTACCAGACATCCGATATGGAGTCGCCAGAGGTAAATGCATATTCAAGATATCAACAGAACCGGATCCGAGGTGCTGATGCAAATTTTCCACTCAGATATCTAGGGTCTTTGATGTTTAACCTGGGAGCCTTCTTTCTACCAGCCCTCTACAGCACCCTCAGTAAACTGTGGGTTGCCAATATTGACTCGAGCCAGGTCGTATTGACAGACGTTTACACCTACATCGGCATCGTCGCTGAAGTCCTCAACGATGCCTTTCCACGTTCTGCTTGGCATATCATTGGAGATAAAAACACAAGGTCTCTCCATTCGCGCTTGAATCTGGCATACACGTTGACGATAGCCACCGCAACCCAAGCATTCGTCTTGATGATTATCTTCCTTGCATACCCTCAAAGCCTGGCATCGGCCTTTGTTCCCGAGGAAGTTCGAGGAATCTCCCTCATCTATGTACGGCTGTCATCGGTTCAATTTTTGACCTCTGCAACGGAAGCTGCTCTGTCATCCTCGACTAGAGCGCTTGATAATCCTGATGTACCGCTGATCTTCAGCTCTGCCAAGTTTGCAATCAACATTGTGCTAGACTTGCTGATCATATCCAAGTTTCATGTGACAAAGCGAGAACCAACCATTGTCTCCCAAGCAATAGTAAGACTTGTCTGCGATATTGCCTCCGTTGTAGCCGGTCTGCTCTACTTTTATCTTATGGTTGCACGGAACGTACAGAAAGAACCGGATGGGAGAGAAAACCCAAGAATAGGGTTCCCAGAATTCATAACTCTCCTCAAACCGAGCGTCTACACCTTCACAGAATCAGCGATCAGAAATGCCATCTACCTCTGGCTGGTGAACCGAATTATCCAGATGGGAGACACATATGCCACTGCTTGGGGCGTTTTCAATACGATCCGTTGGGGCTTAGTTATGGTTCCAGTGCAAGCACTCGAGTCATCAACACTTGCGTTTGTGGGTCACGCATGGGGAGCTTTCCGTGCATCGTCAGATACGAGTCACCCCAGAGCTTCTCGCAAAGAGATAATGAGTGAGTTTGACACCGGTGAAGAAGAGCTCTCACTTACATGGCGCTATAGCGATACTCCAACCAGCATTGCTGTCATGCGTGATCGCCCTCATTTTTGAAGCGGTGGTTTGCATCGCGCTGTCTATTCGTGGCATAGATGGGTTTGCATACTACTTGTCGAACTCGAGGGATGTAGCTGCAATTACACAAAAGATGTGGAGGGTAAGTGCTTAGTTGGAATGGCTAGCGGGAAATTCGTGTTAACCTTTCTCTGCAAGCTATTGATGGGACATACATATTCTACGGGTTGAATTACCAGCTTGCAGCAGTCCTACTTGCAGCTTCACCTCGGTGGTATCTGTACCAAGCCTTGGGGTCAAACTTTCTGTGGATGTTGCCGTGGGCGATATTAATGACCAAGGAGTCGTTCCCAAGGTCTCAAGCCTGGTCCTACTATGCTATTATCTTCGGTGGAGCCCTGGTGTTTGACTTCTTCGACGTTAGCCTAACTCTCCTTCTCTGGCTATATAGACTATTCAAAGGTCGAGTCAAAGTGTAGACTGAAGGTCAATCAAGGTCAAGGTAATGACTTCTAGGTATCCCATATCAAATACTAGAGGTTGAAAGACAAAGACGAAGAAGATAGGAAGTTGGATTAAACTCAATCGGATGAAGGAGACTTCTGAAGCCATGTTTTGCACAGAGATAAATTGTAGCCGAAATTGTCCGACTCGTTATCTGCCAAGTATATGATCGCGATGCCTAAACCTCCCATACTTTTTGATCTGATTATGAAAATTCGTAGCCCAATGCAAGTGATAAGGATCCCGGAGTTCAGTAAACAATTTCACGGAAAGTTCCTGATCCTCCAAACTTTCCGAGTGATTGAAAGGCGAGTATATATACCGCCGCTGGATACTCGGAAGCCTTTTATCCCACCCTTGCTCGATCGCATATCGTGAGTCTGCGACGGCTTTTGAATCAGTAGCGTAAGCCTGTGGCGTGTTTCGGAAGATGTTTCGAGGCACCTGATCAAGAAGCAGGATCAAGGCCAATGCTCCCTCGCCTTGACCTTCAGCATTCCAATGATCAAGAGAACCGGCTCTGGCTGCTTGATAGGATTCATGCAGATGTCTGCGAACATATTCATCGTCTGTAGGGCTTCCATACCAAAAAGATTTTTGTTTCAGATAGCCATGCGATGATTTGGCGCCGAACCAGAAATTAAGAACGCTTTCGTATGTCTTTGGAGCCATTGGTTGTCTGGTAGGAGGAAAAAGCGTCTTTGAATGAGATTCAGGCTTTGAGCTTTGTGAAGGAGGGCTTAAAGATATTAATGGAGACAATCTTGAGATTGAAGAACAGCGCGTCGCGATAGTGAGATGACGTCACTTGACTCTTTCCCCGTGGTTATTGTGAGACTGAATTATGAACAGACGAGAACTCGTCTCCTATATATACGATGATGACCCAAGTCACTAAATCCGTTATTCCATAGCGATGCGAAGGCAAAAATTTTCCAGTAGTAATTTCATATGTTGGACAAATCCGTTGTATTACTGTAAATCCGGCGCGACGCCCAGTCCCATCGATACACCCGCCTTTGTCCTTAACTCCGATCCATACCGAAGAACGGATATTCACACGGTCAATACGAACGTCCAAGCACACAAGTCACGGTGAGGCTGTGAGCAGTACTTGCCCCCACTTCCACCGGATATTCCTGACCTTGTCCAAACTTCTATGTCGCGCGAAAGGTTCTCTTAATCGTCGCTTAATATGCATCGCATTCTTCTACAGAACGCCACCATCCTTGTTCCGTCGGGAAAGGCTGATGACTATGTGGTACCGTTACGGCAACACTCATTATTGATCGAGGACAACAAGATCGTTCAAATTGCCCCTCAGATCGCCCCTCATGATGGTGCCCAAGTAATTGACTGTACGGATAAGATCGTTTCGCCTGGGTTCATTGATACACATCACCATCTGTGGCAGACACAACTTAAAGGTCGTCACGCCGACCAAACTCTGGTCGAGTACTTTCCAAATGGAAACAATCAATCTGTCAACTATCGCCCACAAGACGTTTTCTGGGGCGTACTCGGTGGTTGCCTCGAAGCGTTGGATGCTGGGACGACGACCGTGGTCGACCATGCTCATGTGAATGTGTCACCCGCACACTGTACGTTTGTACTCTTCACTATGAACTTTTTAAAATCTTACTAATGGTAATCCGTGCACAGCTTCGAATGATATTGAGGCGACTATTGCCTCTGGTATTCGATCCATCTTTTGCTATGCACCTACTATGAGAGTCAAGACGTGGAAGCCAGAGATAACATACGAGGGGGGTTTATTGGATGACTGGGTTATTGAAAATTTTGAGAGGCTTGGTGTTCTAGCTCCATTTGGCAATGGCCGGGTTCAGCTTGGTCTAGCATTTGATGGATTTATGCTACCAAAGGAACAGGTCATTTCACTCTATGAGCGAGCGCGCAAACTGGGAGCTCAAGTTATTACGTCGCACTATGTGCGATCTTATTTCGGTAAGTCCTTAAGTACAGCACCAAAGCAAACGCATACGTACTCACGAGAGGGTCAGGAGACAAGTCGCTTGTGGACAGGCTTGAGGAATATGGTCTTCTCAATTCAGACGTCCTTCTTTCCCACGCTAGCAATCTTACGACAAGTGACATTGAGAAGCTTAACAAAGTCAAGACTGCCATATCTACAACCCCAGACACCGAGCTTCAAATGGGACATGGTGATATTGTCTGTTTCAGAGAAGGTTGCTTTGGAATCAGCTCGTTGGGCATTGACTGCCACAGCGTCAACTCTGGGGATATGATGTCACAGATGAAACTCGCTTTACAGCATGAACGGGGCACTCGCAATGTCAAGCTCATTGCCCAAGGAAAGACCACTTTATCGTTGAACTTATTCGTGCAAGACGTCTTCAGCCTGGGTACCATCAAGGGCGCCCGAGCTATTCGCATGGAAGACCAATTGGGATCCATTGAGGTCGGCAAACTCGCAGACTTAATTATCTTTGACGGCACCAGCCCTGGAATTATTTGTGCATCCGAACAGGATCCCGTTGCAGCCGTCGTTCTTCACTCTTCAGTCCGGGACATCGATACAGTGATTGTCGATGGGGTGATTCGCAAGCAGAACGGAAAACTGCTACCCATAGTCATCAATCCTTCCCTCCCTGGTGTGACTATTCCGCGGCAAACAGTTGGATGGAGTCAAGTTGCCAGAGAGCTAATTTCAAGCCGACAGAATATCAATAAAGCTCTCAAGGAGTCAGACGCCGATGATCCTGAGGCCTTGGTCCAGAATTTTATGAAGGTGATGCATTCAAGAGGGGACAAGTTTATCAAGATGTAAATGCCGCGGGCAGTCTCTTAGCATGATAAATGATGCAAATTGGAAATCTATTCTTGGATATGATGTGGTCGTTCAGACTTGACTAAGTCGGGCCAAACGGAAGGCTGATTTTCTTGTCAGAGGCACTTCAGGGAACAGTAAGAGTACATGGCAATGCCAAACTAAGCAGAATATTCGGTAGCCTGGGCAAACCTTCCTTCGAAAGTCCCAATGGCTCAACCCCCAATCTTTAACCTTGAACAATAGGGTTTCCACCTCTTGTTTGTGGCTTAAGCTCCCCAGAGATGATCTGTTTAGACCGCCATGCTGCCCAATCGCTAACCGGTCGAGTCTCATCTGCTTCTCCTTCCTTGAGTGGAGGGATTATCCCCCCTCTCAGCCTGGACATTGATGCACTGTGACAAGGCCTGACGAGATAAGCGACACTTTGTCGAGGTACGGTGCCCTGTTCACCAGGCGCTCTAATGACGCGGTGCAAGGAGCTTCGAAGAAGCCCTCCGGTCCATTCGACGGTAGTGTCACCCACGTTAATAATCGCACACCCTGGCCTAGGTCGAATGTATCGCCAATTGCCCAACACATTCTCATTGCCTGCTGGGAGAACTTGCAGACCCCCTATGACATTGAACAGCAGTGTCATTGTTCCAATATCTGTATGCCCGCCCAAAGTGATTGAGCTATCTTGTAGCTCTGGTGTTGGCTGGCTACGCAAAAGGCGTACTGAAGTGTCTGATGTCTCTTCCAGCGTGTTCAATGAGCTGAGTGTGCCGGACCTGATCCCCAGTTGCTCATCTAGGCGAGATTGTACCGCTGCGACGATCGCATGGGAATGGCGCATAAATTGTTCAATATCATTTCGCCGGATTTCAATAGAGTCTGCATTCTTCCGCGCTTGGCGGTTGCCAACAATGTCGTCTTGGTTGATGGTATACATTTCCATCAAGTCCAATTTCCCATCATCCGTCTTGAGTTTACCGGTCGCCTTATATCTGAATATAAGTAAGAAAGGGTAAAACTGAGCATTGAATGTACACAAGTTGCTTACCCAGTAAGGTCTCGTGGAGGATCATAAGCATATTTTTCCAATGTCTCTGAGCCAAGTGCAAAAGTCTCGGTGATGAGCTCGAACATCTTCTCCGCGTCCTGGAGCAAAGTAGCCCCCTCGTCAGAATGGTTGAGGTCCAATAAGAAGAACCCATATTCCCGGCATGCCTCAAACATGCTCACAGATGACGCATGATTAGCATTTTGTAACTGCTGGAAGGAGATTCGAGGAATCTCAAGAACAGGAACATCTTCAGGAAACGGGGGATTTTGATCGAAATAGTGAGAATTTGGCATTTTAGAATCGACTTGCAATATGATAAACAGCCTCACCAAAATCGTGAAGGATCCATGACCACTTAAGTATATTTAGTGCGTAACCCGCCATGGCCCCCAAATCCAGGCCTTGCGTCGCGAATCAGCTCGCGCCTCATTTCAATAGAGAAATGACACGATCCACATGGAAAGCTTGAAAGCAAGCCCAGCCTCGTGGTTAAACCATTCAACGATGTGACCGTCGTCTGGATGACGAAAGATGAAGGATATTCTCCGCGAAGTGCCGATCAGGCCCCCAAACCACTCGGAGTGTAGTCCTGGTCCAAGCTTCGTCGCAACTTGTCCGCTCTTTCTTTTGAGAAATGATCCACGCTTTTCGGCCAGAAATAGGGTATTAATGGACTGGATTATTTGATCAGATGATAACTGGTCAGTAAGGTCATTGAGGGGAACTCGCTTCTCCCAGGAGACAGGCAGCGAGCTGCCATGCGGTCCTTTGAAATGCAAGTTAGCGCGTCTCGGAACCAACCGACATCATCCCTATTTTCACATCACAGGCATGAATTCTGCGAGCAAGAGTAGCCTGGTCTCATTGGATTGTAAAGAAGTTATTTATATAGCATTATACAGCCAAATGATGAATGTATGCACCTCATTGTAACACGGTCGCGCGCAGGCTGACACACACGGGCTGCGCTAGCGGAACTTGTGTAACCCTTGCTGGTCACAGCTATTGTGATTGGTAAGATTTCCATGGTGAAAAATTACCAGTAGAACCCAATCGAGATCGTCGCAATGACTGGTCCTTCGATCAAATTATTCTCATATAGGCGGGCTGATCTGAATACCCCTACTGTAAGTACTACTCTAGAGGCTGTGGCTGAGTGGTCTGATGATGATTGATGTATGTATAGAGATGCTATAGAATAAGAGGGTAACCCGGCTGCTCTTCACACCCTTTCTATCACGACCTAAGACATTGAGAGCATATAACAAACCAATAAGTATAGTGAATTCTAACTTGAAAAGCTTCAGAATAGGGAAGATCCTCAAGATCATCGCTTGTCATTAGAGGCAGAGTACATAATCACGCTGTCTATCGTAGCCAAGAGACCCTACAAAAAGGGTGGTACTAGGCAAGGGGCAAATGAAAAAAAAAAAGCATAACAGATACATCAACCCATAACAACTATGAGATACACCTATGAAATCACTCTGCGTGGCTGATCATCTCAATTGCTTTTTCCCCTCTCAATGATAGCCTTGCATAATTGTCTCTGCTTTTTCCTGTCTCGCGCGGTCACCCTTAAGAGCTTCAGACTCGCCACATGTCATCCCTCTCCTCAAGAATACCAATACATCTTTAACATGTGGAAAAGCAAGAACTGGTTAGATCGCAACTATGGATCGATAATGCCCGCGAATGAACATGATCTTCAAATTGAAGGCGACGAAGAAAACCTACTGCCGTTGACGATATTTCCGGACCTGGAGGATCCTGACGAAGTGAAGCCAAAACATCTCCTCCTCTTTATCTTGTCCACTGTGTGTTTCATCCTCACGGGGATATTCGTTCTGGCTTTGATAACCGCGAGAACATCGAATGAGCCGGTAGAGTCATTGATGGCATGAGCAGGAGTTGATGAATGTTTGTTCCCCCGTTTTTTCAAATCACGTTTCAGAGGTCTAATATGCGTTTGTCTCTCTCAGATACCTCCCTACCCCTCTTACCCTGCTGGCAGGGGTTTTCTTTTCCATTCATGATCCTCAGCCCTCGGAGTCTAGTTGCGATATTATACGTGGAACTATAAGCGATTGGCTTGGTTGAAGGTGGAATCGGGGTTTCAGCTTTGATAACATCGAGGGATATAAGTTTGGATTCGCATCCACTGGGAAGATCAAGTTTATCTGTAATATAATTGTTGGAAACACTTCTTGAAATATGGTGAATATTCAATACATTGCCCACTAGTATCTTTTTCAAACAGAAGTAGCCTACCTCGCGTGTTGTGTTTATTTCTCATTCGGAACTTAAGGAGACAGATAATAATACACTTTTATGCGCAACACAGAAGGATATGCAAGTAAGGGTGCATTCCTCGTGGGCAAAACCCTGTAACGAGCCAAATATATGCCATGAGGTTGCTAGCCGAAGAGTTACCGATATCTGTAATTAGACTTCGGCTAGGTACGAAGAGCATCATCTTAGCTTCGAGATTTAGCTATCAAGTCCTCGCTATACACAACTATCAGATGTCCTAGCACTCGACAAGCATATTCCTCTCCCAAGTTTTCAGACCCGCAGCATGTAGCAGTGCTTGCAATAGATGGGCCCCATTGGACCCAGGCTTTAAGGTCAGAATTGCTTAACAAATAAATAGATCTCATCGCGCCATGTGTAAATGAATATCATCGAGGATTTAACATTTTCCTCGAAATTACCGAGTGGATCACAACACTCAAAGAATATTCCAATAGTTCAACGATTAAGTTGAAAATTGAGTTTCGGGACACGGGCCAGGCCTTTTCGGATGGTTCTTCGCTCTCGGTACGACGCCAAATTGCTTTGCCTCCGAGTCGACACAATGGTCCGGGTCTGATCAAGCCACAAATTTGAGTCTTTGGCAACAAACGTGTTTCAAATTAAATTTCAGCAATCTTCACGGTCATTAGCCGGATATTGACAGTTACGATCTGCCATGCCATTCACGATATGCGATGTGAAATCTATGTCTTGAGTTGAGAAGACACTGGCGTTATGAACCAGAACGACCGGCACAGAGCGGCAATGGTGAACCAGACTCTCCAACATACTTTGGTCAAATGGGCGCCACACGGCAATTACATTAGCAAGGGAACCACCATCCATCTTAGTTGAAGATAGGAGGTAATGATGTTCGTGTAACCCATCTTATGGACGAACTCTGTGGGGCGATCTCGTATGTCTCTGGTCTGTCCTGGCTGCATAAAGTGACCAAAATCCAGATGGATCTCATAGCTTTGCTTTTCGTCTTTCCCCTTTTCTTCCCTTTTTAAAATCGAGTGTTGGTCGTTCGATATGGCCCCGGCACGAAAGATCCTGTTCCTCACGAACAGCGAGCTAGGCCAATGCAATGTCGCATTTGCAGTGGCAGAGGAATTTCTGCGTCGCGGCGAATTTGACGTCCATATTGGCTCGTATAGCCCGCTGGCGGGGCTAGTGGAGGAATTGAACAAACGCGTTGGTTGTGGTCGACCGGTGGAATTTCATGAGATCCCTGGTCCTTCTATGACCGATCTAGCCATTCGCAGTAATATTGGTCTTCTTTTTCACCGACCAGGTGTAAAAGGTGCAACACGGGGATTTCAGAAAGTTTCTACAGCGATGAAGAATTGGAGACCTTCCGAGTACCATCAAGCTTACAGGAGCTGCTTGGCAATGATTGAAAAGTTGAGTCCGGATATCGTGGTGGTGGATCCAATTTTGCATGTTGGATTAGATGCGTGTCGAACTGCCAAAGCTCGAGTGGCTATACTTTGGCCGGTTCCTTTGAAGGATGTGGTTATTGCCATTCAACCCAAGGCTGGGATCTTCTGGAAATATCCCGTGTATGCATCTCCTTTCCTGTTGAGATTCGGAAAGAAGCCGCTAACTCTCTCGCTCAGTACTGGTTCGGGGTTTCCTTTCCCGCTGCCATGGAAACTTATTCTCAAAAACATCTACCTGGTATTCCGGGTGATCATGACACTTACAATAGGGAAATCAGAACCTGATGAGCTTCAAGATGGCAAAAAACCAGAAGGACGAAATCCATTCCCATTGGTGAACGCGTATTCGAAGGAATCCTTGAGTTTAACACCCGCCTTCAAGGAGCTTGACTTTCCACTACATGTCCCAGCCAATGTGATCAGTTGTGGTCCAATCCTTCGAAAGTGTCCCCCTCTCTCGACATCCGACCCTGAGCTGGAAGCGTGGCTCACCAAACCCACTGTGTTGATTAGTCTTGGGTCACACGTTCGACTATCCGAGTCAATTGCCGTCGAAATGGCGAAGGGAGTCCGGATGGTCATCGCAGAACGCCCTGACATGAAGATTTTGTGGAAGTTAAAGTATGATTGGGAGAGTTCAGATGAGTTCCAGAAGGTTCTGGGCGCATTCATCACTGCTGGATGGGTGAAGGTGGTGTCCTGGATCCAGGCAGATATTATGTCTGTGTTGGAGACGGGTCGAATTGCCACATATGTTCATCACGGGGGAGCTAACTCCTACTTTGAAGCATGCAAGTAAGCATTCATTCCTTATAGCCGGATCAATCTTCACGTTCTCTGACTGTGCCTCTAGGGTTGGTGCTCCTCAAGTCATCCTACCACAGTGGCTTGACACCTATGACTGTGCAACTCGAGTTGAATGGATTGGAATCGGAGTCAATGGCAGTCGAATTGCGGCACCCGGAGTCGAGGCAGAGGAATTTTCAAAGGCTTTGCTCCATGTTATGAGCGATGAAGGAATTAGTGCCAAGTCGGCTGCGGTAAAGGATCTTTGCAAAGGAGAAGGACGTATAGAGGCTCATGACCGCATGATCGAGTTTTGTTCGAATTAGCGGGCACATTTCAATGTCAGTCAATGATAGACATACTCAATGCCTTGTCCATCTGGTTTCGCGAAACCTTCGCGCTGTGCCTCGAGAATGGTCGTTTTCCACTGCAGACCTCTCAACCGCATGTGGAAATCAGATACAGCAAGTTAACGAAGGGATGAGGGATGACCAAGAAACTCCGTGTTATTTCATAAGATCGTGACGAAGGATATCATAATAGTACAGATACTGAAAGCCGTCCAAAGGTCAAACCCACAATTTCAAACCGAGCCAAAATCCAACTTGGCATCCTCACTTCAACTCTCTGAGAACTCGATTGACATCATCCCTAGCTTGACGCAAGTTATCATCCACCTCGCCATTAACATGCCGAGACTTCACCTCATAGTGTAGCTGTACAAGCTCCTTGGCACGTTGTAAAGCTTCTTGCTTGATGGATTGACCATTGGACGTGGCGACAGCATCACCCTCCGTAAGCATATCTTTGGCGGATGCCGGTGGGCCGCTAACAAGTGCAAGGGCCTCATTGTGTCCCTGGAAGACGTTAGTGGCCATGCTTTGATTGCTACCGGCGCCTTCCGCGCTGACATGCGGGTTGGGGGTGAATGGTGGGGTGTGCTGGAGCAGACCGGGCCAGGAGTGCCGAGACTTACACAGACACGTAGTGAGGTGATATCGGACAGTATTTCCGCAACTTGCATTGCGGACGAGATGGTCTTTTGAAGATCGAGGGCGGGTTTCTCTAGGTAGTGGGGGATAAATGGCGGTCCGGACAAGCAGGAGGAGAGAATGAGGGATGGAAGTCTTGGCGTGTGTTGTAGCCACAGCATCGTAACATCGGCTCGGCTCGGATTCGTAAGTTTAGACCGCAACGACATGTCAACAGCTTATATCAGGTCAACAAGTCTGATTGATCGACAATGTAGAGTCGAAATATCCTGAATCTATCATCCTTCGTGAAAACGCCCGACGCTCGAACTGGCCTGGAGTATGGATACAAAGTGTTTTGTCATGTCGGACAGCGGTGACACACCGATGGTTCTCAATCCTGAACGATGATACGATTGGTGACATACTGATCACATCCCATTCACATTAAGTAAAAGAACTGATGATATTCATTCCAATCAAATGACAGCAACAATTCAAGTGCAACTACCGGAGACACCACTGATCAGAACGCGCTGCAGGGAAGCAGCTGGAAATTGGAAAATACATTAGATTCCTCTTCTTGAGCAAGAGAGAAAAAAAAGAAACTGAAAAAAGGAAAAAAAGAACAAAGGAAGAAAAACCGTTCCAGCTCCAGAGACCGTGAAAACAAACTCCATATCACCCAAACTCCAGAACCATTCGCCGAGTGCTGGGGACCGAAAAGACGAAAGCAAGAAAGAGGAAAGAAGAACGAGACGAAGCGAAACAACCGCACCCACACCAGCGACTAAGAATAGGCCAAAGAACGCTGGGATGGATCACGTCCTGGTGCCTGAGACGGGTGGGTATTGATATGTTGATATGCACGAGATGTCGTAGGTGTTTGTGAAGCTCATCGTCGATAGTCACCAAGGGCTCGTGCAGGTGGTGTTCTCCTCACTGGTGACTGAACTTCGGCGACGGGAGATTGAGCGATCCCCTCACATTTCACTTCTCATCAGGCTCTGCATCCGAGTCTGTCAGGTCCTCCTCAGTGATGGGAGGCAGGAAGACGATCCGGTGCTTGCTCTCGCCGTCCGGCCACATGAAGGAACCGTCAGACATGACATGGTCCAAGGCATAGTTCTGCTTGTCCATGTACTCCTGCTCCAGGACGAGGTATTGCACCTCGTGCGTGAGCCAGGTCCAGTACCAGCCGTGCTTGCGCAGGGCGTGCGTCAAGCGCCGGCGGTACAGATTGTTGTCGCAGCCTGCCAAGAAAGCCTCGATGAACAGAGGTTCGTTGGCCTGGCCCAGGCGGATCTGGTCACGGCGGAAGTCGCAGGCCGCGTCGAAATAGTCCTCGAGAGGACGACCTTCCTGATGCATGACCGCATCGAGCTTCATGGCGAGAGCCTCACGGGCGTCGGCCGGCAAGAATTGGTCATCGTCCTGGTCACTTTCGGTGCTGGATTCAGCGCGGCCACCCTCCGCAGATTGAGGTGACTGAGGCGTGGCATCTGAATCGGCGCTGAGAGCAGACGAAAGTGAGGTTGCGGCATCGACCTCGTCACCGTCCAAGGAAAACATAGGCTGCTTGTACAGGGCGTCGAGCTGCGTGATGCAATCAATGAGAGCTTGATTGCCCAGGTTGAAGTAGGCGTCGTACTGGCACAGAGGTACCAGGGCTTGGCCGAGGAGACGGTGCAGGAGGCGGATGCGGTACTCAGCACCCTCGGAGCGACTGGTGAGGACAGTCACCATGGAAGCAACAATGACGATGAGGTCATTGAGGAATTTGGAGAGAAGCTCAGTGAGCAGCGCACGCTCGTTAAGCTGGTCTTTGACATCCAGCAGGCGGGAGGAGAGAATGCCATTCTGCCGCCGGAATTCGTACGACCAGAGGAGGGCAAGAGGAGAGGCGTGGGCGGAGGAGGACTCGGTGACCTGGGAGTTCTGAGACATGGTGATAGTGTGGGTGATGGTGTAGGTGCTGTGAGAGGAAGGTTCTCGTGGAATGGGAGAGACAGAGTGTGACAGTGTGAAAGTGCAGCGTGCGAAGTTTGTGTGAAGAGCTGAAGGGATGGAAAAGGTTGAGAACGAACAAGAGATGGAGAAATTGGAAGAGAAGAAAGAAAGGATGGGGTGGAAAAAGATGAGCGAAGAAATAGTTTCTGGGTGAAGGCAGCGATGAGAGTTGCACCCTCACCCTCACCCCCAACCCAGGGCAGACATGCCACTGACCATTGTGCCAATTCACAGAACAAGGCTACGACTGTCGGAGTCGGTTGTCTGCCTTCCCAACCTCCAGTGGAGGGTGTCGACTCACCAGGTGACGGTGATGCTTCACTGACTTCCTAATCGGGAAAGTCCCGGCATTGCAGTTCGAATACACTAGGAATTCCACACGCAGAAGTACCTATTAAAACATTGTAAACAGTCTATTCTGGAAGTACAAAGCGTAGAGAGAGAGAAGAGAATATGAAACCGTGAGGAAACGTCACATTTTGGCCCGATCTATTTGATTAAGTACTGAGAAAGCGGCATTCTTAACCAACCAGAGCGAGCTAGATACAGAGGAAAACGGAGAATAAATGCGGAGGAAAAGAAAAACCGCGACAGCACGAGGGACGCATAAACATGTCACATCTCCGTGACGTGTAAAGGGGAAGACATAGGAAAAGCATAGCAGTGTCCCCCAGAAGCTGGCCGACCTCCATGAATCAATCGTTCTGGCAGATTGGGGCCCGAAGCATCAGCTTCCAAGGGACAGAAAGCCACTTTTGACGCAGTTTCTGCGATCATAAATCCGCATCAAGACATCATGAGAAGGTTAAGAGGCATTTAGATGAGGTCGGCAACGTTCATGGGCATCTCCTCGATCTGGGTGCTGTAGAACTGCTCGATCTCACGGAGCATGCGAACATCGTCGGCGGTGACGAAGTTGATAGCAACACCCTTACGACCGAAACGACCGCCACGACCAATACGGTGAATGTAGTTCTCACGGTTGGCGGGGAGATCGTAGTTGATGACCAGGGAAACCTGCTGGACATCGATACCACGGGCCAGGAGGTCAGTGGCGATCAGGACACGGGAGGAACCAGAGCGGAACTCCTTCATGATAACATCACTAAATAGAATATTCAGTCAATAAAATGGTCCAAGAGATAGATCAAATCGGATAAACATACCGCTGGCCCTGCTCCATGTCACCGTGCATGGCGCTGACAGTGAAGTCACGAGCAGTGAGCTTGTCGGTGAGCCAGTCGACCTTTCGGCGGGTGTTGCAGAAGATGACGGCCTGGGTGATGGTGACGGTCTCGTAGAGATCAGACAGGGTGTCGAGCTTCCACTCCTCCTTCTCAACAGCAATGTAGAACTGCTTGATACCCTCCAGGGTAAGCTCCTGCTTCTTGACCAGGATGCGGACGGGGTCACGCATGAACTTGGTGGTGACCTCGAGGACGTCCTGGGGCATGGTGGCGGACAGGAGGGTGACCTGGGTAGACTGAGGGAGCAGCTGGAAGATGTCGTAGATCTGCTCGGTGAAACCGCGCTGAAAAGAAAGGCAAGGTTAGCATGGGAGTCCCAATCAAAACCTGTTGATCACCGAATTACTTACGGACAGCATCTCATCAGCCTCGTCGAGGATGAAGAGCTTCATGTTGTCGGTGCGGAGAACACGACGCTGGATCATGTCGTGGACACGGCCGGGGGTACCGACAACGACCTGGGGACCCTCACGGAGGGCGGTCATGTCCTCACGGACGTTGGTACCACCGATACAGGCGTGGCACTCAAGTTGCATGAAGTCACCAATGGCAACAACGACCTTCTGGATCTGCTGGGCCAGCTCACGGGTGGGAGCGAGGATCAGAGCCTGGCAAGCCTTCAGGTTGGAGTCGATCTTCTGGAGGGCAGAGATGGAGAAAGTAGCAGTCTTGCCGGTACCGGACTGGGCCTGGGCGATCACATCGTTACCTGGAAAGGGGAAAACAGGTTAGGCCGGGTCTTTTGTATGAGGTTTTATTTTTGGCAGATCACAACTGATCGGGGAAACTCACCCTTGATGATGGGCATGATAGCGCGCTGCTGGATAGCGGAGGGACGCTCAAAACCGTAGGCGTAGACACCTAATCAGTCAGGTTAGTGCACTTTTTTCCACAGAGCCCCGCCACGGGCGGGATGTTTCCCACCCCACGAAAGGATTCACATACCGCGAAGCAGCTCAGGCTTCAGGTCCATGGCATCGAAGGAGTCGATAACCTCATCGTAGTTGGACTCGATCTGACCTGTAGAGAGCGCAAAAGGAGCGATGTCAGCGTTTGAGTCTTTGAGTGATTTCCCGGTTCCCCTGTGTCTCACTCATCGCCACCGAGGGGTCGGGCGCAATGTGAACATCGTCTTCACGGCGCGAGCACCTTCCCGCTGAAAGGAAAGTGACACAAGGAAGGTAGTACATACTCTCCTGGAGGTCCTCAAGACCCTTATCGTTCGACATGATTGCGGTTGATGGTGATTGATCACAGACGACTCTCCGCTGTGACCGGGTGGGGTGATTTTAAGCGAACGTGCCCTGTGGGGGAAAGTTCGCGAGCGAGGATCGAAAGTGCTAGTATCAAGGACTCTTCAAGGGAGAAGAGCGCGTTCAAGATACTAGGGAAAGGTTGTGACAAGAGTTGTTGATATGGGTTCACAAAAAGGGTGGGAGAAAAGAAAAGGAAAAAAATCGTCGGCCGTCCGTGCCTTTTGCTGCGGCGCTTTTTTTTTTTCACGGGTGGGCGAGTCTTCACCGCCTACCTAAAGTGGAGACTGTCGCACGGGCCCAAGCGAGTGGTTGTTCGCGACGCCGTTGGAGGTTTCGTTTCTTCTACTTGAATTCCTTGGTTGGCTTGTCATTCTTATTCGTCTATTGAGCGTTGGGTTGTGGTGCATATTTCTTCAATTTGGGCCGTCGTTGCTGTTGCCAACGGGGCTGTTGGGGGGTGGGCAGAAAAAAAATTCCTTGAAGCCCTAAAGATCCAAAGTGGCGGACAATGCCTGACATCACAATGCTACCAAGTTATCCACCGGCCTTGGATGGTCAACAAGGCGACGAGGCTATTCCCAGCCATCCTCTAGGTGTGAAACCTAGTGGAAATGCTCTGCTAGCAACATGGAGTCTTCGCGATGCCATAGGAACTTTCCGGCTTTTACCCGACGAGTTAATCCTGTTGTTGCTGGAACACTTGGACGGTTCGAGTCTACTGGGGATCGGGCGCACCTGCAAGGCCTTTTACGCATTCACCCGTGCGGAGGAGTTGTGGAAGGCACTATTTATCCAGTAAGATCCAATATTTGTTATTCTTTAAGTGATCAGATTGGAGAACATTATGTTGTGTTGTTGCGCGCTGCTGGGCGTCGAACTATATCTAGCATCTATGCGGCCTGACGACTGCATTGGATATACACCACCCAAACTCATAGACTAACTTTGATACTAGATCCCCATTGGATAACTTTACATGGAGAGGGACATGGCGATCGACATATCTCAACCTGCCTCCTTCAAAAGTCCCCACCATCGACTGCTCTCATCTCTACTCCGACGTACTTTACCGACCTTTCAATTGCGCGCATATCGCGCTTGACCCCTATGTCACCAAGATCCCACCGCGTAACCAGATCCCGCGCTTACCAGATCTTTCCGTCGAGGACTTCCACGAAGAATGGGCCGATCGGCCTTTCATCTTGACCGAACCGGTTAAGGCCTGGCCAGTCTACAAGGACTGGACTATCGGGTCACTGCTCTCTCAACATGGGCAAGAGAAGTTCCGCGCAGAGGCCGTCGACTGGCCACTGACTACCTATCGCGACTACATGGCGGACAACTCTGACGAAAGCCCATTGTACTTGTTTGACCGCGCTTTCGTCCCAAAGATGGGACTGGCCGTCGGCCCCCCTCAGTCGACCCCCAATGCGGCATACTGGCCACCAGCATGCTTTGCGGAAGACTTCTTCTCAGTACTCGGCAAGGACCGGCCCGACCACCAGTGGCTGATCGTGGGCCCCGAACGTTCGGGCAGCAAGTTCCACAAAGACCCTAACGCGACGAGCGCCTGGAATGCGGTGCTGCGTGGGCCGAAGTATTGGATTATGTTCCCATCGGGCGATAAGCGAGCTCCACCACCGGGTGTCTACGTGTCTGACGATCAGAGCGAAGTGACATCGCCATTGAGCATTGCCGAGTGGTTACTCAACTTCCACGCAGAGGCTCGACGCACCCCAGGGTGCATGGAAGGAATCTGTGGCGAGGGCGAGATCCTACATGTCCCATCGGGCTGGTGGCATCTGGTGGTCAACTTGGAGCCGTCTATCGCGATCACGCAGAACTTTATCCCTCGCGCGCATCTTTGCGCTGCGCTAGATTTCTTGTCCAACAAGGCAGACCAGGTCTCTGGGTTCCGGAAGAATGTCGAGAACCCCTACCAGAGATTTGTGGATGGAATGCAAGAGGCTTACCCAGATCTTTTAGCGCAGACCCAAGAGGAGCTCCAGAAGAAAGCCGATGGGAAAAAGCGCAAGTGGGATGATATTGTTCATAGCAAGACCGAGGAAGACCAAAGTGGCGCAGGAGGGTTCAGCTTTGGATTCGGAGATGACAGCGACGTCGAAGTCCCTTGAAACGTCGACGCTACATAAAAGCAATTACTCATTAACAAAGCTCATGCGAAATGAAATTTATGAAAGCCTATGCAGATATTCCATGCTCTCGAATCATTGATCCAGAACCGCCGATATGAGCCGACCATCTTAGTGGCAAGCGATGGACTTGGTAGCCGGAATGTCATCGGCAAAAGCCAAATATCCGACAAAAGCACCAACCGCAACCGCCAGCATAACCATGCCATTGTATGTCATGAAAAGAAGCCTAGCAAAATCAGATAGGATATTAGAATCACTCCTGAACAGTTAGAGATGGAAGATGGAGTGCACCCACATAATGAAGAAGCTATAAAAGACCTGAGCGCCATACAACGCAGCCAAAGTAATTCTCCCCCGCCGCGCAAGCGCAGCCCTATTATCCTGTCCTACAAGCAGTGGTGAGCCCTCGGCATGGATTGGATCGTGGAAGTTAGCGGTGACCGGCTCGGGAATCCCATCAACTGCAGAGCAAGGCATCAATGAGAGAGCTCGCCCAAGCAGGAAGTGTAGAAGGAGAGCAGGGGGGCATATAGTCCTCAACCGCCACACCAACGCCCGACACACGCTGAGTGTATCACATTGTAGAAAGGATGCTCGTCCAGAGAGGAGAAATTCAACATACCTCCACCTGTAGTCGCTGTTGATATAGCAAAGGCATTCAAACGCTGGTTATGCGCAGCTTCGTACTTGCGGGTTATTTGTCGGACACCCTCGTAACCAGCTGTGAGGAGGACGATAAGCACGAGGGAGAGGAGGAAGGAAACGGGGCCGGTGATGCGCCACTGGCGGAAGATGATGCAGAGATTCTTCGAAGACCAAGTAAAGAGCATCTAGTAGTAAAAGAGATCGTCAGTAAGAATTAGAAAAGCTATCGAGGTAGTTCCATGTGTACTTGCATTCATATCGCATTGGCCCATGTCCATATCACCATGCCCCATATCGCCGTGGTCCATGTGGCTGTTATCCATATGCATCGAGTGATCCATGTTAAAAAGAGTCCGAATAGTCTCCGGACTAAGGTAAATTCCAGTAAACTCGCACCAAATATATCAAGCTCAAGTTGTAGTGGCACGAGGGGATCAACATGACAAAGGCGTGATGGCGTGGACATGCAAACGATGCAAACAACGATAAGAAGCGGCTCTCACCAGCTTCGGCCGCCTCGCAATCCCGCAGCTTGCAGACCCTCCTCCGACGCCGCGAATTTCACCACTCCGCGCCTGTACACGCTCTTTCAACCTCCCCAACCCGTCCCGTGAAACAACCTCCATCTCACAGATATGGTGGACACAGCTCCCGCCCAGGCCGCGACGCCTGCGACTGGCGCACCGGCCGCACCGACGAATGGCGTTACCACAGGGGCCTCGAATGCGCCTAGCGATCAGAATACCGCGAATCGAGGACTACCATACTACGAGAAGTTGCGGCGTGAGCTGCGGGATACGATACAGAAGAAGCGCTTGATGGATAAAAGCATGGTGAGTCGCGTCGCGCGGCAAGTCGCACCAGAAAAGCCGCGGTTCCATAACCTTGCAATGGACATTGAATGGGCGCATTGGAGCCGAGTTGCATCCTGCCATTGATTAGATATTCAGTTTGTATCTCGCATATGCTAACTTTCTTCGTCCGCAGGCCCAACTCGAAGACCAGATCTTTCGGTTCGAGCAAACCTACCTCGAAGAAACGACGGCTGGCAACATCATCAAAGGCTTCGACAGCTACATCAAGGGCTCATCGAGCGGGTCCAGTCTCGGTGCGTCCGGGCTAAGTCTGGGCTCAGGTGTTGGCGCGCGACGCAAGGCACAAGTCACAGACTCCGACCGAGTTTTCTCACGGAGCTCGGCAAGCTATATGGTGGTATGTCGACACCAGGCCCTGGCTAGAGACAAAGAATGTCGGAAGGTACTAACGTCGTTTCTTCTCTCATTGATAGGATTCCCCCGGCCCATCCTCCGCACAAACCACCCCCTCTCACGCCGCAACACCGACCTCCACAGCCGGCGGGAACGCACCCTCAAACAAGAGCAATGGCGGCGACTCCACGACAGCATCCAAAGCCGGTGGTGGTGGCTCTTCCAAGAATAAAAAGAAGGCTAGTGGTGGCTCGAAGAATACCAAGGGCAAGAACCAAACCGATGATCTTTCAGATGATGCGGATTCCAAGCCGCCTGTGAAACGTTTGAAGATCAGCTACGGGCGAGATTAGAGGATTGTGCTTGCATCCTTGTTTTTTTTTTTTTATTGTTTGAATTTGGAGTTTGGGAGGTTATTGATATCATGGAGTTGACCCAGTGAAGGACTAGGCGCTGATAAAAATGGGGGGTGTTCGTCTCAATTACACATCATGTACATCACGATTCTGGAGAGAACTTATACGTTGCATACAATACTTGATTGCAAATTCTGATAAAAGGACAAGATATGCATTTCCATAACAATAAACGATAGCTGACGGCTAGCAAATCGACAGCCTGAAAGAAACAAGCAGAAGGTGAAAGGCTCACAGCTGGAGTCGATAGGTAGCAATTTCGAACGCTCGGACCTCGATGTCCACCGTGATGGACCCTTCCTTGGTCTTTTGAATCTCCAATTCTTCCTCGTCATCTTCGAGGACGTTGCACTTCCAAACTCGCTTGACAGACAACGCGCTGTGAATAGTGCCGCGGGCCTTGCCGCCTAGGGACTCGTAAACGCGTAAGATCACACTCTTACCAGGACGAGAGGGTAGGCCGCCAGTAGAGACGTCTTCATCATCCTCGCCACGCTTGACAGCATCCAAGATAATGGATGACCCGCCCTGGATGGAAACAGCCTTGAAGGCGGCGTTGTATCGGGAAATCTGGGAGCTCCCCTGCTCGATGGCCAGCGGGTGGTTGAAATTATAGCCCGCACGGACAGTGCGAGCATCAAGACCACCGGAGTGAGGAAGGATGGCATAGCGGATGCGGTGGCGGCCCATATCAGCATGGGCGTCTGGGGCCTTGGGAGCACGGAGCAGCGAGAGGCGCATCAAGTTACCGCACGTAGCGAAGCCGTACTTGGAGTCGTTAAGAATCGAGACACCGTATCCGTGTTCAGAAAGATCGGCCCATTTGTGGCAGCAGACCTCGAATTTGGCCATATCCCAGCTGCAAGAGTATGTTAGCAGAGAATCTGTGTGAAGGTACTGTGAGACCAGAACGTACCTTGTGTTGTAGTGAGTCGGGCGTCGAACGATACCATATTGACTTTCGTAAGATGCCTCGGTATTCGTCACATCAACAGGGAATTCAACCTTGAGGAACTTCATTGTTTCATGCCACTCAACCTCGCTTTCGAATTCAACCATGGAAGGCTCTGAGGAGACAGATGCCGAAAGGCTGATAGTAGTTTTCACCCAACTCATGTCACTGATTCTTGTTTCGGTCACAACACTGGCTCGGTTGTGGTCAGCTTCGACGATGACTGTCTTGCTAACTGGGAGCTCCTTGCGCGATTCCAGATGGAAGACCTCCACATCCCAGGCTTGCCAGTAAAGAGGCTTGTCATCGAAGATAACCATCTGGCCGGCCTTGCCACCCTTGGGAATGACCTCTCGTTGAGCATCGACATCGAACAAAGAAACGATAACGCCATCTTGGACGTCAATCTTGAGTTTGCCATTCTGCAAACGGAATGCACCCGGCTGAATCTCAGCCACGGTGACCCTAGTGGTGGTCTTGAAATCAACTGGCTGGCATGCAATCACACCGGTTGAGCCATTCACAAGAGCATACTTGGATCCATCGGAAGCGACCAAGGGTGCGGGAATCTTTACAACCTCTGACCGAGGCCAAGGCAAAGTATTCAGAGCGACCAGGCCAGTGCTGCCCGTGACCCCCAATGCCGCAAGAGCTTCTTTGCGCAGCTTCTGGCCAGTCTCAAAGATCCCAGCGTAGAGCTTGTCGGAATCATCATAGCACATCTCAATAGAGCTACCCGGCAAGCAGTCGTGGAACTGACAAAGAAGTGTTCCCTCCCACATCTCATCGATCTGCTCCTTAGGGTACTTGTACTTTTTGTCTGAGCCACGGATGGTAGCCAAGGTAGCTAAAAGTTCAATCTCACGCAGCAAGAACTCCGACTTGCGGTTATTGCGCTTGTTGTTGGCCTGGGTTGTGTATGTACCGCGGTGCAGTTCAAAGTACAACTCACCATACCAGGTCGCAAACTCGGTTCCATTGGCAGCTTTTGCTTCCAGCCTTTCAAAGAAATCATCCACTGATTCGCCCATCTTGACTTTTGGGAGAGTACCGATCTTGTCGCTGAGGCCTCGGCATCGGCGCAATTTCTCCAGATGCTCGAAGGTCGGACCACCGCCACCGTCTCCTTTGCCAAAGACGAGCAAGGATGACTTGTCATTGTCTAGTGACTTGTGCTGAGTGACACTGCGCTTAAGATCGCCGAAATGAGCCTCGGCGGTATACGTCTCTGCCGGGGCCATGTGGCACAACACTTGGCTACCATCGAGTGCAACCCATTGGAAGGTTGTGTGCGGGAAGTTGTTGATATTGTTCCAACTCAACTTCTGAGTGAAGAAGCGACTCATACCGGCAAGGCGGCAAATCTGCGGGATCTGCGTCGAGTATCCAAAGGTATCTGGCAACCAGAAGGTAGAGGCTCGTTTGCCGAAGTAGCTTTCGAACAAGCGTTGTCCGTAGAGGAACTGGCGGACAAGAGACTCGCCACTGGGCATGTTGGTATCATGCTCGACCCAGCTACCTCCGATAGGCTGGAAGTGGCCTTTTCGCACCCATCGCTTAACTCGATCAAATACAGACGGGTAGTACTGTTTAAGCCACTTGAACTGCTGGGCCTGAGAGACGACGAAGCGATGCTCAGGATACCGCTCCATCAAATCACACTGATTCGACCATGATCTTGCAACCTTGCGCTTGGTCTCCGCCCAGGGCCAGAGCCAGCAAGTGTCAATGTGGCAATGACCAATCGCGTAGACATATGGGTCTGTGTCCGGCGCATAGACATCTGCAGAGTCTACCTTGTCACCAAGGTACTTTTGCCCAATTTTCCGTGCCTCTTTGATGCACTCTTGACTTCCATTGCCAGCAATGAAAGCATCAATCATCGCATTACCCACCATATTAGCCTCGTGCGCCTCCCACGAGTCGCCTGGGAACTCACGAGCGGCGTCGCCGATAATCCAAAAATCGTAGTAGAGCGCCCGCGCCTCCAGGTTGACTGCAACGATCTGCGCTTTGCTGAGCTGGTAGTACTTGTCTGGGTTGGGTGGCTGGATTGAATCGCCGCCTGGAGCGTTACCGAACATGCCGTTGCAGGCCATTTCGATATAGAAAGTATGCTGTTTCCCATCACGCCAGGCGTCAGGGATAATCCATTCAGTTCGCTCTCCACCACCGGTCAATCCCTGCAAAGGGTGTCCGTCCTCTGTCCACACCAGACCTTCATTGTTAGCATCCCAGTGGAACTCCAGCCTTTCCTTCTTAAGCATCTCAGAGGGAACCGTGAGCTGGATACGGAACCAATGTGTCGACCAGCTAGGACCGAATGACTCTCCCACATGGGTTGGTCTGAAATCGTTGGAGGTCGCCTCCTTGAAGGTCGGGCGTTCCAGGTTTGGTACCGAGTAGACCGATAGCTTGACATGCTCGCTGTCGGAGCTGACTGCTTCGTAGTATTTTGCGACAAGGTTTTGGCCTTCATATTGACCATGTGCTGTGAGCTGGCGCAATCTTTCGGTATAGATCTTGGTGATGCGCTGGCCTACTGGCCGCTCGGCTAGCTGGGGCAGCGATCGCGAGGCTGGGGTGGGGGCAAGATGCGGAGCTTCTCCACCCATGATTGTGACGGCGTGGGCGTTGGGTTTTGTGGAGGATATGATAACGACAATAGAAGCGAAGGTTTCAAAGTGAGAGACTGTACAGAAGATCAAGCTAGAGAGTAGGCAGTAAGGCAGATGGAGTAGTGAATTAGAGGAAGGAAGGAGGGGAGGAATGGAGAACGGGCTTATGCACGGAACAAGCCTGGCTGGATGCGGAGAAGATGACCTCACCCCGCAACGGCCCCTTGCCATCAGCGGAACTCGATTGAGAAGTATACGATGTTTACAACTATCATGACTGCCCATATTTCATTCCAATTGCATGCATCAACTTTGTCTATATTCGCTATGAACATGTCTAATCGTCATTCATGGCATGGCTACTATCCTATCCGAAGCGCTTGATTAGCCTACATAAGACGCATATCTCACCCACTCCTCGTCAGTCTTCAACCGCTCCCAATCTTCATCCCTTAGACAGATTTCAACCGCTATCTCCCCATTCGGAGCTTTGGGCATAATATAGATCAAAGACTCGAATGGGACAAATGCCGGCCGGCGAACAGCTTCCGGCTTGCCAAGCCCCAAATTAAAGTCCAACTCAAAAGTATTGATTTTAGCCCAAGAGCTCAGCATAATTCCAGACGAAGTATCGACACAAGCCGTAGTAGAAGTCTTCGTCTTGTCTTCCGAACGAGTTTGGAATGTAGCGAGAGCGCGGGTTTTATAGGCCAAGTCTACGACCTTGGGATCCAGCTTCCGGCGAAGCTCAGAGGCAATTGCCCCCAATGGTTGCTCCACGAGATGTTGCAGAGTGTCTTTATTGTATGCCATGTTCTGGAACATGCCCAGATATGTGCTGGGAATGCCCATACGTTCACGGACATCGACTGCTCGTGCGAAGGCAGACCCGGTCCCAGGATCGAGACGGTGCAGACGTGCCCGCGCTGTGCATTTCCAGACAAAAGCGCAAACTGTATCATCGGTTGAGACAAAAGCTCTGGAAGGGTCTTTGGTCTGGGTAGCTTGTGATTTGAGAGCCTCTAGCGAGGCTGCTGAAAAGGCCACGTAGGCCCAGGTAGATGGGGGTGGAGTTGTGGTGTCGCTATTTGTCTTGCCAGGTGGTGGAGGCCTCACCATCTGATGCTTGAGTTCCACGGCAGGGTCGAAGGAGTCGTCCAGAAGGGTGATAGATTTGCTCCGATCCAAGTTGCCAATGCGAATCTCCTCTGCTGTGAAAGGCTGATTGTGACAAGCCTTGGACAGCAGGTCGATGATGTGTCCTTGCCCCGTCATATCCATGACATTGTGTTGGCCCACCACCGTGAGCATGAGGCCGCCAGTAATGAAGGTCGCCTGCACGGCAAGGACGGGCGCAGAACTTGCAGCCAGCCCAATCGTATTGCCAGGGAGATTGAGAGTCAAACATGGAGCGATGATCTTCTCATCAAGCATGGTGCAGGGGTAGTTTGATTGTCGAAGACTCTCCAACGTCGGGGCAGATGGATCATCACGAAGGTCTTTGACAACCAACGGGATCTTTTCTCCTGATGGCACAATCCGGTAGGTGCCAGTCACTCCTTCGCCGGCGCCCTCGTTGATGACATTTCCAGCAAGCCATGGAAACCCCTCTGCGAGCCTATCAAGTCCATCTCGGAGGGTGTCGGTGATAGTGGATGTTGGCTCGGATACAGCAAAGACGATGCACAATTGAGTGTACAACTTATACAGAAAGGGGCTGCACCCTAGTATGTCAATTGTGTCGTTTTCTAGCATTTTTCTTTGTTTTTGATGATCACAACTTCTGGATGTCGGGGGAATCGCTCGCATTTAAAATGCCACCCAATACCATTCACAACGGGCAAGCGTGGATGCACGGACCCGCTTGCAAGCGCGGTCGGGAGTGAGTCAAGATGAGTCCGAATCTATCTACTCTGCATCATCGATAGACACTCGACATAACCTTGTCATCGGTAAGGGTAGTATAGATCGGAAACATTATCGAAAAAGATTGAATAGTTTCACATATCCCAAGCCCGGAGGAACCAGAGATTTATACACTGAGCATCAACCATCAAATTCAGAGCAGCACCCCCACAACTGGACTTCTTGCAAGCTAAGCAAAACATCTGCCTTTGCTGTCCCGCTAGCCAGAGTACTCGATCACATTTGGAGACGTAACCACAATTGAAAGCAGAGGGCCATGCCGACCCATAATCGATATTAATCACGATGAACTATATTGGAAAGCTACAGGAGGTTCACGTTTAATTCAATAATTGATAAGCAGCCCAAGAACCAGAAAAAGCGTTCACAATACACAAGAATTGCACATGAAGAGGGCATTCCAACCACCAAATTTCAGAATCTCTTTAGTACATTTCATAGCGCCAGTTGAGTTGCACCATCTCCTCAGTCACACCACCCTTGATGGCCTTGGCAATCTGATCAGGATCACCGGAGTCCAAGCGCTTGTTCTCACGCAGAACCAGCCAGCGATAGACAGTTATGGTCACTCCCAGCAAAAGTGCAGAGGCCATGAGAGTCCCAAAGGCTGCATAGAAGTGTGGCGACGAGTAATAAAGATACGAAGCCCAGATGTTCGACGTGCCTCCAATGGCATTGACCAGGGCAGAGGCAGCGGCACGTTTGGAGATAGGACGCGCAAGATGAAGGTTGATGGTCTTGTAAAGGAGGAGCTGAGGTCCCACAGAGGCAAAGGGTAGCATGACCATCGAGAAGTATCGTGCGCCCACGTTCATCGTGGCCATTGGGATGATGTACATAGTGACGGATATCGCGATGCAAATCAGAATAATCGGGTAGACGGTGTTCTTGCGATCGGAATAGTACATGATTCCATAATAGACGGCACCAGCGAGGATGTACGGTGGTGCGGTCAAGAGCAAGCTGACGGTGTGGGAGAAGTTCAAAGAGGCCACCAGGGTAGGGAAATAATTGGCAATGGACCCTTGGACTTGAGACAGCATGTTGCAGAGGATCAGGAGGATTAGCTTCGGGTCAGACAAGGCTTTGGCGAATCCTCGGAGAACACTCTCTTTCTCGGTGCCCTCAGCTGCTCCGGCTTCGGACTCAATGCGCCAAACAGCCAGGGAACGCTCTTCTGGAGAAAGAATACGACTGTTGTGCGGGAACTCTGGCATGATACAGGCACACACAACGCCAATTCCAACGGTGGCACTCCCTTCAATGATGAACAGCCATCGCCAGCCGCGAATACCGTGAACGCCGTCGAGCTGCAGGATTGCTGCAGCGAAGAGGCCACCAAAGGCATTACCCACCTGTTGGGCAATATATAACCCAGCAATGCGCTTTCCAAGCTCCACTTTCGTGTACCAGGCGGACAGGTAATAGATAGCGCCAGGGAAGAACACGGCTTCGGCTGCTCCGAGAATGGCTCGGACGGCGAGAAGTTGCCCATAGCTCTGGACAGCAGCTGTCGCAGCTGAGATACAGCCCCAGAGGGCTACAGCAGCACAAATGTACATTCCCGGACGAGAGATCTTCGTGATGAGCAGGTTGCTGGGGACCTGGAAAGGCAGGTAGCCCACGAACAGAATGCTAACAGCAGTTGCAAACTCTTCGGTGGTCATCTTTAGGTCATCGGTAATTCCCTGGAGCTTTGCAGAGGCAAGATTCTGCCGGTCGATATAGTTGAGGATATAGAGAATACCGATGGTAGGAAGGACGAGGAGATCGATCTTGCGGACAATCTTCTTGTTGAGCTGGGCAATCTCGTCTTCGCCCAAACCCCGAAGGGACTGAGGAAGTCGACGATACGCTGCGCTGGTGACATCGAGTTGGCCCTCTGCAGATGATACATTATCATCATCAACAGTATATGCTGGGTCTTTCTTGACCTCCATTGTAGTAAAAGAAATTTGATGAAAAGAGAAAAGACCAAGTCTTCGCAATTAGACTGACGATCAAGGCCCTGAGAAAGGGCTCCCCAAAGGAAGGCCTGTATAATAAGAGCCGGAGCTCTATCTCTCCAGACTGTCCTTCTGACGACTCCGGTATCTCAGGTATCAGCCGACTAATGGTCAATGCTTCTTTACAAAGGATCGTGACTCATTGATTCGTCGACGCAAAGTGGACCCATCATGAAGATTAGCGATAAGAGGGAGGAGGAGCGCATAAACAAGCATTATCGAACCAATGACGATCAATTTCCCCAGACAGCCGACTGTTTGATAGAAATCCGGGGTACATGGGGCGTGGGAGGCATGGATTTCAAGTTGGGAGGAGCTAACGGCGGAGCGGAGGTGAGATCGTTTGGGAGGAGCTCGCCTCCCAGTCGGAGCGGGGCTCCTCCCGCGGGCGGAGTCTTTCTAGTATGGAAGGACGACGAAACCTAACTGATGCATGCAGAACAACTTGGGTCAGCAAGGCATAGTTTCAATGCTATAGAGTGATTTAGCGTAGTTCACGGTGATAAGTAGCCGATAGCCTTCTAGCATCCGGGCAATCTATATCTCTGTCTCAAGATTTCTCCAATTAACAGAATAATCTCCATCTCCATCTCCATCTCTTCTCACCTTTTCAACACAACGCCACGATGACCAAGACAATGGACTACGCCACACCTCAAACGACTAAAATCGAGAACCCTCGATTGAGGCTTCTGAATAAGCTCAAGGCCGGCGAATTCCCAGTTTTAACCTTTATGGCTATCCCCTCCGTGAGAATGGCCCAGATCGTCGCTTTGACCGGTCTCGATGGCATCGTGGTAGACGCAGAACACGGTCACATTGGCGATGATGCGATGCATAACTCAGTGGCTGCAATTGCTTCACTCGGAGTTTCACCTGTCATCCGAATTCGAGGCCCCGCTCACGACATCCTCAAGCGCGCCTTGGATACCGGAGCCCATGGCATTATGGTCCCCCAAATCAACAATGCCGAGGAAGCACGGCAGGTCGTTGCATCCTCCAAGTTCCCACCACAGGGTGTTCGTGGTCAAGGCTCGGCATTCCCTGCCATTGGCCACGGTTTGACAACACCCGAGTATATGAAAAGTGCCAACGAGACCATCATCACGATGCTCCAGATTGAGACGAAAGCTGGTGTCGAGAACGTGGATGAGATCGCCGCCGTTCCTGGTGTCGATCTCCTTTTCATTGGGCCAAATGACCTTGCCCAGTCCCTTCTTGGTTACACTCCCGCTCGTGGAGATGAGCCGGAATTCGTCGCTGCCATTGATAAGATCATTGCTGCCGCGAAGAAGCATGGCAAGTGGTGTGGCCGTATGACGAACGACGGAGCAGCGAGCAAGGAGGGACGAAAGAGGTATGATATGGTGTCGATGACTGGAGATACCAAGGCAATTCAGAACTGGTATATTGCGGAGCTTGAGGTTGCTCGCTCATAGCGATGGAATTGGCCGCATGTTGGAACGATTTTTCTTTTAAAAGATTACTGTACTTAGATGGCGCTTGCATTTACTGTATCGACGGGCTTAAAAAATCCAAACATTTCAAATAAAGCATAAGGTGGAGCGGATCAAATTGTCAGAACAATGATTTCTAGAGTTTTTCGTCTTTCGTTGCAGATAGCTCTCGTTTAGTATCCAACTCGCATTCCTGGAATTTCTTTGGCGACAAGTCAAGGCTAGGAAGCTCACGAGGCAATCTATGGCTAAAACGATAAAAGCTTTTCACTAGACGGATCTAACTCATATAAAGAACGATATCTACAGCAGGTAAGACTATATATGTGACCTGGAGAGTCCGAAGAATACAATATGCAAAAGTGGTAGAAATGCTGGTTGCAACCCCCGAGTCTGATCTTTCGACCGATCAGTTAGTATCTTGATTTGATACGGTAGATTACTTTCCGAAGTCCAAGCAGACCGGATCATTCGTCTGGAGCTGGCCTAAGTGGCCATTGTGAGTATATATGGCCAGAAAAAGGAGAAAGTATACAAAAATTATTTTCACGTTTTGTGCTTCTATTTTTTATTGATTCATAACATATCATCCCCTAAACTTGAGCAATGCACTCAATCTCGATCACAGTTCCCTCACCAGGGGGAACGGCCTGGAGGCATGAGCGCGAAGGCATGGGCTGAGGCAAGAAATCAATGTAAACTTCGTTCATGGCGGCGAAGTCCTTCATGTCGGCAAGGTAGACGTTGTACTTGACGACCTGCTCGAGAGAGGAGCCGGACAGCTCGAGAACTTCTTTCAAGTTCTGGAGAACAGTTCTCTGTTTGAAGCAAGGATTGAATTAGTGCGTTTTCCATCGAAGTGGAAAATCTTTAGACATACCGTAGCTTGTTTAATCTCTCCAGTTGCTGTTTGACCAGCACAGAAGACGAGGCCGGGGATCTTGGTGGCAGGGGCTGCAAGGCACAAAAATCCTTAAATTAGCCGATTGTCTAAGACATGCTTTTGAGGGTGAACTGACAGTTGTGAGGCTTAGGGGGGAACTTCTCGTTCGAAATAAGTTGGCGCGACATTTTGAGTGGTAGATGTGGATTTCTGTAAAAACTTCTCAAACGCAGACAGGGTAGAAGGCGATAAAAAGTATGTAGATGTTGAAATAAATTCCTTCCTGAAGATTGCGATTTAAATCGTCGATATGCCCCTCGCCCATTTCAAACCATCTCAGATAAGAACCCCTCACCAATCGCCCCAAATTAAGCTCAAAGCCTTGCAATGGAGGAGCTCGGAAAACAGCTGTTGGATAATAATACAAGTTACGGCCGCTTGTCTCAGCCAGTGCCGAGCCGCTGTTATCTAGTCAGCCCCACTTGGGAGGAGCTCCTCCCATAAGTATCAGATGGATCCACGAGCTATCACATCCGATAATGCCAACTCAGCTTGAAAAGAGGAGCCCTATGGGACTACGGAGGAGTCGATGGAGTGGTGGTATCATCCAGAAGAATTGGAGCACTGAGTTTGCCCCAGAGGAGCATCCAGAATATGGTACTCCGTAGAGTTAACAGCGGATTACCATGTCCCAAATAAGGATCTTTGCGGCGCTCCTCTGCATTAATCGTCGCGAATGACAAGATCTATTGGAACATGATACAGCCGTCTCCGACAAATGTGCAACATCTTATCGACTTCAAGTAGTATTGGCTGTCAGCCCACGCTTCGACCAAAGTTATATAACACTCAGCGCCAATCGGGCACTGGCCTCTCAATCAACACAAAGTCAAACATCAATTTGAATACAATTACAATTCATCATGGCACGCTCAGCTCCATTTAATCCACCTTCTATTGACCTCCCGGGCAAGCCCTTTGTCCCAGGATGGGTTCCTCCCCCTGTCACTCAAGAGAAGCACAACTTTGCTCAGCTCAAGTCTATTGACCTTTCATTGCTGGACTCGGAGGACCCTGCCGTTGTCGAGAATCTTATTCAGCAGGTCAAGGTTGCTATTCGGGACGACGGATTCTTATTTTTGGAGAACTATGGTGTTTCACTTGAGCAGGTACGAGAAAATTAGAGTCAAAATCCATGGCGAAATCTCTGGAAAGCTCACATCATTGAATTTAAATAGCTTCACCGTCAGTTTTCCCTTGCGCAATATCTATACAAGAATATCAGTGAGGAGGACAAACAACGCCTCCTGTTTGAGCCTGACAGCGGTAAATGGTCGGGATATAAGCACCCGTTCGGCTTCAAGGTAAGAAATCACGGTGTATCGAATTATAAGCTGAATATATACTGATACACGATCTTTTGAATATTTTAGCGCCACCGTGGTGCCGCTGATGGAATCGAACAGTTCAACTGGTACACAGCTGACTGGGAAGAGATCGAAAACCGCGTCCCCACATGCCTACACCCTTTCATGGACGAGATCGAAGCTTTCGCAAACTACCTTACCAAGTCGGTGAACCGACGCCTACTCACTCTATTTTCTCGAGTCCTCGAGCTGCCAGATGATTACCTCTGGGATAACGTCCAGTCACACGGTAGTCCTACCGGTGAAGGCTACTTCCGTCATGCTCTGTTCCGGCCAGTGAAGAAGGAGACACAAGAGGCATCCAAGGGCCTGCGAATGCACGGTCACACCGACTTTGGACTGACCACACTCCTCTTTTCCGTCCCTATCTCCTGCCTGCAAATTTGGGGCCGTGATGAGCAGTGGTATTATGTCCCTTACAAACCGGGCGCACTGGTGATCAACATTGGCGATACTCTGGAGATCGTCTCGGGTGGTCACTTCAAGGCTACTCGTCATCGAGTCTTCAAGCCGCCCGTTGACCAGTTGAATGAGGAGCGCCTGTCACTGGTTCTTTTCAACAGCTCTGTTGGAGATCTGCGCATGACGCCCGCCACAGGTAAGAAATAGCAACAAATAACAACTACAATCGTTTTCTGACATCGCACCTAGAATCCCCCCTTATCCAACGAGAGGGCTGCGTCGAAGAACAAGGTGTCTACAAGGAATTCAAGAGACTCACTGATGAAGGTCGTCTTGTTCCAACCAACAAGCAATGGAGAGAGATTCAAATTGCTACATGTACAGACCCCACGGATACAGTTCATAACCGGGTTGGTGCACACCAGACAATTGTCGATGGCAAAATCATGCATCAACGAGAGTATATGGGTGTGAAGGTTGTCCTTCCTGTCTAGACTGACCTGAAGTTGATCGTGATTTCAGTCATTCGAGGAAATGGGGCCATGTAAATATTTCTTATTCGTTTTAGGTGCCAATATATTTTTTTTGAAAGACATATTCTTATAATAGGACTTGATCCACGCCAACAAGACTTGAGAAATTCATCTACGCACATGGATAGGCGGAAGATGAATTACGACTTTAGACCTAATTTTCCCTACGACTCTGGCCAAATGTTAGAGAGTTTAGGGACTGTTCAAGAGTTTACGTGGTTAGTCAATTGTCGTTCCTCCTGTCTGGCGGCGCTCCTCCTGCCAATCTGCGGGGCCAAGATTACCCACTCAAACACAAAGCACAAATTAACCACTCCAAGGCTGAATAGGTTCGAGCACCAGAGGCACAAAAGGGCTGAATCAATTGCCGTCGGTTACTTTCGGTAATAGAAGTCGATAGGGTTGAATGCCAGGCTATGGTGGCGTCTCCAGTGCTCATGCTCGGATTTGGAGACCGTAACGCCACAGGGAGAGAGAAGCTCTTGAGCAGGAAGAATCGATTAATGTACAAAATTGTTCAGATATGGGTATAAACAAGACAAAGACTATGATCGCACAGCAGAGGTATTGTCACAAGCTCAGTTGCCATTATGATCTTCAAGGTCGTCCAAACATGAAAGAATCAGCTCGCCAAGCCTCCACCGACTTCTGCGTTCAAACACCTTTCTCGCCCAAGCTATAGCTCCGAAGATGTCTCCATCGGCAACACCAACGATTTGCATCGCGCCTGCGACACCGCCGCGAACAAGTTGCCAGGCAATCAGGAATGCCTTAAACGCGTATATTGTGATCCACGGAGCTTCAGAGTCTGGGATGAGAGTTTCATCCAGGTACTGCAGGAACCATTCGACATGTGGCTCGATAGCTTTTGCAGTGTCAACATCACACGGAAAGTCATATGTAGGGGCCAGAGCAGTTGATTGACTCAACATGGCGTCCATCGTCCCCCCAACTATACCTCCGGTATGTGCCGGCGACCACATCTGTAGTTCAAGCATAGCTGTCTGCCACGTAGCCATACACATCGCCGCATGTGTTGATTGCGAGGCCTCGGCTTGGGGATGTATGAAGGGCAGGAGGGTGAGGAGCGAGTTCTTCAAGCATCCAAACCTCTCCATACTTAGCATGCCGGTCATTGTGGACCAGCCTGATATTTCACGGGCGCTGGAGATCAGGAATTGCGCAACATTAATTGCGCCGTAAGGATCGAAGGCAGGGAGTGAGGTCAGATCCGAATCGGGAGACAAAAAGTGTCGGACCGCATCCGCGTATTGTACTGGAGCGCCAGAGTTATTGGCTACCAGACGCTTATGGGCCCATTCGGCGGAGGAAGAGGCCGACCACTGTCCTTTTGGACATGGCAAGTCATGTTTAATCTCCAGATGAGAGATAGAGCGAGGGATTGATAGAATCTGATACCAGAGTGCGTCGATTTGATGGACGGCAAAGACTGTTCGCTTATGGGATTCGGCTCGGATGAATTCTCGCCACAATGAGTCCAAATCTGTAGCCGTAGAAGACTCAATTGGTCTAGGCTGCATGATTCCAGCAGCACGGGCCAGAGAGATCATGTTGGAATGCATCTTAAGTCCATATGCTGAATCTGCACCACAAAGATACATCAGGGCACAGATCTGGAGAACCAGGTAGGACTGAACAATAACCAAGTTGTAGGCAAAGTCTTCCGTGTTTGCTTCCACTGAGGCAATCATGGTTCGAGCTTGATGGAAGCAGCGCTTGGACAGGCTGGCGCCGGAACCTTCTTTGTCACCTAAATCGGGATCTTCACCGTATTGATATCCAAGCGAAAGCATACCGAGGATCAACTCAGGCGCTGCTTGAGTGACATCAAATGTTGATTGGTGTATAAAGGGGAGGAAAGGCGAGACGTGTGTAAAGAACAGGTCGCAGCCTCGAGTCACTTGAAATGACGATAAGATGGTTTCCTCTTGGGGTGGAGTCAAGCCAGTCACCAACATCGCACCGGGGATGCCAGGAGGGATGTCGAGATTGGAAAAAGAGGGTTCCCGGAATTCGGCTCGCGTTGCTGTGGTCGCTTCAAAACGAGGGTCATGCAATTGTTGGGAGTTGCTGAAGAGAGAGGTTTCTAAAAGTAGATTCCGCTCTAGGTTATTCGCACTTTGGACAATTCTGTCAATGGCATGCGGGTCACCGGGCGAGTGTATAGTTTCATGGCCTCCTGATTGCGAATAGTACAATCCTGCTATTTCGCTCTCTGTAGGTGACAAGGAGCCTGCACCGTCGGCTCGCTCAGTCCATCTCTGGTTGTCGTGACTGGCGCTCGGACGCCGTGCCCGCTTTGAATTTTGTCCTTGATCTTCTTGCTCCGGGTGTTTCCTCTTCATATGGCGGTTTCGCAGATCGGCGCGTGAAAAGGTCACTGGGCACAGTGGACAAGCAAGCGACGCTTTGTCTTGGGACCGAGTATGTACGGCGGCATGACGTTTGAGGTTCTCGCCTCGACTGAATCGTGCCTGGCAGATGACACATTGAAAGGGCCGATAGGGCGGTTCCCTCCTCTGGACTGTCGAGACGGACATGATGCAAGTCTGGTCTGTACTACCGCCGTGTCGGTATACGACGCGATGGTCACGGTGGAAAGATGGTTGAAGGGATAAGTTAAAGAGGCGACAAATACCACCGCCCCAGACTCGGACATTCCCCGCAGAATCGCCCCGCTCGGGTCCAATCAATTGACATGCCAAACTTTCGTGTTTCGCCCACGATCTTTGAGTCTATTTGGCGAGGACGGAGCGGCTATCTTCGATGCATTATGCTGTGGGTCGAATTCAAATTGTAAAACCGGAATACTGTGAGAGTCAAATCTTGTTATCACGTCTTTTCTCTTGCTATCTGTTATCTTGCCTCGGGAGACCTGCCGGAGAATCAACATTTCAGAGTGGCTCTCTGGGGCACTGTGGGTCGAACCGGAGGAACCGCGAACGAATAACAAGAAGCTCACTTATCAGCCAGTCGCTGCCGGCAATTGGGTAGTTCGGTAGGAGTGGATTCCACACTATGCTGGTGGTTCTATAGTCGATCATGAAATAGCAACGAATGAATATTTACTTCCAACTGGCGTTGAGAGAGTTATGCTCCCTGGTTCACCTGTTTTCATACTAACCGAGATGTTCTGATCTGGCTAGAATGATGTGTAAAATTCGATGCTTCAGGAGGTCTCACCTCGCACAAAATCTATGTGCTATAGAGCAGAATATGGGATATAGGCGAGAGGTGAGAAGTATTGAATATTACCCATCGCCATTGACGAACTTAATGCCCCTTGTGAAATAAGAGCGCAGCTAGATCTTCGAGTTCGAGGTAGAGATTTGCATACAAAGCTTCGACAGAATCCGTATCTAGAAATGAAAATCAGAAATTTCGATTGCAAGGCGGAGAGTCTCATATCAAAATATGTCCCGAGCAGTATTCTCGTTGAATTGTGAGCGGCTTCTCCCCCACGGTAATATGGGTATTCGGTTCGGTTTTACTATTAAATTTTTTTATCTATAAATAGACCCCTGGTGCTAGATCAGTAGTCCAGTAGCTCGTGGCTATCAATTAGTTCTCCTCAGTGTATTAGTTACCCAAATATCACGTGAGTCCTGATCAACACGAATGACTACTATATTCAAAGAGTATTGTGCCTATGACAGCCTCGTTCAGACACTCTTGTGTCAACACCGTCCATCTAACATGACAAGCACTCTTGCTTTAAGGACCGGAAACTGACTCTGAAACCATAATTTCTACTAGACGACCGATGGAAGCGCCGTATGACCGAAAAATGATATCAAAACTGGGGACTTTAGTGCATGCCATTGCAACATCTACCTAGACCATAGGTGTACACCCCATTTTGACCGAAAGGAACTGCAAGAATAAATGTGGATCTTACAGGAAGGTCTTCCAACACCAAACCTCGTCCACGAGCGAAGCTGATCTACAAGAGCTAGCGCAAACATACACCCAAATTCCCCAGTGCCCCGATTAAGCTTTGCAGACTTTCACCTGCCTCCAGGTCTGTGCCCAGCTGTATGCTATCCAAGACCAGCCAATGAGGGTGCTACAATCAGCACTAAACGCTCTACAGAGCCTGGGCTATGGAATTGTCCCCCCAGAGTCTTCGGGTCCACCCATCATCCAGTTCGAGAGTGGGGACTGATGGACGCGAACCTTGTTCTAGGCTGGATGGCCCTTCTCTGCCTATACGATGTTGTGGTACCTGATCTTGCTGCCCAAACTAAAGAATATGCCAATCACTCTTATGAGATTCTGACTTGAGAGAACGAGGTTTCGAAGCAGCGCATTGGGATTGCTAATGTTACCGTGGACTTCGGTGCAAGATGACAAAGAGCCTTCTTAGTTGCCTTCTGTGACAAAAAACTCTCTATTGGAGGAATAGATGTTGTGCTAATACTTAAATGTTATAATCAAGACAGTTCTTCCAGGCTTGTCAGAAACTTGGAGCGACAAATGAATCTGATTATTTCATCGACAATGATGGTTGTTCTCACCAATGTCCTGGTCTTACAACTACACAATCACACAATTCGACTGGCCTAGACTCACAGATTTAATGCGCACCTCTATTCAGTTAGAGCTCCAAAATATTGTGGATACTCGAACCCCATTGCCGACCGAAATGCCCACGGTATTCAACTCTCAGACTGACTTCATTAACCCGCCTTGGTGCCGGGGTTAACCGCATACCTGCAGCCCTCGAATCGTATCCATATCCATTTATCGCGCCGAATTCTCAATCGGGGAGAAAATCCGCTTAAAAGACTGGCAACTCCTTGGATTTTCCCTGTAAATAGCTGCACTACTCTAGCGTGCAAAAATTCGCGCGTTAGGGTGGAATATCCCAAACGGGCTGTCAATAGTGGGTCAACCCTCGTTTTTGCGGGGAACGCCGGCCTCCGGGAAGGAACCAAACGTCGCCCATCACCTATGAATAATTCAGGGCACGAGTGTCACAATAGATTTGCAGTTGGATTTGCCAGGCCTAAAGGAAGTTGATGTCAAAGCCGTATTATGATGCAAATCAAAAGAATCGGGGTTTTGAATGCTTGAATGAGGAAAATAGTTGTTTAGTGTTTCTTGTGATGTGGGGATCGGAGACAATAGGAGTGCATATTATTACGTTAAAGAAGGCAATTCAGACATGGAACCCCCGGTTCGGCGCACTCCATCAGCTTATGGCTTTCTGTAGGTTTCCACTTCGCTACCCCATCTGGGGAAAGCGAGGAGAATGTAAGCTTCCATGAGAGTAAATAAAAAACAGCTTCCACAAGTCAACCGACGGACCGATCATGACACACATCGACGAAAAAGCAATATCACCAGCTCGGAGACCCTACTCATGTATAATTCACGTAGAAGACCTTCTATATAGTTCTAGCCCTTCCTATGACCAATAATCCTTCTAATTAACGCGATAGAGTTCTCCTTCATTGCGGCCCTACCCGTGATCTAGTTTTCCGGACCCAATCCCGATCCCCGGGTCCCCTGAAAGGATCCAATTGTTCAATTTCCATGAGTCACTAGCGGGAAAGAAGCTCACTGACTGGTCAAATTTCCTAGCTCAGATGCGCACATGACGATATATCGGGCCTCGCCGTGTTCCTCATATGTAGTCGAGCCTGTGTGCGGTCAGGTGGCAAACCTGTTTCCTAGTTTTTTCGTGCATATGACCAGGGCTGTGCTGAGAGTGATGCTTGGAGGAAGATATTTACCCAGGAATTTCCTATACTAAGAGTCCTAACTGAAGCCACACTCATTCTTCTCGACAGGCGGCCTAGCCTTCCTGCCGGGCTCATCCCCACGGCTCTCTCGTCATAATAACTATCCAACAGCACTGACTAAGTGCCAGGCAGAATCATACCAATGGATCAGTTCATTGACACGATGGAGATCAAACAGGCTCAGGCCGAAGCCAAGATCTGCAGCCAAACAACAGTAGACTCGCAAAGTCCTACACCCGTTGGCTCACAATCCGGGCATGAATATGCTCTCGTTTCACCCGGCAGTCCAGTTGGACGACCCCCTATTCCGAAACCCGAAGAGATTCATGCAATTCCCGAAGTGCGCAAATTTGCCAATCCAGCTCCCTTGGGCCTGTGTGCGTTTGCGCTCACGTCTTTCATGTCGAATATCATGAATGTGCACCTCGGTTTGACGACTGCCGCCGAGAATGTGGGCTCTGCTCTGATCTATGGTGGCACGGTCCAGTTACTTGCGGGCATGTGGTACGTAAAGAGATATCATAATTCGTGGTATATTGACACTGACAACAATTCGGGATAGGGAAATGGCTCTTGGAAATACCTTCAGCGCCACCTCCTTCTGCTCCTACGGTGCCTACTGGATTACCTTCGGGGTCATATCGGACCTAGAAGGGACCAAGATCGTTGCTGCTTCTGAGACCGTCTGCCAGAAGGAGATTCTTATGGGCCTTTTCTTGCTGGTAAGTCCAAATACCCAATGTAATGTATTTTATCTTGTAGCCTCCAGATTAACACGTAGTCTACCAATACCTAGGCATGGTTTATATTCACGACGATGATGCTCCTTTGTACGCTCAAGTCCAGCCTGGCCATGTTCTTACTCTTTTTCTTCCTCGACATGAACTATCTCCTACTTGGTATTGCAAATATGCAATGCGACCAAGGGCATGTCGCTACCTCTATTCAGAGGGTTGGTGGATATTTTGGCTTGCTGGCGGCTTTTGCGGCGTGGTATAACGCGTTTGCTGGAATTTTCGACAAGAGTAATGGTTTTTTCAATGTTCCATTGGGTCATTTCCCTTGGTCGCCAGCTGTGAGGGCACACCATGGGAAGTTTAAGGGGGTCTAGTGTTGGCCGGAGAAGGTGCTGAGGATTTGTTCGAGAAGAAAAGTGTTCTATGTATTTCAGCGTTCTTAGCACAGCATCAGCGAGCATGTTATATTTTTGTGAATTAGCTATATCCATTAAGTACTGAATAATAATCCTGTGTTTGTTCCAGCAAGACATTTTAATTGTTACTCTCGGGAAGGTTGAAGATTTTGTGAGAATCAAAATAGTCTGGAAGGCCTCAAAACTCATCAACGTTGTAGCCCATCCCAATCGAATGGCCTACTCCCAACATCACTGCCCCTTTTCTCAGTCCAGACTTCAACATCACCATTTCCAACTGCCGTCTCACTAAAATAAATCTCTCCAATTCTATTCTTGATTGGTTTTCCAGTCTCTGTCACTGGTATATCTTCCACATTGCCAACAACCTTCAGAAGAGTCGGCAATTTAAATGCTTCCAGGCTACACTCCGTCGCAAGTCTGCGTCTGAGCTCTGCAAGACCTTGCGTGTGTCTCTTATCCTGCTGGCGATACACTATTACTGCAGCGGCACGCTCTCCGCATCCCGAGTCTTTTATGCCGAGGATAACTGCATGGGCGATATCATCTATCTGTGACAGCGCGCTCTCGACTTCGGGTGCATGTATTCTCCATAGATAGTATCGGATAACTAATGGGTATCTTGTTAGCTATGGTCTAGAAAAAATTGAAGATATAGATGACTAGAATGTAAAGGAATTCTGATTACCATCTTGCGACGCTCGCCCGAGGAGGTATACAACGTCATCCTCGATCTTTCCAAGATCCCCAGTTCGAAAGAATCCCTCAGAGTCGAACACATGTTTCATAATATCCGGATTGGGAGATATGTATCTATTACCCAAAAATCTTAGCAACCACATTCTTCACAGTTAAAACAACAACGGTCTACCAACTCACTTCTTAAACAGAACAGGCGACTTGATACAAATCTCCCCATTCCCATCAATCTTCATATTAACATTCGCCACCCGCAATCCGACAGAGTCCTAACCAGACAGTCAGTCAACAATTGGCCAAGAACCCATCACCATGAGATAGACAACCCCCCCAGAAAACAATACTTACCACAGGATACTCCCCCCTCCTCCCATAATCCGTACACGCCACAACCCCCAAACTCTCACTCATCCCATACCCAACGACAAGCGGCCTCCGCAATAACTCCCTCCATATCACCCTCTGCCTCGGCGTGACAGTCGATCCACCCGAAGCCAGGACCTTCAGTCCCCTTATCCCATTTAATACAACTGCATAACCATCCGGATTATTTTTCTGCATGTTTGCAAGCTCGGCTGCGACGTCATTCAACAACGGCGGGGGTAAATGCAAAGACGTCACGGGAGGTAAATTCTCATCTCGAAGTCTGTTCAATAACCACGATGAACTAAATACATCACTGCAAAACTCAACGCATGATTTTGATAGTATCCCTGATAAAAAAGTCATAAACCCACCGGCCCAGTGCACGGGCATATGATGTAGATAAGTATGACCACTGGATACCATCGGTGGTTTCGGGAAGCGTGTGAGAAACCCGCCCGTTGTGCAGGTGCGGTCGTGGAAGACGCCTTTTGGTGGGCCGGTTGTGCCGGAGGTATATAGGAGGACGAATCCTCTTGTTGGACTGTGGGGTGGTGGAGAGTCTGAGAGGGAGAAGCGGATGGGGGGAGGGGTTGTTGGGTGTCTTTTGTGGGGTGTAGGTGAAGACAGGGATAGTTGTGCTGAGTGTTTTTGTTAGATTCTGGACGTGGGTTGCGGTACTTGGGACTGCGCAGATGAGGGAGGCGTGGCATGTTTCGAGGAAGTATTTTGCTTCTTCGGGATGGACTCGTGGTGCTATACCAAGGAAGGCCGGATTAGTTAGATCTTCCAACTCCTGTCATATAGAGCTCAAACGGGAGACTTTCAGCCCTACAAGAAAGAAAATAAAGAAATACACCTACATAATGGAACAATAACACCCCCAATAACATAAACCGCCAACGCCAAAACCACAAAAGCATAACAACCCCCAGCAACAACCGCAATAAAAACATCTTCCTCTTCTCCAGCTCCAGGCCTCAATCTCCCTCTCTCCTCAACACCCAACTCCCCCCAAATCCTCCCCCTGACATCCAAAACATCCCGCAAAAACTCCGCAATACTCCACGATCCAATCACTCCTCGCTCTTCACAACCCCAATCCCGAATCAAAACCGCCTCCGGATCCTCAATCCAATTGCAAAAGAGATCTATCAAGAACGGCTCCGGAGGTATTGGGATAGAGTGACAGGTCGAAGTAGAAGCGTAAATGCAAGTGGAAGTTGGACGTTCACGAGCATCGCCCGTGATTGATTGGATGGTGCTTATCCCATCAAATGCCGACATGACAGAATGCTCTAGATCAGACACCTAATTAATTTTCCAGATAAATTGTTCGTGTAAGGTACGGAGTATAGTAGGTATGCAATGATAGGCCAGCGACGACACCGGCTCATCGGCTCGATATGCACGAAATCAATAGCGTGGCTGTGAGATAAGAGCTGGACGGTGGGGGTGGGGGATGTGCAAGGCGACGCGAGGCGGGTGGAGACTAACGACTAACGGTGAGGACTATACTGGAAATGTCGGTGACGGGGACAGGTGGTTGTGGTCGGGGCTTGAGCGATTCAAATAAGATCTTTTTTTGTTTTTCTGTGTTTGATGGATGGTTTGATTGAGGATTGGGTTGATGGTGGATGGGTGGGACAGCGTGGAGGGGACACCGCTGTTTCTAGCATGATTGGGTAGGGCGTGTACATCGTTTCGCATAGTTACGTACATTAGAGACTAGAGAGTGAGTGGGTTTGCGGATAAGGTATTACAAGAAGGTTCTTTTGGGCCAGCCTGACAGCTTGTATGGCTTAGGAGCAGCTAGTGGGTGGACAGTGCTTGTTCCGCGATTGGATCGGAGGTTCTGGGTGATGTGTATGCGGTTGGATGTGGAATTGTGGAACGTAGCTGTCGAACCGTGGGGATTGAATGAGGACACAAGCGGGTAGTGTGAACGGCAGTGATGCCTGTCTAATGTATGTCTATGTAGATGTGTGAGGGAGATGGACATGGATGTGTCGTCAGGACTGGTTGTCTTCTCCACGGGAACGTATGGATGGAAAACTAAAAGAAGTGGATAAAGAGTGCGGTGATTCTTGCTGGATATCTCAAAGAAGCTCAATCCAGAGTGGAAAAGTAGATTGAAAACGTAAGAAAAATGTGCTATGAATGCAGTGTCCAATCCAACCCAGTCCAAGCCGGAGACCAAATCCATTGGCCCCGGTGGCTACCCAAAACGCCCATAAAAAGATGCTGATCATGAACTTCCAATCCAGGTCCAATTTCCCCAACCAAATGAACCCAAGTCAATGCTGAAATAACCAAATACCGCAATGCTGAAGTAATCAAGAAAAGCCAAAGAGAATAGCCACAGAATGTGCAGTTATAGTCCAAACCAAGGAAAGTAAACCTTCCAGTTCAGACGTCATAGAGATCATAAAAAAGGCTCCAATGCCCCGAGTATTACAACGAATAAACAATGATAAACAACTTGCCAAAATCGAAAGTGAAGAAAAGAAATCAAACCCAAGGATCAACTTGCATATACGTATGCGGATTCACAGGCCCGATCAATTTGATTTGCGCCTTCAACTGTTCCCGTCGCCGTTCATCTTTCGACTCGGCCATCTTCTTCTTCGCGCCATCCAACGCGAGAAGAACCTGGCTTGTGCCACCTTGGATGACCCGCACCGCCTCTCGTGATCCATTCTGTAGCTGCATCTTGAATGGTGGAGAGAGCGGTGGCGTGGGGTTTGCAATTGAGAATTGCCCAAAGGTCGGGGAAGTAGGACCAGACCGGGTGCCTGGATACCGCTGGGTCCGCGCAGTCTTCTTCTTGGATTTCTTGGGGGACTCCCAGATCGCAGGTCCATATTTTTGATAGTTCGACATGGGTACGGCGAGTTGTTTTTGACGAGGTGGATATGAGCGTGGACTCGCCGGGCTGGGAGGCATTTCACTTGCGGTAGAGGCCGTCGAGATGGAGAGTGCGCGGAGTTGAACATTCACGTCGGAATGAGGAACGACCGGGATATCTGCAGGACGATGGAAAGAAAGGTGTGTCCCCAGTACATCAACCGGGGCAGTTGATGGCCGCGGAGCATCTTTGGCTTTGGCCTCGGTCGAGTCGCGGGACAGCGTCCGGTGAACGTACGTCTTGATCGAATCACGCACACCATATGCCAATCCCAGACCCGGCCGATCGAGCGAATGCCACCGTTTCCGCTTGGAAACATTCAACCGACCATCCTTCTTGCGGGATTTCCCACTCCGCAAGGCTGGACTCGTCCGCCCACCAGCCTGGGAAGCTGACGGGGTCGCCAACTCCGGGAAGAAATCCCACTTCTTCTCGCGGAAGTAGTGATTGGGGCCGCTGCGGTTCTGCGACCATTGAGATAATCGGCCATACTGGGCATCCGACCGGGAGGTTGTCGAATTATTGCCCGACTCGTATTCACTCCCTCCCCCTCCGCCTCGCTCTCATTCACCGACTCGACCAGCGACTCGACGTCCGTGCGCGAGCGAGACTCCTCTGCAATAGTCGGTGGAGATGAAGAGCGGACCGGGCCCAAACTAAGGTGTTCCGCATCTGGATTCCGATCTGCGGGGACCGGGTGATCGACCAAATCGCCATAATCATCAGAGCCCGAACTGACAAAGATGAGATAACTCTCGGTGGAATCGCGCGGTTCACTGGGGCTGGCGACGGTGCTGTCGATGGTGAGTTCGCTGTCGCTGTCGCTGTCGTCGCTCGAGTCGCTCCACATGGCGGAGAACTCGGGCGGATCCTCGGGGAGGGGTTTTGCGGGGAGGGGCTTGTTGAGGAAGAGGTCGGAGCGGGTGGGTGAGCAGGGAGGTTTGTACAGCGTCGTGGTGGAGTAGCCCAGCGTCATGGCGGAGGAGGGCATGTAGGGTGAAGTGGGTGTTGGTGGAATCACTCGCTCGAGGCCTTCCAGCGACCGCGAGGGCCGTACTGGCGGCGGGGAACGGGGATACTTGGGGGAGAGCATCGAGATCGGATCTGTCGGGATGGTTGGTAGGGTTGGGAGTATTGGGAGTGTCGATGAAGAATGATGCCGGCAGAGAGTGGACGAGTTTAACCAATGTGCAGAATTGGGAGAACAAAGAAACGAGTCGTCGGCGAGGTCGACAAGGACAACAAAGACCGTCGACAGGGACTCGAGGCCCAACGGGGGGAAGAGTGGCAGAGGTCGAACAAAGAGAGGAGGAGCCCGACAGTGCGAGAGGGGGCAGCAAGTACACTCATATAAGGAAGAAGATGTCAATCTCTTGGATCCGGATTCTCCCAAAAAAGAAAAAACGAAATAATGTCGACAATAACAGAATAATCGAATAACCCGCAGGAGGTATGCTCGTTTCTCGGCTCCTGCAGCTGCAGAACAGAACGAACGCCGTGCCTGGATGGACCACGCGAGGGGATCCCAAGGGACGCGACCGAGTCGACGAGTCACTGCGTTGCCCGTTGATCAGGACATACTCCAGTCGGAGCATGCAAGTCGATCCCCTCAAGTGCCTGAACCCAGCCAGACCAGCCTCAATTCTCCACTCGAGTTCCCAGCGATCGGCGTCCCCGTCATCAGATGGGTGAGTTTGTGCACGGACGCCTGCAAGGGAGTGGCTGAAGGAGGAGGAGTCAGACGACGTGTTCGGTCTGGGTCGTGGTATGACCGCGCAGGAGGATTTCTCGTGTTGGGAAGGTTCGATCGCGAAAGTCTATAGATCGTAGAGATAGTCGAGATCGTCGACGACTACACTCGATGCGAGACTGCTCGATAGATATCGTCTACACTCCACTACCCTCCGTACCTATGTATAACCAAACCCTCCCTTTCCTGCGCTCTGCCATTGCCAACCGGCCCAAGGCACAAAGATCCTCCCTGTCTAGGACTGGAAACCTGAACCTGATGACGCCACGCAAGGACGCCAACTTTCATGCAGGACGCCGGATCGTCACTAGTGCTCCCCCCTCCAAAACCCTTGCACCCGACTCCACCTGGGCCTGGGGCCTGGGGCCTGAGGGGGTCCAAATTGTACTGGAGTGACTGGAGTGACTGGAGTGACTGGAGTGTTACTGGGCGAACTCCCCCTCCTGGTATGGGAGCTATCCATCGAGACTACAGTACCTACAGTAGGCAGAGGACTAACTTCCACTAACGGGAGGGGGTGTCCTAACGGGCCTTTTTCATCGGCTCGATGGGATCAATTAGGTCGCGAGGACACTTCAACGGGCACACCGCTAGACTGGAATGAGAGAGGCGGACAATCCGGTTCCTGTCAGATATACCCGATGGATGATGATTTGATTCGAGCATGGTGATTCTTTTGGGGATAGTCCACTACTCCAGTTACGGAGTACACATGGTTCCATTATTCAGTCTAACCCAGTCCGGTTATCGTAAGCTAATCTCTCCATTCTTTCTTGTGGAGGACCAGTGGGGCCGTCTAGCCTTTCTCATCTCGAAGTATACACAGACGATATACCCTAGACTATACTGTTCTATATTGTCCTCTCTGGATACCCCCGCTTCTATGTCCTACACTAGACCCCCATCTAACTCAATTTAGCTGCCCTCTCCATCATCTCCCTCGTCAATTCCTCCCCTGGCCGCCGAACCTCACTCAACCGGCCCAACCGCCGTAACTTGGCGATCATCGCTTCATCCCCAAAATGGCTGTTATGCTCGAATTCCGGCTCCCGCGCGAACGCGACCCGTGCCGCGTCCACGATTATCCGCGCCGTCATTCCAAAGACGCGGTAGTGCTGGATGAGCCCCGATTCTTCTTGTTGCGTGAGGGCGTCGACGGCCGCGTTTTGGGCCTTGTTACCCGGGCTGCGAGGCTTGATGGCGTGGTTGGCGCTGCGGACAAAGAATTGGTGCACTATTTCCCAAGGTGGGAGATCCACTTTGGTCAGTCTTTGTTTTTATTTTGTCTTTTTGGTTTTGATTTTCCTTCTTTTTTTTCCCCTTGATTTTTTTTGGGGTAGTGCTGGTGAGACGGGTTTCTTTTTGCTTCTGTTTCTTCTCTGGATGGGAAAAAGCAAGGTGAATCAAAGTGAGAAAGAAAGGGGGAGGACAGGGTTGTCTTTGCCTCCACGACGATCTCCACTGGGAGCATGGTTGGTGCGACACTGCGAACTGCAGTCCGGTATACGGTCGCGAGGATCTATTATTAAATCATAATAGAGACCATACTCCCAACTTGGCTGGTTTCCTTGCTCTTCCACCGTCCCTGGGAGAAAAGCAAATATGAAACGGGGTGGGTCTGGGTTTGACAGCAGGCCCACCCCTTTCCACGCTCTAACCGAGCCATGTGGTGCGTGTGTGTGTCTCTGATCAACCCGTTCGTAGGAAACAAGGTCGATGTGGAGCTGGAAAGGGCTAGGCTGGCCTGCAGGAACCAGAAGCAAAGGCAAAAGCAAAGACCCAGGGGAAACCACGCCGAGGAGCAACGCGAGAGAGGAATGAGGGTCTTCGTCAGGCAAATGGAATGTACCCGAATAGGAAAATGGACCGCCAGGGACTACAGTATGTAGGGAGGAAATCCACCGTCCAGAGTATACAGTACCACTCACAATGGACTCACGATAAACCAAAACAGAATGACAAAAGAAAGGAAAAGTGACTTACTCCGCCAATTACTATTATGCCACAAACTCCACGAACCTCTATACCAATCCCCCTCCCCCTCCCCTCCGAATTCCTCAACCGCAAAAAATCCTCAAATCGCGCCGTAAACACAGCCGCAACCTCACGCGCATCCAGTCGAGGAATCAGCTCCGTCTCGGGATCCGCATTGGCCCCCGTTACCGGGTCAAACGAGTGCAGCAGCGCAACGCACGGCCGCACTACCAGCTCCGTTTTGGCCAGGTTCGCCGGCAACTCGCAGAGGTGCTCGACCGAGAAGGGTGGCGGCAGTGGCTGGGTGACGTTGGGGAGGCCGATCTCTTCGCAAGCTTCGCGGCGGGCCGTTTGGAAGGCGGTTTCTGAGAGGGTGTCTGCTTTGCCTGTGGGGGGTGAGAAGTGGGTGGAGGTTAGTTCAAGCGTTGGAACTTGGCAGGGCAATCGTATATCGAAGCCAAGAAGAGCAATTGTGTTGGATATTGTGAGGTTGCACAAGTAATCTCGGGCCTTCCCTCCCCCTTTTTTTTTGGCTTTTCCTTTCTTTTTTAACCCCGGGTATCTTGAGGACAGAGGTTTCTTTGCTTTTGCTTTGCATCTCTTGCTAACTCAGGGTATAACCATGCTGATCTCAGTACCCGAGGAACTTGGAAGACAATGCCTTCGTTTCTTTTTGGGAAAGCCTTCGACCGATGCTAATCAAACGTACCTCCAGGTAAAGCAGCTTCTCCTGCATCTAGACGCAATCAAGAAAGAACCAGTATTAGCGCTCTGCGTATGCAATGTCGTGCAGCATCGGCTCTGCACGCGTCCTGGCTAACACCCAAGGCGATGCCAGGTCAAGGCCATGCGAGACCGAGCCCGAGACCAAGGCCAAGGGTTGGGAACTTGGGGCTGCAGGCCATTCACAGCGAAAGCCGAAAGCAGAACCCAGGGAAAGGACATGACAGGGCAGGACAGGTATTGTACGTACACGAATTCAATGTCTTAGCCCGAATCGTAACCACGACTCTAAGGTCACCCTGGAGATCGGCATAGAGCAGAATCAACACCGCCGCGCGTCTGGACAGCGGGACTTCGCCATACGCCGTTGGCGGGGGTGTATACTTGCGGAGACGATTGATGGCTTCCTGAGATTCAGAGTTAGTTTTAGAGTCTCATTCATTTGCCGTGTTATTTGCTATGTGATTTGTTTCGCTTTGCTTCTTTTTCGTGTTGGTGGTCTTCACGAGGCCATGCGACACCGGGTTGGGAGTCTCAGTCATTTTGTTGGAGAGATGGATGGGGATGGACATCCACAGGTGTTGGGGAGAGGTTTCATTCCAGGATTACTCTTTGGTAATGGTGTCACTCTTGGAGGTTGGTGACTGCCTCCATCCCCAATGGGTGTGTGAGACTTGAAGGCGAGATTGAAATCTTCAACTCCACACTAGCCATATCGGCGGGCAAGAGCAAGGACAAGATATAAGACAAGAATCTCAATCCTCCACATAGTAGCAGAGTCATGTCTCCCCGAGCGGATATCAACGGCCACGATAGAAGCAAGTCGAGCATAACCCTCTCGGCAGACCCCAAAGTAGAACGAAACCATCCATGCAAGAAGCGGTTATCCACAGAAAATAGTTACACATACCTGCGAAGCAGAATTGAGGGGTGCCATCAGAGTCGATCTCGTTGGCGTGCTCGCGCCCGTGCCGTCCAAAAGTTGCGGTGATGCGCTGGTAAACCCGCGAAGAAACCGGGGACAACTATGAGTATGTCTGGACTCGCGAGTGCTGCTGTGGCGGATGATTTCGAGCAGCTGAAGCTGTCGTCGTCTCATCCCTCGGGAGATATGTATGAAGGAAACTGTAAATAGTGTACCCCGGTCTAGTTATGAGCCCCAGAAGCAATGCTGATTAGGTTCCTGGGTCGCGGGGAAGATGGGTTCGCCGCAGAAAGCGTGGTAGCCGAGGTTCGGTGACTAATGACTGCCGAGAATATCAATCACGCCGATGGAGTGATATACCTGTAGTACTTCGTGTGTACTAAACCTCGCAGTACTGATCACTTTTGTTGTACTACTCCGAATCTGATTCTACCGTGTGAAACAATTCCAGAATGCATCATGTGAGTTGTTATAGTTTCTATCAATACAGGAATGGAATGGTGCTTTTTCACCTCCAACCACCCACCTCACTGGGGCACTCGTCCACCGAATATTTTCAATTCCAGTCTTGCCAAAATCAAAAGACAAGTGGTAGCCAGCGCCAACGACCTGACATGGCGGTGTAGCCCGTCAAACGTGAGACATGAAGAGTGGGAAAGGTACAGACAGACAGCAGAGCCAAAGAGCGAGTCCGGCGAGTCCGGCATCAGCAAACGCTGGCTGGTCAGGCACAAGCGAAAAGGATGAAGAGATGAAGAGATGAAGGAAAGGAAGGAGATGTGAAAGGGGTAATGAAAGTCTATCGACATAGCGGAGATATAACACAGATGAGAACCGAAGAGTCGCCAGGAGCCAGAAAAAGCGAGGAAGCAAAAACATAGTATGACAAAGATCTATAATAACAGAACCAACCCGACCCACCCCATCAAAGCAAAAGTATTCATAATCTACGAGCTCTGGCCCGTCTTGCTCTCCTCCTTAGCAGCAGGAGTCTGCGCAACCTTTTCGCCCTCAGCCATAGCCTCGGTTGCTTCGGGGATTGCTTCTCGGTACCTTCAGCAGCGGCTTCGTGCTTGTTGTGCTCCTCTTTCTCATCGATATCATCGATATCCTTGGGAGCAGCCACACCCTTGCCTTCGCTGTTCTGCTCGTTCTCCTCCTCAATCAGCTCCTCCTGCTCCTTGATAACCTCCAGACGCTGCTTGTTGGTAGCAGCGCCCTCGGCGTTGTGCACCTCAAGCTCGATCTCGTGGAACAGTTCCTCGGGAATGCTCGAGAGTACCGACTTGAGCGCATCAATCTGAGAGGCCATCTCGGACTCCTTGCCACCCTGGGTATACATATAGGCGTTGCTCAGAACCAGCAAGGTAGATGGAACACCCTGCTTGAGACGCAGGTCCAGCCACATGGACAGATCCTCGCGCAGGCGGGCCGGGGACACACCGTGGGTACGAATACCACGGCTAGCAGAGGCCATCTGCAACTCAGGTACGGACAGCGAGTTCACTCCCTCGTAGGAGATGGCCCGGTCGTCGCGCTTGATCTGGCGCATACGGTGACGGATATTGTAACGGAGCATGGCGTCGGTACCGAATGAGTTCAAGTTCATATAACGGCAAATAGCGACCAGCTGCGGGCGCGACAAGTTGTCGAGAGTGAGGTCATCCTTGAAGATCTTGCAGACCTTGATAACGTCCTCGGTAGAAGGCGACTCGCCCGTAGTGCGAATCTTGCGGAAAAAGTCTGCAAACTCCTCGTTCTTGACAGTAGCTGCGGTCAATGGCAGACCAGTCTCACGGAGTGTGTTACGGAGGAAGGCAGAAACTTCCTTGCGGGTGGAGCTTAACTTGAGAGCCTTGGTCTCACGGCCCTTCTGGCCCTCGTAGGTGCTGGGCAGCATATTGGGGAAAAGCTTGAGGGCGACAGGGAGCAGTAGTTCGGCAAAGGGAACAATGACGAACATGGAAAATGGAACCAGACGGCCGAGATCCTTGACGGTACGTTGGAGCTGTACAGAAAGAAGAGTTAGTCGTTGTCATAGCATCGGAAAGTGTCAATTTAAACAGTGATTACAAACCTGGCGGTGCTCTCTCCGACTGAGCTCATAACCACCGGCCATCTTCAGTGCCAACCGGGAACTGATCTTGACTTCCGTGGCAAGCAGCTTCGTGCCATCCCAGTAGTGCTGGACCTCTTTCTTAATCTTCTGACCAATGGTCAACTTCTTAGTCTCCTTCTTCTCTTCAGACAGATTCTTAGCACTCTCCGCCGGGACAGCCTTGGTAGGGACACCACGGGCTGCGGCCTTGGCGACATCCGACGGCGATGGTGCAGCAGGCTTGACAGACTGAGCTTGATCCTGAGGAAGCGGCTTCTTCGCTTGTTCGGCATTGAAGCCGGGCGGCGGGTATGACTGGGGCGACGAGGTCGAAGTGTTGTGCTCGGTAGCATATCCGCGCTGGGGGAGAAGAATAGCGAGAGCCGACACCTGGGCTGGGATGCCTCGGCCATTGTAAAGCAGGCTGTTGGCCGCAGCCAGCGAAGCCGGCCCCAATGCGCTAGCACGAGAGCGAGCTGTTTGAGAAAACCCCAGAGTCAGACAAGCTGTGCAGAAATATATCCTCATCTCTTGAGAACGATCTTACCGGTCAGCGCCGGTCGCAAAGCGGTAGTATGGCGCACCAGGCGGGCTGATCTCATTGTGGCGGACATTTGCGGAAATGTTGAGAGGAAGGGAAAGGGACGAGCCCGAGAATCGAGCAGGCAACAGCGGATTAGCACAGCAACGACCACGAACAGGTAATACTTTGACAATATCAAGATGATTCAAGATAGACCCAAATATGAATGGTGATGGATAAATGTAAGGCTGACATTGGGAGCGGCCGGAAAGATGTCTGTGACGGTCGAGATCATCACGTTTCAATCACGTGATAATATCCGGCTTCGGGGTTTTGGTGTCGGAGATAATTGGCTGGCGGTGATGGGCCCCGATCCCGCCAAGTCTGGCGGTCCCGAACGAGGACCCGCATTAGTGTAAGTGAGATATCTACGAGTCTAGAACAGCAGTGAAGTTTGTATAGTCGTGCGAATGTTCATATCATTAGGATCGTGACAATCTAGACAAGCATTGAAGATCATAGCGGTGTAAACGTTCGTATCATTAGCATCATGACAATTTCCATAACGACCGAATATGCAGTTGGCCCTCCCCTTCATGGAAACAATGTATAGACCTGCCCAAGCACTTGAAAAACACGCAAGATACAAAATCCGAAAAAAAAAGGCAGCAATCAAAGACTGATATCAGGCATCAAAACCATGCATGCTAAACTCGTTGATTATATCCGGAGAAGAAAAAAAAGACGTGCGCGCCAGGGGGTATCATAGGTATTAAAGAAAGAAATGCCCTAGCAGCTAAGATCTCTGACGAACGGTGGAATCGGTGGCTACAGGAGCCTCATGCGCAGTGGTCGTTCCCGCCGAAGTGGGATCCAGAAGCGGAATCCGGTCGATGCTGCCGCGCTTCTCCAGACGAGCGCGTGCATCGGGAGCACCGAGAGCGCCACTGACAGGAGTGTAGCTATCGGGGAGAATGAGCGGACTAGTGGCAAAGTCAGGAGAACTCTGCCATCGCACGACATCCTTCCTCAACTGCTCCAACTCCTTCTGGAAGCGCTTGCCAAAGACATCGATGTAATAGGTGGCTCCGTTATGGATGCTCCAGATAAACAGGGCGGACATGTAGATACCGCTCGCCCATCGCGACCAGAACCAGATCGGGCTGGGAATCATGGTGGACAGAGCGAAAGTGTACTGAATTAACATGAAAGCGGGCTCTTGCAGCGCATTTGGTAGGCTGAGAACAAACTTGCCAATCCAGGCCTTGGCGTACGACTTGCGGAGCCAAGTAAAGCTTGTCGGACGCCCCGCAGCGATCTTGTCGGCGCGGCGAACGGTGATCATGAAGTGGTACGACAGCTGCCAAAAGAGGTAAGGTACGGTGGCCCACACAATCATTGCACCCAGAGAGTAGTGTTCTGGATCCCCAGGCTGGCTAAACTTGATAGCATAGACAGCTGGGAACCGTTCCTTGAGCATCTCGACGGGAGTCAAATGAACGATGCAGTGCAGCGTAACTGGAGGCATGATGTGAATGAATAGACTGTTAGATAAGATTTAGAATGTCAGCTAAAGGCCCTTTTCCTTGAATCTCACATTCTGGAATGGGGAATCCATACCTGACCACCTTGTCCATACTGTGGAAGACCAGAGAGTTACGCCACATGGCGATGGCCGCGGCGTTGTTTCCAAAGGTCAAACAGTAAGTACTGATGAACAACCGCTTAGAACCCGGGAAGGCCCAGATCGAAAGCATGCAGAGCAGGTTGACAAAATAGCACAGATCGGCCAAGAAATAGTGGTATCCCTTGGCATGATAGGTATAGTAGCGGATGGGCATGAAGTAGGCCAGTTGCGCGGTGAACCAGTAGTAGAAGAACTGGGGGCAGGCACCGATGAGATAACCACTGATGAAGATGTTGAGCACACCAGCAATGAAGGAGATCTTCTCGCGCAGAGTCACGGTGGCCGTCTTGTTCCACTGTTTACCCAGACGCTCGACGCCATCCTTCATGCGGCGGCGGTACTTTTCCAGCTGCTCATCAGCGGTCGGTACTCGACGCTTGAACTCGCCCATCACTCGATCCTTGGCGTTTATTCCCGTCGACCGCAGCTTCTCGCGTTGTTTGCGAACTTTCTCGCGCTGCATGTTGAGCGCATTCTGCCATTTCTCGAACCGCTGCGACAGCTGGATGTTGTCGAGGAGATCGAAGATGGTGAGCTTGTCAAGTGGCGGAAACGTCTCCCAGTCCTCCTGGTAGGAACTGCTATTGGAGAAGGACGGGTTGCGCGAAAGCTTGCCGGGGGAGGCGGGCGGCGAGTAATAGTCATCGTGCTCGAAGTCATCCAGGAACGGGTTGTCGACCATCTCTTCGATCGAAGGGGTTGTAGCCAGCGAGTCCGCGCCCATGGTCGAGTCAGACTTGCGGCGCTCGCGCGCGCTGGATTCCTCCATGAGGAACTGTTGTTGGAAGGAGAAGAGGGTTGGACCGTCCCGATAATGGGGATAAGGCCGGCTGAGGAAGCGACCGAAGGTTAGCATTCCCATCGTGACAACAGAAAATTTGGAGCAACCGCCGAGCAGCGGCCAGAGCGGGCAGCAGCCTTCTTCTTATCTGTGCGCATCGAGGGCAACAAGCAGTGTCCCCTACCTTATCGGACTGTCCGAACCACGGCAGGTATCACGCGGGAGTTGTAAGCGCGTTGTGGTTGGCGAGCCAAACCCAGCGTATGCACCGAAGAGTGGACTTTCTTTTCACGAAAACGGCGCGATCGTGAGGGGCCAGTTGGGGGAAGGCAAAGTCCGGGCGAGGATTTGGGAGAAGGTTGAGACTGGCACGAGCAACCAGGAAGCTCCGTCATAACACACGCCCTGGCGGTGGCCGGCCATTGGACTATTCCGCAGCCAATCAGATCGGCCCGTCCGAGCCACATGTCGACACCGTCAGAACTGTAGTACAAGTAGTTATCATTAGTTAACTAACTACAGTACACCTGACTCATGAGCTGAGGCGATCATCTGTTATGATGGAAATCATATTGGATCCAAAATTGATTATCTAAACCATACAAAACAAATGGACAAGCCTGGTGTTTCTTCGAGCACTGCATTATCTAGTATATAGTTCCAAATAGAGACAGAACTCTTGATCAATATGTACTTAGCTTCGTCTGGCCAAGGGTGTGCTGTGTCTACTCTGAAGGTCTTATGCACATCGTACTGATCGATAAAGCAGCCCCATAGTCCGATCTCTCTGTGGTTGACAGTTGACACCATGTGGTGGCGAGGAGGTGGGATCCAGCTACCTAATTGATAACCCTGACAATAGCCCCCAACGGAAGTACCTAAAGTGTGCAGAACCTAAGAGTAGCAACATAGCCCCGTCAGCTTGGCCTGCTCCGATCAGATGACCGGAGAAATGACCGGATCCCGATCTGGAAGAGAATAGCTTACTATACATACCGCTTAAGCTGACTCCAATACGTCTACGAATCACTGGAGCAGACTGCACAGTAGGTGACCAGCCCAACAGCTAAGAGTTGAGATTAGTACCTACCAGTCTAAGATTATGCCCGCTGTTTTCAGAGAATCTGTGGTCATGTCCTTGTAATTAGAAGCCTTGACCGAAATTTTGAAAACGGCCTTGGCTCGAGTCAGCCTAGGTGCCGTGCACATTACTTCTTCCCGGTCTTCCTATCTATTGCGGTATGCACTGGAATGGTTTCGAAGGCACGGGCGACCTATGTAGCCGTCGGACAATGGTCTCTCTCTAGCCCATAGTAGGGCACCCGGTAATTCGACGGAAACATTCGTTAGACTCGTCAATATTTGACCACGGTTACTCCGTGGGATATATCCCGCTCCTCGGTGCTAGCCCCCAGTCATACTAAGAGGAGGTCAATTGACCCTTACAAACAATATTGCCGGGGACTCAAGGACTCCAAATGCCCTCTTTTAATATCTCTGTGATTTTGAAGAACCAAAGGTATGAGCCCTCTCGGGCTCCTAGACGACATCATAACTAAAGAATATGTCGCAAGTGATACGCCCAAGGTAAGCCAATTTTTCTTTACATCTTTGACAGGCTCAAGTATACTTCGAGATTTTCTAGCTCTTGGGCTTTTTAAAGCAAGTAAAATACAGGGGGGATTCATACCGAAACCAAGTTAATCTTGTGGATTTAAGAAGACCTTTCTTCCACTGACCTTGCCGTCATCCAGCAAATCCAACGCCTGTTGAGCGGACTTTAGCCATCCTTTTGGCCATAATGCAGGGTTGGGCCATACCGAGCGATTTCTCAGGGCTTCCGGTAAATAACTTTCCAGGTACCACACACGCAATGCTCGGTTTGCTTCTTGGGAGACAAGGGTCTCGGAGTATCCTCCCCACTTCTTCTGAACAATTTTAGGTATCTGATCATCTCCGGGTGAAGGACTGGTTGAGAAAAAGCGGCCACCAGTTTCTCGAAGCAAATCAACCATGAGTTGTGTGGCCGTCTGCGAGCCAATAGCCTCAAATATTCCTTCGCAAGGGCCATGAGCTCGTAGCTCCCGGAAAATATCTTCTATCGGTTGGCAATGATCGATTATATGGGCTGGATTGTGCTCCTTAACAAGCTTCTTATTCGCCGTCGATGAGATGGTCACGACCTCATACCCGGCATCGGTAGCATACTTTACGGCCAGTCCCCCACTGCTGATGATCCACCATACAAGAGCATTCGCTTTCCTTTGTACCTTTCCAGTAACTGGAGGCAAAGACAACGGTTGCTAAGTTGGCGATAACCCCCGAGGCATCTCCAAAGGTGATCTCTGGCTCAAGTCTCAATGCATTCTCCTCCAAGAGCTAGTGCATATTTCTGAAGTGCTCCAAACTTGTTATCACTTCCAGCCCGGCCCCATCGGGCCACCACTACTCGATCGCCCGGCTTGACTGAACAGACATTAGGTCCAGTGGAGATAAATGTCCCCGCAAATGTGAATCCCACAATGAGCGGTTATTGTGGTTGAAATAAATTAGACCTTGATGCGATTCAAGATCAGCAAGACGGTCTAAGACGCCGACTCCCGTACACATATCTTTGAAGTTTTGCGTCAATGGGGTTGAAGTTGACAGCCTCAACTCAGACCAAAAATTCACCACGGTCTGGGAACCCAGTTCTCAACGGTCTCTACCTCAATCAACCCACCAGCTTCCTTGATCCAGGCGGCCTTGTTCGACGCCATCGTGGGCGTTGAAAATGAAACAATCAAATGCGAAGAGAACCTGAAATCGAGAGGGCGAGGCTTTTATCCAAGTTAAGTAAATTGCTAACTTTTTTTTGACCTTCTAACCTATAACTACCTAGTCAACTAAATGAAGAGATATTTAAGTTAGCTGGATTTGTCATCGGAAAGAACAATTGCTAACTAAGCGATGGGGCTGGAAGACCAGATCTCTGGGCTGATTATCTCAAAAGCACATGGAAATTGTGGGCAGTGTGGGCTCGATAACTAAGATTCTGGTATAAAGGATGCATGAAATGGCATCAAGAGTAGCCATTTTCGGCGCCGAAGTTACTGTTACCTAGCGTTGTGGTGTTACTTAAATCTCAATAATTATTCAGTGTAGGATAACTCAAGATAAACAACACCAGCAAAAAAGAGAGAAAAAATTGCAACCAAAAATATGTTCCAAACAGCCTTCCCAATATATGCTCTTAATCGTATTCGTGACTCGTTACCTTTCAAAAATTCCTCCATGTGCTCAAGACGAAAAATAAAACGACATTTTCTCCAACCATAGTTCAATATCCAAAATGTGAAACTTGGGGGACATGAGTAACGGCAGGCCAGTAGCCCCCGGGAGCTGTTTTTTCAGTGGCCATGAACTGCTGGCCATAATATCCTGGCAGATAATTAGGCTCCAGGGGCATTTGCTTGACAGTGGTAGGAGACTCCTGCGGCAGCACGCCCGGGCCCATAGTGGTGGGATATGCTCCAAAAGTCGGGCTATGTGGGCCGCTTGAATCGCTGGCTGTGGGAGACAATGGTATGCCCTGTGAGCCTGGGTGTCCCAGGGGAGCACTATCGTCTAGGTGCAAACCATGTTCGGCTCCAAAGCCTTGGGCATCTTGGACATCCAGCTCATCATCTAGTGCTTTGATAGGCGCGACGTAAATACTCGAGGATAATTCGTCCTCGTGGTAGATAGCCTCTGGGAGATGGGTGTGGATGACCTGGAGTCGGGCGTTTGCATCTACTTCTAGTTAGCGGGATAGTTTCCCAATGAAGGCTTTAGGGGGATCATTCACATACCTAGCTCTCCGTTCAGATATCTTTCTTCCATCTCTCGCACAAAATAGATTTCATCGAGCACTTGGAGCCGATGTGCAGGACTAATCTGGCGGCGAACGTCCTGTCCAGCTTCGCGTAATTTGTCGGCAGTGACACCGTGGCTGTCCTTGAGCTCACAGAGGATATGTACAAGAAGCTTCAAGCGGTCTATAATTCGTCAGTTATTGTTTGAACTGAATTAGATGCGACTCTCCTCAGAACTCACCGCGCTTGAGGAGGTGATCCGGCTCCCGGTGCAGAACACCAACAGGCCACCACGCTGGTTTGGTCTGTTCTGGGTCCACGCGCTGCGATACACCTGCAATAACTTTACGTCCATTGTACGGAAAGTGAACCTGTTTTCTCGGTTCCACGAGCTTGATGTATGATTTGGCAATGGCTCGACAATTCAATTGCTGGAAGTCTTCGAATGCCTTCTCATAGTATCGTCGTAGCAGACCCCGGTCCCCAACGCGGAGCATGGTACGCCCGGGTCGAGGAGTTGGCGATGGGGATGTGGATTTGGGTCTAGCAGTGGCTGTACTCGCTCTCCTAGAGTCGCGTCGTCTTCGCTTGTTCTGGTCCAGGAACTGGCATGGTATCAGCTCGGCAGGCCTCGTCTGCCCGGCATGCACCAGACCAGGGTTTTGTTGGACACCAAAAAGTGATCGGTCCGCCATATGAGTAGGATCTAGGCGAGTTCAAATAACAGTCAAAGGATGCTCAAGAGCAACTTTACTCAGAGTGACCGGCTTACTGGGATGGAATTGCATGTTGGCCATAGGGCTTGGTGCTGCCAATTTCACAAAGTTGTCTGTCACCTCCGGTGTGAAGATAGCGCCACCACAGCCAGCAATTGAGGCGGATGCTTTCACTCGAAGCTCGCCGTTGTGATCGAGATAGATCATGGCGTAGTGTGGGTGTGGGAATTCCAGTGATTGGGCCTATCACACAAGTTCCATGTGTCAGCGCCCATATATCGCCTTTCCTATACAACGTATAGATGTCTCAATTACCATCTGGGATGTTTGAAGCACAGATGTGTCTGAGTGCCTTCGCTCAAGGGCGTCACCGACGCCTAGATGTGGTCGACTCATATCCATGGCTTTATATTCTGGGAGAGCAGCTGGTCGTCTGGAAGGTTACTTCCTCCCTGTCAAGTGGAAACCACTGTGATATTGGCAGAACACACGGTCGAGTCGACTTCCAAGGGGGATGCTGAAGTTTAATCGAAGACGCGGGGCGCCTCAGGGGTATATGACTTTACTTTATGGAAGTAGCAGAGTGATCTGGGTGGGAAGAGACTCCGGGACACTCTGCAGGCTGCCGATGGAGATAGATTCCGGTACCATCTGCAGGGAAGGATATGGGACTCGACATAATTTTACTGGGGGAAGACCAAAGAACCGCGTTAGGAAGAATCCGGCCGACTCTACAGTAGTTTCAGCAACTATGTGCCAAAGTACTACATGTAGCCTCAGCCTAGCCCAAGTTTTGGCAGATCTCCACTTGATGGCGTTCCTTGACTATGCGAATCGGCGACGTTCTAGCTAGCTGATGCAAGGACGAAAGGGAATATCCACCGGGGCCCAGTTCGTGGCAATAAGCCGGCTTCTCCGGTTTTTCATTTTACAATATTTGATTACTTGAATCAGTGTATCTCTGTACTTTTGCACAATGGACCCAGACCTTGTGATTTGATCGACCGTGCACACCTTCCCCCTTCCAATCTTTCATTATTGTTAGTTTTCACAGTCTCGGTCATCTGCGGATTATGGCAGAACGCAATGACAGCTGTGAAGGTAGAGCTGGCGCAGCATTACTCTGTGCTACTCATTCGTCCCGTCTAATTCCCGGTACCATGGTCCGACGCCTCAAGGGATCCGAGATCGTCTAACTCAGGATGGGAGCCAGGCGATCTTGCGCTTGGACAACCCCACTAGCCACAGAGGCTTTTCGACGGGCATCAACCTTGAAGGCACCGGGGCAGTGGTACACGTACGCCATGGGCATAACTAGCGACGGGGAAAGCGATAGAATCCCACGATCTACAATTTTCTCCAGACATTGGCAAAAGCAAACAAATGCAGAAGAAACGTCAGCAGAAGAAACGTCAGCAGAAGAAACGTCAGCAGAAGAAACGTCAGCAGAAGAAACGTCAACAACAGAGATGGCGGTAGGTTGTCAGGGGATATACTGGTTTAACTCAAGCACCCAAACGCACCGAATCGAGAGATTATCCAATCAAAAGTAAAGGGATAATATTCCCCCACAAATCATGACGTACGATCGCCGATCGAACGAGTTGGCCTCCGCCAAGACTGTATGATCCTAGTAGGGGCATAGGGGCAGCGGGTCAGGGCAGTTAAGCTGCACACTTCAGAAGATAGTCTCGGACATAAGTTGAGCAATCTTACTCGGCATCAATTTTGGCGTCAGCTGGAGGATGCGAAGTACGGAAATTCGTATACTTTTCCAAGAGCATGCAAAAGGGTCTGGAGCCCCGAGCGGTCACTTCCAGGTTAGGTGGCGTACATAAATGGCCCATCCTAATCACGAGGAGCTCGAGAAGCTCTTTGGTGTGTAGGTTTCCATACAGGTCAATAATACGATCATCTGTGCGCACATCTAATCGGCGATGATGGCAAAGCAGAACCGGCCCCTTTCTCCGCTTTTCAGGCCCCATTTAGATCCAGAGGGGTCCAAACCGCTAAACGGCTTGGGAATTTGTGTAACCAATAGTTAGGCGATCCATGGTTCCTCGGATAGGGCCATCGAAACAACCATCGAATCTTGAGCTTATCCAAATCCATGGATTATCGGACTCGGGCCGCTGGATAGACGTCAAGACGGGTACACACTGTTTGACACCGGTTTGACTTTATGGCGTCTGGAGGTGGAGGCTCGAGTTCGAGAGCAGTTCTTCCCCCCCCCCTCTGCCCATGAACTACTATGATTATTCTTTTCTTTGGTAGCTTTTAGTTCTTTCCTTTTTTTTTAATCGTTGCTTTTGACTAATGACAAATACCTACAGACCTAATTACAGCCCGAGAACCGTTCAGCGGCGTGTACGACCTCTTCTCGGCCGTTAAACGTTGCATATCAAGACGAACCCGAGCAGAAGCCGAAGATGAACCCAACGTCAACGTTATCGGCCGTGTCGTTATTTCATTTAGCAGACTAGGGGATACAGCGTCCTCATCGATCCATTAGGAACCGTTCCCTTGTCCCGGATCGACAATCAAGTCTTCCTCAAGTAGACGGGGACCTGCGGATCACGAACGAAGACCTGATCGTCGCATGTTACGGGAGCGCGGGGAGTAGCCAATTGACAGGGTTTCCATTTGCATATGTATTCGCTAATGGTTCCCGTAAAAGTCGCAATCACTAGTACTGAAAGTCTATTCGATTGTAAAGGTACCTTTCCCCTCTACAGTCTAACTTCAAAGCCAGTCTTGCCCAATATACCTTGTTGGTTTCTTCTTTGTGGATAGATTAACTATTGCCAATCAGACTGGCGCCATGAATCGACGGAAAATTCGCCCAGGAAGCATCATTGGAAAGGCCCAACTGCGACCTGTGGACTAGGGTGGGCTATCGGGAATCCCCACTTAAGTACCGTTCGTGATGCTTTAGACCAACATAAGAACAATACAAACAGGCTAGAAATTGGATTAGCAGCAGTACTATCATTGTTCCCGATGCAAAGGTATATCTTCTAGATGAAGAAAATGTCAATGAATAGCAATTGGTGATTCAAGGGTCCCGGAACACGTAATGTTGACTAGTCAATTAGCTAGCAACTAGCAGGATAGCATTTCCATCTTCCCACCGTCCGCACCATAGCCTTATCTTGGCAGAAAGTCAAAGATTGCGATCTGACAGAGATACTCTTACAGTAGTCCGCTTTTTAAAACGACCAAATTTCCTGGTTATAGTTACTCATGGCTGTCTTTCCAAGCACTGCTGACCTGAAGAGTATCGACCAGAACTCTCCAGTGGAGGTGGCGTCGAGGGTGCCAGGGCCTGCACCCCTTGCGTGGCAGCGGGGTAGGCGACACATACACTCAAGTGGCTCCGTCTGTGCAACACTGTATCCGAAGTCCGATGAACCCTATCCGAAAAATCTAGGCGGGTCTGAACGCTATTACTGGTGCCTTGAGAGCTCTGCGCATCCATGTTAGCTTCCGCAGTTCGCCAGTGCTACAAATCCCGTCCGTATGGTAGGGGTAGTATGTACTCTAGACGGTATAGGGCGCCAGGGTTCCATCGGTGCTGCAGCCTCAATTTCCATTGTAGGAAGATTGCAGGGCGACGAATCCTACGACCAGAGACCTGGAAATGCGGTCCTTGGCGTGCATTCAAATCGGATCGGCATCCCCACGGCTGTAGGCGGCTTATGTAGATGGCTTGACGAAGCAATCAGTCCCATCCTCAGCCGCAATAATACTGAACAGCATCGATACTTGCGTTGATGTTGCTTGTAAGTTTGAGGCAAAATATCGAATTCATGCTCATTGAGGCAATATCTCGATTCAACATTAGCACCATCATCGAGCGCATACCAGTGATGCTGCTATGTCGAGGCTCTGCAAAATGCAGCGAGGAGGCGAGGGCGCTTTGGTCGGGATTTGAAATTGATGGCGGAGCGGAGTGGAAGTGGGCGTCGATTTGTTGCGGATTCCACTTAATTCAATACTCCACGGATAAACAGGCTTTTACGGGGTGTTCCATCGCCAAGACTCGTGTTCAAATCAACATAGGCTCGTCGATCAAGATGGATTCCGAAAGAGGTAGGTTTCCTCTTTTGTTATGGCCGATTACCATCTCTACAGCTTCTCCGAAATCTGCGTGCTAATCTAGTATAGTCTCTGGTCCAAGATTCACACGCATCCTAGTATATTGAAAACGACTAGCTACCTTCCCGCTAAGCTTTGTACAAAGAGGATCCTCCTGATCCAGCACCCACACTCCCCTCCAAACAAAGAGACGTCTTGCTCTGCCCAACATCCATCCGCAAGCCACATACTTCGCTCCTTATCTATAGGTTAATAAACTTCATCCTAAAGGTTCAAGATAGCAGCACTCGAGTACGGCAACTCCAGTTCCACCAAGCCCTTGGAATTCACATGCACAGTCTGACCAATCGTGACATTCGACAACCGAACAGGGTTGCCACCCTTCAATTCATAGTTATATGACCAGCCGTCCCAGGTAATACCCGTGATAGCATCGGTTCCATTTGCCAGCAGCCGCTGCACAGATAGGGACTTGCTCGGGGTCTCGGACAGATGGAACTGGTAAGTGGCGGATGGTCGGGAGGCCGAGGCTGCGTCTGTACCCGTGTAATTGTACTCCTGCATATTGATCACCGCGATGCGGGCCAGCCTTCCATTGACATACGTTGCATAGGCAGCGTCTGTTTCTTGAGTCATGGGTAGGTTGACCACTTGAACGTTGGAGTTGTGCTCGCCTTTACCGCCGTTCAGCATAGCGGCCACCATGGCATTTCCGTAGTATGGTGCCTTTGTACCCATTGATGTCTTGTTGGTTTCAATAGGTTGCCACGATGCGTAGCGATAGTCCGTTCCCTGATGCATGTGGGTGCGACGAATATTTTGAGAGGCACAGTAGAGATTGAAGTCGACACCCCAAAGAGCGGCACCAAATGAGTTGGACAGACCCGGCTTGCCCTGGTGATAGAGGGAGTTCATTTCACCTAGGATATAAGGAACTCCTTTAGCTAAATTGTTTTCCTCTAAATTGTTTATCACGGCGACGTGATTTGCAACACTTTTGATGACTGCGGTATGGTTCATGAGGGTATGCGCAAGCGTAACTCCAGGAGAGTCTGCACCGCCCATGTAGCTAGTGATTGTTGGAGTCAGCAATAGATATAGCACCTCGGATTATAACTTACTTGTGCATGGAGTTCATCCCAACATCATTATCAGAATTCAGGCCATCCTGCCAAGTCTTGACGGGGTTTAAACGATTCGAAGGACCTGCAAAGGATGGGGCAAGATACTTGTAGTACTCTCCATGGGCCATGTCAGGGCAGGCCTTGGACAATTGGCGCTGAACTATGCGTGTCTTCGATAACCATTCATCAACATAGTCCTGCTCTGTCCAATTTGCCGGACGAACTTGGCCAGTAAACAAATCGGGCTCGTTGCCCATCTCCCAGTGGGCAAAGTTGCCATTACTAAGGGCTTTGCATGCCAGTGGAACAGTTGATATCAGGGTATTCATGGCCGCAGTCGTCTTCTTTCCGAGATTGAATCCATGACTGAACTTTGCACCTGGCCAAGTATTGTAGGCCTCAAAATAGGACGGGCCGATAGAGATGATGTATGGATAGTCAGAAGACACGGAGGGAACCACGGTGCCATTGATCTGGGTCTTGAGATTTGGATCATATAAAGCGAAGTCCCTGGTCCAAAGTTAGCTCAATCACATTCATATGATATTAATTTGATCTTACTGGGTATTGCCCCCGACTCGGATATATGGCTTCACACCTTGTAGGTCAGCCAGGTTGTCCAGCAGCTGATTGGAAAATCGATTCGGCTTGGATTTGTTTCCTATGAAATGTCAATTCCAACACTTTAAGCTCTATTTGTTCTCAGAATATACCTGCAAAGTCTGGGAAAGAAGAAAACTCAATCGAAAATGAGACAAATGGAGCCAGAATTCCTGAAGCTGCGTCCTTAGGCACAGTCTTACTCACACTGACCGCAGAGCTAGACGGCGCAGCCGTTACCACGGCAGCTGTGAAAAGTAGCGAAATAAACATGGCATCGACGTTGGATACAGACACCAGAAAGAGCCAGTGATGGAAAAAGTTTTGAGTGAGATTGCTCGGTGAATACCAAGCGCTGCTATTCGCGATTCAAGGGTATTCGCAGGTGGGACAGATTTATACTTACGTTCCACCACCATTGCCGACGCCACATGAGTAGGTTAATGAGGTTGAACTTTTTCAAGCCTTCAAAAGCCGCCATCGCCGACACCAATGCTAAATAGGAGCGAGACATGCCGTCTGTCAAGCTGGTCATTGGCGCAAAATTCAGCAAAATTGGACTTTTAGTGCCGGGGTCGTCGGCATTGTGATGCGGGGGTTACATCTGGGGTTGTGGAGAAGCGATCATTGCAGTTTTCGACAGGCATCGGCTATTGACATCAGATGCCTTTGTTTGCTTGCGGCTAAAAGGGGACTTCTTGGATCTACATCCCACTGTAGCATTACTCGTACATGCAGCACCAAAAGTGTATATGTGGAGAGACTAGGAAGACAAGACACCTAACCCGTCTGCGGATTTAGCTTAAATCCGCATCAAATTGCCAATGGCGAAGTATGTGAATAATGTATACTTCTCGATTGCAATAAGAATCCTGGTATCAATCAACGATATTGGATAGATACGACATTGGCTCGGCAATTGCAGCTGTCCCCTGTCACCGTTGCTTCGCCTAATAGAAAACAAGAAGGAAACTCAAACAAGTCGACGAGACGAGAAATAATCTACACTAGCGAAGAAAAGAAAGAATGTGTCATGAAATCCATTTCGATCCTCCCCTGAAGGCTTAAGTATATTTGCGGAGCTATAAGAGGAGATGTTAGTCAGTCCGAGAGCCCAATGATAAGCGAGGCATGTACAAAGGGAAATACTCACATCGAGGGTCAAAGACTTGCTGCTGTTCTCCACCTGGTCTCGGTAGATACCAACGAGAGCTTCACTGTTCTGGAACAGTCCCGTCTTCAAACTGATGACGATGAACTGCATCCCAGGGGCAGCATGGTCGTGAATGTAGTTGGCAATACGGGCCACGTTGGTGTTGTCGAGCGCAGCATCAACTTCGTCAAGCACGAAGAATGGCGATGGTTGGTAGGAGTGAATGGCAAACAGTAGGGCAAGGGCTGCCATTGTCTTCTCTCCACCTGACAAGTGCTCCATGTCTCGGAAACGCTTGAGTGGGGGCATGGCGTGATACTTGATACCATCGAGATAGGGCTCGTCTGAATCCTCGATATCCAAATATGCTTGTCCACCCAGAGGGTAGTTGGTACTTCGGGTCAGCTCGCGATAGATGGGGCCAATCTGCTCTGAAATATGCGTGAAGGCCTTGTTGAAGAGGTCGGATCGCTTCTTCATAACTGCCTCGAAATCGTCCTTGGCCTTTCGAGCATACTTGCGAGCATCCTCAAAGTCTTTCTCCGTGCTGCGCAGTTTGTTCTCGACACTTTCCAGGCGTTCCATTGCGCGTGTGTTCGGGGCCATCTTGTCCAGTTCGCTGTTGAGAGAGCGAACCTTCTCAAGCAGTTCCTCTTCAAGCTTTTCGTCGGTTCCCTGGATGAGAACATTAGTATGAAAAAGATCACCCTCGTTCCAAATCAGCGGCATACCTCTTTGAGGGATTCACCAAGGGAATCAAAATCGACTTCAATTCCGTAGTCCTGCACAACCGGAGTCTCATCCATGTCATCGGCCTCGTCTACATCCATAGCATCCGGGTCGGCGGCCTGCACCAAATCATCAATGGGAAGCTTATCGAGGCTATTCGACGAGTCGGTAAGTGGAATATCAATGTCCTCAAGCTTGCATCGTCGTAGGAGGGCATAGCGACTGGACGAATTCCGCTGGATTTCGGCTTCAAGGGCGTTGATGTTCTTGAGAGCTCCCTCAACGTGCTTGCTGCGCTTCTGAAGTTCCCTCCGCTGCTCGGCCAGATTCTCTGCCGACTGCGCATAGATTTCCTTTTGCTGTTCGAGATTCTCGCGTAACAATTCAAGCTCAGCATTTGCCTCATCCAGACTATTGCGAATCTGCTCTTGCTCGCCCTTGAGCTCTTCAATCAAGCTCATGTCACGCTCGTACTGAGCCTTGAGGCCACTAATCCGGTCGTCGGTAGCTTGGATTCGCTGCTTTTCAAAACTCAGCTGGTTCTCAATGCGGCTCTTTTGCGTTGTGAACTCAAGCTTCTTCTGCGAGGCCTCCTCCTGCAGGGAGCCCTGCTGGGCTTCGTATTCACGAATATGCTCATATCCCAAACGCTTGCAGAACTTGCGATAAATCTCGTCTTGGACCGTGCTAACGGAAGCTTGTGTGTTCTCGATAGTTTCGTCCAACTCATCGAGGTTTTCCTTCCGCTCGGTATACTTAGGTCGCAAGTCTTCGTGCTGCTGTTTCACAAAGTCGAGCTCGCTGCGCTTGCTCTTGATGTTCCTCTCTAGAGCCTTCAACTCCTCCTTGGCATAGTTCAGCCGCTGTTCGAGGCCAACCAGCTCACCCTGAAGAGTCTCTTCCTCGGAGCCTCGTCGGTGGCTCTTGGGAAGGTTCGCAAGGTCTGCGATCAGCTTGTCCTTAAGCTTGTGGAGATTCTCCACTTCAGAATCCTCCCAGCGTTTGGAGGAATTCTGCTGAGGGCCTCGTCCACCAGTCATCAGACCGCCCTTGTGAATCACAGTGCCATCCAAGGTGACTGCCTTGGCATCGACATTCCGCTCGTAGCACAGGTATTTGGCAGTTGCGAGGTCATCACAAACGATGGAGTTACCGCAAGCATAGCTGATAGCTCGTGCAACAGAATCATCATAATCGATGGTCTCAATGGCAGGACGCATGCTCCGGTGCATACCCTTCAGGTTCGAGTTGAAAGCCTTGACCTGGATCGTCTCCAGGGGAATGAAAGTGGCTTGGCCAGCCCGCTGGTCACGCAAATGCTGAATGCACTCCTTAGCGGTTTTCTCGTTGTCCACGACAATGGCGTCAAAGTGACGGCCTAGAACAGTGCTGACTGCATCGGCATATTTCCTCTGCTTCGGCCTGCAGAGGTCACTGACACGTCCTTTGACACCGGGGAAGATGCGCTTCAAAGTCGAGACCAGCTCCTTGGCCCGAATTTCCCGTTCATTCTGCTTTTTGCCATCGTCGGCTTCTAGAAGCTTCTTCAGAACAACCTGGAGCTTCTCTTCGAGCTCCGTCCGCATCTGAGAGATCTTCAGACGCTCCGATGTCAAAGCGTTCAGATCTTTCTTCTTGCGGTCGATTTCCTTCGAGGTGTTTTTGATGGTATCAGTAAGAGTCGATTTGCGTTCATTCATGCTGGAAGCCTCTGATTCAAGGTTCTTCAGTTGCCATTCAGTGCTTTCGAATTTGCCTTTCAAACTGTTCACAGCCTCCGCCTCGGTCTTCCGTTGGCGGCGAAGATTATCTAGATTGAGTTGATCTGCAGAGGAGCGCTTGCTGACCTCTTCCCTCAACTTGTGGTATTCCAGCTGATCCGCTTCACTCATCTGGATTCCCTGTTTGCTCATGGTCTTTTGCCACTCGGCTTCCCATTGAGCCTGGGCTTTCTCAACGAGTTTGAGGTCTTTCTCGAGCTGCTTGCCATTGTTCGCCTGTGCCGTCCGCTCTTTGCCAATCTCAGCGATCTTTGAGGAGTAACGCTCTACTTTCTTTTGCGTAATATCGATCTTCTCGTCAATCGGTACCAGGGAGTTGTTGAGGTCTTCGATATCCTTCTCTTTTTTAACGATGTTCTTCTCGGCCTTTCCAACGTCCCTACCGACACGGGCATGGTCCTTCTTGGCTTCCTCGACGTTGTGTTCGTACTTTTCCACGCCACGGCGGAATTCCTTTAGCTCATCCTGGTACTTCTGGATATCGGCACTGGACGCATCGATGAGACGCTGAAAGTGGAACAGCTTCCACAGGATGTGTGTGATAATGGCCTGGTCGCGCTCCTCGGCTTTCTTCGCGTAGTTCTCTGCTTCTCTCTTCTGCTCCTGGTACTGCTTAACTTCGGAGTTGATGCCTCGTCGACGGTTGAGCTGGACAGTCTGCTGTTCTGCGGCTTCTTCCGCCTCTGCCTTCAATTTCTCGTATTCAGCCTTGTACTCCAAGCTGCCGGAGATCTGCTCGATCAAACGAGTGAGGTCCCTCGGGGACTGTGAGGCAATAGCCTCGACGTCACCCTGGAATACCAGGAAGTTGCGCGCTCGGATCAAGATGTTCTCCTCTTCCAGCGCTTCGTTGTACTGCTGAGCTGTCACGATTCGGTTGTTGATGCGGTACTCGCTGACACCTTGGCTGGTGATCGATCGGCGCCATTGCTGCTCCTCGCCAGCGTCGTCTTCATAGACGGCCATGACCCAGGCAGTCTTAGGGTCGTTCGCGCTGCCTGTATCCTGCGATTCGTCCATAACATCCGCATCCTCCTCCTGTTCGCCGTCCTCTCCATTTGTAGGGGGTTCTCCATCGACTTTCGACGTGCGTAGGACCCGGCCACGGTAAACGAGATCGCGTAAATTGGTCGAGCGCAGATGAGACGACTTGATTCCTAGAACGAACGAGATGGCATCCATCCTGGCGCAGGTTAGTAACAATGCGCCTACCTCCCAACGCGGAGGGGTTATCTGATCACATACGAATTCGACTTTCCAGACCCGTTGGGCCCAATGATGGATGTGAAGTACGCATCTCCAAACAGCAGGGTATGGTGGCCCTTGTAGGACTTGAAATCTGGAGGAGCAAAAGTCAGCTGGTGTACGCAACGCAGATGTTCGCGATAAGGTGCATACTGAAAAGCTCCAGCCGGATAAGTTTCCCCATCTTGAGACGAGTCAGCTTCCTGGGGAAGCAACGCACTCTCAAAAACCAGGTGTATCAACTGTGAGTGGTGTCGAGCTCTGTGATTGACAGGCCTGGGCTGGCGGATGGTGGGAGGGGCGCGATTCTGGGGATCGCGTCCCCGACGCGCCAGGGCAATCACGTGGTCCATACACCCAGCTCTATAGAGATGGGGCCAGTCTTCCAACCAGCAATCAAGCCCTCAAATGAAGCTAGAGGCTGTTTCCGCTCTTGAGTAGTGGGCTACCACTTGGCTCTTTCATTCTGATTTGATTTACTGAGAGTCGTCGCAAATGATCAACTACGATGCCCCGAGGGCATGAGATGAGACCATTGGGAGAAAGATGCAATTACAAGACGGACATTTTCTTTCTTGCCGTCTTCTCAATAGTTGGAGAACTTATAAGTTTGGTGCCTTTGGCTTCCTTTAAGCATATTGAAAGTTGCTCTCCAGTCGAAAGAGTCGCTTTGCGATGAATAATACAGTACAGTGTTAGAATGGTATAGATACAACGGTGGATGGACATGAGGGATAGATATCCCAGCACGAAGAAAACCACCGTACAAGGCCAATGGTAGAATTCAAGCACTGGAGCGACTTCAAATGCCCTTAGATCCCATCCTCACCGGGTTACCCAGGAGAAGGAAATCCCGATCGACCGAGCCATTTGAGTCCATGCGGAAGGTACCCTTATGGCCATCAATCTTGATGAGAATAAAGTCCTCACTGGTGAAAATCTGCCGCACAGACAAAAATATCCTCCAGACTCCGTGGCTCAATCTCGCAACCGGGGCTTTGAAGAAACTCGGTTTCGGTTCTTTTGAACCACCAAGGAGCTTCCTGCTATCATTCTCGAAGCGCGCCACAGACTCTGCTGATACGACGAGCTTCTTGGAGATATGAACCTGAGACGGTGCAACCTCAAACTCATACTTCTTGAATGGCAACATGCCCCGGACCTGGAAGCGGATACGGGGTTGACCTTGAGAACGAACCGCCTTGATGCTTCGGATCATGTTGCCTGTCCGAACAAGAAAGATAGTACCCATGACACTCATCGATACACATATACCACCGAAGAGCGCTTGTTGCCACATAGGCAGGACGGTGACGGGGTCTCGGAAGACGGCGTTGGAGTTGTAGACCGCATAGGCGAAGCAGAATGCCGACAGGCCGTATGCACTGAAGTAATAACTGCGCTGTGAGTGCGCCTGGAATAGTGTCACATCTCCCTCGTGAGCTACTCTGCTGAATAGCCTTCCAAGTCCTCCTGCCTTTGGTTGTAAATTCTTAGGCAAGTCGGCGTATCGGGGGGTTGATGGCGCGGGCCGTATTTGGGGCTTAGGAACAGGTGGAGATCGAGCCCTTGAGGCGAAGGAGCGCCATGATGTGGAGGAGATGTATGTCTGAAAGCCAGGTCGTACTGTATTACCAGCACAAGCACCAGGGCAGCGATGCCAGATTAATCGGAGTGTAGATGGTCTCACGGACATGTTTCTTGCGCGAGCTCTCTAGACTTTCAAGGTCAGCAAGGCGATCTGCAGAGTGACGGCATATTGCAACGTCTGATCAAATTAAACCGATTCAATCAAAGCGATCAAAGACCACCAATGGCTCAACAGAGAGGGAGAACTTACCAAATCTCCGGCCCCTCGACGGTTGTTCTCCTCGGAAAGCGCCGCCAGGTCGAAAACAGCCGTTGCGGCAGAAAAATGTTCCCGTCCCGGCCGCCGGTGAAAGCTCCCAACGCCCTCAACGCCAACCAGCATTCCCTCTTCAGTTCGCTCAATTCACGCGCATCTCGATCATTTATACATCCGGAATCAGCGCGGCTCGACGCGGTGGTGGACTCTTCGTCACTCGTGTTCGTCTCTGCCGACAATTAGCTCCCTCGGAGAGTTGCGGACAATCGCTTGAATATCTCCGCCAGCCCAACATCTACATCACCTCCTCCGGCGGAGCCACATACATTCATACAAAATGGCAGCAAGACTTCCTGTGAGCCAGATACCGGCGATGTTCGCCCGCCGGCAGCCTCAGGTGCTCCGTGCCTCCCGACGTGAGTTTTTCCGGTGACATTCAACGAAATGGAGCTTGTTGGAAGCAAAAGCCGCATTATCGGAGCATATGCCTCGAGAACCATGAGCCTTGATTAACTCCATATGAACACAATGCTAACTCATAATGTTTACAAGGCCTCCAATCCTCCTCCGCTCCTCAAACTCAGAACCCCGCCTACCCCCTCTACCCCTCCGTCATCCAGCTCCTGCACGAGAAGAACGTCCCCGAGTCGGAAATTTCCAAGATCCCCGCCTCCGGCCCCAAGGGCCGTCTCCTGAAGGGTGACGTGCTTGCCTATCTTGGCCAGATTGCTGCTGAATATCCAGCAACCCAGGCCGCGACTCTGGCTAAGCTCACCCACCTGGACCTGAGCAACATTAAGATCGCGGCACCGGCCCCGAAACCCGCCGCGCCGGCCGCGGAGGAGAAGAAGGAGGTTGTCGCCCAGCCACCGCCCATGTCCTCGATTGCTATTTCTATCTCACTGTCGGCCGTGCTGTCCGCACAGAAGAAGATCCAGGAGAGCTTGGGCGTGACGGTTCCTCTGTCCCGCTTCCTGGCCATTGCCACGGACCTTGCGAACGACGACCTGCCTCGCGCCAAGAGCGAGAAGCCCTCCTCAGATGAGCTTTTCGACGAGCTTCTCGGTGCTGCGCCTGTGAACACATCGCGCGGCGACTACATTCCCGAGTTGAACGCTTTCGAGGCCTCCGAGGCCCGCCAGCCCGAGCCCGTCGTCGAGGATATCATTGACTTCCTGAGTGCCAAGCCCGGCAAGAAGACTGCTGCTCCCTCAGTCTCTGCTGTGGAGGGCGGTGCTGCTCAGAACGTCTTCAGCCTGACTGTCCCCGTGGGCGAGGAGCTGCGTGCCAAGACCTTCCTTGAGCGGATCAAGACTCTCCTACAGGTCGAGCCCGCCAGGCTGGTGCTTTAAAATTCTCGATTTTTGTTATAAATCTCCCCAATGTCCTGGAGCTTTCTCCTTTTTCGTTCAATTTTCCTTTGTCCACTCATGTCATCTCCAAACTGCGTTGGGAGGGTTCAAAGCTTCTGTATTTAGTGTAGCATAGATAATCTGATACCGCCTTGATCGGCTTGATAAGTATTACATTCTCACCTGATTAAAAGACTGAGTATCATTTGACTTGTACAGCGGGTCCTCAGGCTGTAAGCTACCTAGATGTCTGATGAACCATGCATGTATGCATGTACCATCCATGGATGTTGTGCCTGGACCTGCAAACATATAACTCCAACTTCAGAGAAGGGAACTGTACAATACGACTTCCAGAGTTCTAAATGGTCTTTGCAACACCTTTATCCAAACCCCGAAACTCACAGACCATCCCCAATCGGCTGTATAAGCGAATAACTCGCCCCTTCACCAACCTCCTGCACCCCCGTCGAGAGCAGCAAAGGCCTCATCTCCCCATCCTCACTAAAAAACAGACTCGGCCTCTCCCTCCTAAAATACTCCACAATGCTTCCATCCTCAAACTCCACACTAGTAGTAAACGCAACACTATTGTTATTAAACGTCCACGGCCCGGCCCAAGATCTCGCATACGCATGCCGACCTACATTCGGCCCATCGCCGAAACCTGCATCGGGTAGAAGGGAGTGTACCAGCATGTGGAAATTACCCCGTCTATCCTCCCAGATGAAGGGGTCTTCGCTTGGTTCGGGGAATATTGGGGCTGAGGGGTGGATTGGAGTGTAGGGGGAGGTGTAGTCGGGTGCTGTGGCGATGGTGATGAGTTCTGCTCCGCTGCAGTTGTATGGGCAGCCGCGGTATGCGAGGATCGTTGGTGCGCCCCGGGCTGAAGCTGGGTTTCTGGGAGTATAGCGGAGATGTAACGGTGCAGGATTGGTAATGTCTGCGTCCCAGGCATTATTGTCTGTGCCGGGGAAGACCTGGCCATGGTATGTCCAATTGTATAGATCTGGCGAGGACCAGACGCTGATGCCGCTCTCGCCGTTGATGGCATTCCCAGGACCGCAGGTGAAATCGACATTCTGGCAGGTGGACGGGACTTGCTGTGGACACCCTATGTTATACATCAAGTACCTCTGGTCTTTCTCGCTCCAGATGACGGATGGGTTATGTGCGAAAGACGGTGCGATTTCCTGCTTGAAGGTGTACGGCCCCAAGGGTCCGGTTGTAGATTCAGCCCTGATAATGCGACTGTAGGGCGACCAGTAATCGAGACCGCACCCGTGGGTGAACTCGGAAACGATCAAGTGGTAGAGGTCTTTGATTTGGGGATCGCGGAGGATTCCGTTGCACCATGATGATGTCCCCTGCCCCGTGAGATTGTAGCCATTTGCCCGTGGCCCTGGACGGAGGTCTAGTCGTCCGCAGTCGTTACCGGTCCAGCCTGGATCACAGATGCAGGTATTGTTGTTACACACGCCGTTCAAACCGCAATCTTCGTCGTTAGTGCATGCCAGAGCTTGCGGGAGCAACCCGAGGGCTGAAGCCAAAAGCGTTAGTTGGACGAAATGCTTCATATTGCGCACTGTCATCGGGGAATTGGCGAGGCAGTCGTTGCGATCTATATATGAGAGATCGGATTTGAATATTGTGAGCTCAGTACCTGTCATTAGATGCAACTCATCTGTTGACTCCTCATTCAATCGTCCACTCACCCCGCGCTCGGACGGCTTCCGATTCACCTTGCTCGAGCTTGAGCATGTATATTCTCAGCAATTACGGGATGCAAAGCACTAGAAACCCCGCGGCTAATTTCATTTCGTGGAGACACAGGCGAAGATCGTCATTTTCCCGCTAATCTGCCGATCTCAAGCATGGCCGAAAGGGCGAGGTTGCAGTATTCCGTAACATCCCATGAGGGGAAGCCTCTACAGCCCCGAAGATATGGTGGATCCCGGGGTATTGTGTAGTCGATCTACATGTCCCAGAAAGCCAATCTATTGACGTGGCTACATAGCAGCATGAGGAAACGGGAAACGTCATCTCAAACTTCGCTCTGCATTCTCATTCTAATCATGACACGAAAACCCTCCCGCGCCAAATAGATGACTATGCAATTGCAAATATTGGCAGAAAAAATCAGAAAAAATCCAGCATTATCACATTGTCGAAGGGAAAGCAAAGGGGAGAGGAAAGAACAGGATTGATGTGAAAACAAAGCAGAGTCATATCATCGTCATGAAAATGGGGCAATTTGCAATCGAAAGAAGCCGTCCGCATGATAACCTAACGCCATGACTGTAGCCGGTGCCTCCAGGCACTTGATCGAAATACCATGAGCGCCACCGCTAGACCCCCGCCTAATGAAGAAGAGCCTCCTGTACAGAGACTGAAACCGGGCCAGGGAGAAAACAAAAACAAGGGGGAAGAAACACAAACAGGTCGAATCGAAGGGGGAAGTCAGAAGAGAGAAAACCTGAAAAAGCAAAATCCTCCTCAGACGAAAGGGCCAATTTGAGCCCAAACGCCTTCTGAAGAAAGGTAAGACCCGATGTTTCGGGTCGAAAGATGTGATAGATGGGTGAATGGCTGGATGATGAGGATGCCCATAGAAATGCATAAAGATCTTCGCCGAGATTTCTTGATATCATGATCATGCAAAAGATTGCCCCCACCCTAAGTAGCCAAGACCCAAGACCGAAACTCCATGTCGAATGCAGTGATGATTATTTTGAGAAAGAAAGGCCCTGAGGGACGGACCGAGGTTTGCCGACTCGATTAACGGATGGTGCCCCATTCCGACAACTTGCTACCCTCTCGACGCGAGTCTCGGTTAGCCCGCTTGTCATAGATTTTCCAGAAACGAAGGGTTTCGTCGCCGGCACCAGTCACAACGGTCTGGCCGTCGGGGCTCATGGCGAGGTACAGAACACGGAATGTGTGACCAGTCAAGGAAACAACCTGCTCCATGCGCGGGTACTTCCAGATGACGATCTGATTCTGGCTGTAGCCATGGGTGCTAATGATCTCATCGGAATTCTTGGACCAGGAAAGGTTGCAGACCTGGCTGCCAGTGTCTACCTCCTTGATCAGTGAGCCGGTGGAGGTATTCCAAAATTTGATCGTGCGGTCCGCAGTACCACCACCCGAAGCGAGCAGATGGTGTTGGTGAGGGGACCATGCAATAGCCTTGACGGCGGCACAGTGGTCAGAGAAGCGATAGAGAGGAGCTTCGTTCAGCTTGTCCCACACAATGAGTTTGTTATCGTTACCGCCCGAGGCCAGTTGACCGTCTTCAGTATTCCATTTCAACCCACAAACTTCTTGCTTGTGGCCAGATAGCCGCCGAATGTACTGGTCAGGAGATCGAACATCACGGTGGTAGATAAGGCGGTCTCGGGAACCGGATGTAAGAATGTGGTCGTTCCAGGCCAAAGCGCCGACACGATTGGTGTGGCCCACCATGGTCCGCAGTCGTCGACAATGTTCTGCATCCCAGATCTGTACCAGACCCTTGCCGGTACCGATTGCCAGATGAGTACCTCGCTGGATCCAGCTCACGCTGGTCACAGTATCATCCTTCAACTCACAAAGCTTAGTCACTCGGCTCGACTGAGAGTTCCACATGTAGACCGAGTTGGCCAACCCGACACCCAGCACATTGGTGCTGCCCCAATCAACCAGGTTCAGATAGAAATCGTCCTGTAGATCGGGAGCATCCAGGACCTTGAACGGAACTTTGTTGATGTATCGGGGCTGCTTTCGCGGGGTTTCCAGAATGCGCTGGCTCTCATATCGAATGGGAGAGGTGCTGTACAGCTCTGAACGGACATTCAGGTTGACTGCCTGGGCACTTCGGGGGTCTTGGAGGGAGTGGGATGACTAGATCCTGGGCGGGTCGGGCCATAGTTGAAGAGGTTTTTGTGCGGAGTTGAGGGGGTCATGCCAGTTGTTAGAAGGTTACCGATAACTGGAGGTGTGTGAGAGCGAGTCTTGTCGCTGAAGCCTAGCAACGGGTCCGATGGAAGAGAGGTGAGATCGGGTTGGGGGACGGTATTGCCGAAAAGTTCACTGCGCAGGACTCGGGAGAATGTGCGATTGGCCTCTTCAACTGTTGATTTGAACGGTCAGCTGGCTACTCCTCACGGCGTTTGCATCACACGTTTGCACTACAGGGTAGGACGAACTCTTTTGGAAATGCAATTCAGAATGCGGAGCGCGCCGCTTCGACTTGGACGGAGTCGACGGACAACCATCCTCATGCAACAGACTGTAAGTTGCTTGCAAATCCTGTCCATCACGGTTTGGAATGAATCTTGGGAGTCCAGTCAGTCATGCGCTCAACGAGACCCCACCGTCAAGTGATCCAGCATCCTCCACATTGACTTTTTGAGACTTACCGATCGCCATAGACCCGCTGTCGCTTTCGACAAGGGCTCATCCCAGGTGTCCTCTCACGCTGGCGCCCTGCCTCATCAAGACCTTTCAAGGCCTTGTCAAGCGCCGTTGCATCCACAGGCTCCGATCCTTCTTCTGCTCGTGATCGACTGCCCAGATTATCCGAATAGAAGATGGTCTTCTTTGCTGGCATGCTTGGAGGTGTCGTCGAGGCCGGAGGAGAGACCATATTGGCAGCCGCCTGTGCACGAGCAGCCCCTCTGGTCACTCGTCCACCACTACTCACTGCCGCCTCTGTGTCCTGAGAGGGATCCCCCATGTTGGCGGCAGGTCCTCAGGCCCCAGAAGCAGATTGCGCAGGATTTCGGCGACCACGAAGTTGTGCATACGATAGGAGTACGGTTTCAAAGGGATTTCGAATGAGTGATGAACTGTGGGGTGTTCCGAGAGAGGATGGGAAAGACGATGGGTGATATTTGAGGGCGGTGGGTGGCTTGTGATGAAATGAGGAGATTCAGCGAGTGATGGGCGCTTGGACACAGTGATGGCAAGCACAACCCACCACGTTGACAGGCTGTACGAGACACCCCCGTGGTTCAGCAGAACAAAGAGAATGGCATTCAAAGAGCCAGAGGGAAGGAGAATGGGCTGGAATGTCTTCAAGGGAGGGTGGTCCGCTGTCTCTCTTCAGCATCCCTCAAGTCACGCGTCGGGTGCGCTAGTCCTCTTTGGGCGATAGCGCTGGGGGAGTAGTCCAAGAAGCAACGGCAACTACGTAACGGATACCCGTCGACCAGAGCTTCAATCATCTTCCAACTGTGCTCTCAATGATCTGCCGTTGTGAATGAACTACTGCTCCACCCATTGCTCCGCTGCAATTAGACTTATTCTTGATTTGCCCGTTCGATTTGAGTTCGGTCGGGGTCCATTCATTGTATGGGGGTGGGCACGGGAATCGTGGATGGTTCTTTGTTATGATGGGCGCCACCTCTCCCTCTGATGCTGCTCATGCGGTCTCAGAGTTGTTTACATGTTGTGATGGTTCGACGCGTGGAAGCGTTCTATCCGGAGGACCAAGTGGTCCACTGCGAGACGGCACTTGCAGAGAACCCTCAGTGGGGGCAAACAAAGAGATCCGACGCGACTGGCCCGTCGCGCTTCCACGCGCCTCGGACGCGCAGAGTTTGGGCCATTTTGGGTCATGATGGGAGACCATAGCAACTTTAGATCCGTGCCAATCGATCCAGCTCGCATCTCCGGAGAATAGGATCACTTCTTCAGGTCCAATAGAAATTGTCAGGAACTAATCTACGAATCAGATCTAGGATCATTGCTTGCGGTCAATAGGTATGTAAATGCTGTGCATGACAATGCTTACTTGATAGCGTATATTTGGCCATTAGCTCTACATCTAATAATGAATTATTTGCTACCCATGATAGTGGTGGAGAACATCAAATTAGTATTGTACTCAGTATGAAGCGTGAATAGAACATGATCCCCGTGGCTACAAAGATTGAACTAGTCAGATTGATTGCGTTACAGTCGGCAATTCCCAGGAGTCACCGCCACCCGAAAACCCTGCCACTTTGACACCTCCACCATCGGGGTTGACTATGCTTACAGTGCCTTTTAAATCGGCCTTCTCGCTGTCTTCATTACGCCACAGTTTCTTCCATCGAGCCTACTACTCATCCTACCCCAACACCATGGCCTCTAAGCAGCCCGCCAAGGACTTCCTGTCCTTTGTCAATGCCTCCCCCACCCGTATGGTCCTTCCCGAAGCCCAAAAAAACCCACCGGGAGCCTGTAATGTGCTGACGAGAGTCTAGCCTTCCATGCCGTTCAGTCTGCCAAGGACCTTCTGGCCAAGGCTGGCTTCCAGGAGATCAAGGTATATTTTGCTAGAATCCCCACCCTTCTTTGCTGGCTGCCAAACCTAATCTAACACTTCCACTTCAGGAGAAAGATTCTTGGGCAAAAACCTGCAAGCCTGGTGGCAAGTACTTCTTGACTCGGAACACCACCACACTGGTTGCATTTGCAATTGGAAAGCAATGGCAGGCAAGTAGTGAATCTATTGTAGCCTTCTGTTATGCTCTCCTGCTAACCACCAACGCAGCCGGGTAACTCCATCTCGATGATCGGTGCCCACACCGACTCTCCTGTTCTGCGGGTGAAGCCTGTGAGCAAGAAGAGCGGGGATGGCTTCATTCAGGTCGGTGTTGAGACCTATGGTGGAGGCCTCTGGCACACTTGTATGTTCCATTGCCTTTTTCATCATTGGAGCAACTACTAATAGCATCAGGGTTTGACCGTGACCTCGGCGTTGCTGGTCGTGTGATGACCCGTGCCAATGACGGAACGATCGTGCAGAAGCTGGTCAAGGTCGACCGCCCCAGTATGTTTCTATTTGAAGATTCGAGTAGCCTGGACTTCTGCTAATGCTTGACAGTCCTTCGTATTCCTACTCTGGCCATCCACCTGGACCGTCAGGAGACCTTTTCATTCAACAAGGAGACACAATTGTTCCCCATCGCTGGCCTGATTGCTGCCGAGCTCAACCGCACTGGTGAATCCAAGCCCAGCGGCGCTGAGGGAGCGAGCGCTGGTAACGACACTGAGAAGGTGGATGACTTCTCTCCTCTCAAGGCCGTGACCGAGCGCCATCACACCCACTTCGTCGAGCTTGTTGCTACCGAGGCTGGCGTCAAGCCCGAGGACATCCTGGACTTTGAACTGATTTTGTTCGATACCCAAAAGTCCTGCCTGGGTGGCATGCTGGAGGAGTTCATCTTCTCTCCCCGTCTGGACAACCTGAACAGCTCTTACTGCGCCACCGTCAGTCTCATTGACTCCGTCGCCGACAAGACCGCTCTGGACAATGAATCCTCCATCCGCCTCATTGCCCTGTTCGATCACGAGGAGATTGGTAGCCGTACAGCCCAGGGTGCGGACTCCAATGCTCTGCCCGCCATCATCCGCCGCCTGTCGGTTCTTCCTTCCTCCTCGTCCTCGGATGTCGACCTGGCCACTGCCTATGAACAGACCCTCTCCACCTCTTTCCTGGTCTCCGCCGACATGGCTCACTCCGTCAACCCTAATTATGCTGCCAAGTACGAGCAGGACCACAAGCCCGAGATGAACAAGGGCCCCGTTATTAAGATTAACGCGAACGCTCGCTACGCCACCAACTCTCCGGGTATTGTCCTGCTCCAGGAGGTCGCACGCAAGGCGTCTGCTGAGACCGGCGAGCCCATTCCCCTGCAGCTGTTCGTTGTTCGCAATGATTCCAGCTGCGGTAGCACCATCGGCCCTATGCTGTCTGCTGCCCTGGGTGCTCGTACTCTGGATCTGGGTAACCCGCAGTTGAGCATGCACAGTATCCGTGAGACTGGCGGTACTTATGATGTCGCCTATGCGATCCGCCTGTTCACTGGGTTCTTTCAGCACTACTCGGAGCTGTCGAAGACTATCTTCGTGGACTAGATATTCTCAGTGGTAGAAATTAAGAAAGCTCAAATAGATATGAATAGTATCTTTTATACTGAGACGCTCTCGAAATTTCTTACCATAAGTAAACAGATCTGGCTCCTTCTACGCTATAGTATTACAGTACTGTAGTTGTCAGCCACTATCGGCACGTGCTCGGCCCAAGCCAAAGCCGCCCACCCCCAACTCCACAGCTTCTTATCAGACGTATCCCCCCCGAACTGCCTGGACCCTCGATTGCCGAACCTCGTCCATGCCCCCATGACCCTCTATGACCGACGTCGATGCCTTTAGGGATGCAGAGCACATCGCTGACGTCTCTGGCATTTCCTTCGACGATGTGGAGCCCGGATCACCAGCGCTGGCAAGCGGTGGCGGCATCCGCAATCAGGGTAACAGCCGTGTAAAGAAGCTCCAGTCCGCTGCAAAGGTTGCCTTTATCGATCGATTGCTTCGTGACCTTGATATTTTGATATATTGCGAATTATCGGCGCTGTATTATATGGAGTACGTTTGGCTTTTCCTGGCCTTGGAACATTAGTGGATGGGGGGTAGTTAAGCGTGGGGAGATCAACCTCCGTCTTACTCTCGGAAACACTACCTTGACCTTTAAGAGAACATTGAGCTGATCACCTTCGCTTCCATAGCTGCTCTATCACACTGTTTGCCATCCGCGCTGTCGTCCAACTAATATTCTTTACACCCAAAGCACCACCGTTCGACCCCACGCGCAATCAGCCCTTCGTCGGAGCCATCCTCGCCAGCAACCTATTCTGCATGATCTTCCATGCCTTCTTCATCCGCCCCGAAGCTGGCGAATCTACACGCGGATATCTACATGGCGGAATATTCATTGATTTCATCGGGCAGAAACCTGTCCCCGTCTTCCGCCTGCTCGCATTCGATACCCTAATCCTGCTAGTCGATATCGTCATGCTGGCATTGATCATTGAGCGGGTGAAGACGGTGGGTTCCAAGGGGCTGGCCTCTTCGGTAGCGAGTGGGAGTGCAACGACGAATGCGAATGCGAATGCGAATGCAGATACAGATACCACGCAGTCGGGGCAACAGGATCATGATTCAGAGGAACGAGGGGTACGAAGTAGTGAGGACGATGGTGATACTAATGATTCTCGGGCCGATGAGAATGCTCCTACGAATACGTCGCCGGTTCCTGAAATCGATGACGATGTACAAGATGAACGGACGACTCTGCTAGCGGACCCTGGCGAGGGTGGCACGGGACCAATCCCGCGGGGTGGCCACCCGTTGGACTCGTACGCTACTGGCCAAGCGGTCATTATGGATATGGGCTTTTTTACTACGATACGTGATCAATGGAAACACTCGACCACGCCGGTTCGACGAGGTGATGGGCGTTATGCGCCCTCACCGCAAGCTGCGACTTTCCTTCGAGAGCGCTTCGGGTTACAAGTTGGGGCTGATGGCCGCATTGTACGCATAGGTCAATGACATCTTGGTTATGTATGACACTCTTCTTCCTTACGATATGTATTCTATTTTCCACAATCTATACTCTGATGAACTGGACCACGACTGCCCGGTGCTGGCTGCTATATCTTACACCTTGATAGACACCTGTGGCAAAGCTGTAGAAAAAAGGGTTTGGATATAAAAGTAGGAGTTGTCATAATACAAATACAAATCGAGGGCCTGAAACATGAATCTTATCCTCGTACCTCAACGGATGAGAAGCATAGATCATATCTCAATAGCCCCCGAGCTCCCAATCCACCTCTAAACAACCGGCGGCTTCCCCTCCCCTTCACCCCCCTTCTCCGCACCCTTCACCCTCCTATCCAAAATCTCATCCACAATACCGAACTCCAACGCCTCACCAGCCCCCATGAAATAATCCCTCTCCATCAACTTCTCAATCTCATCCAGCGACATCTGCTTCTTACCCGTCAAATGGCGCTGATAAATCTGATTGAGTTGCGCGCGCACACGCAGGATCTCCTTCGCGTGGATCGCGATATCAGTCGCCTGGCCAAAGTACCCGCCCGAGGGCTGGTGGATCATGATCGAGCTGTGCGGGAGACAGTAGCGTTTTCCGGGTTCGCCGCCGCAGAGCAGGAGGGAGCCCATTGAGGCGGCTTGGCCGACGCAGATTGTGCTTACGGGGGAGGCGATGTAGGTCATTGTGTCGTAGATTGCGAGGCCTGGGGGAGGTGCAAGGGAGAGTTTGTTAGGGACTGTTGGAGGGAGGGTTTGGTGTGGCGGTTGGTTGTGGGGGACACACCTGCTGTTACTGAACCACCGGGGGAATTGATATATAGGTGGATTGGTTTTTGGGGGTTGTCGGCTTCGAGGAAGAGGAGTTGGGCGACGGTTGAGGCCGACATGGTCTCGTCAACTTCGCCATTGAGGCAGATGATGCGCTCCTGTTAGTGGACACGTAAGCAAAGGTTATAGAGCAGTTAGTATGAGGGTAGGTATACCTTCAGAAGGCGTGAAAAGATATCATCTAAATTGAGCAGACAGAGATGCTAGTTAGCAAGGCAGTTTTTGTTTGAGTTCGAATGCGCAACGTCAACGTACAGGTGTGCCAGCCACCTCCCTTGAAGTCTGGTCAGCATTTCGGTCAAGTTATATAATTTCGAAGCTTGAATGTAAACATTGTAAACATACCACTGTCTCCGTAACGAATGGTGTGGGTGTCCAGCCCCGCGGAGGTGTGCGGTCAAGTGAGGATATTGAGCTTGAGAAGGGCCGCGAGATCAACGCGGACTGTACACGCGAAATAGAGCAGCGAGGGACCGACCGTCCTAGTCGCTGAAGGTTAATTGTGGGCCTCATCTTCAATTATGGTTCAACGTGCACAGCACTCTCCACGAAAGTGCTCTTGCAGGAGTGGACGTTAGACGAAACACTCTCGAGGCCGTAAAGGCGGAGCGGAGATGGTGACTGATAAGCGGCATGTGTTATCGGCGCTAAGATAATGGCGCAACATTTTCAAGTCTTCCAACCACTTGCTTAACTACGTACAACTTCCCGAACAATGGAGTGTACAAGACGACAAGTCTCGTATGCGACATGGCGACTTGGTGTATTCCGTCAATTACTCGGCCCCTCGCTCGCGCGGCCATCCCGCCGCTACCTCTCGAGCTCGCAAACTGCCTCCAATGAAGCTCCTTCAGATGCTGGAAGACCTCCCTCAGAGCGTCTACCACAATCACCCCTCGTCGAAGCTCATCAATCCAGCCCAATTAAACACCGAAAGCAAACTCCAAATCTCAAAGACAAATCCGAGCTCAATAAGAATCCATGGGCAGTAGCGCTCGCCTCGCCAGTCCGGATGTGTTCCGTGACAGGAGCCCGTATACCACGCGATCTACTCGGAGAATGGGGTCTTGTTCGCAAACCAAACACAGAGAATAGCTACTTGCTTCCCGTGGATCTGATCAAAGACTCCTTGCAAAAGCGACAAGAACAAGAGTCCGCAGAACCGGAGAAGACTCCATACCTAGATCCAGCGGCAATGGCTACCGACACGCCTCTGACGGCGAAGGCGATTCGCAAGGACAAGCCGGGGCAGGAACTCCTACTTCGAATGCTTAACTCGCTCCATCTCCTGAAGGGGCTTGCGAAGCCATTGTCCAAAAATGCCGGGAAGAGACCGGCTATTTCGAGACTCCTGCCATTCCGATGGAAGCATCCACTGGGGCCGATCACCTCCCGCGTGGAGAAGCAATTGCTTTGGAGACCTGATATGGTGGAATATGTGTTGCAGCAAAGACGCACTGACGTTGTTAAGAAGCTGGAAAAGGCTCGACGGAGGTACACGCGCCTGGATATTCCTGGTGGAGTTTGGAGTGTCCTTGATATTCAGGAATCCACTACTGCTGCGCTAGTGGATGCGTTGGAACGGCTCGGGCCTTTCGATCGAATGGCGTCCGGGGCGGTTTATCTGCTTGTGCCGTCTAGTAATGGTGAACCATGGCCAGAGACTGTTTTCAATTCATCGACACAGAGCGAAGTTCCAGTTTTTGATTTGACGACGCTTCTGGCTGTGTCAGACTTGACAAAACTACGTGAAACGGAGGCTCCGCATTTCCACAATGTGGCCCTGTTCTTCAGGCCGGATGATCGTGTGGGAGTGGAGACCATGCTAGCTCTTTGGAAGCTTCAGCGGTTCATGGCAGAAATACCTACTTGAAACTCGGAGAATTCAATTAGGTGTATGACTCCTACATTGAATTTTCAATATTTGTACAATAATCCACCATTCTCTAACCAGCGCCGCTCTTTGAAAGAATTCACTGTATTTGCCATGTCTTAGTGTCCTAATTTGCCCGAAGATACCTGAAACCACTTCATGTGAAATCTAGAGGGGCGTGGCACAGCTGTGCGAAGAGAGACTAAGGTGTTCTGTGTGAAATGAAATTTTCTGCCCTGGAAATGTGTAGTAGTCTTGCTAGGTAAGCAACCCAGGTTGACAGTTAACGGCCCATAAACACTGGTGAATCAAGAGATCACAGCTCACAGCCGAGCATTTATGAAACCGAGATGTTCTTAGGGGTCTCATCTTGTAGAACTCTGCCATATGTGGTAGTTGTCCTAGATTTAGCACCACCAATAGTGCAATTGCTGTATACGCTAAGATTCGAACCGCTCCACTGGTCGAAATTCGAATCGGTGGTCGAATCAATGGACCTGTATACGCAACATACTGGCAAAGGCAAACAAATGGCGGAACTAAACCTAGACCGGAAATTATTGATCTATGCGATAAGGTTATAGTGGGACCTATCACCTTTGAGTGGACTCAACACACGATTGCATGCGTTTCGTGTCGGGTTTGCGAGAATCGCCCAAGAACCTGACCTGGAACTTTCCCTGTGTTTGCATCAATAAACAGAGAAGAAAATTGTCAAACTATTCTTTCTATCTCCTTCTAGTCTACTGCAACATTGTCAAACAACTTTTCTCCCAATCGAAGGCCGAGAACCCGACCTGGAACATTCCCTGTGTTTGCATCAATCCTGTGTTTGCATCAACCCTGTGTTTGCATCAACAGACAGAGAAGATAATGACCAAACTCTTCTTTCTATCCTTCTTCTTCTAGTCTACTGCAACATTGCAAAACCCTTTTCTCTGAATTGAAGGACGCGATCCGCCAAAGTCCCCCCAGCGTCCTTGAAGCACAAGAACACCGGCATGGAGGAAATCTTAAATCCATCAAGAATGGCAACGTCCACAGTGAACCAAACAGGGGCCATGCGACAGCTTCAGCACGAAAGGGCTGTTGAGTTGGGCCAATATGGGGACGATCACTCTGAAGACGACAAGGGTGGGGACTACGATGGCTACCTGGACATAGGGACGGAGCTACTTGCAGCGCTCGATGCTATCGAGTCATCGGGGACTTTTGCTTCAAAGGGCGAACTCCCCTATGTTGACCCACAGATCAATGTGCACGATGTTGGCACAATTACTCTCCCCCTACAAGAGTCACAAGCGCGCCAGATGATCGATAAAGCGCATCACGCACCATATGGCAAGGGCAGCGAGACACTCGTCGACACTGCAGTGCGCAACACCTGGGAGCTCAATCCCGACCAGTTTGAGTTTGGCAACCCGGAATGGGACAAGTACATTGAGGAAGCTTGTGCGTGTGCCGCTCGTGACTTGGGCGTTGATTCACCCGTCTCAGCGGAGCTTTACAAAATGTTGATCTACGAGAAGGGTGCAATGTTCAAGCCTCATACTGAGTTAGTCACTGTCGTAATGTTACAATCATTCCTGTTTACAGAGCTAATCTTTACCTCGATAGTACTGAGAAGGCCCCTGGTATGTTTGCGACTCTTGTGATCGGCTTGCCTTCGCTCTATGAAGGCGGCGAGGTAGCTGTCAAACATCAAGGAGACAGAATGATCTTGGAGACGTCGAAACATGGATTCTCATACGTCAGTTGGTATTCGGATGTTATCCATGAGGTTCTTCCTGTTAGGTCTGGATATCGATGGGTTCTCACGTACAACCTTTGCATTGACCCCTCGCGGCAACGCCCGACAGCTTGCCTTCAAACAGACGAGGCACGATACCTTCATGAAGTTTTAGAGGATTGGATTGCTCAGGAGGATCGGGATTGGAGTCACGCCTACTACAGGCTTGACCACGAGTACACTCAAGCCAACATCTCCCTCAATGCCCTTAAAGGTCGGGATCTGGCCTCTGTCCATCTTCTCCAGGAGATTTCAAAGACCCTCGACGTGGAGATCTTCCTGGCCTTGATAACAAAGTCAGAAATGGGATCATGTGAATATCAGGGCTCCCACGGCAGACGGTCTTACTACGATGATGATTACGGTCAGGATGAGGATTACTACGGCAGATCTGAGGCACTCCATGATCTGGAAGAAATCTTCGACACGTCATACGAGATAACCTCGCTGGTTGACCTGGATGGCTCTCAGGTAGTGAAGAAGATGCCATTTGAAATGGATAACGTTCTCCAAGAAAAGTGTTTTGACGAGGTTGACCCAGAGGAGGCCTACGAGGGCTATCAAGGCAACTCGGTGCGGTTCCTTCTACCTGGTCTAGCGGGAAGAACTAAGCTAATATTTATCTCGACTTTGCAGGGTCCAACAGCAACTCACTGGTATCGAGTGGCGGCAAGTCTTCCACCTATTGTCTCAAGGCCAGTAACTAACCGTTCATACAGGCCGTGGTCATGGTGCCTAGAGATTCGATTGCCGATTTCTTCCTGGACTCTTGGAAGAAAAGCAACCCCTACTCTCACAATATTGAGAAAAACATGACATCCGTCATTGGCTTCCTTGCCAAGTCTTTGTTGCACAATTCTGGGGACGAGCTTTTGAGGGAAACATTGAAGGAGCTCTGCCGAAAAGTTTGGACCGTGGATGAGAGCAACGAGGTTGGCAGGTATCGCTACAAGACGGTTCTTCCCGAGCCTGTAATCACCAAAGTCCTTCAAGTCGCTATTGTTTTGAAGGACCAAGAACTCATCAAAGATGTCGCCGATCACCATGAAGGCAATTTGTCTCTTGATTTCTTTAAATGGGCTCAAGAGCAGCTTGCCGCGGGAGCGGTCGCTTTTGATAGCATCAAGGACAGGTAAGACCTCTTTTCTTCGAAGTTGGTGATTAAACTAATGATGTAGTCTGTTACGTACCATTCTGGTCTTCCCGGAACTATGGAAACGACAGGTTGCAGTCAACCATTTAGTCCCTCACACTGAACCCATATCGGACGACGTCCGATCATGGGTCGAGATAGCGCATGACGGAATATTGGAAATGATCCCACGGCAGGAACTGGGTCCTCAAGATGGACACGCCGTGGTGGACATGATACCAGGGTATCATGACTTCGACTACCTTTCGAGCCGGTATGATCTTCAATGTCGGGTTTGCTTCATTTCGGTACTTACTTCTCTATTCTAGTGTCGCTCCTCTGGTTGAGGGAAGACTTCCAGCAACGTCATTCATCCTTGCTTTCTTGTCCCGACTTGATCAATACACGACCCAGGGCGCCTTCCCCGCCGAGGACGGTACAAACTTGTATAGGCAGGTTGCAAAATCTCTGGCCAATAAAATCGACATTTACACGCTCGTTAGTGAAGGTGGCGATGAAGAGTCTGCTGCTAAGCTAGGGATCCTTGCATTCTTGAATCCTCGGAAACCTCAATCTACACCACACTCGAAATCCTTGGTGGTTACTCACGAAACACTGGCGGACTTTATCTCGACCCTCATTCGCATCAACTCTGACAGCGATTCTATGATGGGTTTCCTTTCCCGAAGGATCTGTTTCCGTGCTCCTGCAATCAAGTCAGCCACCTTACATTCGCTCTGGCTCCCATTCCTGCACGCTTTGAATAAAATCTGCGAAACGAACTCGATACCGTCAACTACGCCAGATTACCGTCAGATCTTTGCTGCCATCCTGAAAGCCTACATCACCAACTACGTCGGCGAAAAGCCCATCGAGGATACCAGTTCCGTTCGCCCCACCGTAACATCTTGCTGCGGAGACTGCACTCGGCTCAACGCGTTCCTGACAAACCCCGACGCGACAGTTGGCAGGTTTCCTGTGAACAAGCAACGCAGGCAGCATTTGCATCAAAAACTCGACCAGGCTGGAATCGACTGTACACATGAAACCGAGCGATGGGGATCGCCACAAACATTGGTAGTGACCAAGTCTTTCCGTCATCACGAGGTCGCTTTGGCAGCATGGAAGAAAAGAAAGGGGGAAGCAGCACACAAGCTCCTGGACTTCAACAAGAGCGATTTGACCGTCTGGTTGGGAGATGACTACCAACACCTCATGGGGATGGTCGATCTTGGCCACCCTTCCGGTCAGCGTTCAGCAAGGGCGGCTCCAACATCCCAGCGTCTCGCGCCGATCTCATCTAATCAACAGACGCGGCCAACGCGGCCGTCCACAAAGGGCTATGGTCGGTTGTTTCCTCAGATTGCTGGCACAAAGAGAAAGGCGGCCGACGCAGACGTGGTTGATTTGACGGGAGACGATTGAGGGGCCCTTACGGTTCAAAATTGATGTAGAGTCCTGAAAAATTATTGTTATCACGATATGATGCACTGTAGTTTCTTTTTCTAACGATATGGAAATATGGGTGTCTATTTTTCCTCTCGATGAGGGTGACTAGATAGATAGGTCTCCCTAAACAAGCCGGGCAGGCATTCTTAACGGGCTTTGTCTCATGCTATAAAGACTGATCTTAGGATTATCTGAGCCTTATAAAAATTTCTCTTGAATTGAAGGCTTACTTGTAGGCAATTTCTGTGAACGAGAGATAACGAGTAACTACAGTGTACAGTAGCCACCAGGAAAGGGGAATCAAAATGATGATTGGCTGACTGATGCAAAGATTACTGTGCCTTAACCAATCAAGTCGGTTGGCACTATGTGGAATCACAATTCCACATCCTGGCCTCACGTGATGATTCCACATCATGATTCCATATACATTAGTTCTACCAATTTTCATGAAACACGGTGGAAATGATGACTATAAAAGATGGTAATCTCTCTGGTAACTCCTTCTGAAGAAGATATCAAGCCTCTACACAGTTTACCTACCGCGGGTCCCAACATCTTCGACTAGCGACTTTCTTCACTCTATACGAACGGCTTGATTTTCTATAACCATGGAGACTTGTTCCTTTCAAACCTCTCCCAACTCGGTGATCCATGCCCAGATCACCCGCCCAGCAAAGCCAAGTTCCAGACCCCTCGTATTGTTCCTGCATTACTGGGGTGGTACCTCGCAAACATGGCACAACCTTACGGACCTTGATTCGTCGACTTCGCTGAGTACGATTCACCCTACGGTCGCGGTTGATCTACGAGGCTGGGGCCAATCAACCGGACCAAACAGTGACGATTGCAATGAATATTCCATCACAGTAATGGCTAGTGATGTCGCTACTTTTCTGGCAAGTCTTAGCGAAGACAAGGCTAGACAGGACCTCCTACAACATGGCTTTCTTCTCGTGGGTCATTCGATGGGCGCAAAGATTGCACTCGCCACGATTGGACTGTTGAACAAAAATCTTCAACCTCTTCTTAAAGGACTCGCTCTCGTCGCACCTGCGCCTCTAGCTGCGCTGAATCTACCTCCCGAGATGAAAGCTCAACAGCTGCTTGCTTACGAGTCCGAGGATAGTGTCCGTTGGACCGTGAACAATGTACTGGCAAATCCTAAGAAGATCACCGAGCCTGATATTAATATGGTGATTCGCGACAGCTTAAGTGGCAATTCGTTCGCCAAGGCCGCTTGGCCTTCATACGGTATGCAGGAGGACATCTCGCAGGGTGTACGGGAAGCTCTAGCTTCTCGGTCAGGTCTGCGAGCTAGTGTTCTATTGGGAGAGCTTGATATTGTCGAGGCCTTGGAGAGAGTCGATGCGGGGGTTATTCAGTTCTTACGTCAAAACGGGGTTGAAGTTTCGTTGACCGTTGTGGAGGGGATCAAGCACTTGATACCTCTGGAAGATCCCGAGTCGATCTACAAGGAGATTTGTCAGTGGTGAATTGATGTGTGCTCTGGATTATTCATGATATTCAACTTGTTGATTTCTCTTCAATACATATCCACACGTAGAGCGAGGAATTTGTCTCCTAGCACTTATTCAACATGTGCTGTCTCAGCCTTCTCACTGTCCTGTGGCCCAGTACCCCGATCCACCACAGCCTCATCAACTCCCTTACCCAGGTACCGCTGCTGTCCAATCTCAGCCAGGCTGACACCCTCAGCTCTGAGTCGCTCCAGACGCATAGAGTCCTCTGCTTCCTCGTCCCTTTCTTCCTGAGACATTTCAGGTCCCCAGAACAGGAAGAAAAACATAAAGGCCCAGACAGCACCCATGAAAATAGCAATGACTTTTCCGTAATCAAACCTCTTCTTTCCATGCGCTCCTGGCGGTAAGGGGAATCGCTCTCCGATGATAGACTGAATTGTAGCCGATGCAGAAGACCCAAGGTTGCCCAGTTGATAAGTCAATCCCACCATAACTGTCCGAAGTGCGATGGGCGATAACTCAAGCAAGTGGATGGGCATTGGACCCCAAACTCCACCGACACAGAACTGTTCAAAGAACACGCTGGCGACTAGCGACATCGATCGAACCATTGTATAGGCTGGGATGAGAGCACCACCAATGATACATACCACCAGCATAGTCAGACGACGCCCAAAGAAAGTACTGATGTAGCCAATTGTACAGCCACCAAGCAAAGCGCCAACCTGGCCGACAACAGTGATGGTCGTAGTGTTCGTAGCGTTCATCCCAACCTGATCTTTGAGGTAGGTCGGGTAAAAGTCTTGACTACCATGCGAACAGGAGTTATATCCTGTCATCAGCACAACCAAGTAAACGAATATAACCCAATTCTCCCGGAATGCACGTCCAGCGTCACGGACAAAGACTCGTAATCCCGCGGCTTTGGCGTGGTCGTTACCGATTGAATGGGCCCGCGCTTCTCGCTCAGCTTTCATCACCTGGAAGTGGTTTGTCTCGGGTAGACACAGTCGGAAGATAATGATCAGGACAGGAGGTCCGGCACCGAACCAGAACAGACTTCGCCAGCCGTGAGATGTAGTTGGTACAAGGGCGCGGTAGAAAGCTGCTGCAAGCAGGTAACCCATCGCATAACCCATCTCGAACAGTCCGGAGAGCAAACCACGGGCCTCGTATGGAAGGTCCTCAAGAGCAGTGGCCGCTGCTGGGCCAAAGAGACCTACATAGTGAGGGGTCAATATCGATCAACTACCCAGATCGATCGAAGCTTGCTTACCTCCCATTGCGATTCCGTATAATGACCGGGCTCCCAAGAACTGGGGTAGCGTAGTACAGAATCCAGAACCCAATTCGAGAATTATGAACAAGCTGAGGTTGATTATCATGGGCCATTTGCGTCCATATCGATCTGACAGAATACCGAAAATGATTGCGCCGACAGATCGAAGCATAAGGGTCACGGTCATACCCTATGAGAGAATGGTATCAGTCCAGTCCTCACCAGGATTTCTGACTATCTGTACCTACCCATGATACATCGGAGTATGAGACCCCAAAATCTGCCGAGATCTCGGTGATTGTCATCGACACGGTAAAAAAATCAAAGGCATCCCAAGTCCAGCCCATGAAGCCTGCAGCAAACATGAGCCATTGGTGAGTAGTCAATTCTCGAAGAATCTCATAAGGATTTCTCAATTTGTTCTGGCCAGCATTATCAGAGATATATCAGTTGACTTAACAACTCAAAAGACATACCCGAGGAGGTTTAAGACTCGACAATCGCGTGGCAAAGTAGCGAGAAATTTGACTGGGGGAGTAAAACCACCCTGCTTGCATATGGTTTCTCATGTTGAAACAGCTTCTGCAGTGGTCACTGCGCTCTGTCAATAATTATCAGAGCTAGGAATTCTGGCAGCTATATACCTTGCCAATGCGTAGACGCGATGTGCATTCTCAATGCCGAATTTCGGCGCAATGATCACTACGTTTCCATCAATTAAGTATACTTGATCGGATCCGAAACTCTGAAATGCAGTGTTAGCTTTTGTTCCCGAGATAAACTGGGTCCGAATATGCCTCCTTCCCCGCTCAAGAGGAACGTGCTGTCGAGGGTCCGGGGACTAAGCTCAGACTTTGGGGCCTTGGTATGTGCTTTCACAGACTCTGGCAACATCCGGAAAACTTCGAAGAAATATCGTTACTGGAGGGATGAAGGCTAAGGCAGGAAACAATATCCGTACATTACATTCTAGATACAAGTGGAACAAGAGTAAGAGTGAGAACGATCTTGCTAACGTCTCTGATGGTTGTTGTCGACCGAGAAGATACATCGTTGACCCTGTTTCCAGAGCTATTCAGATGGGGCAGGAGCTTAATTAAAGTTCAGGCCTACAAAAGGAGAGCTCTATTGTACTGTATATGTATCCCCGCATCATTCACGAAGCCAAGCCTTATGAGGGCTGGTAAGTCCCCTGGACGGCAGGTGGTTAGCGAGTTCTTGTTACTTTGTTGTCAAAGCGGGAATTTGCCTCGCAGACCCTTTCCATAGTGAGATAGACTTGGAGTATGATTGGGGTGTTCCAAGAGTGAGTATCTTTCCAGGAGATCCCCTGCATCCAGAGCTATTCCGAGCCCTAATGTAAGATTCTTATTTGCCGCAGTTGTCTGCCTGAAATACAATAAGCTAGCCATAGGTACTCGACTTCATCCACACTTCAGTTCCTAACTGTCCTAATTACTAAAGCTCACATATTCACATACTATCATCTCCAGCAATTTCAAATTACCATAGCTACGAGCATGGCTTAAATTGGGTTCCAGGTTCGGCTATGAACCGTGTTGTTACCTCGTAGTCAAATCAAGTCAAGAATCCGGGGTCAACATCTAAATGCGGGGGTGGCGTCGACCCGTTTGGTCCTTAACCCAATCGCTTTTCGTTCAGTATCTCTAGCGCGATGTCATCGGGTCCAACCAAGGAACTTTTTGACGAGGTATATCACAGAAACTCCGCGGAAGAAAAGTGACTTATGACAAGATTCTCGTGTGGAGCGAGAATCAAGTAGACAATGGACCGACGAGGTTGCCGCCGAGTCTATCTCACCAAGTTCGGCCATCCAGTGGTTTTAGCTACACGGAGTCGCAGTACCTCTCAATATTCTGGGGCAGCCTTTCCACCTATCACGGTGTTAGCCATATCTACTGTAGCTAGCTGCAAAGCTTTATTCGAGTTAGCATTACGCCGCTAGAGTCATAGCCCGAAGCTCGGCTAGGCAAACAACCTTAAATGTTTCTTGTTCCTTGCTCCAATCCGAGGCGTTTAAGGTAGCTTCTGAGAGAGGCATTGGGCATGAACTTAGTCTCCATGATTCGGCTGACCCGTCCTCACTGTCTGTTCCTTTTCACTGATTTCCGCTTCGTTATGGAACCCTCGCCCGAAAGTAGACTTTGAGGAGATAAGTGTGATAGAAAACCCGAGTGCATATCCAGTGACCAGCCTGTAGAGTCGTGGAGCGAGCTAGGAATATTTAGGAGGTAGTTCTCATATTCTGGTTATATACAGGTAATCTAAATCTGGACATACGATTTATCCTGCGTGATCTAGTACTATTCCGACAAGAAGGTTAAGAGAGTTACTGGTAGATAGAGAACGTATCAGGGTATCATAATCATCCTCATTCTCTCAAAGACAACTCAAGTCAATACATAACGCCTCGAGTATCAGATCCAGCCAAACGCCATTTATGCATTTAGTCAACCTCGTAGTTCATCAATGTCACCTCTGAATCATTATCAGAGCAGACCAAAATAAGCCGCAAGGGACCATATGCTTCAACCGAAGAATTGTTTTTTTATATATATCTTGTTCAAGGCCGATGATCAGCCCCGCAAGATATTAGCAATGCGCAGAGCCAGATCCAGCACAGACAAATGCTCATCTGCACCATCGACCAGTCGCCTATCCAACTCGGAGAAGACCATAACGATCTTGTTCTTCTGGATATCGGGGATCGCCTCGTTAAACACGACCCGTCGGTACAACTGTTCACTTTAGTTAGCGCAAGAGTCGCCAACATCAATCGGTGAGAAGCACAAACCTGGCTAACAAGTTGCGTGGCACTCCACCCATCCGCAACAAGATCCGTCACGACCTTCGAAACAGCCTCATACGCCGAGCCCGAAGCCTTCGGCTGCATAGCCTGCACCAAATTATCCAGAATACTCTCCGGAATAACACCCGCAATCTCCTCAATGGTCCAAACAGTAATAGTTCCGGGTCCCGAGCTCTCCGCATCCACCATCTCCGCATCGTCATCAGCATCCTTCCCACCCACACGCGTAGCACCCACCAACCGCGCCGCACTCTGCAGATACGTAATAGCACGACGCAAGTCACCCTCACCACACCGAATAAGTGTCTCTATAACACCATCGTCAAGCGTCAAATTCTCCGCCCGCGCAATCTCCGCAACCCGATCACCCGCCGCAGCATTATCCAAGCTCTTAAAGCGGAATTTACTGCATCGACTCGCCAGCGGCTCGATAATGCGCGTGACATAGTTACACACCAGACAGAAACGCGTGATGCGGGAGTATTGCTCCATCGTGCGGCGCAGCGCGGCCTGCGCGTCCTGGGTCATACTGTCTGCCTCGTCGAGGATGATGATCTTGAAGGGTGGACAGGGGTATTGGGCGCGGTAGGCGGCGTCGAGGCCTGTTGGTTGGGAGAGTTGTGCGCGGGCGAAGTTTTTCACTTTTTCGCGGACGATGCCGATGCCTCGCTCGTCGGAGGCGTTTAGTTCGAGGATGCGGGAGCGGTAGAGGGCGGGGCCGAAGAGGGATTTGGCGAGGGCGAGGATGGTGGAGGTTTTGCCTGTTCCTGGGGGTCCGTAGAAGAGCATGTGAGGGAGCTGTTGGGTGAAGCGTTAGAATTGACCTGCGGGTAGGACGGTACTGGTGCGTGGGAGCGTACGTTGGAAGCATGCAATGTGCGTTGGAGCACTTTGGTGGTGTGGTCTTGTGCAGCGACATCGTCGAGCGTCTTGGGACGACTGATTCAGGTCAGATATGATTCTTGTCAGTTATGAGTTTGGATACACTTACTATTTTTCAACCCATGGCTGTAGACGGGTGGTATCTTCCTTGCTGTCGGTTGCTTTGGTCTTGGAGCTGCTAGAAGCAGCAGCCGCCGCGGCACGGGCCTTGTTGTTGAAGAAAGTGGATGCCATGGTAAGCTCACACTCGAGGCGAGAACGGCAAGGAAGATTGGAGCTTCGAGCGTGGTCGAGTTGAGTAGTCGGGACTCAGGTGAGAGAGCAGACGCCCGCCGCGATCGAAGAGACGCGTCTCCACGTGACACGCGCAGCACTTAGCTGAGAGCCAATCAAAAGGCTCAATTATACTTCTTCGGCGGCCTACTCTGCTCGTCCAAAAGAAAAGAACAAAAGAGGTTTAATAGGCTCATTGGCTGAATCTTGAGTATATTCTGTATGATGTTCGCTGAAATGCTTCATAACCGACGTGCTATCATTACACCAAAATGCTTGCCTCTCTACAGCTCATCCCGCACTACTTGCTCCTCGTACATGCGCTTCTTCGTGTTGCGAGGTATCTCATCCTGTCTCTCCATCTCTTCGGGCGAGATATCGTCGATATTAGTTCCGTCCCACTTCCCATCCTCGACCATGCGCCCGATCTTATCAATAATACGATCTTTCTCGGCTTCAGTGGGCTTCTCATGATCCCCTGCACCAGCACCGCTCGATACAGTTGCCCCTGTAACCGCAGCAGCAGCATGTTGAATAGTCGCAGATATATCGCTAGCAACTGAGCTAGCTGCGAGTTCATTTGACCCCTTTGAGATTCCAACAGCGCCCGGGATGGCGAAAACAAATCGCATGGCGAACTTGACCGGCAGCCAAACTAGCCACCACATGGGACCGTAGAGAACGCGGCGGAAGACCAGCCATGAGATCGTTCCAACGAGGATATAGAATGCGGTCTCGAGATACCAGGTATCGGATTTTTGAGAGCGGAGGAGGGAACTGGCGAGGCTGCGAGAGTTGGCGAGGAGGGTGTCGAGGTTGCTATAGGACTCCGACAAGGAGGATATGGCGGCCGTTGATTGTTCTGACCATGTAAATGTTAGAAACCCCGCATATGCAGAAAGAAAGATTCATATGTTCCCACTTACCGAGGGTCTCTTGAGCGAACTGGCTACGAGACAGCTCAGCCTGCATCAGATGGTGTGTTCTGCGCAGGGCAGCAGTTACATCATTAGAAGCATTCAACACCAGATCCTCCTGCGTGAACTTTTCAGATGGACTCCGCTTCTCAGATGCAGATTGCGACCTCGATAACAATAACTCGCGCTCCTTACGCTTCGCAAGCTCAGCATTCCGCTTAGCTTGTAATTGAGCATTGCGAAAATCTCCCCGAGTTCTGTTCAGGCCATTAGTACAAGACACTTCCAAGATCGCAAGCATCCATCTCCTGCTGTCCAAAATGCATACCTCTTCAAATCGTCCGCCAGTCGCCCTGCCATCGCAACCACCCGCTCCTTCTCGGCCTCCTTCTCCCCGCCATTCACTGTTGATTTCCTCCTCCCCTCTGAGCCGGTATCTAGTGCCTCGATATCCCCGCGCAACAGCTCCAATTCGCTCTCGGCATCTTTCAACTGCGAGTGTATCTCCGCGCCAAGTTCCAAGCGCGCCTCATCGCCTTGCCCGATGGAGGCTGTGAAATTGCGCAATCGATCAACGAGAGGTTGGATCTGGACGAGTGTGGCGGATAGCTCCTTCAAGCGGGTCTGAAGAGCAGCCGCGGTGGACATGGTGGGTGGTAAACCGGTGCAGCCGACGGGATTAGTGCATATAACGTCGGTCTGGTAGAATTTGCGGGAAAATGTCAAGATTCCGCAGAATAAATCTAGTCTTTGCACTTCCGAATCCTAGGTTTGCTTCAACTAGGAGTCTGTTTTGGTGGAAGGAGCACTTGTTTGGACGCAAGTTGACCAGCTGGCCGTGGGCGTCGCCGCTCCCATACCGACATGTTTGCATTTTCGGCAAACATCGGACATCGCCTTCGGAGTCGCAACCGCAACTCGGCGGAAACGTTTATTCGGACTGTCCATAGAACGATTTTCCTCGACGATTGAGCCTTACCGTGCCAGGCTACACTCACTACAGCCCGAGCCTCCTGTGATAGTCATTCTTTGAGGATAATATCGACCACCAGACGTCGAAAGTCACCAACCCACTCCACCGCAAAAAAACCAACCATCGCGAACTCGATCAGGTACGCAACTCCTACAAGCACCAGCTCACCACATCCAAAATCTTCCAATCGCTAATACAATACATAGTCATCTCTTCTCTATCAACCACCAAACCCCTCACCCTCCTCAACCAACCACACACATCACAACCACAACCGCCAAAATGTCCATCCCAATCCACACAATCACCACCTTCCGCGCAACCTTCAACCCTTTCACCCACGCCTCCCGACCCTGCCGCCTCCTTCTCTCTCTCCTCCGCACCCCGAGCACAGCCTCGCCCGCCAGCCCCACACACATCGACATCAAAGTGACACAGCTGCCGCGCAACTCGACACAGCAGCCCGTGATGACGGTCGGCTTCAAGGGCGGCAAGGAAATCACCCTGGAGGTTGGTAAGCGGGGGATGAAGATTGGGGATGTGGTAGAGGAGCTTTCGCGGGTTGGGCGGGCTTTGGAGCGGGAGGCTAGTTTGAAGGGTTGAGTGGATTTGTGCTGGTGGGTAGGTATGGGATGGATGGTATGTCATGTTTCGTGTACCCGGTTTACGAGGGTTGCTTGGACATGATATTCTTCCCTTTTGAGTTGTTCTGTATTATATTGTTTTGATATTCTGTTGTTTTTGGCGCGTTGGAATTACTCAATTGCATGTGGTGAGAGGTTGGTGTTGATAGTGTGGGGTGGGTGTGAGTATTGTCGTCCAGCTCTTCAGGAGCAGATATACCAATCTCATGAATATTCGATCTACACTATACACTTTTGTATCCCTCGTTCGATCCGAACGTGTTGTCTATGTCTTGAGCGGATGAGAGCAAGCGGATTTTGGCGGGATCGCACTACAGTAGTGGGATCTTGGTCGGATATCTCAATTGAATAATATATCCCATCGTCTGGTCACAGCGAAGACTCAACATTTTTGTTCAGGTATTTCGAAAACAGCGAGAGGTGAGACATTTTACACGGCAGCGCCGGAGATGAAGAACCACTTGTCAATGCTGCCATCAATGGGGGCAGGAGCCAGGTTCTCGCCACGGGGAATGGCAGCGACCTGAGCGGGATCAGCGCGGTTCAGGTCGAGCTGGGTGTTGGCACTGTAGAAAACTGAATTAGCAAAGCTCCCGTGAACCATAAAATCGCTTTACAAGAGCGAAGTGGAAAACAAAAACGTACATGCTGATGTCACTAGCGTTGGTCTTGCCAGAGATCAGCTTATCCCAGGCCTCGGAGCACTCCTTGATGACCTCCTCGGCATACTTCTTGTTCTTGCACTCGCCGGAGAAAGCAAACTGGTTCTCGGGCTTGCCGTCGGGGATCTTGTAGATGCGGAACCACTCATTGGTGGCACGCATGAGACCGGGCAGGTGGCGCTCGACATCCTCAATGTCGTGGAGCTTGTTGGCCAGAGGGTCGTTGACGTCGATGACAATGATCTTCCAGTCGGTCTCCTCCTCGTCAATCAGGGCCATGACACCGAGAACCTTGACCTGCTTGACCTGGCCGGGGTAGCCGACCAGCTCACCAATCTCGCAAACGTCCAGAGGGTCGTTGTCACCCTTGGCCTTGGTCTCGGGGTGGACGGAGTTGGGGTCCTCCCAGGTCTAATCAATTTGAAGTCAATACCCGAGTCCTGGTCGATGGCGGTGTAGTCTGCTTCGTTGCAGGCGTTGCAATTGTTCCACTTACGCGGGGGAAGGCACCGTAGTTCCAGAGATAGCCCTTGTGGGGGAAGCAGTTGCGGACGAAGCGCAGCTTGCCCTTCTTGGTGTCCTGCTTGATGGGGTTGAGGAACTCGTCCTTGGAGATCTGGAGGCGGTTGGGAGCAAATCAGCTTTGTGTACAATTGACGAAGTGAGAGAGAATGCAATTGGGACCGAAGTGCATGGCAATGGTTGTTGTTCGTACCTCCTGCTTAGCGTTGGTCCAGCGGGGGATCTCAACAACCATGTTCAGGATAGTCTGCTCCTCGTTGGCGTAGAGGGGGATATCGTGGAAGGGAGAGACGGGGACGCCATCCTTCTCGATGTAAACACGGTGCTCCAGCGTGTAAGGCTGGGCGATCTTGCGAACGGTATACGACATTTTGGGAGCGGAGGAAGAGAAATGCCTGGCGAGGAGAGCAACTCGGGAGAGAGAAGAGGAAGAAGGCACGGGCGACGTAGTGGGGGGAGAAAAGCAGGACGGAGGGGCAGCCCAAGTGGGGGGCGCCAGTGTTGCTGTTGCTGCTGCTGCTGCTGCTGATGGGCGGCAGACTCGGCGGGAGGCGGTGGAGGTAGACAACGAAAATCCCAGTCGGGCCAAGGGAGAATGGGCCAGGGCCATTGGCTATTTCACGGGGAAAGTGAGGAGGGGGATGTTTGAGACTGGCGTTGTTGAAACTTTGTGTTGACTAGTGTTTGGTCCTTGCCAATTGCGATGGCCCAATTGCGTGTTCACTGAAGGGATCGTAACTGGTTCGGCCCCTGGGAAGGATCCCTCTGGAATACTCGACTTTTGGCCGGGAATTTCTGGTCGCGGGTCTTTTTCGGCGGGTCCTCCGAGGTCCGGCATTGCGAATGCCCTGAGTCTCGAGAGAAATTCCGAAAATTGGCATTCCGCCCGAGCTATGGACCGGGTGATGTGGTCTGAGACCGATTGTTCGTATACTGGGCAATTATTGTCTGTACTATCCTGTATTTATCTTGCGTCGCCTCTTCTCTTCAAGAATTCTGCTGTGGCCCGGGTCTCGTGCCCCTCCCCCCGGATGAGTGTATGTACTGCTACTTGGCGGTACCTACGGCAATGTATGTACTCTGCATGTACTCCATACTTCATGCTCGTTTGACACTCTCCATACATTCTCGCGGCGAGTGATAACCCGATATCGGGATTCAACCGTGCTTGTTAACGACTGAAGTGTAGATGTTTCCCCCTAACTCTCATACTAACTGATCTATGACATACCTATAAACATACTGGAAATGAGGATAAATAGGGTATTGCGATAGCATAATGAGCAGGTCTTTCAGGTTTGTTAATTAACCCAGAAGAGACCCAGATTTGTTGTACCCAAAATCAAGGCAGAGATTATGACAATAATCAGGCATCCACAAGGCATCAAATCTTCAAAAAACCTCTTACTGGGTTATCGCCTCTATCTACACGTGACCCTGCGGATTTGGCCAAGAACCCCAGAACAGTGCGGCGACTGCCATCATCCTCTCCAAGCAAAAGAACACAAAAGAAAAAAAATCCACCCTCCTCCCCATCTCAGCATGCTATGATCAGACTCCTACGCTCCGCAATGTCCACCCTCGCCGAGTCCGTTTCCACCACCGCGGCCCAAGTGCCGCGTGTGCCCATCCCCCCGAAAGGCGTCGACTATCGCGGCAAAGTCGTCCTTGCTCCAATGGTTCGATCAGGCGAACTCCCCTCGCGCCTCCTCGCTCTCCACTACGGCGCAGACCTCGTCTGGGGTCCCGAAACCATTGATCGCGCACTCATCGGTGCCGAGCGCCGCGTCAACCCGCGCAACGGAACCATCGAATTCACCCGCCTCCCCTCCAACGGCGGCCGTGTCGAAAAAGCCGCCAAAGAATCAGTCATCTACCGTCTCGATCCTGTTCGCGAAAAGGGCAAACTCATTTTCCAAATGGGCACTGCCAACCCCGATCTCGCCGTGCAGGCTGCAAAGGTTGTTGCAGGGGATGTATGGGGTATCGATGTCAACTCGGGTTGTCCCAAACCCTTCAGCACCAGCGGCGGCATGGGCGCCGCACTCCTGCGCACACCCGATAAACTAGTCTCCATTCTCGAGACGCTGGTCCGCGAAGTCGGCGAGCCGTATCAGATCGGCATCTCTGTGAAAATTCGCATCCTCGAGACCCCCGAACTCACCGAAGCCCTCGTCTCCCGCCTCGTCCGCACCGGTATCACAGGTCTAACCGTCCACTGCCGCACAACCCCCATGCGGCCCCGTGAGCAAGCAATCCGCGACCAGCTTCGCATGGTGGCCGATGTCTGCCACAATGCCGGTGTGGCATGCGTGATGAACGGCGACGTCACCTCGCGCGACAACGCACTAACGCTGATGGACGAGTTCGGCGTGGATGGCGCAATGATCGCCGTTTCGGCGGAATCCAATTCATCCTGTTTCCGCTCCGAGGCGGACGGTGGTCTCGCACCTTGGCGCGACGTGGTGTATCAATATCTCAAGTTCTGCATTGAGAGCGAGAACCGCTACGGTAATACCAAGTACCTGCTCAACATGTTGATCCCGGGCAAAGTCAAGGAATTCAAAGAAGCCAAGCAATCCAAGACATACGCTGATGTCTGCCGACGATTGAAATTCGACGATCTCGTGCCTTCAGCCATTCAGCTGGACGAGATCCTCGACCTCACGCACAAGCAGGAGCTAGGCGATGCAGAACACACTGTCTCCAAGGCCGTGCAGAACGCCAAGGAGAATAACGAGTCTGCGCGTGCCGCTGGCGGCGGTAACACCAGACCTGCCAAGTCAAACTCCACCACTACGCATAATGTTGGTCCCATCCGTACCTCGTCTATCCCACAGCCGGCTAAAGCAGCTAAGCCTGCATCCGCATCTGAGCAGGCCACTACGACTACCCCCGTTGATCCGTCAGTCCCCGCTGCAGAGGTTCCCCAGCAGCCTGCCGTTGCAGTATAAACGTGTCCCCCACTCTATATCCCCACTTTTCTTCTTTGGTCATTCTGCATAGCCTGGTTTCTGGACTCACTCGAGGTCTTTCTGCATTGGGATGTGGTTCCCATGGTTCTATTTTTTCTTGTTTATAGATTCCCCTCAAAATATACTAGATTATACATATACACGGGATTACAATATCCAACCTCCGCTTCACTGAGTCATCTCTTCGCTTGTTCTTGATCAGCCTAACCCAACCTTGAAAAGCATGAGACAAGCTCTACCTAACAGCAAAACAAAAAAAAACTGGAGGTTTCGAGAATTAAACTTTATTTGGTCTACTCTAATATGCTGATATGCGATATGCACCTTTTGAACCGAACGGTCGCAAAAACTCCAGCGACATGTGTACAAACCAGAACACACCCGATTGAAAATGCAAGATTTTTCCTGAACACCATAAACCCAACCACCACAGCTCTTGCAACAGATCCCTTCGAGCGCTGCCTCACTTTTCCTCCTCCGGCTTATCCTTCTTCTCCATGTCCGCAAAAACCATGCTCTCCACAGCCTGCATACCAGCCTCCTCGTTCTTCTTAGCGGCGACGTCATCATCACCCGCGACAGCCTGGTCCAGCGCCAGCTTCGTTCGACCCAGGGCGTAGATCTGCTCCTCAATAGTCTCACGAGTGACAAAGCGGAAGACCTCAACCTCGCGAGTCTGGCCGACACGGTGGGCGCGGTTCTCGGCCTGAACATCCTCCTGTGGATTGAAGGAGGAGTCGAAGATGATGACCTTGTTTGCGCAGGCCAGGTTGATGCCTGCACCACCGGCCTTGGTCGAGAGCAGGAAGACGGGGATTTCCACCCGCTCGTGGAATGCATCCAGGATGGACTGGCGGTCTTCAACGTTGGTGCGGCCATCCAGGCGGACAAACTCAATCTGCAGAGTCTCGAGAACGTTCTCGAGGATGTCCATGACCATGGTGAATTGCGAGAAGATCAAGGTGCGGTCGCCGTTGGCGACGAAGCGGGTGAGCAGTTCACAGAGCTTTTCGACTTTACCGGAGTCCATCCATTCTTCATTCTTGAGCTTGTATTTGCCGAGCGAGCTCGGGTTCTCAAGACACATGTGATGGCACTCGTAGTCATTGTAAGCCTGCAACTCCTCCTCAATGATCGCTGGATCGGAAAGAGCCCATTTCTCCTCTTTCAGACAGCTCTTAGCCATCTTCTTGAGAATGGCATCGGTGTAGTGACGCCGGGCGAGGAGGGGGTGGATGGCGGCTTGGCGGAGCTTCATGAGGATGTTGGCGGATTTCGAGCCAGTCTTCTTGCCCGCAGCGCGGTCCTCGAGGAGCTGACGGACTTGCTCCTTTTCGTGATCGTAAATACCCCGCTGTGAAGGCTTCATCTCGCAGTACTCAACATACGAGTGCTTGTGGGGCAGGTCAATGACTTGGACCTTCCTCCGGCGCAAAACAAAAGGCTTCAGCATGGATTTGGCACGCTCGATACGCTGTGCTGACAAGAGCGTTGCGTGCGATTCATCAGACGTCTTTGCCTTGTTGGCAAAGACCGCCTGCAGATCCTCCTTGTGCTGTTTGAAGACTCCAGGCAGCATGAAGCCGAGTAGAGAAGCCAGTTCTTGCAAATTGTTCTGCAGCGGGGTACCCGTGAGGAGAAGTCGGAACTCGGCATTGATGCGAATGAGTTTGTCGTACAGGACCGACTGAGAATTCTTCAACATGTGCCCTTCATCATAGACGCAGACACAGAAGTCCATATCGCGAAGGAACTTTGCATCCAATTTGGCCTTGGCGATGGTGTAGGTGGTAACCACGACGTTGATCGAGTCCCGCTCATCTTCAAGCTGCTCGCGAATGTATGCACGCTCAGCCAGGCCCGCGTAGTAGGGCTTGACCACGAGCTTCGGAGAGAAGTTCTTGAACTCACGAAGCCAGTTCTCAATGGTGGATGAAGGGACGACCACCAGGTGAGGGCCCTTGATGCCCTTCTCTAAGAGGTGGGAGAGGAACGAGATGACCTGACAGGTCTTGCCGAGACCCATTTCATCAGCGAGGATGCAGCTCATCTTCTTCTCGAACAGCAGCGCCAGCCAGTTAAGACCGACGATTTGATAATCCTTCATAACCAAGGTTTTGGCCATAATGGATGGCTGTGAGATGAGACCAGACTGACCACTCGACTGAAACTTTCGAGATTTGACGACGGGTCGAATCTCATCGTCCGAATCCTCTTCGCCAGGAGACTGGGGGTTGGAGGAAGGTGTTGCGATTCCCGAATCGTGGGAGCCTTCCAGATTCGTGAGCTGGAGCTCGGAATCACCACGCTTGCCAAAGATGTCCACCCCCCACTTCTTCATCTCTTCGGCCACGGGCTTGCCCAGCGCTTCACATTCCGCAACGAGGGCATCGATCGCCAGGTACCCAGTCCACATGTCCAGGCACTTGTCGACGATCTTGTCGCCGACAGGCTTGGGAGCTTTGCGGCCCCTGCCCTTGCCCTTGGGTTTGGCGTTCTCATCGACAGGGGCACTGACCTCACGTACCTGGCCCAGGTTGGTGAATGGGCGCTGGGAGATGATGAGGTCGGCCGTCTCCTCAGGAATCGCGGCAATGTCGGCGAGGTCGTGGGACTTGCAGGTGTTGAAGAATCGCAACACTTTTTGCTCCAGGTCGCCAGAAGAAGCATCCTCATCGAGGACATCGGAATCCTCCGAATCTGTGAGCAAAGCCTCTGGGGTGAGCGAGGGGGCGCGGCGAGGGCCCTTCTGGAGATGTCCAGCCTTCTTCTTTGGGGGCGAGTCGTCCGAGTCGATCAAGATGGCATCAGAAAGGGTGGCGGAATCACGAGTTCGAGGGCCGCGCATAAGACGACCGCGAGGCTTCACCCCCTCTTCATTCTGAGAGGTAGCCGGCAAATTCGAAGCAGCCCATTTATCTTGAATGGTGCCACGCGCCTTGATCTTCTGCTTGACCATCTGTCCAATGTTGCGGACAGGCTCCGCACTTAGCTCGTCATCTGAAGATTCAATTTCAATGGCGGAATTGCGGGTTCCGTTCCCATTTGCGCGGACAGGTTCGTTGGCGAGTAGATCCAGAGCCATATCGTAGTTTCCATTGGCCGACATGAGAGCATCCACACACTCTGATACAGACTTTGTGGGCATGACTTTGAGAATACGCTCCACTTTGACTCGGATTCGGAAATCGGCAATGTCCAGCACAGTCGAGATCTGGGCGTTCACAGGTTGCGCGCGGGAAGGAGCGCCTTGTCGAAGCTTCTTTGTAGCAACACCCCGAGGAGCATCGGCGGGGCTCATCTGATCGGCTGAGCGCTTCACACCCGCGGTAGTTGGGTCGTACATGGCGGATGAAGTAATTTCCTTAAAGCGATCCAAGGAGCCAGTCTCCGCGCGGACAGGTGACTCGGCAACTTTTTCAGGGCTTCGAGCAGTTTTCTCAAACATCGCAGGCTTGATGTCGATACGATTCTCGTCGTCATCCGAGGACCCGCCTCGGTAGGTTGGACCGTCATCCATGTCGAAGTTGGGAGTTCGTTTCGTCGGGCGAACAGTTGTAGCTGGAGGACGGAAGGATGTGCCAGAAGGAGCCATGAGCGAGCTTAAAAGTCCTCCGCGGGGACGGTGGGTGGGTGGGGAGGCAGCAGGAGCCGTGGGTGAGGATGCAGCAACCTGGACAATTGTATTGTTCGAGCGTGAATATGGCATGTCAATTAGTTGTGTTGCCTGGGTCAATCGCTGTGACGGGGTAATTGTATGCGCGGGCAAGGTGGCGATCGTCTCGTAGTCTCCATCATCGTCGGGGGTGCCTGGTGCAAGCTTCTTTCCCCGAATAGGGGTGTCAGGTACTGAGTCGTCCATTATTGTCGTAGGCAGCACTTGTCCCAGGCAGTTGAGGCCCGCCTCCTATCTGATCTGGTCAACCAACGTTTGAACCACTTTATAATTACTTTTCGCCAGGAACGTTTTTTCTGCCGGCGGAGACGCGATCCCGACGCGTGCGGATCACGTGGGTTAGATTAGCTTATGGGATTGAATATCTTAAATATGTTCAATCTTACGGATTCGAGATTGGCATTCTTTTTTTTAGTAGCGAATTTGATTCGGATGTGTCCATTTCTCAATTGGCTTCAAAACTGCTTCGTGTCGAGATTGCAATATGGTTTTGCATTGAAAGATCAGGACCTGTAAATGTGAATATTAATTACTAGACGCGGTTAGTTTCGCCGTTTCCGAGTTTAAGCGTTGCTCAAGTATGGAAGACCTGACCTCGCTCTTGAAGATTTAAAAGAGTCTTCCTAATTCCCTAGCTAAGGTTTCCGAGCCTTGTAATAAAGAAGATAAAAATACTATAAGATAGTTTTCTCTAATATTCGTGGGCCTATAAGCGACCCGCTTCCGAAGCAGGAGTATAGAATCCTCTCATATGGGTATAGATAATCCTTATAAGTTTCACGATGACTGGCGCTCTTAAATCACCAAATTAGGCTTTCATACTGGTCTACACCAGTCAGGCTAAGTTATATACTCATAGTTAAGAACTAAGATTGCACTGAAAGGCTGAAAGACACTTGCGTACCTTTTCACCCTAAGCTAATGGAATTCTTTGACAACGCATTTTTCATTTGTATCCTGTGTAATTTGAACTAAGGTGGTTTATCCATTGAGTGCTACCATGTTCCATTCTAATAAGCGTTGGTGACTAGACACCGTGGTTGATATGGCCCTCCAAATGTTGCCTCTAATAACTATCATCCGAATCGCTCATCTCGTTCATGCATGATCATATTTTCCCACCAAGGGTTTCCATGCTAATCCTGGAGAGAGCCGTAGTCGGCTGCTCAATTGCCGCTTCCACTGTGATCTCGGATAGACCCTTTGCTCTTCTTAATAGTCTCCCTGTAACTTAGGAGTCGGAAAAGATTTTGTTTGTGGGTATTAGCCCAATAGGGCCCATAAATGTCACAAAATCGTTGCACATAATCAAAACCTGCAAGCTGCAGAGTTGAAAAAAGTTCTTGAGCCCAAAGAAAGCGAGCCCGGTCCCTGGAGTGGGAGTATACCCGCGAAGCCTGGATGGCAACGAGCAACCCATAGTGGAGCCCCGATGGACTCATGTCAACTTGACCAAGGTATGGAAGACAGCGAACAGTCTTGCTGACGTAAAATGCGGCAAGTCTGTTTGCCTTGTCTTCGAGAGGGCGCTTCGTTATTTGGGTCCGACTGGGCATCTGCACTTCAACACTACCCCGGCAAATGCAAATAAGAGGATGAGTAAACGACAGTAAAAGCCAGAGAAGAATGCGAAGAGTGGCATCTTTAAGGGAGGAGATGCGATAAGCGGAACCAAAAAGTACATTCGTTTGGGATATTCTCGTTTTCAATTCACCACGAGTGTATGGCGGGGGCTTTCCGGGGATGCCATGATTAACCTTGATATCAAGGTCTGGAGCACCCAGTTCGACATCCAATGCGTTGTTCAATAGAGACTGAAAGGCCTCAGGATCGAAAGCATCTGTATTATCAACAGCCGCGGCAATGCGTGATATTTCTGCCATATATGCAATCAATCTTTCCAGTATCCCATCTCCTCTAGGCTTCTTAAGCCATTCGATGGCCTCTGCAGAGAGATGCATAAATGCAGCGAGTACTATGCTCAGATCATGACTTGGGCCATATATAGTCGCCAAAATCGGACTCGTAAACTTCTTTGGGCGATAGCATTTCATAATTTCTCCCAGTCCATCGAAATGGGCCAGCCATTCAGCGAGGCTAGATGGGCAATAGTCAATCTGAATAAGTAAAAATCAATATTTAGGGCTGTTTTCGTTGACTAGTATGATCTTTCTACTTTTGAAGCGCGGATTTAAAGGCTAGAAGGAGGAGCCCCTATGCCAAAAGAAGGCACCAGTACGTGGGAGAGGGATACCTGAAAGTGCATAAATAGATTGATTTTCCTATCGTGCAAATAGACCACAACAGGTTCTTTCTATCCTCATTTCGTTGCGCCTCAATCACCACCCCGTGTTCTTATCTACTCAATTTATAATCACCACGACAATGGGGAAGTTGACCTATTCAGACGGCATTTCTATCCTTCAATTGATTGTATTCCCGGTCCTTCTCGCCTCTTTTATCTATATTTGGAAACGAACAGGATGGAGATCTGGCCGTCATCCTGTCTGCTATTCGACACTTCTTTGGCAAATTCATTGGTAGAAATACGCTGAAGGTCAGGGCGTACCTCATATCTTCGCTTTTAAATAGACTTCGGGGGTTTCATCAGGGCTCAAACCACGCGACTGTGATAGCCTGTTATGGGGTCTCCAGAAAGACCTTCAGAAAAATGTGTCGGAAGATCATAACAATTCAATATCAAAACGACGGTGTGCCAAGAATTGTTGCTAGTAATCGCTTTGGGCCAGCACAAGTCTTCATGGGTGTCCTCCGATACAGTTCGTTTATTGATCTTGACCCGCCACTCTATGAGATAATGGATACCGGTTGGTGGACATTCGTCGTAAGCATGATCCTCTTCCCACTCAAGAGAATGAAGCAATCGGAGACTAGTCCGTCGTAATTGGCTTGCAGCAGGGTTGCTCTTGTCGACCGCTTAAGAGGAGGGGCTGCAAACAAACCGCGTGTCGTAGGGGCTGTGAATGAAACTGGGGAGGGGGCCATGCCACGAGCTCTTCGGGGTGAGATATGTAGTCGACATTCTATGATCGTCGGGGTCATCTCCTAAACCAGGTGCAGCTGTGGAAGATATATTTTAGCTATTAGGAAGTTACTAGCTCTGGAAAGACACTGGTAACCAAAGTAATCACAAGCGAGACGACGATCTCTGAAAAGCGAGAACGGCACCGTACCACGGTTAGTAATGATATAAACCTCGGCACCGCCTTCAACTATAGTCAAGCGAGTGCAAATGAGGGGCTACATGAGTGATGTAGAGCAGAGGTGGGATGTCATCTTGCTAGATCGCCATGACTAATCAAATTTAGACTAGCGTAATTAGAATTAGGGTTTAGGGAACAATCTATGAGTGTATCAGGGGGAATCTGATTTCGAATCTGGTATTAACTTAGGTCTGGAAATTTGAAGAATCTTCCGGTGGCTAAATCCTATTGAATAAGCTCCGGCCGCCCCGGCCGGGGGCGGGGGGTTCATGTTATGACGTCAGGTGGTGTGACCTTTCTTCATTCCTGTTGTAAGTTCTGTGCATTGCGCCGTTAATCTATCGCCGTAGCACGAATGACGAATGAATGATCGAGGCTCACAACTTGCTGCTGTTGTTATATGCTTTCTTCCTCTTACAGTCACTACAGTTGCTCTCCGTTGCTACGTGCGGGTCAGAATAACAAGGGGATTTGGGGCGGACGACGCATTGTCAGTGCGTTCATTAGTATGTCTACTGCGAAAATCACCTCCAGCTCAGCCCATAATCTGCTAATACGAGAGGAAGATAATTTTTGTGCTGGGCTCAGCCTGTCTCCTTGTTGGAGTTGAAGCCGGTGGTTTCGGGCACAGATGGATGGATATCTCTCAACTAAGGCTTATTCTCTCCTTAAGGCATGCACTCCCTAAATTACCTAAACACCCCGGAAAGTATCTGATATTTGCTAGTTACTTTTCGCATATGAGGCGACCTACGTTATCGCGACATGTTTAGTCAAGTTATCTATTAGCTTGTTTCTCCTCCGCTTCACTATCGAACGCAAATATACCTGGATTCTTTACGTTGTCCTCATGCGATTCCGAAAGGGGAAGTTCCCTAAGAGGGTTAAAAGGCCCATATCCGACCACGCATCTTCTTCTTCTCTCTTTCCTTCTCTAGACTGGAATCTTTCGCAGATAGCACCGAATGGAGACTTCCGTCATCATCTCGCTTGGCTTGTAACAAAAAGGATAAAGAAAATCTGTACGGTAGCTTGAAATAAGGGAGATAGCTACAATTTGTACTTCAGGATTTAAGCACATATCTTAGTGTTTAATAAGAGCAGAACGCTTTTTTCTGCGCCGGTGCAAAGCAGATAGCTTAAGCCCTCCATTTTTGTGTCATCGTGCCCCAGTTCGTTAGTTTTTGAGAGGGGAAAGAGATTAGAGGATCGAGTACCTCAAAAAAAAGGGGCACGGTGAAAAATGAGGTCCATCAAAAAGTAGGTCGGAAGATAAACAGAACTGTGGGGCAAGGCGCTCTTTTAGGTATGGGCTGAGCGTCGACTGGGTGCTCAATAGAGATGCCTTTGATGAGTATCTGAGTAATCAGTGATGGCTCAAAGTGAGCAGCCAACCAGACTCACTGAGCACTCATTGGACCTCACTGGTCATCACGTGATGACACTGAGCAGCTCACAGTGAGTCTGATTCCGGACTGAAATTTACTCAGAGAGTCTGACTCTGAGCGCCCTCATAAAAACGGCGGCAGCTAAGATAGGAAAGCCTCACCCGGCATAGGATGGTACATATAGTGTCCTACGTATATCTATTGCAAATACTGTATGTAGGTGTTTGTGATGTTTGCGATGTTTGCAGCCGACGTCACCAATTTGTCATCATCGAACAGAAGGCGAATGTTCTCTGAACACGATGCAAAGTGTTGCGGAGCATGGTGACAAATAGAGTAAAGGTTCAGCAATAGACTGAGTAGAAGATTGGTCAGTAAATACTAATTAGAGTAACCACCTAGGAACGGCTCTATACTCTGAAATTCAATAAATGAGTACTGATACCACACCCTTTAGTCGTTTCGCGATAATAAGCTTCTACATCGACCAGATCACCAAGCTACTATGGAAAACAAAGCTCTTTGGCTCAAAGGTCCGGGCGAGGATCCTTTCGTAGATGCTGCCCCTTGTCCAGAACCTGGCGAGGATGAGTTGCTTATTGAGGTATGCATATCACATTGATAGTTAAGTCCTCAACGCATTGACTAATGAATTTATGACCTAGACGAAGGCTGTGGCCGTGCAACCTGGAGAGTGGAAGCTCCAGGCAGGCATTATCCCGATCCCTCTGAGTTACCCAACCATCATCGGACGTAAGCCTAATTCTCTCAAGTTGCCATCTTCCCTTAGCAGACGGACTGATAGCGTGGATCGCGTAGTCTCATCATCTGGAATTGTGGTAAAGGTTGGTCCTGGAGTCACTCGGTTTCAACCCGGTGACCGAGTTGCCAGCAATAGCGCTGGAGTTCTGTTCAACGATCACCGATTTGGGGCATATCAAAAATATTCGCTGGTCCCACAGCAGCTGACATCGAAGGTGTGTAGCAGCGAGAGAACTCCATCGATTTCACCTTGACCTTGACATCACCTAATACATTTGTGTTTTCGTATCGCAGATTGGCAACACCCCGTTCGAGGATGCGGCTGCGATATCCACTGCGTATGGGCCAATAAGTGCTTTGTTCATTCACCTGGGCCTGGAGCGGAATTTTCAAAAACCTAGAAATACGGTTCAGAGAGTGCTGATCTGGGGGGTTTCGTCCTCCTTCGGTGCACTTTCAGCCCAGATAGCTAATTTGGCTGGTTACATTGTCGTTGGTGTTGCCAATGGACGCCATGCAGAGCTAGCGAGTTCGATTGGGGTCACCTCATTTCTCGACAGAACCTCCCCGTCTGTTGTTGAACAAGCAGTCTCTTTGGGTCCATTCCAGGCTGTTCTCGCCGCTGCAGATTCAGCAGAGGATCAAATGAAGATCGGCAGGGTTTTGTCAGCGCAAGGTGGGGGAAGCTTCTTGTCCACGATGGGTGTACGCCCTGGCGTTGAATTGCCTGAAGGGGTAACGGGGTTCTTCCATCAGTTCCTTGACGACTACCTGAACCCTGCTCATCATGAGTTCACCGAATGGGCTTGGTGGACCTTCTTGGAATCTGTGTTTGCTCATGGAAGCTTGAAATCAGTCCCTTTGGAAATAAAAGGAGGGTTATCCGCTGTCCCAAAAGCTTGGGATTTGCTACGACATAATGCCGTTAGTGGAAAAAGACTGATCATTCTACCCCAGTTGGATTAGCAACTTTGTGAGGCGTTTTTCTCACAGGAAACAAGACACGACGCACTGCTGGAGTTCCACTTTATACTTGCAAGGATGCTTGGATTCAGTTGTGGCTTACTACTGGATCCTGAATTCCTCTGCTGTATCTAGGGTTGACTATAGTTGTCCTTAATATTGATTATTATCGGGAACACACCGTCCTCATCTACACATATGTATGTGAGACCCTCATAGCTTTTTGTCGGAAACCGATACTTGGCAAGATATTCAAATCAGAGTAAACTCTTCAATGAGTAACGGTTCTAGTTATTCCGATAACAAGTGATTCGGGAAATCAAGAAGTCTTGATGGTTTAAACGAGTCTAGATTGATTTTGGAAGATATATCCAAAGTTATCCAGTTAATCAAAGACAGTAGAAGAAAACTAAATACATGATAAATGGGTGTCCTTAGATATTTTCCTTCGTTGTACTTCCTTATACAATATGTTGTATTCGTTACCTTCATATATTGTACTAGGTGATACAGTATATAGTATCATACGATTAGTCCTAGTCCTAATTTGTCCTTAGCCGTTGTATATAGCAGGTACAAGTATCCGTGCCCTCCGGCCTGTTACAGCCAGAAAGAGATCAGGGATCAACTTGTGCCATTTGACGAAAGTATCAAGGCTAGAGAGGAGAAGAAAGAGAAGACTATCTAGTAGGATGATGTTTGATATATCCCCCGATAAGAAACGCCTTTTCTTATCCTCCCGATTCGGCCATGTTTGTTTCCATCGTGTCTAGTCCGTCACACGGCCTACCTTCCAACTATAAGCTAAGTAACTATAACGAGGTCTGACTTCACTCTGTGTTCTCTTATATGTTAGTGACGTAAGGTATAGGAATAAGTTATAGTGGGTATTAGTAAGAAGAGAATTATAGAGCAGAAGAGAGATAAGCATGAAAGATAAACTAACGACCAGTACAGATGAAGCTATAGAGTCTCGTGGACCAGCAATGGCCAAGCCTAGCGAGGATGCCGCAAGTCAGCGAATCGGCGACAGGAAGGTTGAAAATCAATAGCAATGCTAAAGTTAAGCCAAGAACTTAGAAGAGAGTTTTACAACCAAGGACGAGCCAGTCAAAGAAGGGAAACGTAGAGAGAAAAGCGGAAAGATGCCCTAGAACCCTAACGGCTAGGATGGATAGAGAAGTAGTTGAGCAATAAGACGACGTAGCCACGATAGACTCGGGCGAACCAGAACACGTCTTGGCAGCGAAATCGACCAATCAGCGGCGATAATTTGGCACGATTTTGCAGTACAAACGCAGCTAAACTGGCTGAGGTGTTCCTAATTGTTGTATATGGTCGAACACCACCTAGCTTTTTGATTATACTTCGCTACACTCCCTGGCCACAGATTTGCCGATAAAATCAATAGCGCCCTTTGTGCATGTGTATCTCAGTTACCATCCCAATCTTATCTCACTCTAGTGCTGCTAAATACTCCTGTTAATTACGGTAAATTTTCAAAAGTTACGATAGTGTCACACTAATGCACTGTGGAGTTATCGGCAAATCTGTGACCAGGGAGTGTATAGCTGTCCGGTTCTTGGTCTGAAAGGTTTATGAGCCAAATATTCACTCTTCAATGTGCGTGATGTGCTATTTAAGGGGTGACCCCTTGAACATAGATGCCAAGTGTCGATCATCCGTGTATCGGGAATCCGCGGTGAAGGGCGGATTCTTGCAGTCACCTCGTGAGACGTCCGGGGCAAGGCGAACTTTTTCAAACATCCTTCTTTTGCTAAAAGAAAAAGCGAGGGGGTCTTTTGGCAATCCCAAGCCATGGGTATAGCCAGCTGTAACCCCAACGAATCCAAGCTTACCAATGACGATACCAACCATGAACCATCTGCCAATGTCCACAAAGTCGAAGATCGAGAGATAGAAGGACTACCATGTCGGCAACCTCAATCCCTGTCCATCCTCTCGGGGCCCGAAAAAATCCTGTCCATCCTTATCATCACCACCATGACCTTCCTGGGGCCAGCTTCAACAAGCATGTATTTTCCTATCCTCGGTACTCTGTCGCGAGATCTACATGTCTCTCCCTCTCAAATAACCTTGGCAATCACTGTATATATGGTATGGCACACACTGCTCGTCCCGAAGACAAAGTCAGCTCATTCATACCCTTCAAGATCACGCAAGCTCTCTTCCCTCTGCTAACAGCGAGCTTTTCGGATCAACGTGGACGTCGGCCCGTTTTCATTGTTTGCTTGGCAGTATACCTAAGTGCAAACATCGGTCTCGCCTTGCAGACTAGTTATGGTGGGCTGATGGCACTGCGTTGCCTGCAGAGCTTCGGTAGCAGCAGCTTGTCAGTCGTGGGCATCGCATACTTATCGGATATACTCACCCGTGCAGAACGCAGCAAATACCGCATCTATACCTCCTCAGGCTACACCTTGTCTCACCTTGTCGGCCCCGTCACCGGGGGTCTCCTAGCGCAGTTTCTCGGCTGGAGAAGTGTGTTCTGGTTCCTGGCCATATTTGCGGCTGTCACATTATTGTTCATCCTGGTGTTCCTGCGCGAGTCATGTCGCGCCTTAGTGCACAACGGAGAAGTACCGCCTCAGCGCTGGAATCGAGCGCTAATAGACTTCCTCCATCCGCTCGAATACCGTCAAGATACCCCATGGCCACGCACACCCGGGCGCACGCGTGGAGTCCTGGATACAATTCGACTCCTCAGCCACAGGTCGACATGCCTGCTCTCCATATTTTCAGCCGTGCTATTATGCGGAAATATGGCCATCTTTGTCAGCATTCCGGTCCTCTTCCAGGACCAATATGGCTTTCAACCATGGCAAGTCGGACTTACCTACGTGCCCTACGCCGTAGGGGGTTTCGCCGCGCGCTGGATCGTTGCCCCTCTCACTACGAAAAATAAGCAGCGATACCGTCGTTGCATCGGTGTTGAGGCCATGGATCGGAGTCCCCAAGAACTCCCCTTTGAACGCGCTTGTCTGCAAGTCATCCTTCCTCTTGTCTATATGGCCTGTATCTGGATGGCAGTATATGGGTGGCTGATGAAGCGTAATGTCCATCCCGCCGGTCCATTGGTCATGCTTTGTTTCGCCGGCAATGCTATCACGGGGGCCAATATCGGAATCACCGGGCTGCTGCTGGCAATCCATCGAAGGCGGCCTGCGGTGGTGCTGGCAGCTGCAAATTTGGTCCGGTTTCTATGCGCGGCAGGCGCGGTAGCGGGCATCCTCCCGTTGGTCAAGACTGTTGGCATCGGCTGGACAGGAAGTATTATGGCTGGAGTGTATCTGCTTTTTTCGGGATTGTTGTGGGTGGTTTTTTGTTATGGGCATCACTGGCGGACCATTGAGCAGAAGGAATGATATTATAAGAGGAACCAAACAAGCCTTGAATTTATCTACCTACACCATCTAGCCAAAATATGCATGATCCTTGAGGTACCACGGGAAGTACTGGCACTTAGGGATCGTATGTGTCTCTACACATTTTATCATCAATAGGCAGGTATCCGGTACACTCATATATTATGTCTGCTATATCTCATTCACCGGACCATTGTATATAATCATCTCCATTTTAAAACAGCTCAGTAAGCACCATCCGTACCTCTTCAGGATCTTTCCGTGCCAGAGCATCCCTTTCAAACCGCTTTACCAGCAGGAAATGTTCCAGAGCGAAAGTATCCATGATGCGATCCAGCTCGACTGCCTCCTTATCGAGTAAGTCTAACGCGGTATCCAGTGTTTTTGGCGCTGTATATTCGCCAGTGTGTGTCATTGCTGTATCTAGGATTATCCTCAAGATATATCAACGACCGCGCCGAGGCCTGAATCCCTCAGGAAGCAGAACCTTAAGCTAGTACAGAATTGGAAATTGGGATGTTGATTTGTAAATGCCCAGCGTTCAGCGTGTTTCTCACTCCAGACACCTTCTCCATAACGCCACCGGACCTCCTACTACACTATGTGTTAAATAAAGAGAGTGATATTGGCACTTTGCCTTGTTTAATCCATGACCGTTTACCAAGCCGGAGATATTGACTCAACCCCATTCACACAATATTCACGAGGCCGATACCCCTGGATACGAAAGAACTTGTCCAATGCCTGGGCCTTGAGAACTTTATCTGAGGCCGTTCTGGGTACCTCCTCTCCGTCTTTCAATATGTATAGAAGTACAGGTAGTTTATAAAGCTCCAAACTTAGAGAAAGGTCATCGCGTATTCTTCGCAGATCGACGTCCGAGTTTCGACAGTTGAGACGGACAAGTGCTGCAGCGAGTCCCCTGACCACGCGGTCAAGTACAGGAAGGACGTGCGCCTCAGATATGTAATAAAGACGCAAGAGATGTTCTTCTAGCTCTAGGACAGAGATCTTGCGATCAAGAAAGTTGATCCCTGTGTGAGGTTTTCAGTTAGGTTTCAAAACGACCCCTAGAGGCTTCAGCAGGAGGAGGGTTCGTACAGTCGGAGTCTGCCCTCCCTTCAAAAAAGTAACAGGCCCCGACACGTCGCACAAGGTCGCCTGTTTTGTAGAATCCCTCCTCGTCGAATACATCCTTTGTTGCTGTTTCATCATTGAGATAGCTGCCGCATATCAGCATATATGAGACAAACATCAATGCGAGAGTCCTACTGCGTGAACATTCGAGGAGACTTGACAAGCAATTCTCCCTCATCTCCATTTGATAGTTTGATCTGCACCCCAGTAGCAGGCATACCAATGCACCTCTGGACAAGTCAGTAAAGTATACGGAGTAAGAGATGCCATAATCCAGGTATAACCAACATCGACGTATGGAGCATCAAGATCAGATGCCAACGCCATTCCGCCAAGTTCAGTCGACCCATAAACGTTCCGGATCTTCATCCCTGTGAGCTCCATCCAGAACTGGGCCGTCATCGGGTCAATTGTCGAGCCACTAATCGTGCCGGCCCGGATCTTTCTCGCCCCCGATACATATGCGTCGTGCTCATCGGCAGGAAGCCCCCGGATGCTCACTAAATAGTATTCCTCTAGTCTCTTGAATAGTAGAGACGAAAACGACACATCGGTAATGGCACCCTGCTTGAAAATCTCCCAAAACATAGCTGGCTTCCACGGGCGCCGCGGCCAGTGAATCCTCATCCCACGCAGGAGCCGCGCAATGAGTCCTGTTGCGCCGCCCATCCAATGAACAGCACGGAAGGCCAGAAATACGCGGTCTGGGTCTGTCTTGCCACAGTAGAAGAAAGTTCGGCGAGGAGCAACAACAAATTTCGGCTGCCCAGTGCTGCTCCCGGAGGTTGTAATGACCATGCATGGTCGATGCGCATCAATCGATAGGTTCTCATCAATTTCAGGGTTGGAATCGGAGGCGAACTCGCATCTTGCTCCCCGCTCGACCTGGATTGTCTTGATATGATTTGCATATTCTTTAATCAGAGCAACCTGTTGAATGGTGTTGGGCTCGGTCAGAATATATGTCACATTGGACATGGTCAAGAGTTTGAGAGTCTCGTCGGGTGTGGCGTTAGTTGCTAGGTAAAGTATAATATGTAAATAGGCAGATTAGTGACAGCCCTCAGTCACTTTGGCCCTTTCACGCTGTTGAGAGATGGACTCACGCAACGATACACATGTCCCTCCCAGCGCGGCAATCGCAAAGAATCCAACCAAAAAGTAATATCCGCTTACTGAGATAGACGCTATACGACCAGTGTCAGGTCGAAGGAGGCCTCTAGCATCGAACCAACCAGTGGGGAGCTCTCTTCGCAGTGTTTCGCGCAGACGACAAATATTATCGAGTAGTTCGTTGGGCCCTGCATCAACGCCATAATCGTCATGGATTAAAACTCCTTGCACTGACTGCCTTAGCTGGAGCAAACTAGCAAAAATAGGATCGTTTGGAAATTTGCTCATGCTGAACCGCAAGAGATCGATTTGAGAATTGAATGTGGAGAGTGAGGGGCGGCTGTTTATAACGCAGATCCGAGCGATGGCATCTCTGGAGTATTTCAGACTGCTCATCTCTGGAGTATTTCAGACTGCTCCGTGACAATCATTCTTTCTTCAATCAATCAAGCTTCACATCCAAGAGTGGGTCCGCTTGGCCTTGCCTGGCTGCCTATTTGTCCGAGAGGATTACTAGCCCATACTGCCGCAGCTTGCGCTGACAGATACTTCTTAGAGCTAGTTACTTGTATTAACTACCCCCTTTCGGCTTTAGTGTGTTAGAACTATAATTCCATTTTGGAGCTGTTCAGGGGCGATCTGGTGTTTGGCGTGTTTCACTGCGTATTAATTACACTGCGTGCGGACAATTTCTTCGCAAATGTGCGCCCAGAGGTATGGTACACAGTACTGTAATTACAAAGAACTTATCTGAGCAAGCTGAGACAGTAATAGCTAGTAATCCTAATAGGGGAATGGGATCGAGGATAGGACCAGGCGGAACCAATCTTGGATGCAAAGGTTGATTGATTGAAGAAAGAACGAATATCATGGGGCAGGTCGAAATACCCTTTGGATGGATAGGCACACGGTGTTACAACAGCCGTCATGCCCAGAATACCAAATTACAATACAAAACACGAAGGAAAGTGGGCCACTCGGTATAACCTCTGTCTAGTGGTAAGTTACCACCATATGACTCGACAGAACTTTACTGATGCTGTGGCTTGCTCCCTTGCGTGTTGTGGAACGAGGAAGCTGATCTTCACCCACCGATCTTTCGTTATCACAAATTACAATTCCTTTGCATGGCCGTGACCTAGCTTTTACTTTCTGCAACTGCAGTTAGGCTTCCAACCAATGTCTTCACCGAGGCCATTCAAAATATCTTAGAAGACGGACGATCCCAATCGCAGCTCTGTACACTCCCTGGCCACAGATTTTCCGATAACTCCACAGTGCATTAGCGTGACACTAGAGTGAGGTAAGATTGGGATGGTAACTGAGATACACATGCACAAAAGGGCGCTATTGATTTTTATCGGCAAATCTGTGGCCAGGGAGTGTACTTCATACTGATTGCTTTAAAAGCATTGAGGTATTGGTAGAGCCGGGGCTCTAAAGGCCTTTTCCAGATTAATTATATTCCGTCACAGTCAGTGTCATCTCAGCCGGACCTTGACAGATCCCGCGACGTTCTAAAAGCAGCAAAAGGAGAAAATTCTAAGTCCGGTACTCCGGACATCTCTTCTGCATGAGGACATGGTTCATAGGGAAATGTCCTGCATCCTGGATCACTTAGCCTGACCGCCACGTTGTACGAAGTTTAACCTGCAAAGCCTCCAGGTTTCAGACACCAAAAATCATAATTGTCTGACATAACTATAAAAATTGCGTCAATTCCCGGTCTGGTTATCAGGGATTATTCAAGGAGCAGGCTTCATTGTAGTTCTGCAACTTCGACACCATGACTGTGTCTGCGCCTGTGCCTGTGCGTGCTATATCTCCGCCAAGGATGCTTCCTCTCGGAACGAGTCAACCTCCTGGCGACAAATATGTGTGTCTAAACTCTATTATTTTCCTTCAGTGTACATACTACCCATACTAACGGCATAGATGATCAGGCAGTTAGTGTGTCCTTGCCAACATGGGACTCGGTACCCGGCCGACCCCTTGGCTATCAATGGGTGATTGAGAAAATGCAGACAAATTATCCAAGGTAATCGATTGTACATATCACTTTATAGAACTCGGAATCCTAGCTAACTGATCCAGGTTCGGTGTCAGTGGCATCGTGCAACAGTTAGCCAGCGCCGTCCTGCAGCGGTGCGCGGTCCCAGAAGAACAGATGCATTGCCTTGTGTTCACCTCCAAGGATGCAGCAAGTCGATGTATGGTGTATCTCCAGAACCACCATAACTCGGATATTCGAGCAGACGTGGTATCCCTCTACCTATCCCACGGGGCTACTGGCCCGACAAGCACACATTGGGACCGGTTCTACGCGTTGATATACGATGCTGATGCCAGGGTGGCAGCAGGCCACTTCTGGTCTATATTTGGTGACGGAATTTCCGGTCGGCATGCCGAATTTTATCTTCAGCTCTGGCCATATATGTGCTCTGAGTCTCAAAATGAATTTTTGCAGTTCTGTGCTCCTGCCACAGGAGCAGGCAGATATGCTGGCACTCTCACTGGCACTGGCAAGATAGCCATCCCGATGCTCGAATTGTTGGATGGAGAGCAAGCGGCGAAAATGGAGATTAAGAACAGGATTGCGGAATTGATTGCGTCTGATAATCCTGAGCTCACTCCACCGTCTGCAAAAGATGTATTCCTTTACGCAAAGGGGATGTGCGCTATTTCTGCCGTGGCACGGGCCCTGATCCCAGAGGACAAAGGCGCTTCAGAAGCGGTGGTATTCGGGTAAGCACATGAAACAAAATTTTACCGTGACAAGACAAAACTTATTCTTCGTTTAGGTGGCCCTACGCCGAAACCCCCAAATGTGTAGGCCAATCTGGCTATGAACGCTTCACACTCTACAGTCAGGGGACAACAGAGGAGTTGAATCAGCTAGAAGCATCACTCACGTTGGGATCACGCATCCGTGTCTTGTTCTGCGAAGTTCCGTCGAATCCGCTCCTTCGAACTCCTGATCTTCAGCGGATCCGGAACCTCGCAGATCAGTACGACTTCGTTGTTGTCTGCGATGAAACGCTTGGGACATTTGTTAATGTGGATATACTTCCGTACGTGGATGTGGCCATCACGAGCCTAACCAAGATCTTCAATGGCGCCGCCAACGCTATGGGAGGGAGTGCCGTCGTCAACCCGCACAGCCGCTACTACAGTGAAGTCCACGCCAGACTTACAGCTACATACGAGGACCTCCTCTTCCCAACTGAGGCGCTTGTCCTCGCCCAGAACTCCCGAGACTTCCAAGGACGCGTGGGCAGGTGTAACGCCAATGCCCTTACCCTGGCTACTTTCCTCTCATTGCACCCGAGAATCGAGTCCGTGCTTTACCCTCCCTTGGTGCCTACCAGGCAACTCTATGAGCTCTATCGTCGCAGGAACGGCGGATATGGGTATGTTCTGAGTATCCTGTTCCGGGAACCGAACGATGCGGTAAGGTTTTATGACAAGTTGGATATGCGCAAGGGGCCAAGTATTGGCACGAACTTTAGTTTGGCCCTTCCATATGCCCAGCTCTCTCATGTCTTTGACCTCGATTGGGCTGAGTCCCAGGGGATTCCCAAGCATATTGTGAGGCTTAGTGTTGGGTTGGAATCGGAGGATGAATTGGTGAAGTGTGTTTCTAGGGCGTTAGAGGGTTTCACGTCCATTTAGCCGACCTTGGGCCATATTAAAACCAAACAGAGCGTGCTTCCGCTTAATAAGGAATATATTCTAAATAAGGTAAGTTCTGGGGAGATTGGTGATATAACTGTGACCGATTCATCCACATGAATAGGTTGCGGTGAGAAAAGTAAGCAACAGAGTTCTATACAAGCCTCTGCCACAGGTAACATGCATAAGTCTAGGAATTCACTGTCGAGGCTCGCTGAGGAAAAAAAAGAAAAGGGTACGAGAGGCTAAGGCATCATAGTACTCCATGTGATGCAAGGGACCAGGAGAAGATGCAACGTTCGCTCCTCCTTCGGGAATTCAGATTCCTTCCTTCAACCGCCACCTCGAAAGACCTAGGACTTCATATAGTACAAACCATTTCCATTGATTGTTCGCCATGATTCGTCTACCACCAACTTCGATCGCTCCTCTGTACGGAAGTCGTATATAGGCTAGACTTACAGTGTTGCACACTATTTCTCCGCCTTTTATTCCAAGGTTGGGTTTAGCTCACCTTCCAAAACCGCCCGAATACGATATACCTAGTATAAACAATACATCCATATTTAATATAATATATAAATATTGCTTTTCTTTAGGCATATGTACATCTATATTGGAAAGTGTAGCTTGCATTATACCCTAAATATAGGGTATAGAAGATCATTGATAATAATAGATAGGATATAAGTTACTAGGTAAATGGGATAAATAAAGATTTTGATCGGTAGAAATATGGATAAACTAAGCCTGGCCCGGGAAACAGAGATGTAGAGGGGTTCTAAATTTTTGTTACGCCCCTATAGCTATCACTTCCAGTGATGATTCTCTACTTATGCTAGCAGTTTTTAAGCCCCGATAAACTGAAGCTCGATTATGCTTCTCTGGCGTAAAGCATTGCGATCTACCTTTCCAGCCTGCTGGCATATTAGCTCTGAACTATCAGGATTAAACAGGCAGACATGGATACCATTGACACAGGGAGAGCCTCCAAAATCTGAAAACCGCCGTCGAGCTGAAACCTCTTGGGCAGTGTAGTGAGAGCCCATGCGTCGAATGCGTCGGGTGTCAAAGTGGATCCCAGTCGTCGTACAAGATAACCCCGTGGAACAGGTTCATCATCGACTGCTTCAGGGCTGTACCAAAGCCAGTATGGGCTTATTATTAGTGAAAAGTCCAAAATTGGGACCGACAAATCTTACGGTTTCACTGCAATGACGGCTGCTGCAAGAACTTCTGGATGCGATAAAACAGCCGCTTCAATTTCGGATCCCATGACATGATATCCATCTCGTTTGTAAAGATCCTGGGCCATTTTGTCAATGATATAGTTTATGACAACGAGAGTTTCCAGTGTGCTCACCTTCAAGCGGCCAATTATATACCAGCGGCCAGATTCATTGACCATGCCAATATCACCTGTTTTGATATACCCATCATCGGTAAAGACTTCCTTTGTTGCAACTAGTCCATTTAAGTATCCAGTCATGGCGAAAGGATTCCGAATCAGAATTTCACCGCTCTGGCCAATTGGAAGTATTTGACCATTATGATCAACCACCTTTGCCTGGAGGTTCGGCAAAAGCTCCCCAACAGTCTCGTCTATTTCAATCTGTCTTGGGTCTGATGCAAAATGAATTCCTCCTCTGAATATCATTAGATACCTCGATATAGGATTATCACAACGAGAGAAGGGAGAAGAGGAGCATACTCAGTCATTCCACACACAACTTCACATTGGGATCCGTGACGCTGCACCCATTCGTCACGCATGGAAATTGGGATCATAGCCCCTCCAGTTCGCAGACTCGAGATACAGGAGAAGTCCGCGTTTGCATAATCTGCCAAAAGTTTTTGGAGAATATGCTTGGGCGTATGCAGAGATGTGGGCTGAAAAGCTTCAATAGCAGATAGAAACCCGTTTGCGTCGAACTGCGGCATGAAGATAGTTTTGTACCGGGCTTTTAACGGCATCAACAGACCGTACAGAATGAACCCGATTCCTGCGTACATGAATGTACAAAACCACGTCTCATGTCTTTCTCTAGGCTTAAGATGGTAACGGTATAACAACTGCGCCGTATTTCCAATCAAGCCATAATGGGTTCTCTCGGCCATTTTCGGGAAACCGGTAGTCCTGTCTATTGTCAGAGTTGGGCCATTCGTCTTTAGAATAGGAATCTTGGGCAAAATACCCAGAAGTATGACAGAATAAAGCCGTTGTCTTCTTGGATTCATCATCAGATAATCTCTTCCATTGAAAGCTTGGCCCATTGATAAGGTCAAGTAGGGAAGCCCAATGGGACACAGGGGACTGCAGTTTTTCACAAGTCTCAGACTCATCAAGGATAAATAGATTTTCAACTGGAACACCAGCGATTTTAGCTGCGGCTGTTACAGTTTCCAGATGCTCCGGTTGGAAGAAGACATAATCTGCGTTTATTGTTCGGAGCCTTGCGGTCGTTTCTGCCAATGGGTACGCAGGACAGATATTACAGCTGGCTCCTGCCCCTAGTGCTCCCAAGAGAACTGCCGGAAGGTAGACGTTCAAAGTCCCGTAAAGCACGACTCTCGGATTTGAAGGAGCGAGTGTCTTGAATCCACAGGCAAAGCATTTTACAAGATGCTTTAACTCGTTGAAAGTGCAAGAAGGCTGATCAATCCCTCTGGCAGATAAAATGATCGGCTCATCATCTGGGTATCCTTGGGTTGAATCCCAAGGAGAATCGAAGATATAGGTGAGGATGTCTGTCGAGGGAACGGAAATGTTAAACCGGGATGAGATTACTGCCATGATGATATGTAGTTCCAAGGTAATGAAGCTAAGGGGGCTGCTCTTTGAACCAAGAGCGACCAGATGATAGATTCAGCGTTCTCCGCTAGAGCTGCAAGAGGATCTGGAAGTAATTCCAGGCGCAAGTGGTTATCCAAAATGGATCGGCCAATAAAAAAACTTGAGTGGAGCTGGCCAAGGTTACTCGCCAAAAGATTGACTCATCAATATGCTTCCCGCCAGGTCCTGTCAATATATTCGATCGGAACTACTTCGATAGTACAGGGCCGTAGCAAATGTTTGGAACCCCTCTATATCTCTGCCTTCTTATTTAGATTTAGCTTACCCTTACCGTCCTCTGCTGCCCTGACACAATATAGTATAAATATATATTCAATGAAATATAGGTACGGAGGTCCATTCCAAAAGTCTTTCGATATTTGCTTTTTCTTGCCATACCTAATCTAGCCTAGGTGTTTTTTAACTGGTATTCGACTGGTTTAATGCCCCCTGCCCTCTTCATACTGTATTCATTACCCCCTTCTAAAACGTATCCCCTTGCCTGGCAAGACGCTAACTCGTTAGCGGTAATTTTAAGTAGAGAATTTTATTGGCCTGCTAGCCCTCACCGCTTTAACACTACTTCGGAATAGCCTCAAATCTCCTATTCCTACGCACTGCCAATTCTACCTACGTAAACAAGAACGCGCGTGTCGCATCGCATATATTTGTACGCGTGTCATCGATTTATGGGGCCTGCCTTTGGAAGATGCTGAAGAGCCTCTATTGCATAGCTCCTCTGTTGCTCCATCTAATGCATCTATATCTCCTCCTCCTTCGCCTATTTCTAAGAAGGCACAGGCTAAACAGCTAAATCTGACACAGATGCTTCATTGCCGCCTCCTGCTTAGCGAGAGTTAGGAGATTATTAATCTTATAATACTAGAGAACTGTCAGCATGTGTGAATGTGCGGCAGAAATCGTATGTCAACATTTTACTACCACTCTGTTAGAACCTGGGGGATTCGTGTTTACCCTGTTTATGCTTACCGCTCTTTTGTTTACCTGTTTACCCCGCTTGGAATTCGAACTAGATCCTCGTCGATCTTGCATTGAATTATCGGATGCAATATGCATGCGTTAAAGCCTATATGGCGTATATGCGCTAACCTGCATGTCGATCTTTGAATATCCTGCCTGCATAATGAGAATCCTAACATTCTCGAGTCTCCTTCTTCTTTCGGCTATTCTTGTCTCTTATGTGATCTTTGACTATGTACCTCATGTTATGAATATCGTCCTGCTTCCTAGTTAAAAGGAACAAGTTTGACATCTCTTTTGATACTAGATAGAACTCCATGTTTAAGATCTTTGTTGATTTATAAGTAGAACTACGATTTTGTTCTAGTCTCTCTTCAACCTGACCCGATTGTGGTACTTTCGCTAGTACGCATAATCACCCTCGAAACGATTGTGGCACTTCTAGTAATGCGCACACTTAATTGGCATATGCACCTTGCCAAAATCCAACAAAAGCTATCTAGTTAATACGTGGACATAAGTTCTCGAAAGCTTTCTAAGTGCAAAACTCTCTAGCTATCCTATTTTTGGCTTTTACAAAGGGTGTATAAGCCGGTTGTGTACAGAAAACTGGATTCGTGCCACACAAAGAAGATATGAAGAATGACTAATCATGGAAGAACAAAATCGGCTGATTAGACAGAAGTGTTGAGCAGTGGAAGGTCAACGACAGAGGTCAAGTATGCCCGGGAGTTCTACCCAAGATCAAAAGAGATGTCAAACTTGTTCATTTTAACTAGGAAACAGAACGATACTTACAACATGAGGTACGCAATAAAAGATCACATGAGAAATTCAGCAACATTCAACAATAATCAAAAGAAGAAGGAGACTCGAGAATATTGGGGTTCTCATGCATGCAGGATATTGCCGATACGAGGCTTTGCATGCATATATTGATAGAAGCTGAAATACAGGTGCAATGCGAGATCGTTGAAGATCAGATCGATAGATCTTGGTTTTTGCGGTCAAAAAGAAAGACGGGTAAACAATGGGCGACTCAGCAGGGCAACGGGAGACTGACGTAAGCAATTTAGAAGAATCCCACAAGCACTTTGCCCACACACACACAGATGCTGACTGACACCTATTAAAATCTTGCTCTTGGTGTAACCCTTCGGGACTCTAGAACGTTTCGTAAGACAGGAGTGGATATTCCGCAAAATTTGAACCCTCACCACAAGATTGATAACTTTTTTTTGATCCTATAAAACCTGCTACTTTAGTTTAATTACTATTGAAACACACTAGTTAGTAGAGTTAACGTACTTAGTTCGATGCTATTTATCTTAATCTCTCCCTTTTCCGGATGAAGGCACGTCGGTGCTAGGTATTGAACAAAGCGGGTACAGTCGAAGCGCTACCAACTAGGGTAATTCGTAAATGTTGAAATAGGAGTAGATTCCCTGAGTATTAGGCTGTTCGGTATAACATAGAGATTCTCTGTATTACTCTGCCCTAGAATTTAGGTGAACTTATCCGAATAGTGTCTCTATTCGAACTTTGTTTATCCGATATGCCAAGATCGTAAAGTTCATTATCGCTGACAATTGATTCAAGGTTGCATGAACCTAATGGCTCGCAATCAGCTGTAATAGCAAGTTCTGAAGTTTTAGAGAACTACTAGTCGTTTGGCGTGGTCAATACCGAGTAATACGGAGATAAAAGTAGATAAAGAATACCTGTTGATTTAATCAAGTTTTGAACAGGATGATGAATATAGACCTAAATATCCCAAGGCAGGATATTTTATATCTTGATAATTCCCCTTATTCTAGAATGTAGCTCACTGATAACCACGGTGATGTAGGAATTCACGCTCCCGGGACACTCTGAATAATTTGAATAAATATGACTTCCTAGGACCTGTAAGGGAATTTGCAGGTATGTGAGATATAGTTAGTTAGTTAAGGCGAGATGCCTAAGCCGTCAGGCAGCATATCAAGCCAGATTCATAAGGCCTATACAAGAACTATTCTATGGCCACATTATGGCTGAATCTCTATAGGCTTTATGCTATGTTGACCTCATTCTGATGTTGATGGAAACCAAGTATTTCAGAGTCTCCCGGAGCTCTTACAGCAAAAGCTAGGAATATTCTGTAAGAAAAATGGAGTTTCATAAGCAAAGCTCGCATTTGATAGTGTCAGCTCGCATAAGGATGTTTGGCTGATCCGTTAATAACAGATTCCAGATAGTCCCTGAAGGAGGTCGGTTCAAAGTCCGGATATAGTTCTTTCGACAATAGGTAGCCGAGGTACTTCGCGTATTCCGGATTGTTATCTCCACGGACACCCCATGACAGCTGATACTCGACCAGGTAAAGAAGATGGAGCTGGTGACGGTCATTTGGATTCTCCTGGATCGACTGCCTCACCACTGCTCCTCGAGCGTAGAGGGCCTCATCCGGTACCTGACACGATTCGGATCAGCCCAGAGCAAAGAAAAGGGCAGATTCACCGACCCTTAATTCATGTAAGTCACATAGTTCCTATCGATCTTCTCCTTGCTTAACTCCTCTAGCAGATCGTAGATTTGATTTTGCGTCATCAATGTATCATACGCAAAGACCATTCGATTCAGAGTTCTTTCGTCAGCAATGATTTTGGCGACATAGCGCCCAATATTCCGGAGATCGGTGATGGCAGATGGAACAGTTCCGCCACCGATAATCTCATTCGTCGCATTGAGCACGGCATAGTCGATCCGCCCAGACGGAAGTCTTGGAAATGCGAGCTGGTACCACCAACCAACGTCTATGAAGGTATACGGGAGCCAGAGCCGCTTGATGTGATTGTACACAACCTCTTTCTTCCGGACAAACAAGATCTATTATCAAATGCAATGTTTCAGAGCCAAGTGATACGACGGTGCTTACCTGATCCCGCAGCAACATGTCTCCGGCTGGAGGAGCCACCGTTATAGAATCCACAAGGGACAAATCGCTTAACGCCAGCCTTTTTAGCTGCGTTTGCAAGAGGAATCTGACACTGCTGCTGTGGTGCGCCAACACAGCTGATCACAACGTCTATCTCAGCGAGGGCTTTGACAAGGTCTTCTTCAGACTCTTCAAGATCGCCTTCGCGGATTTCAACACCTTGTTCCTGCAAAGCTCTGACGGCAGGTTTTTCAATAGATGCCGGTCGGATTAGAGCAACAACCGCCTAAAACAGTGTCACAGAAGCACTGGGTTAGTCAAAGTCTAATTATGATGTTGAGTTATTGCCATTTACAAAGTTTCCTGCCTCTTAGAGCCCATCCACAACCGAGCTCCCAGTGTGGCCTGTACCTCCGACAATCAGAACCCTAATTTTCGCCATATTTTCGTTCAAGATCAATTGTTTTCCAAGTAAGTCGTTGTTGCCAGAAGTCGGTGTACTCGGATCCGTGCGAGTCTTCGAAGACTATAGGGTAAAGAGCAAGCAGGTAAGTAATATTTTAAAGCAAGAAATTGCTGATTTTAATTTCAAAGCATAACTCTAATTACCTCAGTTCCCTTAGGTAGCCCGAGAAAGGGTGTGATTTTGATTTCAAAGCATAACCCAAATTGCCTCAACACACCCCATAGGACTTCAGAGTTTTAGTCCCACGTCCCATAACTATGCAAAAACTACGGAGTATATTTTTTAAGCTGATTTATGTACATAAATACTTCTTGGCATGACCCACTTTGCCAAGAAGTCCTATACCACTAGGCCCGGGACTTAAAGAGGTCTAAATTATGAAGCTACAATATCTCGCTATTCAATCGGGTAGTGGATACAGTTTAGGTGGTTTTCGTTGTAAACACCTCCCTCTCCCCGCTCAGATAGCTCAAGCGATCGTGCCCCAGAATTGCTTGCAGGCTCCCGCTCGACTCTATTCTCATGTAGGCCTTGGCGGTAGGTCCAGAAAAGAGATATTATGTGTGTATTGGTCAAGCCGATTTCGAGAATGACTGTACATTTCGGTAGCCGCCCAATACTCGAACAATAGAATCGCGTGCCACTGTAGCATTTCATGACTTCTTCTCATCCTGATCCCAGGGGAGCTTGGAATCCTAAGCCTCTCTCAGCACTCCGTCGTCCTTGACGAACTGATACCCGAGGCTGTGCATCCAGAAAGCCCCGATGAGACAGCACATGTTTGTGTTGGCCCTCTAGTCACAATTTCGGTGAGTTATTTAACCTTTGATATCGGAATGGAACGCGAGTGCTACTTCATTCGAGTACTCTAACGGATTCCTGGGGATATATTCCGCAGTGGACCCGACAAAATCCAAGATGGAATGAGGCGAATCTGAAAGTTCCACCAATCATTCAATTTCCTCCATGCCGAAGCGAATGAACGGAAAGTTCTGGCTTGTTAGGGCAAAACTCATGTTCAGACTCGAAACATCGAGTAGAGAGAAAGCGGCTAGTCTGGCTGAACGGGTTTTCATACACATGTCACCTCTTCCCATAAACCCATCACTCACTCTTAAGTTCGGTATGGGCGTTGGAAGTGCTTATCCTGGAGCCCGGACAAGAATAGCGGCACCGAGTTAGAGTAAGGTAACTAGCGAGCGGGGCTGAACGATCAATCTCACAAAACCCATTTGCGTAAAGATTTGAATTTTGAGATATAGCGGTATAGAGGACGTGAGGGCAAGCGTGAGGGAGAGGGAGGATGCAAAAAAGAGACGAGAACCACCCTTCAGTTGAAGACTCGCGAGTCGTGTCTCAACTGGTAGACATTCTACTTGAAAGTTGGGGACGATTCCCTAAGCAAAGAATCCCTCCTAGCTCCCTTTTTTCCGATAGACCGACGCTGGGCGCAGGGGCCAATGACCACCACAGTACCATATCAATACTTTCGCCTCAACCTCCTTTCCCTTTTATACCCTTGACTGCCGAATCTCCGACCTATCCATATGTCTGACATTTATTTCATCCAGATTACAAGCAGAAATTTAAAATGTATGTCTAGGGTTATTAGTGAAGAATACTAAGTTGAACCACACAATTTCTCTCATACTCGAGGTGACAATTATAAAGGGAATTTTCAAACCATGGCTCATTTCTTCAAAGACAGGACATCATGAGGACTTCAAAAACGCGTAGATCTGCGCTCCCAGAAGAAACACCGCCCCTCCCCCAAGGGTTTGCAGGCCCTCAGCTGACAAAGTCCCCTCCCCATAACACCATAAGTAACCAAGAAGATCCAAAAAATCAATCACAATCACCGTCAACAACGCTTGTCGCAATTGCTGTTTGTTTGTTAACTTGACCAAGTTATCCCTCGATGGCAGGGTATTATACTTACACTGTCGTGAGAAAGCTTACCAGTGGTATTAGAAGCTCTGAGGTTAATAGTTTGCGGGCGAGAGGTATATAAAAGTGCACCCACTGCGAAATCGCGAGCACCAGCCATTCGAGCAGCAACGGCTACATGCCCTGTATAGGGGAGTAGGAATGCTTTGGCTGTGAGTTCGGGAACGGCGAAGAAGGAAGCGCCGCTTACCATTCGGAGGATGGAGAGGGCAGTGATAGTAAGCATATTGATTGCAGATTATTATAATACGTTCCGTATATAATAAATGACATAGAAAAATGCGCAAATGAATTCCTAGGCTTAAAGGTAACTTCTTATACTGACCGGATGCTACGGCCCCGTTTGTTGGCAGATTACGCTATCATACGTTCGTTCGAATCCAACATAGGTTAACTAGTTAGTTACAAATAAAGTTATTAGTAAGCCATTAGTAACTTACACTAACATAAGTTAAGTTAACTAGTTATTTCAAATCAATGCTTCAAAAGCAACTGGTATCGACTTTGTTGATTCATAAGCCTGTATTAATACTCAATCTTACTTTTAACTTCCACGCTCCGGAGGCTGCCCGATTAAGCATGTGTAGCAGAACGTTAATATCCTTAAGCACCTCTGATTATCTCTCGAAATAGCTTATTTCACTTTCATGATTCTTGAAGACTGAGTTTGATCCATTACGTCGAAATTTGATCACGACTCAGTTACCTGAGGAGAAAAGTAATCTCGGACAAATATGGCGAAAATAAGGGTTGCGATTGTTAGAGCTACGGGCCATACTAGTAGCTTAGTTGTGGATAGGCTGTTGGAGGAAAGAAGCTTTATACGCTAAACCGCTCGCCTTCATTATAGAGATCGGGCTAATTTATTGATTTTGGAATAGTTGCAGGTAGTGGCTGCTCTTGTACGACCAAAGTCGATGGGGAAACAAGTTGTTAGAGATTTACGACGACAAGGTATTGAAGTCCGGGGAGCAGATCTTGAAGGACCTAAAGAGGAACTCGTTAGGGCTCTTAATAATATCGACGTTATGATTAGCTATATCCGTGAAAGCACTATATAACATAATCCACAGTCATTCGGAACACACAGTCATTCGGAAAACACAGTCATTCGAGCCATTCGGAACACCCCATCCAAAATCGTCTTCCTACCTACCTACCTTCTTCAACGAACTACCATGACACCAATTCGCTCTGAATCTCATCAGAAATCGGCCAATCACGAGGGCAAGATCTTATTAGCCCTTGACGATATTAAAAATGGCCGCATCAAATCTCTCCGCGCAGCAGCGAAGCTATACGAAGCTCACAACACTACATTCGCGCTTACACGGTCAAACCTCACGCGAAGATATACGCCCGCCTAGCCATAAACTGACCCAATACGAAGAGGATTCGCTTGTTGAATGGATTCTCTCTATGGATTCGCGTGGAGCAGCACCTAGGCCCGCTACCGTGGGAGAAATGGCTAATATCTTGCTGGCTACGCGCGGTAGCCACCCTCCGCCTACTGTCGGTGTTAATTGGCCATTAAATTTTATTAAACGTCGCGATGAGCTTCGTACACGCTTCTCGAGACGCTACGACTACTAGCGTGCCCTAAACGAAGACCCGAAATCGCTACGAGAGTAGTTTACGACCGTACAGCGCGTTATCGACGAGAACGGTATATAAGCGGAGGATATCTATAACTTTAATAAGACGGGATTTGCAATAGGCCTTATTTCGGCACAGAAGGTAGTTACGCGAGCTGAATACTACGGTCGGCGATCGATACTACAGCCAGGAAGTCGCGAATAGGTTACTGCTATCGAAGTAATTTGCGTAGTTATCGCTACCGCCATATATAGTTTTTAGAGGTAAAGTAGCTATTGCTGGCTGGTTTGATAATCTACTACACAATTAGCGATTTGAAGTATCCAATAATAGCTAGACTACCGATAAGATTGGCCTACGCTGGCTAGAAAAGCTATTTATCTTATCAACGAATTCGCGTGTACGTGGTCGATTTCGGCTACTAATTCTTGATCGATAGTAGCTACCTTACGCCCTAATTCGACCGATTATGCGTAGAAAACGATATTATACCTCTTTATATGCCTGCGTATTTATCGCATCTACTATAACCACTAGATGTTGGCTGTTTTGCAGTGCTAAAGCGCGCGTACGGTCGCTTCGTAAGCGATCTTGCGCGTAGAGGATATAATCATATCGATAAATTCGATTTCCTAGAAGACTACTAACGCGCGCGGCAGGAAGCCTACCAATCAAGCACTATTCAAAATAGCTTCGCAGCTAGTGGCCTAGTACTAATCGATACAGAAAGAGTGCTCTCGAAGCTTAATATCTCTCCACGAACTCCGTTACCACCAAGCAGCCAGCTAAGCAGCCCATCTAGCCAATTTACAACAGAAACACCTAAAACGGTCATTCAGCTGCTAAAGCAAGCTTCAATGCTTAAGGATCTACTAAAACGACGGTCAAATAGCCCTCCAAGCCCATCAAAAACCATGTTGGATCAAATTATCAAGGGCCACTGCCTATCGCTACACAACACCGCATTACTAGCGCAAGAAAACGCGAATCTACGCGCAGCGAATAAGAAGATCGTCAAGAAGCGCAATCGGTCATAAGCAGATACCCTGCCAAAAGGGTTTGACCGTTGAAGAGGGCCTACAGCTAGTTGCGCAGCTAGATTTACCACCAGAAGCGCCTGTGGTAGAATCGCATACGCAGGGCGAATTACCTATTCAGGCAGATCGGCCGGCTACTAGGGCTCCGCCTAGGTGTAGTGGGTGTAGGGAGACTGGCCATAGGATCAATACATGTAAAAATCGCTATATTTAAATTACTTAATGCATTTTCGTTGAGATATCCTGATTTAAAATTCTGTAATGGGAGTGGGTGCTCCGAATGGCTGGTGTGTTCCGAATGACTGTGGATTACGTTATAAGTTGCCAGATAGGGACTGCAATCCAGACTCGTTGTGATTTCTATTGGTGCACCTACATGGCTTACTCATCTCCGTTCCGGCGGCAAGGTTAGGCTGTCTCCGCATTCTAAGGTACCTTAGCTTTATCAACCTTGATATCTCCCCCACGACAAGTGAGCTTTCGAGAATTGCAAAATTGGCCAACTTGGGATCGATCAGAAACAGTCTCCGAGTCTGTACGATACCACAGAACTCACATCATGTCCGCCCGCCGTCCCCACGGGCAAAGTTATGCCGATGTCGCGGCGAAGCCTGCCCCAGAGAGTGATTCTGACATCACTCCAGCTGTCCCAGCGTGCGTGGACCTTTCCAACACTATTTCAATATAAGCCTCGAGCCATTATCTAACTTGAGTGAACTGTCAGAAATGTCATTTACAAGCTGCTAGCCTTTACAGCCGCGATGGTATTCGGTCCCATCGGCATCTATTTCTTGACAGTGAACACGGTCTTCAGAGGTCAGATTCAAAATGATATGCATTTCGCGATCCAAAGTGCCCACCAAGGCTGATTCATGTATTAGGCAACTCAACTTTTGCCGGCATTGCCGCAGCTATTGCGGCCAACGTGGTCTTATTCGCGTACATCTACGTGGCCTGGCTGGAAGACCAGGGCGAGCAAAAGGAGGCCGACAAGGCCAAATCTAAGAAAGCACAGTAGCGATATCAAGTCTCTTGCTGCACAATATGATCGTCCGTGGATATTCTGGTTTTACGGCGTTGCAGGGCAATTCAAAGGTTGAGTGTAAGAGCATGTTTCGACCATAGATTAGTTTTTTTTTTCAGCTACAAGCAAAATTTGTATTGCTGTTGGATATCATAAAACACCATCCATGTCTGGCTCCAGCCAAGATTATTTGGCTGCACACATGTACCTCAAGGACCCCATTTCCATCTCGACAAATGTTAAGGGTGTCATGTCCATGTTGAAGGGGCCCATATGCACTGCGGGAGAAGAAGATGAATAAAAAACTCCCAATGCCCAAATCCCTTAAGCGGAGGACGCCGATATGCTTTAATCCCGCATTGCAGGCTTAACCCCAAGTCAAGGATGCCATTATAATTCCCCCGCTCACGCCGGTCTGCGCTTGACAAACTCCTCCAGGTCGGCCTTGGTCGCGACACCGAGGACAAACTTGCGCGTCACATCGGTCACAACGGCAAATTGCTGCTTCTCACGCTTCTCGCCGTTGGGACCCGTCTCGCTCTCGAAGAACTGCTCCAGCTCCTCCAACGGCGTCTCCATCGTGATAACCTGATAGATACCGCGCTTACGGTTGAAGCGCTGCATGGCTGTGGCGACTGTATCGGTATCCTTGACGGTACCGCTCTGTAGGAGCTCCTTTAACCGGGGGATGTTCAGGTAGCCGAGGAGGGATCGCTTCGCGGCGTCGATCACGGTGAGGTGGGTGTAGTCGCGCTCGTAGGCGGCCATCAGGGCAGCAGAGATAGGATCATTAGGGGAGACCGACAATGCGAGAGGAGGATCGAGGTCTTCGACGGTAGCCTATAGTTCGTGCAATGAGTACTCGGACAGCTCCAGATCGTCAGGGAGGGGGAGGGACCAACCCCGCGGTACTTGTCGGCCCAGGCAGCTTGCGGAGCCGCGGGGGCTGATGTTTGATTTTCGCGGGTGTAGGCTTCACTGCCCGTTTGGTAGGAAGCCATTGTGTATGTATGAATGAAGGGTCAAGGGCGTTGAGGGGTGTGGGGGAGGGCGTTCGAGATGGCTCGACAGTTCTTTTTGACGAAATTCGGCGCTTTTCCTCTTTTTCCCACGCCAAGACCCGCTGACCCAATACGTCATTCTTTGGGGTCGGTTTTGAGGGGCTCAGCCTGTGAGTCGAGCGATTCCCAGCCTTGCTTTGGGCAAAGTCTCTGTACTTTTTGTTCGGTTTCAACTGCCATCCTCTTCTTTGAATCCATACTTTGCGTTGTGAGACTTGATCGGTTCGTTGCCAATGCCTTTTCCCTCCAACCACGTTCGACCTAGCATCTCCGATCGCTGGTCTCCACTTTTGAGGACCCGCATTAACACTGTACATCCTTGGATGAGTGACAGATCAACATGATCCCGGACTCGATCATCTCGACTTTTGCGGCTCAGCATCCTCTCGGGATGCTGGCTAAGAAACAACTGCTACGTCCTGAGGAATCCCCCCAGTCGGTCTCCCAAAGACGCGACCCGTTCCCTGCTTGGAGTGCGATCGATAATGTGAAGAACAAGGCCGATGTGATTGCCCAAGAAGCCGCTCGAGAATACAATATTGCCAGTCACAAGGCACAAGAAAAAGCGGGCAAGATTGAGCTTTGGACTCCCAAGTACTATGCCGCCTGCACTTTTGGTGGTATGCTCGCCTGCGTCAGTATCAATTATGCCGGGTATGCCATTAACAGCCGGGACTTTCATTACTGATATGGTCGACTCTAGGGCCTCACTCACACGGCAGTGACCCCTCTGGATCTCATCAAATGCCGTCGCCAGGTTGACCCTAAGCTCTACAAGAGCAACATGCAAGCCTTCCACACGATCCGTGCTGCCGAGGGTTTCCGCGGCGTGTTCACTGGTTGGAGTCCCACTTTCTTTGGTTACAGTGTATGCCGAACCATCCAACAAAATTTCATCGAACAGTCGCTCATTAAACACATCACAGGCCCAAGGAGCATTCAAGTATGGCGGTTATGAGTACTTCAAGAAATTCTACAGTGATCTCGTCGGACAAGAGCGTGCTGCCGAATGGAAAACCTCTCTGTACCTGGTCGCCAGTGCCTCCGCCGAGTTCATCGCCGACGTCGCCCTCTGCCCATTCGAGTCCGTCAAGGTGCGCATGCAGACTACCATTCCTCCTGATTTCCGAGGTACTTTCAGCGGTATTTCTTCAGTCGTCGCCAAGGAAGGTGTATCCGGGTAAGATCCCTTCCAGCAGGAAATCTGTTGTTAAAACAAGGTTGTTCTTTTTCAGAAACATGTTGACCGTCCCCACCCAGTCTGTACAAGGGTCTGTACCCACTCTGGGGACGTCAGATTCCGTACACTATGATGAAGTTTGCCTCGTTCGAGACGATCGTAGAGATGATCTACAACAAGCTGCCGGGCCAGAAGTCAGACTATAACAAGGGTGCCCAGACGGCCGTTGCGTTTACCGCTGGTTACCTGGCCGGTATTCTCTGCGCGGTGGTGTCGCACCCATCCGATGTGATGGTTAGCAAGCTGAATGCAAACCGTCAAGCTGGCGAGGCCTTCGGTGCTGCGATGAGCCGTATCTATGCTGATATCGGATTCCGCGGTCTGTGGAATGGACTGCCCGTTCGTATTGTGATGATTGGTACCTTGGTGAGTAGTCCTCTCCAGAGATCTCGCTAGATCGAAAACTAACGGAATGTTACAGACTGGTCTCCAGTGGATGATGTATGAACCCCCCCCCCCCTTCGTTGTGTTCATATTCTGTGCTAACCGTTTCTCAGCTACGACTCGTTCAAGATCTTCATGGGACTCCCGACCACTGGTGGCGGCCCCAGCAAGGCCAAGAAGAATTAGGCCAAGTAAAAACAAGCTACGGCTTCTCTCTATAACCTCTCGCGTATTCGATCGGGTCTAGGGGTAGAGGATCTGGACTAACCTGTGCTTTTCGACATGTGAATATTCAACTTTCTGGATTCGCGTAGCAAATACTCTCAATTTGATCTCAAGCCTTCCTATGATTTCTCTCTACTCCGTATACTCTGCCAAGCCTCGGTCGTCAGTTAGTTAGTTAGTTAGTTAGTTAGTTAGTTATCAGTAAACCGATTTAGTCACCGCACCCGCCAATCGCGGGGCCTTATCTTATCAGTCTCGACGTCACCAATCGCAGACGATCGTAAGCCTAAACCCAAAGACAGCCCAGATAGAGAACCTGCCGTTAACGCTGTTCTCTATAGGTCCAGTATACCTGAGAGCATATTCTTCCCATCCGTCATTTTGGTCAGTTAGTCATTTTATTTTCCTCAGCCTCAGGCCGCAGATGGCGAGATCAAGATTTCCGATTTAAACAAGTTCTTCTACCATCCCTCCCGGGTCATTCTCGTATTCCCCATTCTCCTACTATATTTCAACCAGCATCCAGCCCTCCGCTAAACCCTTTCTCCCTTCTACATACCAACGGATCAAACCTACCTCCGTACAAGCTACACTATTGACTCGGTAAGGTAAGTTTTGGCTCATCCGATCGCGTACCTGCGTCTTATCGCAGTCCCACCCGTGACATACTCAGTCCAAGCCAAACCCAGTCCGTCCACCTCTAAACACACGCCAACCTCCACAAATTACCTCAGCCCTGAGAATGCGATAAGCAAAAAATCAGACACCGCCCCCTCCTCAGACATTTCTATATCCCAAGCAGAATCCCCCAGGCTGAGAGCTTCCACTCACCCCTCCGCCACATCCAGATCTACCACCCCCATTCAATTCACAATGGGCGAACCTGAACAACCAATGGTCTCCCACGGCCGCGGCGGTAAGCATGAGAACGAGCTGGTCCACGTAAATGCGCAATCTGAACTAATACTCCCACCTCGATGCAAGGCCAGGGCAACATCGGCCATGATTCCACCCAGTACGTATATACCACCTCTACCATCGCCACTACCGCTACCCCCGTCTCCCCTGCGCAGATAACTAACAAGTAACAGATACGTCGACGGCGAGATCGTCCGCGAGGGTGTCTACGGTGACCAGGGCGATGGCGCATACTCGGCCGGTGTAAGTCAGCCCCCGCGACCCCCAGCCTACAACCAAACCCCTACAACCCTACAACCTACAAGCCCCTCCTTCAAGAAGACAAGTCGATCAAATACTAACCACATCCTCTTCACAGCGCGGCGGCCTCGGCAACATCGGATCCCCGCATGTACGCGCAACCTCCAAAGTGCCGCACGACGCAGAGATGATCCCCGAGCTGGCGGTGCGCAACTCGACAGATGAGAATTACCATATTGGCGTAAGCAGGACCATCCCTCCCGTCCAGCTCCACCTTCCACCCCCAATGCTGGCACCCTCTCCTCTCCTGGAAATGTATTTTCCAGGATGTGATTTCAGAACGAGGACTAGGACTAGGACTGGGACTGTGGCTAACTATCTTTGTTATTTTTCCAGCGCGGCGGCCAGGGAAATGTCCACCTCGACGAGGCATCCCGCATGGAGAAGGAGAAGAAGAAGACCCCCGTGCATGAGGGATTGGCGGATAAATTGAAGCATAAGCTTATGGGGCGGAAGTAGGGCGGGTTTGATCCTGATTTGAATCTTGATTTTGATCCACGAGGAGAGAGAGCTACAGGATTTGAATTGTCTCTCTTGTTTCCTTGAGGGGGCGGAGATTTTATGAGAAGAGTGGTAGTGTGGGGGATGTGATTGCTCTTGTGATTCCCATTTTTGCTTTGTTTAGGTGGGCACTGGATTTCTTATGAGGATTCTGGTGGTTCGGTTATTCGGTGGAAGAGGCTTTGAGTTTTAATGATAGTGCATATTGACTGGATTATGTTTTGGCTTGCAGCCCTGGTCGTAGTCAACGCCTACTTCTACAAGTAAACCCAGTTCACTAAACCCAGTTCACTGGAGGAGAAAACAGAATCGCTCTTGCAATGACAGTGCCCAGTATATCCGGACCGCAGTCTAGCAGCGCAAAAAGGGTAAGGGGTAAAAACAGCTATCCATATGCACAAAAGGGCAAAAAATAAAGTCGTAAGAAGAGATGATTCAAACCCCGTAAATAAAATCAGAAACCGTGTCCAAAACGTTGACAAAATCTCCAAATATTCCCAAATCCCCATATCCCATAATAAACCCATGTATCATGACCTCGTAAAGCATAACTCGAAAGCGAAGAAGCACAAGCACAATCCAGCAAGCAGAAGGGGAAAACATAATGAAAAAGGCAAGAAAAGAAGACATGAAAGGACATTGAAACAATGTTGCTGCATATCCCAATCGCGGTACATCCATGTACAAGGGGTAAAGTAGAACCCCCGGAAGTCATCATGGAAATGAGATAGTAAACCAATGGGACCAAAGACCAGGAAAACGCCAGTCCGGAAATAAATGAGTCGATGAATGGATGAATGTTGATACATCTTTCCTCGAAGCGAAAAGATCTCGAGTCGGAGCAAGAAAAAAGAAAACCGGCTAGCAGAGCAGAGCAGAGCAGAACAGAACAGAACAGCACAAACCAGATCTGTCTCTCTCTATCCCTTGCTAAACCGCTTCTTAAACCAACTCTTCCTCTTCTCCGGATTCGCCTGTGCCTGCGCCTGCGCCTTCACATTCGCCGCCGGGCTTTTCCTAAGATGTCCATTGGAAGGAGCCGCACCACCCCAGCCGGGATCTGCGACGGCCGCCGGCGCAGACGGGAGACTCTTTCCATACCCGTTCATATTCGGGCTACCGCCAAAGCCCTGGAAACCATACTCGGCTTGAGCACGCTCGTCGAGTCGCTGTTGCTGCAGGGCCTGCTGCTGCAATTGGTCCATCGAGCTGTTGAGACTACTCGGGTCCGTTGATTGTCCGTAGGAATCGGTGTAGCCGGAGCCGGAGCCGGACATGGCGGCGACATTGTCGTAGGAGCGTTGGTAGTTTTGCTGCTGGTAGGCGTATTGCCCGCCGTTGCCGTTTCCGTGGGCGCCTTGGTCCGAGGACATGCGTGGGGTATGGCGCGGGCGGCGACCGTTGCCGTTCTGATTGTTGTTGTTGTTGTTATTGTTGTTGTTGTTGTTGTTGTTGTTGTTGTTGTAGGGATAGGAGTTCTCGGGGGCCTGGCTGGAACTGCCGTAGGCATCTATCATGCTGTCTGGGCGGGATTGGGCGTTACGTCCGTAGCCGTTTTGATCGCTGTATCCGCGATTCGAGTAGCCATTGTTGTTGCCTGGATACACTGGTTAGTTGGTGATTCAGGTGGGAAGTCAATGGAGAGCAGATCAATGGTTCTTACCTCCGTAGTAACTTGTCCGGCGACTGTAATCGCCCATTTGCGAGGCTGCATCGTCTGCTAGAGATCAGAACTGGGCTCCCTGCGCGAAAGGAAATAGAGGCGAACGAACCTGTACGGGCGTACGAGACCGGGCGCGTACTGGTGTAGGTGCCGTAGATGGCTGCTTCGAAGGAGCGGATGGTATCCAGCGGGCGTTCGAAACGTGGGCGGGTGGGGTTTGACCAGTCGGGATCGGCTGATGCCACGCAAGGGAGAGTTAGTTTTATCCACTGTCGTTGATCAACGGTCAGCAATGTGTCAGAAGGAGGTACGCACTGATAGGATTGCCATATTGATCCTTATGCTCCATTGCGCGCAGAGAGCCCAAATTGGACTTCTCCAGGGCAACCGCCACTGTCCGAGGTGTCAGTCATGAGTGAATCTGGGGGTTGATGCGATCGCATGGTCCGGGCCCACATGGGGACGAGGAGGAGGAGGAGAGGGCCGCATTGCGAACATACTGGGTTGCAACTCGTTCATCGCGACCGTAGGATCAGCTTTGGTGTGTAGACTGCGCCGGGCCTTCTCCTGAGAGGACTCTGAGAGACGCGATTTATGACCGGAATTGTTGGTTTTATGGGAAGACTCCGACTTGACGCTGAAACCACGACTCCGACGAGGAGAAGTGGTCGATTCCTGGGGGCCTGCCATCTTTATCAGAAAAACCGGATGGGTCCAGTTTTCTTTTGGCTTTAGCGTCCGTGATTCAAGGCAGCTGGGTGGCTAGGGCGGGTTCTGAAACGGTTGTGATCTGCCCAGAGCTTTGTGCTTTTGGCGGCCTTGGTGGAGCGCGCGATTGTGAAGGGTGGGAACTGCCAAGGCGATCACAGCGTGGAGGTAGCCCGGTGTAGATTGGGATTCAATGAGGACTGAGACACTGAGGACTGCCCGAGCGCAGGAAGCAGGAATATGGTCGATCGACCGAGGGGGTACGGGAGGAGGGGGATGAGTTGTGGACGAAGAAGCAAAAGGCGAAGGCTGGGGAGGTGAGAAAGTCGGTGGGTGAGATGGACTGGTAGTTTTGGAGGACTAAGGGACTAAAGATTCAGGACGAGGAGGAGAGCAAAAGATCGATCGGTGGAGAAAGTCGTTGGAGATGGGGTGGATGTGCCAGCCGATTGCTTTTAAAAAAGAGTCGTAGTCCATGCCATGCCACCCGAAGTTTCTGTGTTGACGACACAAGCCACGCAATGCGCAGACAGGCAGAAGTCAGTCCCTGGGGGAGATCCGCGGCATGTTCGGTGGCGTCGTGACTCGTGGGACCGTGGAAGTCCGATACTGTCGGCTATCTACAGATCTCGAGGTCATTGATATGATCCAAGTAGATATACGGCGTACTAGCTAAATAGTCCTGATCATCTTCCTATTCTCTTCTTTTCTTGCCAGACGAGAAGACGGGCATAATAATTCACCTGCTCGGTATGCTTCAGGCCCAGTGCCTGGACACCCAAACGAGCCATGGTACACAGCCCGTGCCATTGCGTGGATACGATTGGTGGTGTTCTTCCTGTTGTCCCAAAACCGACCGACCTGAACGGTTTAAGGTGCATTAGTGGTGGGCACAGTAGCATAGTCAGTACTCCGGTATTTAGGTAGTTCCCCACCTCTTAAAACAAATTTATTAATAGCCGGACAGACAATGTTCTTATGCGCCTGGTGAAGCGAACTCTGTCAGGGACTGGGCCAGCCTAATGGAACACACTCAGGACTACTGGAGGACCTCATAGTCCCTGTCCAGGAACTGGTTGAATCCTTAATACTAATATCCCAAACTAAAGACATAGAGGTATCCTGATCCTCCGTACATATACCAGTCAACGCATCACCACCTATTCTTTTCCCCTCTCATCTGAGACATCCCACCCCCCCCAATTCGAGCGAACAGACCTGGGGTACCTACTAGTCAACGCCTCGTTCCCGGATTCAGTCCCAAACACTCACAGTGTCCAGTACGACGAGGTCTGACCTGACCCAAGCCGAACATCTTTCCTAACTCTTCCGTTCTTTCCTGGTCTATTTTTTCCTTGAGTTCTCCCGTGATGCCTAGCCATCCGCTGGCTTCCAATTGGCTGGTTTATGGGTGATGTGCAGTCCTGATGCCGCCCGCATAGAAAAGGGTGCATTGTTTATTGCTGTTAATTAATGGACCATATCAAGTATGATGCAGGGATAGAATGTATTTGTCATTGTTTTTCGGTAATGCCATTAGTTCATTAGGATATGATTCCACCGTGATCGGCATCCATCCGAGGCGGCTGCGGGAGGAGCCAAGATATATTTCGGATCAACTCCATTCCGCTGCCAGATTGTAAGCATGCCCTCCGACAACAACAGCTCCTTGACCAATGCTGCGATAAGTAGCTTTGAGGTTTGATATTGTCCTTACTATTACCCATTCAAGAATTTCATCAAAGAGGATCTTTACCGAGACACACAATATCTAGAGTAATGTGTTTCTAGGTGAGAGAACATCTTGTCGATGCCTGTTGAGCCTATCCAAACCCTTTCCAGAATCCCATGACTCTACTCTTTTACTCAACGTACAGACGGTTCATAGTTGTGAGAACCCGACCGGAAAAATGTGGGAATTCATATATAAATACATCAAGTACCAGCCAGCCCTGGAAATCATTAGGAATGCCTTCTAGGGAAGATCTGCGCATAGCGGGTATACTGACAGCCCAGGTCAAGACTAGATCCCTAGAAAAGAGAATGACGATTAATAGTCCAACCCCAAACAAGATCAACTGACTTGAGGATGTACACACCCAATTCCCGCGGAGTTACTTTGTGTGTCTGGCTGAATGGGTCCTCACAATTTGCGCCACCCGCATAGGGCTGTCCTTGATGCCGCAATTTATCCAAGTGGAGACCATCTAGATCTCGGCTGTTACTCTCCACAAACAACTCAAGATCAAGTCAGGGGGCAAGTAACCGATCTACTGCTACTAGAGTACTGGTAACTACAGAAGCGAGAAGACGGGCGCATTGGCAAACTACCGAGGGAATACCAGGAGCTGAATAGATGCATACAAGGTGGGTATTCGCTGGCGCAATCGGGATTTCAAGTCGCATTGGGTCAGGTTATGGAGATCTTGTTCTTACAGAGTTCATCCAAAAATGCCGTGGGGGAGTAGCCAGAGCAAGATAATGCAATTCGTCTATCACATAGGAAAAACAGAGAGCGGGCAGAACGGGCAGCGGCGCATGCGGAAACAAAACCTCGAACTCGATTGGACCTGGAAGACCGGCGTTGAAGGAAGCATAGTGGTATGAGAGATCTTGCGTGTGAGAGCGTCAGATACGCGATGGGAGAATAGGGGAGGTAGAGATGAGTAGAATGACGCTGTGGACCATAGTATCGGACCAAGAAAAACACAGAACACAAGAAGATAAACGAATAGAGGCACTTGGACAACAGGAGAAGACCGATATCATGTCCGCAATGCGGAGTCGTGGGTAATACCACACTCCTCACTGGCAGATACAACGCAGTCAAATCACCCCATCCCCCTCGCGCTCTTTCATCCCAGACAGTGAACGTTGTTAAATTTTTTTGATTCGTAGGGCTGTGATAAGTGGCCCTGCCTTCTCCCACGAATAAAACGTTATCAAACCGCCAACTCCCATCACCTTGCCATCAACATCCGGCTTCGTTCCGTCTCGACTTTTTTAAAATTCCATTTGCCTGACACCGAAGTTCCGTCTGCGCGCAGAAAGGATCGGGGAAATGCGCCCACTAGATACAACATAGAGAAGCCGTTTAGATGTTGGAGGGGTAGAGCATGATGCGGACGGTGGCACCGAAGGTCTTGGGGGGGAGGTTGTTGCGGAACTTGGCGCGCACAACACCGGAGTTGCCTGGACGGGGCAAAATGTTAGTGAACCGATATGGAAAACGAGCGAGGTATGTAATATCGCTGCCGCTGCTCGGGAGTAGGATGTTGATGCAGAGAGAGCGAAACTGCTGCTGCTCTGATCGAGTCGATGCGTACCGTGAGGGCGGGTGACCTTGCCCCAGATCACCCGAATGTTGGAGCCGCGGACCTCACGCTTGGCCCGGTAAACGAAAGCGACCTTCTTGCCAAGGTAGAAGCTGGCGGCCTTGGAGTCATCAACGCCCTCAATCTGAACCAGACTGGTGTTGGGGTTGGTGTTACGCTTTCCGCGCTGGTAGCTCAGGTGGCGACCCCTATAAAGAAATCCGTATTAGACTGCTGATTCTCATCGACGGTGATGTGCATTCTGATCATCCGAGTCGATTCCTCCCAAGCGTTGTGTGATTCCCTTGAACCAAAATTCGACCCAAACTCCATTTTCGACATGTAGACTGGACTGTGTGCAAAACGCGACGACGGCGGGCATAGTGATAACTTACTTGACGTAGACTAGAAGGAAACGATATCTGTTAGCATGACCAGTTCAAATCATCCTCGCAGTCGATGTGTGCCCCGATGCGCCGTGTCCCGATCCCCCGTCGCGATTCCCTCATTCTCCAACCTCGACTTGACACGGCGATCGATAACGGGCGTACATCTCCAGGGTTGAAGCACTCACGTCGGTGTCCCTGTTCCGAAGGCATTGTGACGGCTTTTCTCTGAGCAGCGGGCAAGAATAACAAGTCGAAGGAATGACCCGCAAGAGATCAGAAGTCGTTGCCGGTTGTCGTGGATGTCGTCGCTGATAGAGTCGAGCGCACAATCAAATTGGGAGGTGTGGTGGCCGCTTTCGCACTAATCCCAATCGGGTCCTTAGCGACAGGGTAAGCGAGGTCCCGTGATGGACAGACTAGTCTTGATGGGGCTGACCTGGAAAAATAGATATTCCAGGATCTCCACTCAAGTCACATGGTGATAGCAGTTCCCATCATCCTTATCAAGCTTATCAAACTTATCGCTCAACTGGTCATCTGACTTTTTTTTCCATCGATCACATCATCTCTTCACCGCCCAATACACCGTGATTTTTCTGCCAGCCGGGCGTCTGTCCTCCGAACGGTCCTGCGACCGGCTGCGACTCCGTCGCCAAGTTACAATTGTAATGGATGGGAGTTACATGGCTGGGCCTTGGTTGGAGCCTCCAGGCTGACAAATCTCACCATGACGTTGCTCCCTGGCGCTTAAGACTGCCTTTTGATGGGCTCCCGAGGTCCCGGTTACGTCGGTCTTTGACTGTACCCTTCGGCACATTGCTCGGCCCTGTTTGAGGGAACCTGGTGAATTGGCAGATTTTGATTTGCTGATCTTGATGATTTGGAGAGAAGTTGATTATTTGATCGTTACGAGCCACTTGTAAAGTATTGATGACCAAGTTGTACTACTGCTAGAAACCCGTTCATTGCCCCGTGCCGGATACATCTCCGGCGAAGTACAGACCGAGCTTCTTCATTGGGAAAGCTACTGTAGACATCTTCCCCTCAAACCCCGCCCCACCATTATTATGGAACATTCTGGGATTCGGGATCTCTGTGAATTAAGAGTCTCGGGAGGATTTGAGGCTGATCTTGAGGAAGACGAGCCCTGTTCTTTCCACACTTTTCGAATCTTCATTACAATGGAGTACTGTATGCAAACTACTCGGAGTACACATACTTTTCTTTTCGCAGGAACACATCTCATTGGGTCCGCAACCCGTGGTCTTGATACGTCGAATCTTGTCTCCGCGGATCTGTACCCTGTGACTAATTTGTAAAGGACATAAACATTTATTGTAAGGATGGCTTTTTCAACGGTTAATATGCTCCGAATCCGGCATACGCTGGCCCGAATGGCTCGAGGGGCCCGGAGTAAGTGCGACGGGAAAATAGAATCCGTCTGGTATGAGAGATGACAAATGTGCCGATCCCTCCTCCACGATTTCGGTCACCGGTAGCATTCAAAAGCCTTATCAAGGTATGATACCATCTTGAGGTACGGGTCGTACGTAGCTGTACGAAATATTGAGGATGAATTCATTACTTCTATCCTGTCCACAGTATGGTGCGGTAGAATAATAGCTGGTTATGACTGGCTGCTTTCTTATGTACTTTGTGCTAGTAGATCCTCCATGCTTAGCGGGTAGCTTCGGTAAAATGCAATCAGTTGCTCACTATGTCTTTCCTAGACTTGGTGGAGCTGTGACACTCTGCAGATAGCCCTCCAGGCTTCTGCAGCTCACCGGCGCATCTCATCGGCGCATCTCATCTACAGAGCCCATCATGCGGATGCATTGCCGAAAGAGCTCCACTATCGAGACGCCTCTCTGACCGCAAAGACAGGACAAAGAGGGTGATCTTTTCTTTTGATAGTTTAATTTCTGAGTAAGATTATGTGATGCGCTCCCTTCATACTCGAATTGTATACGGAGTACAAAACTTCCACGGTAGTTGGCCACGTACTCCACACCAGATGCTTTCAGGCTGTTTCTGTGTCACTGTTTTACCTGTAACGATGGCTTATCAGATGACCTGGTACTAATAGCGAGAGAACCAAATATTCCTTTTGCTTTCCAGAACAACTAGGGGGTTCGATTGGAACCGCCTTAAGAGGGGGTCTTTGCGAGGGGCTAGATTAGCGTAGCTCACGTTGCACCAAAACCAGTACCCCTCGAGTAAGCCGTGCCCACGCGGGGTGAGGGTCAGCTGGAAAGAAAGAAATTGACTAAGCTCTCGTCCGAATGCAAGATAAATCCAAGTGGAATTAAGGAAATAAAAAGGGCCGTGATGACTATGGAGATCCGGAGTTAAGTGGAAGCCAGCCCGGAGTACAGTCGAATATAGTAGGGGGGAGCTGGTGATGGTGATCCGGTGGAGGAAGACTAAGATGTACTGTCGCTACGATAATGAGCGACCAGGTGCACGCTGATGATTTATATAGGATTCGAGAAGTAGCGTATTGGCGCAAGCGTCATCTCATATTATTCTTTTATCAATTTTTTGAGGTCAATTTATCCACCAGACAATAAATGACCGAGCAAAACGGAGGAAACCATAAATTACGGCCGGGCTACACTCCTCCAGCCCCACCAGAAAAGAGCTGCGCGAGAGACTGCCCATTAAAAAAGTACTCCGCCGGATCCTGTTGGAAGGGCTCTCTCCCTCTTTCCCAACAACTCCTGGCCTCTTACTTCCTCTTTTCTGACTCTCCGTTGATTCTCCCATCCCCTTGTATATTTGTTGTTGTTGTTGCACCAAAAAATGGCCGGTATGATCAACAAGGGCGATGAGCGCCAGAATGCTGGGTGAGTTTTTCTAGTTCCTCGTCTCTGACATCACCTCCCCTCCCCTCCGGCAGCGGAAGCGCGCCGCCAACCTCACCTCAACACCTTCCCTGCTGCTGCTCCTGGACCTCCGACAAGCCCAGTTGATCGAGCGCGTATCGTGCCATCGGTTCCCCATTGCTTTGATTTGTCTCCTCGGAATCAATCTTGGGATCGCATTCTCACTGCCCCGCGATTATTCTCTTCCCTCCCCCCCCGGCCACAGCCCCTCCGTCCAGCTCGTTTTTAAAAGACAGATTTTGCCGTCGTCAACTTGACCACCCCCCCAAATTCCCCACTGACAATGTCTTTCCATTCCAGCACCATCGAATTGAAGGATGACACCATCATCGTGGTGCTCGGTGCCTCCGGCGATCTTGCTAAAAAGAAGACGGTTCGTATTTCCCTCCAATTCACATCATCTGGGATGACTCCTCGGTGTGCTCTCTCCCGGCCCCAAAGCTAATCTGCTGACACAGTTTCCCGCACTCTTCGGTCTTGTATGTGATGACAACAGCTCGGAAATAAAGGAAAGGCGACGCATCCCCCACTAACTGATAATCGTCTTAGTTCCGCAACAAATTCCTCCCCAAGGACATTAAGATCGTCGGATATGCGCGGACGAAGATGGACCATGACGAATACCTTAAGCGCGTGCGCTCCTATATCAAGGTTCCCACAAAGGAGATCGAAGAGCAATTAGATCAGTTCTGCAAGCTGTGTTCTTACATTTCCGGCCAATACGACCAGGATGACTCGTTCATCAACCTTAACAAGCACCTTGAGGAGGTGGAGAACGGCCGCCAATCGAAGGAGCAGAACCGCGTCTTCTACATGGCGCTTCCCCCCAGTGTTTTCACTACCGTGTCAGAGCAATTGAAGCGAAACTGCTACCCCAAGTCCGGTCTCGCTCGCATTATCGTGAGTCACTACCCCAGCACAATTTTTTTTTAACCGAGGCAACAGCCACGCTAATCACCCCGCGCCCCACGTCACAGGTCGAGAAGCCCTTCGGCAAGGACCTCCAGAGCTCGCGCGACCTCCAGAAGGCCCTGGAACCCAACTGGAAGGAGGAGGAGATCTTCCGTATTGATCACTACCTGGGTAAGGAGATGGTCAAGAACATTCTCATTCTGCGGTTCGGCAATGAGTTCTTCAACGCGACTTGGAACCGTCACCACATCGATAACGTTCAGGTATGCGTTATTTGTAATTCTAATTGCTGTGATAAGTGATGATCAATTCTGACGAGAATTTTCGGAGTAGATCACATTTAAGGAGCCTTTCGGCACCGAGGGCCGTGGTGGTTACTTCGACGAGTTCGGCATCATTCGTGATGTCATGCAGAACCACTTGCTGCAGGTGCTGACCCTGCTCGCTATGGAGCGCCCAATTTCTTTCTCCTCGGAGGATATCCGTGATGAGAAGGTCCGTGTTCTGCGCGCGATGGATGCCATCGAGCCCAAGAACGTGATCATTGGACAGTACGGCCGCTCGCTCGACGGTAGCAAGCCCGGTTACCTGGAGGACGACACCGTGCCCAAGGAGTCGCGCTGCCCTACCTTCTGCGCCCTGGTCGCCTACATTAAGAACGAGCGTTGGGACGGTGTTCCCTTCATCCTGAAGGCTGGCAAGGGTATGTCTTCAACTGATATTTGTTTTCAATCGCTGATGCTGACTTTCTCTCCCAGCCCTCAACGAGCAGAAGACCGAGGTTCGCATCCAGTTCAAGGACGTGACTTCTGGTATCTTCAAGGATATTCCCCGCAACGAGCTGGTCATCCGTGTCCAGCCTAACGAGTCCGTCTACATCAAGATGAACTCTAAGCTGCCTGGTCTGTCCATGCAGACGGTAGTGACCGAGCTGGACTTGACCTACCGCCGCCGCTTCTCTGACCTCAAGATCCCTGAGGCCTATGAGTCCTTGATCTTGGATGCCTTCAAGGGTGACCACTCCAACTTCGTTCGTGATGATGAGTTGGACGCCTCCTGGCGCATCTTCACCCCGCTCCTGCACTACCTGGACGACAACAAGGAGATTATCCCCATGGAGTACCCCTACGGTAAGACCCAGGATTCACAGTGTGGAATTGACAAAGATACTGATTTTTCCTCTTATTGTAGGCTCCCGTGGCCCCGCCGTTCTCGACGACTTCACTGCTTCTTACGGCTACAAGTTCAGCGACGCCGCTGGCTACCAGTGGCCAGTCACTACATCCGCCCCGAACCGACTGTAGAGATCTCGAAGGCCAATACGGATAGGCATTAGCGCTGTTTACGACGATATGGGACGCGGGATTTCTCCAGGCGAACAAAATCCATTGATTTCTTTTTTCACCATGAAGCTTGTTTTTTTCTCTTTGTTTCTATTTTTTTCTCTATCTCCTGACTCTCGGGATCCTCCAGTTAGCTGCGATTGTGATGGGATTCAGTTGTGTACTGGGTATCTCAATTTCGGGTCCCCAATGCGTTGATTCGGGTATCTAGAAGAGGGTTTCGGCCTCGCAATGCTATGAAAAGAATACTCTATCTTATGGTTCAAGTTACTCCGTCTCTGTCTTTATGGAGCCAGTAAAGAGTTAGATTGGGAGTTGTAGGAGGCCACAAACGCAGGTACCTGGAGTGTAGAGGTTTGCCGCATGATGGTGCAATGGAGTTTGCCTTCTTTCCTGATGTAAGAGCATGCAGAAGATCATCACACTCTTGTTTGTTCATGTCAGCTGATGGCTTATAAAGGGGATCCCACTTTTCCTACTCTCCAACGTTGATCAACCAACCTTGTATCCTCCTCTCCCCTTCCTCCACACTGATTCCTGACTCCAACCCCCAACTCCGACTCCGGCTCATCCATCTACCTTGCCGTCTTCTGTCTACTATAACAGATATATATTTCCTCTTCGCCACCCATGGCTGGTACCGCTTCACCGAGCTTGTGACCGTCACCTGGGTCCTAAGCTTCGGTACCTATCGCGTCTTGTTGAGATCGGCCAAGCCAACTATTGTGAGTGTTTCCCCCACAGTGCTAACCTCCCGTCGTATCACGCGTCCTTTCACTCACACCCTCTCTCAGCCGCGAAGCCACCTTAAAATTACCCTTGGCTTTTTTGCCCCTCAGGAGTGTGAGCGCTGTGCGAATACACCGAGCTGATGGTCGTAATATGAGGAGGGAGGCTACAGATTCAACACAACGACCAGATCAGCGCTGGCTCTTGCTGTTTACCAGGGCCGGAGTCAGGGAGCCACTGCCCACTGCTCATTTCTTACCTCCCACTGCACCCTCGGCGACTCTCTATATAGTCACTGCTTGTGTCAGCAATCTGGTCGAAATCGCAGATGAACGCTCCAGAATTATTTCTCTGCCTGGAGGGCCGAACTTGTGGATGGGCAACATGCACCCACTCCTACACTATATTAGCTGTACAGATGTGACACGACTCTGTGAGTTTGCCAACGTCCAGCCCCTCGACATACACAATCAGAAGAATGCCACGAAAGAATGTCGAAATTGCAGGGGATTTAACCTCTCAGCCTATTGAGCAACCCGGGATATCAGCCTTTTTGTTAAATCAAGCGAGTCCTTTCTCAGGTCATGAAGTTCTACCTTACTGGAAATGGATTTATTCTGACCGATCAATGGCTGCTGCGGATTGAGGTTTGTCATTACACTGTGGCTTTGGCTCCTGTCATTTGGCCAGATATTGACAACCCTCGTACTATCACCGTTATCGAGTGACCCCACGTATACCCAGCCCAGAGCAGAGCGTCGGGCCTCTCCTCGTCTCTCAATAAAGAATAGGCTGCTATACCCCTGTTGTCTCACAAGTGCCACAAGTGGTCATGCATACTCCGCAGCTTCAATATTGCCAAAATGAAGAGCACGAGGCTGCAAAAGCACCATTCGTGCGAGGTGGAAAAGCTATCCGCAACAAGAAAGCCCGATGATATGGGGAAATATGCAGCATAACACTGCAATGGTTAGCAAGCCGACTCCTTTGCTTCCTTCAGATTGAGGAGACCTCGCTGTGAGGAAGTCTGTTCAGGGCGGGATGTGCTTCACGATCTCAAGGAATCACCCGGTCTTTTTCGATGAGTGATGCATGCAAATACATAAACTCCAGTATATAGTGTCCGAATTGGGTTCAATGTAACCAAAAATCAATCACATGATAAAAGTCTACTCTCGATTATCTGTCAAGATCGGTAGGCTCAAATGGCAGAATCAAAGACACAACCCCGATGTCTACAAAAAGTCCACAGCAGACAAATATTGTCACCGAGGAGTAACCATTCCCCCACGTAGCGATGAATGGAGATGTGAGTGATGCGACTTGCCCACAAGCCAGCGTCAATCCACACCCAATGCCCCTGTAGTTGTCGGGCATGACGTCAGGAGTATAGCTGGAACAGATTGAATATGAGATAGAGATTAAGTGTGACTATCAGGCGAGTGCTTATCCATAGATAACACCGTACATAGCAGTTAGGAAGAATTTGATCATGCACGAGAAACCAAGATTCTGAGCCTCGTTATTCACAGTAGTAAATAAACCAGCGAAAATTGCATACGCATATGCTGTCACAGTAATTATTCGGCGACGACCCAGAAAAGAGACTCGAATGAGATACGCACTGAGTACAGGGCCTGGAATTTCTGCAACCGAAGAGACCGCCAGTCGCGGAATGTTTGATAGTCACTTCCATCGCCGATTTGAGCACTGTGTGCTTCAAGATAATACGTTAGGAAGAAAATGTATACAGGATACCTGGCAGTTGTCAGTTTTGTTTCACGTGTCATTCAAAATGCAGAGAGAAATACGCGATGCCGACAAGTAGCCAAACCAGGCTCAGGCAGATCATAGAACGAACTTGTCTTTCCCTCGCAAAAAGACCTGCTATCATAGAGAAGGTCATCCGCATGGATCGGTGGCTTTCTGTCTGCTCTTCACGAAGTTGGGAATTTGACATGATGTATGCGGACTTGTTGATTCGACTTATTGTATTAATGGACGCAACGGCCTCCTCTCTCTCGCCCCGCAGGACCAACCACTTAGGCGACTCGCTTATTAGCAAACAAAAGGAGCGGAGAATAGCCATGAAGAAGCAGAGGACTCCGAGGATAATATAGAGGTATCTCCATCCTAGCTCTTCTCCTTTATGGCACGATCTCTCCCTGATGAAGGCCGACAACTCCTTCGTACAGTTACATGTTAGTATACCATCACGCCTGATCGACAGTTCATCATCGCAACCTTGAAGGGTCATCCCGATATGATTTTGGGTCTGTGAGCAGCCCATACTTTCAAGTTTGCGCCCACTTTCGGTCCGGTTCTAGCGGAGCTGGCAATAGATGGAAAGACTGAAGAGGATATTTTAAAGTTTGGGATCCCAAAGAATGCGACTACTATAAGCAAGTTGTGATAGAACCAATGTTCTTAAGAAGATAGAAACCTTTGAAGTGTGAACTGAGAGTCCATAAACATCCAAGTATCGCTTTGATCCATAACTGCTAATTTGTTTCTGCTTGATACTCAATCAGCTTACAAATGTTCTGCTAGCCTATAGTGGGTATGGTGGGCATGGTGGGCATTACGGCTTTTTTAAATAACCTATAGAAAGGGGAGCTGAGATTGTGAGCAAGCAGGTGTGGGTAGGACACGGTCGGATGAAAGAAGGTGCTTGTTCAATTTGGTGGCACGAATCTTTATTGCCTCCCTATACTCTGTCGGTCATACAACGTGGACTTACCTGGTAGTCAATTTTCCAATCCTCTGGAGCAATTATTTTGCTGACCATATCCTATCTTACCTGCATAGGATACTCAAGTAGACATCCCACGAGTCATCTCCTTTAATACCACTAGTATAATTACCCGTTCCATCGAGCTGCCGCTTTGTCTCCTCGGCATCTTCTCTGAAAAGCTTCGCCTCATTTTCAAAGCCCTTTCTGTCAAAGATCTGTGCTAGCCGCCATTTTACACGCGCTGACTCGCCCTTGTCGCCTCTCTGGGCCTCGTTCAGCTGGCAAATCTGTAGGGCATACTGGAGGTGATTCAGCGCAGCATTGTCGTCACCCTGCTGCATGCAAACCACTGCCTGCCTGTAGCGTGATGCCATGACACTTGAATGTGTGGGCTTGCCCATTGAGACAAGCTTGTAAGACTTTTCGTTCAGCTCATGGGCTTTGGCAAGATCACCTTTGCGGACGGCAATCTTGGCGCGTTCGAGAGCGCATCTGCATCCGACTGTAAGCAAGACATCATCCTCGAGAGTATTTACATAAAGACAAAAGGGGACCAGCTTGAATAAGGTGAACTCACTCTCCATCATAATGATTCAAAGGGCCGTACAGAATCTTGTGTAGTCTCTCGGCCTGATCGAAATCCTGCAGAGCTTCGTCATATTGACCCAGCGCCATACGTGCACGCCCAGAATTGCGTAAGAACCGATCCAGATTAAACTGGGTGTAGCGTTCTGGTTCAGGCAGCTTCTCAGCATAGGAAATTGCCCGTCGGGCATGCGCCAGGGCTTCCTCTCCATTCCAGGCGGAGCCGAGTGCGTAGCACATGTGGCTATGCGCCATGGCTAGCTCCCTTGAATCTCTAGATGTCTTCTCCCATATGGCAAGCGATTGCTTTGCGTATTCCACAGCGTTGGGAGAGTAGCCCATGAGTTCGTACATTGGGACAATGCAGTGGCATATGTAGCCATAGAGCCAAGATTCTTTATCCTCACAATTATCTCGTGCTCTGATCAGAGTCTGTATCCCACTCTGGAAGGATTGAATCTCCATGAGGTACCTAATATAGTCATTAGCAGAGCAAATAGCCGAATACAAGAGCGATAGAATAGTGGAATATGGAAGGCCTACCACGCCGAATCGCACAGAAGGCGAGTAAAGTCTTCATCCTGACAAGAGAATTTGGCCTTCATTAAAGTTTCGTACCTACCCTGGAAAAAGAGGACGTGCTGCCGCAACTTCTCGCATATAGGCCAGCGGGTATAGAAGTGCGAAAAGCCTCTATTGGGATAAGCAATCCTCAAAAGGATGAGGGCGACGCGGAAGACGGCAATACGGCACTCATCACTCATACGGTCAAAGTACGCATCTTGGGTCAGGCGATGAATGGATATGTCCCCTGTCTCCTCGTTCATGCGAATCAGGGCCAGGTCGAGTAGTTCGGCCTTAGCTGTGTCAAATCTGAAGCACTGTTATTAGAGCGTGGGCACTAGAAGGATAGAAAAAGAGTAAGCAACTCACAACTCCTCGGATGTGAGAACTTCCCAACCCGGCGCCGGCAGATTCTCTGCCTCCAGTAAGGACTGCGGGATTCCTTCGGGGGCGAGGAAACAAATCAGTGACAGCAACTTGGACGCATCGGGGCTCAGATTTTCAAAAGCCGCCTGCCAGACCATAGAGAGGTCTTTAGGGTAATACATCCCCGACATGCCCCGAGTGGGACGCTTCGAGAGAGCCAGTCGGTGCTGATCGTAGTAGGGAATGAAACTGCGGATAGTGCGGAACCTTGTGGAAAAGCGAATATGTTGAGCTACAATATCCAATGCGAGGGCAAGACCACCCAACCGCTTAGCCAGCTCGATAGCCGCAAGACGCTCATCCGCAGCATCATCACGCCTCAGAATCTTGAACAGCAATTCTCCACTCTCTTCCGGAGTGAATGCCGGCACCTCAATCGATGTGGATGCCATAGAGGCTGCAAAGAATTCGCTGCGGCAGGTGACCAAAATGCTTCCATTGCCCGTGAGTGGGCAGGCGCCAACAAAAGACTGCTCGTTCTCGACATTGTCAAATATCATCAACCATTTGGCAGCTTGGAACTGTCAGCATAAGCTCATATTGATGAGTAATATCATTTTGAAGCCTACATGTAGTCTGAAGCCACTGCAAAACATGGTATCTGTTTTCAGCCGGCGTATTCTTCGGTGTGTACGAAGCTAGCCCAAGCTTAGAGGCAATCTCGGTAAATGCCTTGGCAATTTCCGCCTCAGTTTCACAACCAACCCAGAGAATAGCATCCACACCATCAAACACGAGGCGGTTTGCATACTCAAGTGCCACCTGGGTCTTACCGATGCCCCCGATGCCCCAGAGAGCAACAGTACGAATGGAAGGTTTGGATGCGGGTGCAAGACTTTCAGATATCTTTTTCAAGATATCCTCGCGCCCAAAGAAGTTGAAGTTTCGCTGGAAGGGAAGGAAATAGCAAGGCAGTTTGGCCGCTACTTCGGTTGTCCTCCCCTGTACCGTGTCAATTTCAGCGTGCAGCTGGGCCAAGGAGTGAGCAATTTGGTTCTGCGTCTCGTTGAGCTGAATAATGCCCTGAGCCTTGACCAACTCTCGTAAGTGATTGACTTTGGAGGTAATATTTCGCAGCGTGAGCAGGAATTTATCATGCACGGGCGACCAACCGCGAGCCAGGACTGCACTGTCGACGTCGTTCTTGCGAAAGTATTTGATTGCACCAACGACGCTGAGCATGAGATCGACAAGCACATCAAAAAATGCTTCCAGTAGGTGTGGCTCAAGGTTGACGCATCTGCTGTAAATCTCAAAGAGGGCAAGTTGCTGACCAAGCTCGTTGAGCAAGACCGTGACTTCTTGCATGGATCGCTCCGAATGGCTCGCCAACTATATGTTGTGTGTGATCGGCTGTTAGTTTAAGACCTGTTCGTGGGAGATGATGGTTTTGTAATACCTCGATGAGTAACGTGGCCGCACCCCAAATGCAAGCGGCGCTCATATTCTGGGCACCTAATCCAAGGAACAGAAACGTGACAAAGGTCTGTAGACGGTTGAGATGAGGCTGAAGGCTAGTCAGCATCCTCATAATTGGACTCTTAGCATAGCGAACTTCGAGCTCTTTGACGCTGTCAATGACCTGTTCAGGGCTCTCAAAGCTGCTAATAAGGTCGTAGTCATCCTCGCCGAGGATATTGTAGCACATATCTATGGCATCTTTCCAGGCCTGCTGGCAATTGTTCCTCCTGAATATTGCGTTTCATTAGAAATGGCGCTATCAGGTCGTTTGGTAGATTCTCGATCGGACTCCTTACGCGTTTTCCATGCCCTCCTCCCCATCTTCCAAGTTGCTTTTGGCGGTCATCTAGGCGAACATTCAGGCAACTCACGTCTGTGATACTCAAATCAATCCAGATGTAGACACGGTCTTGCATGAAGTGTTGGGTAGTAGGAAGGGGAGTATGCCTCTATATCAGACTGACAGGCCCTGGAGCCTTGGTGGGGTATTAGCATATAGATGGCCAAAAGAAAATGGGAAGGACCTCAGAGGCGGGGGCGCTGGCTGGGTGGCTGTTACGGCAATGGCACGGAGGTCCTTGAGCCTCATCCCTCTTGTGTAACTGGAGGCCCAGGCGGACCGCGTAACCCTCAATACACACCACCCCTGCTCCTCTGTCATTTATACCCTTTTCTATTTGTCGACGTGTCCACCGCTGGCTGGCGAGTGCATCGTTTATGTCAAATGGCAGTTGCACCTGCGGCCAGCCATGCACTCATTGCGCCAATCAGCAGCTTCACCACACCCCTATCACATCAAACTGCGGCCAAAGCGCCCACCATGTTGGACTTGTAGGAGAAGCAATATTTCAATCATGTACAAGGAACCAATACAGCTGCTTGAATGGAGTATACGCGTTTCTCTGGGATTCAGGAGACCATTCATCTAGCATATTGTTCCAGGGCGCTACCGAACTGTCTACTACCTTCGGCTCTTCGTGGCTTTAAAGAATATTTATTCTGACCAGCTCTTCTACTGCTCCCTTCTTTGCAATCCAAAGTTGCTTATTTGATATTTATTGCTGATTTACTGTTTGATTTCTGACCAACTGTTTTGAATGCGAGCGCTAATATGGCCTCCAGTGTGACTACCGATGCTTCCCTGAAGTATATGATTGTCTCGGATAATTTCAAAACCGAGAAGCCATACTCATGCGCAGTGCCATTCTCACAAGATCCATCCAAGACGACGAATATCACTGAACGTGCATTCGACGTCTCCGTAACAGATGTCAGAACAGTTTCGTCGGAGCCTACTCTAAATATCGAGGGCTTTGAATTCATCCGGCACGAGTTCTACAATCAACCTGACGGCAAAATCGAGGGACCTGACCATCCATACCTGATTGAAGTAGCCGAAATGTTGAAAGCTCGCCTGGGCGCAAGCGACGTGATTGTCTACGACTGCAATGTGCGCAAGCTCGGCAACAGTGGCTTCTTCCAGGCTGCGACGTCGGTTCACGTTGGTAGGAATCCACTCCCATGTGCGATTCCAGAATCAAGCTGACGACTATATTGACCACTCTCCCGGTAACGCACAATTTAGGCTTCAAGAGGCCTTACAGATGTTCAGACCTTCTGGCGTTTCCTTCGATCGGTGGATGGCTGTCACGTATACGCCCTATAACTAATCCCGCAACAATGTTATTTCGATTCTAACCACCGAGCTAGATTCTGGAGGCCCATCTCGCATCCAGTGACTGATTGCCCGCTTGCTGTTTGTGATTACACCTCCATTTCCAAAGAAGACCTGCACCTAGTCGATACCGTTCTGCCTCACCGGGTGAACGAGATCTATCATCTGGTTCACAATCCTGCCCACAAGTGGTATTACATGAGTGACCAAACGCCAACCGAAGGGATTTTGATGAAGATTTACGATACAGATGATAGCTTTTCTAAATGTAAGTGGGAAACATAGTTGTGGAAATGTGCTTGATGACCTGATAAACCTACAGTTTCTGCTCATGCTGCATTCAAAATCACCCAGAGAGAAGGAATTGCGGGTCCACCAAGACATAGTGCCGATGTCCGGGCATTTGTTTTGTTTTCTCAATGAAGCACCGATGATAAGAATGTACAGTTTGGTAGTATTATGAGGACAATGTACAGTTTATCTAGCTGTTTACATTGACAGTAACTGCAAATGGCATAGATTTGTGGAAAACACTACATATTCCGTACCACTAACTAGACCTGAGCAAAGAATATGGAAGAAAAGGACAGAAAGGCTCAGATATATTCGGGTTGGGAGGCAAGGGACATCAAATCTCAATATTCAAGCGTCTGAAACCTTTGCTAATATACCACAGCATCAAGTGCCCTGAGTGTTAGGGTTGTTGGCGGCGACAGCGCTTTGCCAGCCAATCCAGGGCTTTTCCCAAGGCTTCTGCTGCCCCGGCTGCCATGTAGCACGTTCAACTTTGCCCTCAGCCTTCTCAAGCGCTAAGTAGCGCTTCCAAGGCTGCTCTCTGGTGTCATTGACCTCACCAGCAACGGCAACGATGACTGACTGAACATGTGTAATCAGCGGGTGTCATACAATACATCAGCACCAGTTGTTACCTCATCGACCAAGATATCCTATGTCTGTGATTAGCCACAATTCATAACCTCTAGCTTACTACTTACCATGTTGTGGTATACTTTGTTGTCCAGGAGTGTGGATTGTTACTGTTATTTTTCAGGGATGGGTTAAGAACAGTGTAGGAGTTGCCGTCCTCTGTAGTCCCTCGTCAGAAAGGCAGGTTCTTATAGACAGTCTCGATCCCCTTGGAAAATGCCTACTCGGCGATATATGCGGCTCAAGTAGCAAGTACTTACCTACCTTATCATGGGGTTTCTTTTTAACCCTCGTAAACCCGTGTCTCTCCGCAAGCAATTTGGTGTATTGCGCGGGGTACTACATCGCTAATCAGCATCCTAATGACCGTAGCTGCGCTCTCGATCCTTCAAAGGGTCGAGCAATGTGCAAGGTCTCGAATAAAATGCAACCATTCCAAGAATAACGAATCGCAGTCGTTAATGCATAGTGATATAGAGGGCCGGGCGTAAAGGCAGAGACAAATGTGACTGGGCCCCTGTGATTGCATCTACACATGTCAAGAGCGGAGGTAAACCCGTACAGCGGCTGAAACCACTTTTGATCCCGCATGCATAATTGAACCCCAGCTCACACACTTTGGTTACAGGCATTAATGCCTGTTTTGATCCATGTGAGTATCTCACAGCCAAGAGATGTGCGCCACGAGGTCCCAACCAACCAACTTTCACCAATCGATGGCGTTCCAGCCATGCTAGCCTAGCGCCCAACTGCAAGGATCTGATACCCTGAAAGTAGGCATTCCAAAAGAAAAAAATACAACCGACCGCGTGGGCCGCGCTCATTATCGTTGAGGCTACAAAGCATCTAACAAGTCTTTTTCATAAAATAGTGCTATAGCATGCTCTGTCATTAAAGAAAAGTGTGCAAAAATCCTACGACTTACATTTACAACAGCAGAGGATACTAAATAGACGTTCATCTCTTCACTAGGCTCATCTTAGATCAATGTATTGCCTCTAGTAAATGTATCAGCATCATAAAAAAGCAATCTACCTGCGTTTACTTACTTAGGATGTAGTGGAGTAGAACCCGGGTTGCTTCGAGGCGTGGATCGGAGCCTCATCTTTTCTCACTCCTGGCCCCAAGTTGCCTATGGGTGACCATTCTTTCGATCCCACGATCGTATACTTCAGCCACGAAGAACACTCGCAACATCAAAGCTGACATGCACGGCAGCAACGTAAGTATTCCGGACCCATTAAAAATGGTCGATTTACTGTTCAAGGGCTAGCTTTGGCGAGATCTAGGCAAGATGATCAGTTCGTACTTTTGGCCTTAACGCTGCGATCTAGGAATTTAAGCACTTCATCACCAGCTAGATCACAGGCATCCTTCGCACTTTACAGTTATTGAGCCATGAGGGCATCTTCTATTGAGGAAATATCCTCTGCATCCGATCAACAGCATGTTCATGCAGAGCTCGACTTCATCCGGGCCTGTATCGGTAATGAAAGAGCTGAGAAGTCGAGGGAGTCCCAAGTGGTTCTCGATCACATACGGCCCAAGGTACTATACTCATCGCTCCCGTTCGGCACTATCCTGTGTTCAGAGTACCACCCGGACGAACCAGACCTAACACGCATCATCCACTCCTTTCGTGATATTATACTTTCCTACCGCCAGCAGGAAAACCTGTCTATCAACCGCGCCCTGCAGGGTCTAGTCGAGAGAGGTGTGTTTCGGGCTTTTACGACGCCCGAAGAAGAAGCCATCGCAAAGCAATGCATCTTTTCGGCCGTGGGAATAGCATCGCGACTGTACAGTCCGACACCAGTACAGCGACAGGGCCACTTCGAGATCAACACGCAAGGTGCCCGATGTTTTACCAGGAATGCGGTGGACATCAATCTTTCAGCCCGCCCCATAGACGAGCTTCTTCGTGCACTTGGCCAGATTCTTCCACGAGCTGACTGGCGTATGCCCACCAATGATGACCCCAGACAGCCTTCGGTCAAATTCTGCGTGTCCTCTCTCAATGCAGATGTGCTGAAGAATCTCGCAAACGTCCATATCATCTGGGTGAATTCGATTGCGGCTCATCTAGAGTTCGATCCCATCGTCACAGCGCTATACCTGTTCAGGCTGCCGTCCTTTTGTAAGTTGCACAATACTGGAGACTCGATTTTATCGACGTAAGTTTCCCCACCGCAATAAGGTACGGCCTGCCCACGTTCACCACTCTGACAAAGACTGTGACAGATTGACGAAAGAGTTCTACCTCGATCAGGAGAGCCCGGTACCTCGCTTTTCGATCCAAGACTTCCTAAATGAGATCATGTTATCGTATGGCCTGCTCTTCGCCCACGATGTTCGCTCCCGGAAACTCTACCGACAGGAGGAGCGCTGCCGGGCCAAAATCAACGACGAGGTCGATGTTGACCCCCTACTCGACCAACTCTGCGGCATGGATATTTCGACATCCATGTTTTCGTTCACTGGTCCCGTACGAGAGACCTACGATGCCAGCACCGACTTTCCCATCTTCAATGAGAGGCTGTCGGCTATCCAGGGCTATATCTCGGGCATTCAGCCCGGCAGACTCAAGTCGCTTTGGCGGGACCGACGTGATTTGAGGCTCTGGTATACTATCTGGGCGGTGCTGATCATAGGAGGTATTAGCATCATTTTGGCGATGGTACAGGTCATTCTTTCGGCAGCCCAGGTGGCACTGGCAAAGCAGGCGCTGGGCCCTTGAGGTTGTGCGAATTGTCATGTATGGCTGAGCTTTATTTGAGCGATTCCAATGTTCAAGCAATCATGCATAGTTTCATAGGGGCGTATAACTCCACTTAGTACGTGGTATACCACTACCTTCCATTAAAGTTAGAGCTTGTTGAACGCCACGCGACTTGGGACCGCCATACAGACACACGGGTCCACTGATGCTAGTGCTAGTAAAATTAGTAGTAAGATTGGTAGTAACATAAGCAGTAAAATCAGCAGTAAAATCAGCAGTAAAATCAGCAGTAAATTCGCGGGCTTGGGAGGTGAGTAAGAATGGCAGGGCGAAGGCGCGTAGGTGGTAGATCGCAACCATCGTTACAAAGAGCTTTGGAGGATTAGAAGATAGTAAGACGACTACAGCGCTTAACTAGATTTAGAAATGGTGGTGTCGAAACAGCAATTCTCCCTCAGAGTTGTAAATTGCTTGTCAGCAATCCCTCTTGGTCTTATTTGGCCCCTTCTTATCGAATCGCCATGAACCGACCCAAAGCTGGTATATTGTATCTTGAAAACAATCTTGTATACAGCTGTAGTCATCAAGACTCCAAGTTCATTGGAAGGCCTAGACCCTATCTGTTATTGTGTGAACAATCTGAAACCGGAATGTCGATCGGCATTTGACCAATACCCCTGGGCGGGTCCGACTGGCCTGGCGATAACTCGATAAGGCGTCCTGGACTCCCGCAGTTGACACGCCGCGCTCAGGCCAGGTCCTTTTTTCTCTCCTTACTCAAATGCGACTCTGCACTCGACACATCGCTGCTGGGGTCTCTACATCTCGATATATACCGACCGAAGTCTCCTGACAACGCCTGGAGGCAACGAAGAAGCGAATTGGAGCGACTCCGCGGACACAATCGATCACAGGGAGAGCCTGGCCAGCAAAGAAAATCGCCGACAAACTACTCATTTCCGGAGTCTCGTACGCGCACATGCCCTATTCCCCTTACGGCCGAGACGGAAGATCAGATTGAAAAGACCACTTGCACGAAAACGCTCTCGTACAATACTCCGAGCACAAAACTGGGCCCTACCGAGCCGACTTCCGACTGTGCGCGTCTTCGCACTGATCAACAGCGTACCCCAAGCCTCACGCCGAGCCATTGACTTGACCGATTCCGTGTGAGAAGGTGGGGGAAGGCGTATGCACCTACGCGCGACACAAACATGCCACAGGCTGCACGATGGGCGGGCACGCCGTCCATCAAGGGACGAAGCGAGTCGACGCGCATGGCGCTGTTGACCTTTAGTCTGGTTGGATTGCAGTGCGTATTGCTCCGGAATGAGACAAAAGGGGGGATGATTTCTATGGAGGTTTAACAAGATTGTGGTACTTGGTATTCAGCGGCTGACTTGATGTTTCGTGGAGGATAGGTTCACTTGGGGCACTGAGATGACATGTGCGTGACTTCCATCGCAGCAATAATCGACCAACTTTCGGCCAACAGCGCTAATTCTGGATGCTTCAATAGATTGCACACCATATCTTCTTCAACTCGGCTTGACAAAATCCAAGACTTCATTGGTATGGATTGCTGGACCACTGTCAGGACTGATCATCCAGCCTCTGATCGGCGTGATTGCCGACCGATCGCGTTCAAAATGGGGCCGGCGGAGACCGTTTATGGTCTTTGGTTCTTTTGTCGTGGCTTTCTGTCTCATCGTACTAGGTTGGACAGCCGAGATTGTGGGCATGTTTGTGAAAGATCCCGAGAAGGTGGGCACTAGAAGTTACCTTTCGAGGCACAAGGATATGAATCTGATCAGAGAATTATAGGCCAAAAATGCCACTATCGCGTTGGCTGTATCCAGTATCTACGCGGTCGACTTTTCTATCAACGTTGGTAAGTGGGACAAATTAACAGGCATTGAGTGCTGCTAACACTTTCCCAGTCCAAGCATGCTGTCGCAGCTTGATTGTGGATACGCTTCCGATTCCATTGCAGCAAGCTGGGTCTGCCTGGGGTATGTCATTCCCAGCCGTCATGGTGGAAGAGACACTGATCATCGTAACAGCGGGCCGAATGTGCGCTATTGGTCAGCTAATCAGCTATGTAATTGGCTCGATTGATACGGTCAGCATTTTTGGCAGCCTTTTGGGAGATACGCAGTTCAAGCAGATGACGGTGATTGCCGCTATGTCTTTGATTCTGGCGGTGGCTGTGACATCCTACTCTGTCAAGGAACGCGTTCTGATCTCAGCGAGGTGAGTCATTCATACTCGAGGCTGCAATGATATCAAAACTAAATCAGGACAACAGGGACTCTGATGGCAAAGGAGGCGCAATTCAAGCGATCTCACAATTATTCAAAACCACGATGGAACTCCCTCCTCGCATTCAGGCCATTTGCTGGGCTCAATTCTGGGCTTGGATCGGTATGAATTGATCTCATTCTCATTACATGACTGCCCTGCTAACTCGCTCCAGGGTGGTTCCCTTTCCTTTTCTATAGCACGACATGGGTTGGCGAGACCTACTTCCGTTATGAGGTCTCCAAAGACCAGGCCACGAAGACAACCGACATGCTTGGCGAGGTCGGCCGCGTTGGTAGTCTTTCTCTAACGGTCTTCTCCTCAATTACATTCTTAAGCTCCGTCCTCTTGCCGTTCTGCGTTCAGTCGCCAGATACCAAGCGCACGCGCTTCACACCTCGACCCCCACCCGGTATAGCCGCAATTCTCAAGAAAATCACAACTGTCCGACCAGACCTCCAGACAGCCTGGCTGATCTCTCACATCATGTTCGCCGCCACTATGATATTCGCTCCACTGGCACACTCACGGGCCTTTGCAACCTTCCTCGTGGCAGTGTGTGGAATCCCCTGGGCGATCAGCGGCTGGGCACCATTCGCATTCATGGGCGTGGAAATCAACAAACTGACCATGAATGGTGGTCCCGGGGCACCAGGAATGGCAGCGGAAGCTACGCGCTCCGGCGTGACTATGATCACGTCTGCAAGTCTGCGCAATTCAGCCGCCGACACCGAGCTGGAGGTGCTACGACTGAATCACCGTGACTCGGATAGTGACACCGATGAAGAAGACCAAGCCTCGAACATTCCCTCCACGGGCGAGTTGGCTGGTATCTATCTCGGTGTGTTGAATGTATACACTACGCTTCCGCAATTCGTCGGCACGTTCATTAGTTGGATTGTGTTTAGTCTCTTGGAACCCGGCGCACGACCCAACAAGGACAGTGATGCCTCAGATACGCAGTGGATGAATCTGGATAAAGATAAGCCCAACGCGATCTCCATCTGTTTGTTTATCGGCGCGATTAGCGCCCTCGTTGCCGCTGAGGCAACCCGCCGATTGCGGTATGTCTCGTAATGGATGTTGAGACGGGACTGATACTCACGAAGCCCCATTACGTTGTGATACAAATGGAGCCTATAAAAAGAAGTGGAGGACAGCGCACTTTATACCCAATGCATTGCATGCGTGTTTTCACTAGGTGGAAGGGGAGATCTATACAGATGGTCCTCGGGACCTGGCAATTGTGGGATGTGCATATATAGGATCTTGACGATACAGTAATAATATTAATGACCCTTTCATACTAGATCACAAGTTGGAAGTTGAAGTAGCTTGCTAGGTGTGTCTGCGAATTAGAGTGAGAATAAAATGCTTAGCCGAGTCCAGAGTTGATACTTGTAAATGTAGGCCTCGCAAACTTCGGGATTTGGCATCGTCTTGATAAACCACGTTCTACGTGGGAATGTATGCTAGTTCCGATAGAGTAAGTTTGTTCGACGTGCCAATCTCTCTAAGCTACAGCTATCTTTGTTCCCCGTTATAACATCAACATACTACGTACATACTCGACAGATCAAGACCGATCCTGATGCCCGAGACACCTTCACCAAACGCATCGGCTACTGTATCGACGTGGAAACTTACCCAGCTGCAATTCTTCCATGTAAAGATCCCTCTCATACAGAACCCTCATACGTACACCGCACACTTGCAGAAAGTAAAAATCAGGGTTTCTTCAGGGTCCGTTAGTTCTCGGCCCACAGTCCACAATCGACCAGTGGGGCCGAGTAGTGACGGCATGATGATATCGACGAAACTCTGTCTGTAGAGCCACCACCAGCTACACGAAATGCAATAGCTGACCTTCCACATCTCCTACTTCTCCATCTTCAATTTCCTCACACGAACATTGAATTACTTCAATTCACCATCAATCGCAATGGCACCCAAAGTTCTAGTCGTTCTCACCTCGGCAAACGAGATTCCAAAGCTGCAAAGGCCTACGGGATGGTATTTGGTACGCAGTCTGCCCCGCGAATACACCTTACCCCTCCATCCAGCGATTGTAGCGGGACACAATACATTCATGGAAAAAGAAGAGAACCAACCATTTCTGACCATGAAACCCTCCAGCCTGAATTCGCCCACCCCCACGAAATCCTCCATGGAAAAGCATCCTTGACCATCGCCTCGCCCAAGGGCGGCGAAGCCCCGCTAGACCCGGCCTCAGTCGAGATGTTCAAGTCCGACGCAACATCTACCAAGTTCCTCGCGGAGCAAAAGGCGCTTTGGACCAACACCCACAAATTATCCGACATCCTGCCTCGAGCAGACGAATTCGACGCCCTCTTCTACGTCGGCGGTCATGGACGTAAGCTCCCAACCATTCCTTCCCTGATCTACCAACCCCGCCCCAACCCAAAGAACAAAAGAAAGACTAGTCTGGCGCTAACCTACACGTCTTACCCAGCAATGTTCGACCTAACAACAGACCCAGTCTCGCTAAGTCTAATCGAAACCTTCGCCGCAGCCAAGAAACCCGTCGCAGCCGTCTGCCACGGGCCCTGCGTCTTCTTAAACGCTAAATCTCCCTCCGGCGTGCCCCTGATCTCCGGCGCAACCGTTACTGGTTTCTCCAATGCCGAGGAGGACCAGGTCCAGCTGTCAGATGCTATGCCTTTCATGCTGGAGACGGAGTTGCAGAAGATTTCTGGTGGTGGGTATGTCAAGGCTGATGAGCCTTGGGGGGAGAAGGTGGTTGTTTCGAAGACGGCGGGTGTTGGGGGGCCTTTGATTACGGGGCAGAATCCGGCGAGTGCGACTGGTGTTGGACTGGCGATTGCGAAGGCTTTGGGGCTTTAGAGCTGGGGAGGTTTGTTTGTGTTTGAGATGCGTAGAGGTAGGGAAGTGAGTACTATGAAGGATTAAAAATACATGATATAATTTACAGGTGGTGTCTTATCGACTTCTACAAATCCTACATCTCAGTCTAACAGACGATCCACTTCAATTCAGATCATATTGATGTAGCAAACTTCACTGGTATAAAGGAACCAAGTAGCGAAAAGGGGAATAGAGCAAGAACAAACACAAAACAGTAACACAAAGCAGAAGCAGAGGCAGATAGGTAGTAGATAATAAGAGATGCCCAAGCTGGCATAGATGGGAGTCCAGATAGAGGTAACAAGCAGACAATAGACAATAGTAATAAGAGGATAGGAATAAGGAAAGTAGGTTTGAGAAAACCCGGATATCTCGATCCAGACACGGTCTGGACGTTGTAGGAGAAATCAAGAAAGCTCGCACAAGAGAGTTAATCAAGAGTGAGCACGAATCGAAGGTGTAGGTTAGAACAAGGTAGTGAAGAGGTACTATCACAACCAAAAAAGAATCCGTTATTCGTATCGCGGCGTTTCGTCGCTGTGGTTCTTCGGCCCCTTTTCGTATAGTTTCTTGATGAAGGGGATACCACTTCCAGAGGGCCCTTGTGTGAAGAAGAGCATCAGGTCGGGCATACGAGGGGGAATTATCTTCAGGGCCCAGGTAAGCAAACACGAAGAGACAAAATCTTGGCAGCGTAAAGAAGGACGGCATGCTGGAACGAGGAACAGTAGAAGAAAGAAGGCTCGAGACGCCAACAGACAGGGGAGGTATTCAAAGGTAAGACAAGGTCAAGTGAGAAGAACGACAAAAAGGAATGACGGAGTTACTGCCAACGGGCTTTTGTGGGGGGTATGTGATTTAGCGCGAGTTCTCCATGTTACCGGTCAACTCGGCAACACGGGCCTTGATACGGGCGACACGCGACTCAATGGTCTCTTCGCCGCTGGTATCACCCTCGTCAGTGCGCTCGGACTGGCTGGTCCGCGCCTCGGGCTCCTCGGTGGCAGGGAGAGTGGCATCACGGCGCTCGGCCGCATTCTTACGGATCTGAGCCCAGCGGTCCTCGGTGCTGGTGAAGCGTCCAGATTGGGGTTGAGGTTCGGTCTGGACTTCATGCTTCACCTCTTGACTCTGACCGTTGGTCGGCGACTTCGGGAGCACCTCTTCGGTAGGGTGCGCCTCCACGGCGGAGTCCTCGGGGACAAATGCGGGCTGCTCAACGAGAGGACCCTGGTCAAACTTGGAGAATTCCTGGTCGGCGTCATTGGCCTCGTTGGTGTCAACACGCGAGAGGGCGTCGTACTCAAGGGCACGGCGGGTCTTTGGCGGACTACCACTGCCCTCGATCACCTGAGAGGGCAGCTGGGGCTCCTCGTGGGCGGGCTTGGGGTTCTGCTGAGGAGTAGAGGGTTTCTCAACTGCGGGCTCTGGAGCTGCGGCTGGGACTGAGGCCGGAGTGGACTCGGCCGCGACGGCAGGAATGGGCTTCTTCTTGATGGCACTAGGCTTGGGAAGAGCCGACCGGGAGACCGGGTCCTGGGACTCTTTTGCCTTGGCCTCGAGAGCGGCACGAGCAGCGGCCACCGCAGAGGTCTCCCTAGCACCAGTAGTATTCATGGGCGGCTGCGGTTGCTGCTGCTGCTCGGCCTTCTTCTTGCCGAACATGTTCTTGAAGCCAGCATTGCCAGTCTTCTTCTTGAGCTTCTTCCCACCCTCGTCAATAGATTGCTTGGGCTGAGACTCGGCAGGGTCCTCGATGACAACCGTCTTGGCAATGTCCTTCTTTTTCTCTTCAATCACGGGCTGCTTGGCAAGCTCCTGCTTGACGGGTTCGGGGGAGGGAGGCAGTGGTGTAACCAAGGCCCCACTGTCCTTCGGGGGTGGTGGAGGGCCACTCTTAGCAGTGCCGGTCGGGAGAGGAGCAGGCGGAGGAGTAGTCGGCTGTTCGTGAGAACCGTTGGTTTCGCCGTTCGCACCTTCGGCCAGAGTGCCGGTGCCAGCACGGCTGTTGCTCAAGTAGGCAGCACGGAACGCATTCTTGTCATAGTTGCTAGCCCACTTCATGGCCGAGGAGGCCTCGTTCACGATAGCAGGCTGCAGCGTCATCACGGAGTTAGTCTTGGTCGAGCGAGTGTCATCACCCGGGCCGTTTCGGGCTTGGTTCGCCTCGGCTTCCTGTTCACGGTGCTTCTTCTGGAGAGCGGCGGCAGCGGCCTGGATCCTCTTGTGCTGATCAGGGCCAATGCTGGTCTTGCTCTGTGGAGCCAAGTTGTTGGGACGCTGGTATGATTCTTCAATCGAAGAGACCTTCTTGGCCGACGACTTGCTCCGGTTCAGCTTGCTAGCACCCTTGCGGTTGCCAAAGCTGAAGAAGCGCTTCTTCTCGACGATCTGGGCACCAGCTTCCGGTTCCGGGGCGGCTCCCTTCACTTGCTCCTCCAAGACGAGCCACTTGGTATCTCGGATGCGAGTCTCAATGAGGGCGCAACGGCCGAATACAGCCTTGCGAGCACCAGGCTCGTCGCCAGACAGACTAGTAATCCAGACCCACCAGAAGGAATCGTCCATATCTAGAGTGCTGATACTGGCCAGCTCAGCTGGCTCAAGTGAGGGCTCAGCGTTCAAGTTGCGCTTGTGCGACTGTGAGCTCTGGCCACGGGTGGCCGCAATTGGCGGGAGAACCTTGTCTGGCGGCAAAAGAAGGGGACCAACCCGGTCCTTGAGGTTCGCCTCGTCCGTGAAGCCAGACGACATGAAATCTGCCCAGGACGGAGTCGTGGGGCGGCCAAGGTCTCCACCCTGCGATTGAGGAGCGGTCCTCATACCGCTGAACTCCGTCTTTACTGGCGGCTTGTTCTCCTCATCCTCTGGATCTGACTCGATGGAACCACCGAAACCGATGTCTTCGAAACGGGACCACGAGGCGTCACGCAAGCTAGTAGATTGCTTCGAGCTCGACACGCTAGACTCGTTTGTGGTGGAAATGCATTTAAGCACACGCAGACATTCATCCGTCAAGGCCTTGACGGGATCTTCGTAGTTGGCAAACTCTTGCAGGTGCCAGTGTTCGTCGCGGTATTCAAAGTTCTTTGCCCGGCGCAGCAGAGAAAACGGTGTAGGCGAGACGGTATCGACGATCATAACAACCTTGGTGGTGGTAACCTGAAGTAAAGTTGGGGTTTCGGGGGGGTATTCGGTGGCCTCCACCAAGGTCTGAAGAGAAATAGGCAGCGACGAGATACCGGTCACGCCGCGCGGCATATCAGGCGAGAGGGAACGAAGATAAGCAAAGAACAAGTGACTTGTGGCATCGGCAGCACTGTCCATGAGTCAGCATTTGTCCACATCGGTAACAGAGGGAGGTGGAGGTTCAATCATACGCTGCCCAGTTCTTGTAAGAAGCCTCGAAGCCATTGCCGGTGTCGCTGTGCTCGAAAGCCCACCATCCGGCATATCGCGAGAGCTTACGGCCTCCCAGGCCGTTTGATTTGCCGTGGGCTGCGATGGCAGCCAAGAGATCGAAGAAGTCAAAGATAATCTTCGTGCGGGCATCGGAGTCGACACTGATGGGGATGAACGTAGAGAATGCATCGCGGGCCAAATCCGAATCTAGCATGGAGGTTCAGCACATGTCACCATGTTTCATCATGGTCAAGATTCGTACCTTGTTCACCAACCTTGAACAGTTCATAAGCCTCCCATGTAACCACACCGCCAGTCAATCGGCTCCAACACCATTTCATCACACTGCACAAGACCTATCCCCCGTGGTGTTATTAGCCATGTGCTTTTTCTCCCCTATCCTTCCTTGAGATTGTTGGTTCCTTACCATCGGCTCCGTCAGCCGCAACTCTTGCATCAACTCATCTCCACTGACGGGAGCTCCCTTGTCGAACGACTGGTTGAAGTAGTTTCGGATGAATGTGCGTGCGGCGCTAGGATCGGAGCTCGGACGGTATGGTAGCAGGAGAAATGGGGTATTGAGAGCTAAAATTGGACGAATGATCAGCAATCCGGAGAATGCGCATGGCAAGCGTTGCACCACCACCACCACCACCACATGGTTCAGAATGGAATTTCCAACCCACCTCGAGCTTTCAACTCATGCGAACAGCCTCGAATGAGATCCTGCACCTCTTCGGGGGCGACCTCTGTCCGTAGCCAGGCGTCGGTCCATTTGGGCTTCGCGGGGATGAGATCGGTGGCCGCCGTGGGTTTGGATTGCTTTTTGGAAGCATTTGCGTCCTTGCTGCGGAAGACTCGCGAGAAAAAGGCCGGCATGTTGAGTCGGGCGGATGCGCGCGACCGCTAGAGCTTTGGATCTCCTTTTTTTTTATTAAACAACGGTCAGAATCTGGATCGTTCTGTGTAGGTTCGCTCTTGTATTTTTTGGGCAGTCTGGCGGGCGAATAGGTACTTTTTTTTGTGGTCTTTTGGCCTTGCTGCAGCAGATCAACAACACCAATTAGCTGCGACTTCTCCACGCGAACTGGGCCAGAGGGCAGAAGCAGAAGACCGACAGATAAATTGCAATGGCCAGAAGCTGAAGGGAACGACGAGAAATGAAAAACAAGGCAGGCCGGGATGTCCTGCAGCCCCGGAGCAGGCTCAGGCCAAACAAGAAAGGATCCCCTGGTCTGAAATTCGTCTGTGCTCTCGGAACAGAGCACAAAAGAACGAGTGCACAGGGTGGGAGAGATCAACCACGACAATTCAAACGAGAGGACGCGAAGCAACAAGAAAAGGAAAGAATGGACGGGTTAAGAAGAGGAAGAAAGTCGCGATGTGCCAAAGAAGCCAAAGACCAGCAGCCTTGGGGGGAGGGGGGGTGAAATTCGGCAGTTTTTGGGAGGGTTCAGGGGTAACGTTAACGGGAGACTTACACTCTTCTGGGCCGTTTGGATCGTTGGGTCGAGACCGCCCGAAGCAAAAAAGAAAAAGAAAAGCAACAGAGCGCGAGAGAGAGAGAGAGAGAGACAAGTCAGATCGAGCCCCACCAATTGACTGAAATTCGAGCGATTGCAAACAAAGGAAAATGATCGAAGCGAGCGAAGCAACGGGGAAGGAAAGGAGAAAATGGAGATGTCTCTCGTGGTCGTCACAACTTGCCAGGGCGATTTGACACGGCCGTTGGACGAGTAGAAGGTGCGGAGAGTGGATGATACCAATGGCGATCATCATCTCCAAACTCGGGTGCCCGAGCCAGGGTTCTGCTGGGCTGTTTAGCTGCTGCTAGCTTCTTTAGTGGTGGTGGTGTTGGTTGGCGTCGGCGGATAGCGCAGCAACAGCTTACTTTGGGCCTGTTATGTGTTATGATTCCTGCGATAGCCAGTGGCAGCAATGAGGACCAGCATCTCTGCCTGTTTTGGTCTGCGATGCCCGACCAGCATGATGAGTATTCATGGCTACCTATCGTGTTGAAACTTGAGGTGACTGGTCCAACGTGTTTGGACCAATCAATTGACGGGAATGGCCCGTATACTTGGTAGAGACGGAAGGGCTAGGCAGCTAGCACGGAGGTTTGATTTGAAAAGGTTGAAAAGGGGGGGATGAAGGACTGTGTGGATGTACGGAGTACATAGTACCAGATAAAGTATTTAAACATCCAGCAAATGCAAATATTATCCAAAATTAAGCATAAACAGGTAGTGCTCTAGATGGGGTTATACATGAACATTAGCTAGCTCATCCGGGGTACGCCATTCTCAGGATACTTTCTACGTTCTCATCCGTACCAAGTCACTGGGCAAGAACGACCCTGAGAATGGACGAGGTAATGTATACGACACCCGCCCAGGATCAACGAGACCGTCCACAATTTACAACACGGTCCATTGTCCTTCCTAGAAGAAAGTATACACTATCTACATCGACCAGGTAGTATGAGTGTCACTGTATACCACACAACCATTTACATAAACATCCTTGGTTTCAGAACAAATGCGACCAGCTCAAATCTCACGCCCTTCCATCCCCTAAAGCTCAGGCCAGCTTACCCAGGCAGAGATCGGGCCCAACGCATGGATCCGACCGGTAGATCAAGATCAATAGATCGATCGGTCCAGGGAGTGGAGCGACTAATGCGCGGAATTTCGCTTACACGCTACAACACTACGTTCCAGTGTCCTTTCTACTGTACTCGTGAAGATGGTAGAATACATGATAGGTCAGCTGTACCAACATCTACTGTAGTTAGTTAAAATGCTTACCAGCGCCATGACAAATTGCCAAATTATACAGAGACCAGCGGCTCCACTACATTGAGTGCACTCAGCCCACTTTTTGACCTGGATGATATGCCAAAAGGAGCAACTCGGCGGCTATATTATGGAATCTAGACCAACTTATCTATAATTGTGGCCTTATACTTGATGCATTTTCTCTGGATCGATGACGGGCTGAGCAGAGATCCGACGCGAGAAATCTGATTATAGATTCATGAGCAGATGGATTCAAGATAGATAGAGCGGAGAACCTATAGGTGCTTCGTACTTACGATCACAATGAATAGAAGAAATGAAATATGTATGTGGTATGCTGTTTCTAATTGTATGAGTTGAACAGAAACAATCTAATCGCATCTAAAACCCCTCGAGATGATGATTTGCAACCTTACCACCTGTCCCGCGCTCATAGATTCAATGAATAGGTATTCATGGAGCCGGTCAATGGACGTATATATTTGGACGCGCCGCTCCTCTTTGTATGGAGGGAATGTGTAAAATACAATTGCATTGTAACTCACCTTTGAGATAATCACTTGCGAAACATGTTTGGATTTGAAGTAAAACCTTTTGTCCCCTGAGTTGATATTGTATCCTCACCATCGCCTCCTCGAGTCTGCTCTTTATACTCACCTTTGGATATTGCGTGACTCGATTGTGGTGAGTGTGACGGGAAGTACGGAGTACCGAAGGTATAAATAGAATCTGCCTGAGGCACATGTGGCTGACATAATCACCTTCCCTTTTGTTCCTCCTTCGAAAGGGACTTGATTCTATCTTTAGAATCAACCTTTTCTGCATCGTCAATCAGCCCCTCCGCGCAACTATTTACTCCACGGTATTGCGCCGCTGGTTTGTGGCCCATTAAACCCCATCCCACAAGTCCCTGTCGATACTTTCGCCCCCATCATCTCTTCGGAGTCACTCCTGTCCGCCCATCCCTGCTCGTGCACCCGTTCAGATCCCCCTCGAGGGCGTCTCTCTATTCCGCGACCCTGAGCGGCGCGAATCTACTCGACGAGTTCTGCCATCTGTTTCCGCGTGGTATACCTGTGCGCGTGTGAATAACCTCGAGGATTTCGAGAGTCAAAGACTCGAGGACTTGATCCGCTGGTACCCGTGAGACACGCGGTTCCGAGTCGCTCGTAAATCTGACACTTCCCGGTACGCGCATCGAGCGCCCATCACTTGCCCACCATGGGTCGTAGAAAGATCGAGATCAAAGCGATCAAGGATGATCGCAACCGTTCAGTGTAAGTTGATTTCATATTTTGAAATTTGGGTTGACCATCATGCTGACTTTCCTATCGCAGGACATTCCTCAAGCGAAAGGGTGGTCTGTTCAAGAAGGCTCACGAGTTGGCCGTTCTTTGTTCCGTCGATGTCGCCGTCATCATCTTTGGCCACAACAAGAAACTATATGAGTACTCCTCGTGTGACATGCACGAGGCTCTCGGTCGCTATCAATATGTAAGTCATTTCTTGTCTGATCGCACGTGGACATTGGAACTACTGGCTAACCATCTTTTCTTTTTTTAGTTCGGCCCACCCCATGAGCATAAAGGTCCCGATGACTTCGCCGGCAAGCGCGATGACGACGAGGACGAAGATGAGATGACCCCAGCCCCCGAAGAAATCCAAGCCCAGCAGCCTCACCCCGTCGTTCCTCCTCATCTCCAACAGCCTGGCTTCCAACACATCAACCATGCGCCGTCCGCCTCTCCCCCGATTGTCCATAATGGTCTTCCAATAACGCGCCATGGCACGCCACAGTCACAAGTGTCTCGTCCATCCTCTCGAAATCATGTTCGTCGCGTCAGCTCAAATCTTGGACCGCACGGTCATCCTACGCCGCCGCCGCCCCAAAATGGATACTACATGGCCAATCCCTCGATGTACAACCCGAATGTTCAGACTGCAATGAATCAGCCTCGCCCCGGTCAATACACTCAATACGGTCATCCTCCTCACGGTCCACAAGGCTCACCGCCGCAAATGCACCACCAACATGCACAAGCACAGCAAGTCCCTCATCCCCAAGCTCCGCAACATTTCCAACATGCACAAATAGTTGCACAACAGCAAATGGGGATGCCGCCAGTCTCGCATGGACCAGTTCAGCAGGCGCCGCAGCAACCTTATATCACGGAGCCGAGTAGAGGGTCTATGCCTCCGGCCTTTGCACCCGAACCTCAATCAGAACGAACGGTACCGATACCCGAGACCTCGCAGAATAACGCAGCGGGTGTGATGAAGACAGAACATAGCCAGTCGCCCCCTCAGCCCAAAGCATTGTCCAAGTCTCAGTCCCGTAGTATCTTCACTCCCATTGATGATCGTGGGTCCGTGCTTGCACGCCAATTTGGATTTTATGATTCTCCACCGGGGCAAGGGAACCAGCTGTTGAAACCAGAGCCTCCGCAGGAACACTCACGCAATTCTAAGCCCGCTATCAGCACTGCCTCGGAACCCCCGCGCCCACAATCCATACCATCTGCGGCAGAGATTAAGCCACCTTCACGCACGAACAGCGGGGCGCTTACATCCAAGCGACCACAGTTAAAAGTCCAGATTCCCAGCGAGAGCTCTGATCGAGGCAGTGCAACGGGTGAATCATCCTCTCGCGACTCTGCTGGCAACAAAACAGTGACTTCTGCCAAGGATAACCCTCCTACAGGAGTTGTGCTACCGCCGCCATCACCGTCAACAGGGGCGATTCTCAGTGCTGGCGCGCAAGGGCCACCGAATCCGTTTGCTCGGCCACCTCCACCAGGGGCCACGGGGCAAACGAACTATAGCAACAACGGTAACAATGCCGGGAATAGCGGCTGCAGTAGCTCGAACAACATTGAAACTCCAATCTCCGCCCTTCCCAGTCGGTTCGTCTCCGATAACCTCCTCCCATCGCCATCCAGTTTCTTCCCTGAGTGGGGCTTCGGCCGCTCAGGACCAGACTCGAACCTCTTACCGAGTCCTCTAACGTTCCCGACGCCGGCGGTCCCAAGCGGGCCGAGCTTCTCGCGGGAAGATGAGCAGGATAAGAAACGGAAGACTCCGGAGGGTGGGCTCCCTGCCGACGGGGCAAACAAGAAACCAAAGGCCTAGCGAGAGAACGGAATCATGATGTTGATGTAGCCGCCGTTCCCAAATCGCCGAAACCTACACCACACGACACGACATGGACATCCTGGTTGATGCCCTCCCTCTCTTTCCCTCAACCTTCTGCACTCTCTACCTACCATCTCAAATCGCCATCTCTCATATTTGGTTGAGCCCAGAATCTTCCGCTCTATACCCTAGCTTGATACCTCGAACGATTTCTTTCTATTTTGTCTCTTTTTTCTCTTTCTTTTCTTCTCTTGCGCGAATCTGTTCAAATGCCCCTCGATTGTTGGTCGTTGATATTCCTGCTTGTCCTTAGTTTCCTTTCTTTGTCACTATGTACTGATTTTGAAATTTTCGTCGTACCTCTTTGAATTGTCTTGAACTTGGCGTTGACGCGTTAGGTGTTTGGACGATGTACATAAGGCTTTTTGCACTCGCAACAGCAATGACATGTCTATTGATGTTCGAAATGACCCTTTGTATAGCAAATTTCGTACTTCAAGCCCTCGGACCGCGGCCTTTGTTGCACATCACAAACTCAATCCAACCCACCCACTCAATCCCTGATTCCCCTCGTTTGTCAAAGCAGGAAACTTTCTGTCAAGGAAACCTACTCCGTAAGCCACTCCCATGCCAGCTTCGCGAGGCGGTCTCGATCTCGGCGATTGAAAGTGGGGAGTGCGGGGAGGGGAGTCAGACAATCGAAGGCCGAAGAGAAAGATTTAAAAGAAAGCATGGCTTCAACATAGCTTGATCCGTTTGTGCCTTTCTTCTCTTCACATCTTAAACTCCCTTCTCGTCTTCTACTTATATTCTCTTGATTCCACAAAGGTACCCAGCCGAAACGGACTTGTAATCTATAGCCGCAACCATGACTATCACTGGAAGCTGCCTGTGTGGTGGTGTTACCTACGCTATTGAAGGTTTGTACCTGGCGAGCTTTGTTTTTTCTATTGGAATGTTGTGTTCAAGGAGCTAATCGGTGAGAATAGCCGATAGCTATCTCGCTGCGCTGTGCCATTGCATTGATTGCCAGAAGGTAAGCTACTCTTCCTCCATCCCCATTCCTGTACCGTTATTCCAGTCCATGCTAATTGACCGTTCTTGCAGTGGACCGGTGGTGCCTTCACATCCAACGCTGTCGTCCCCCGTACCAGCTTCAAAGTGACCAAGGGTATACATTATACAACTCCCTTTTTATAAACGACCGACCATATCTAACCCTATGTTTCATTTCCTAGGAAACCCCACCACCTACGACGCCGTCGGCGCCTCCGGCAAGATTAACAAGCACTTCTTCTGCCCAACCTGCGGCTCCAGCTTGTACACCGAGCTGGAGGTGATGCCGGACAACACCTGTGTCAAGGCGGGTTCCTTGGACGGCGGTGAGGCGAATCTGCGGGGCAAGATCGATATCGAGTTTTATGTCAAGGACCGCCCGAGTTACCTTGCTGCTGTGGAGGGTGCTAAGCAGGAGCAGGCCTTTGGTGCTTAGAGTGTGAATGATTAGCTAGTGGCATTTCGCATGAGAGCATTCTTAGCTGTGGAAGGCAGGGAATCGGGGTTTGCTGGGATGTGTGGATCCTTCGAAGTGCGTCATTGGGGGATCAAAAGCCGAACTGCAGCTTACGGGCCGGGGGGAATAGTGGATCTCTTAGTATAGGTGTGAGATTGACTAGATGTACATAGAATGCATTGAATATACTGACGAGAATGACTACCTGTCTATTATGTTGCATTGTGCTTTGGTTGCTCTGATCGTGGCTATCGGCATGTCATGGATAGAGCGCCGCTCCCGGTCTCTGCTACTTCAAACTCAGACGGACGTGGCTCCACTCCCGTCCCTCGATTCTTGCTGGGACGCCCGAAGATAGCCGGTTCTCCAACTCTGGGTTATACGAGACTCACCAGCACCAGCGAGAAATCGTGAGTCACGGTACCGATAACGGAGATCAAGCCCTGATTGATCGCCCTCAAGATCAATCACAATCGGATCTATAAGACCCCGCATTCATCAGCCCTGCCACAACGCTGCAAAAATCTTTCAAGCGCAGATAGTCTGGGTTTAAATCTCTATCGAAATGGCACAGCAAACAGGCTCTACCCTCTCGGTTCGCGCTCAAGATGCCTCGTCCGCAGCTGCCCAGAACCTAATGTGGGACATCCTGGTCGACTCTTGGTGCCCGGCATCCAACCCAAATGGTTATATCAACGTTGGTGTCGCAGAAAACGCCCTTATGCACACCGAACTCCTGCAATACCTCAACAAGAATCCACAATTACCCGCCGAGTATCTCACCTACAACGACGGAGGTGGCGGCTCAAACAGACTCCGCCGTGCTATCGCCCAATTTCTGAACCGTCATTTGAACCCCGTCATACCGCTAGATGCGGAGCAGTTAGTCGTCACAAACGGCGTTTCACCTGCTATCGAGCATGTATCATGGGCCTTTACAGATCCAGGAGAAGGCATTCTGCTGGGAAGACCATACTACGGCACTTTTATTCCAGATCTCTCGACGCGACCCGGTGCCACGGTAGTGCCCGTGAATTTCGACGACGTGGATCCGTTTAGTGCCGAGGCTGTCTCGAAATATGAAGACGCCCTTGTTTCTTTCCAGCAGTCCAGCGGGAAGAGAGTCAAGGCCTTGATGCTATGTCACCCGCATAACCCACTTGGCCGATGCTACCCCCGCGAAGTGATCATCATGTTGATGCAGTTGTGCCAAAAGTATCAGATCCATCTAATCAGCGACGAGATCTACGCGTTATCCGTCTTCGAGAACACGGTGGATGAGCACCCTCCACCGGTCAAATTTGAGTCCGCGCTATCAATTGATCTAAAGGGGATCATTGATCCCAAACTCGTGCATGTACTCTGGGGCATGAGCAAAGACTTCGGCGCAAACGGGATCCGTCTCGGCGTGATTATCTCCCAGTCCAGCCCCGAATTCCACGGCGCACTCAGAGCGATCTCACTGTATTCGTATTCCTCGGGTATCGCAGATCACTTGGTCGCAGGTCTATTGGAAGCCGAGGCATTTACAAACGATTATATCCAGGAGAACCAAAAGAGGCTTTCAGAATCGTACGCATTCGCTGTGCAGTTTCTGAAGAAAAACGGCATCGAATACGCACCTGGTTGTAATGCTGCGTTTTTCCTTTGGGTGGATCTGGGTAAGAGGTACAGGGAGGTACATCAAGAGGTTTCTGCGGATGAGGAAATTGGAGAGAAGGTAATGCGGCGGTTGTTGGAGGAGAAAGTGTTCTTGGCTAGTGGGGTGTTGTTTGGGTCAGAGAAGGATGGGTGGTTTAGGATTGTGTTTACGCAGCCGAGGGATTACCTGGAGCGTGCCCTGGAGAGGATCGTCAAAGCTGTGGAAGAATAGCCCTCTGGAAGCCTAGATGTATCGAAGTGAGCATGCCACTAGACGATATTCAAGCGATTCCTTTCCATCATATCACCCATTCATGTACTCAGCTTAGTCAATTTTGGGCTGGGTTAGGTACCGAACCCAATGTCACATCCTGCTGGCTACCGAGCCAACTCCTTGATTCACGATTAATGCAAGTCAGTCGCCTCTTTGTTTTTGCCATGCCCTCTCCATTTCTTAATACTCAGGGTATTCCGCGGGGTGGCTCCAGTGGGTTGAGGCTCTGTAGTGCTTCAGCCATTGTTTGGATGGTGCTTGTAGTTGTGAGCTTATTATCTGAAGCCAAATAAGGCGAGCACATACCTAATACGTTCGGAATATGCTTTATTGTGCTTGTCATGGGCTATTTCGAGAACCTCCTCTTTTAGTGAAACACACAGGGCGGACTAACGTGTTTCCGCGCGATAGTTAGCCTTAGCATCTGGATCCCACATCTCAGTACTATGTGAAGGATCCGCGAAAGACGATGGTATTTGTAAATGAGAGAAGCGTTTTGTCACTCGCGGTGGTCGACCGAGGAAAATAGCAACATTCTTGTCCGCAGAATAGATTCGAGCAAAGGCTGTTTTGCGGAGTTGTGTCAGAAAAAAGGGCGTGTCCGGCTTGTTATCAATATCATCATGATATCCCATGGCTGATATGGACGATATTACATCTCCGAGTTTCCGCCATGAATGATAACCTAGATTGTCATTGGTGAGTAAGTTCTCCCGAAGTTTTGGACTGATAATGGGGCCTCACTAAGATCTCCATCAATAAATGAATGCATAATGAAGTTTTAATATTGTAAAACGAGTCGCATGTCATTCAGGCAGTCTAAATATGCACATAGTTCCTCCTTCTCATTTCCTTGTGCTTTCTTGAGTTAGGAAACCAGATGTTAGGCCCTCCCCGAATTTCCCCAAGCCAGCCGGGAAAAAATGAGACGCAGTATATTCACAAATACACTCAATCAAGCCATAAATCATGCATGTCGACCCTCGGACTATTTCTGTGGCGTTTGCGCCCCTTCTAAAATTGTCAGTCAGGGTTACTCTTATCGAGAAACTCTTAACAGCGGGACCAACCTTGAAAGCTCTTCATATTCCTTCCCGATTCCCGCTCAATGATATCAAAGTGTATTTCACGGACCCTCCGCATGTGCTGTTGTTGTTCCGGCGATGGAGATTTAAAACTGTCCTCGTCTGGATTGATAACACCAAATATACCAGCAGCTGTTGCTACCGCTCCGAGGGCGGCTATGAGGACAATGACGATGATGGCACTTGAACTTAGACCCATTGCAGCGAGCTGAGGAAAGTGAAGAAAAAAAATTCATTATGATTGAAGAGCAATATGAGTAACTTCTTTAAAAGGGTTTTGCGCAGCAAGATCGAATTTCTTATTCGGATTGCTGTGGGGCACACTCGCATTCCTCGGATTCAAGCCGAAGAATACTGTCGTTATCTCTACTTAGAAAGAATAGCTTCAATGTGTCTAATTTAAGAATAGATGTGTCGGAAATAATTTAGTATCGGTCGGTCTCAACCAAGTCCAATGAACGACTTTCGTTCAATGAACACGGCGAGTTCAGGCTCTACAAGCATCTCGAGCCTGACTCGTTTGGCCAGTGACTGGGAAGTAATCGAAGTTCTAATGTACTCGCTTGTTGTGTTCTGTGCCACTGCTATTCATCTTCCCAATTTCTCTTCATTATCCCGCTCGATGATCAAACAAAGCCATTGGCACGTGTAGACACATTCTCTGCAATGATATGCCTTCGCTGATGGTCCATTGTTTATCGAGGCCCTAAAAATACATGACTAAGCCATTGCATTTTGGCGCCTGAGGCAACAAACTAGTGAAGTCAACGCCAGGTTCTCCGCGAGGTTATTATCGCCGCCGAACATATTCATCACTCTGTGCAGTATTCCTTGAAGGGAAACGAGCTCGTCAAAATGGCTGGACTTTTCCGCTTACTCAAAATGCAGTATACACCCCCAACAGACCCTCTCACCTCGTTCGCTGGCAAAACAGTACTGTTGACGGGCGCAACCTCGGGTTTGGGGTATGAAGCTGCCATCAAGCTCCTCAATCTCGGCGTAGACTCTCTGATCATCGGGAGCCGCAGCTTGGAACGTGGCAACAAGGCGAAGCTCGAGCTTGAGAAATGCACCAATCGCCCCGATACGATCCAAATCTGGGAGCTCGAGATGAACAGCTTCCAAAGTGTGAAAAGCTTCGCCAATCGCGCCAACAGTGAGCTCAAGCGGCTGGATGTCGCACTGCTGAATGCTGGGTTGTGGAATCGCGAGTACACACAGTCACCTGAGAAGTGGGAGGAGACTTTACAGGTCAACACGTTGTCAACGTCATTACTGGCGCTGTTGCTTCTTCCCAAGTTGAGAGCGAGCTCCTCCGAGACTGAGCCGACGCATCTCGGTGTTGTGTCTAGTCAACAATTTGTGCGTGTGAAAGCCGAAAGTCTTCGAACGGAAAGGCCATTGCTGGAGCACCTCAATTCTCCAGATCAGTTCCACGGGCCGAAACAGTACGGCATCTCGAAACTGCTCTTGGAATACGTGATGAAGAATGTCGCCAATCTTGTTCGCAATGATGACGGGACATTGCCCGTTATCGTCAATACCATTAGCCCTGGGCTCTGCCGGTCATCTCTCGGGCGACAATATGACCGTTTCTACGAGCGATGGCTAGTCTGGATCATGTACAAGCTTTTTGCACGAACGACTGAACAGGGCAGTCGCCTGTTGGTCAGCGGGGTGCTTCAGGGTGCAGAAGCACAAGGCAAATGTTGGCGGAACGATGGATACCTTGAGTAAGTCATTCAATGGGTCGAGGCAATTGACCAAGTACCCTGACAGTTTCTAGTGAATCCAAGGCCCTTACTACTGGACCCGAAGGGGGAGAATTCCAAATCAAGGCGTGGGATGAGATTCTATCTGTGCTGGAGGCGCAGGCAGCCGAAGTACGGACAATTATCTAGCAAGCTTAGCTGAGCGGAAAGAAAGAACTTGGCAAGCGCAAATTACGTGGGGCCCGTATACTCGTATCCCAAATATATCACCCAATTGGATCGTAGCGCAGTTGCGACAGAGCCCCATGTGCAAACTTGCAGGGGATTACAGTAGTATACCTGCGTTTTGTGGCCTGGCGCTGGCGGCTACTTTGGGGCTGGTTTGGCGACGCGCGTATTGGTAGGGCTGAACGGACACTGGGACTGGAGCGGGAGAGATTCGTTATTGGTAATACCGGTCGACCAGGGCCACAGGGCACATTTGATTGACTCGATGCAATTGGGTTGACGAGTGGGGGAAACCGGATTTAGCGGACAGTTCGCTCGTTGGGCCAAACACTAAAAAGTCGTCCTGAATCCGCCCCACGGCTCCGCTTTGGCGAACCTGAGCAACCTTGTCCTTGGCCTTCTTTGCTCCTCGAATTTCTTCCATAACTTCCTGGACCCCTTTGATCTTCCCATTTACCACTCATTGGATTCTGGGCGGGTTGATTCTTTCAGTCTGATATACTACCCAAGCAAGGTGATCCCATCCCTGGTTGAGCCTCACGCTCCACCTGTCATTGCGTCAGTGCTAGGCCACCATGGCCTACAACAAGAGCTACAACCCTGATGCGCTGCCAGCGTAAGTACACTCCGCAGACGCAATTTTCATCAAGTGTTTCTGGTCGCTAACCTTTTGGGATGGCATAGGCACGCTGAGCCCGAGCAGGTAACTCTCCACGTCGCGCCTTGTTGTTGCTCGTCGTCCCGCCAAACTAAAACACTCTCGCAAGGTCGCGCAGTTGATAGGGAACTTGCAGGCAACTGGAGGCCACAGTCAAAACCAAAAGCCTCTTCCCTCTCGCCCACCACCACAGTCAGCCTCTAGCGGTGGAGTACCCCCGCGAGTGCCCGTCTCCAATGCTCCCCCACCGCACGCATACAACAACGCCCCTCCTGCCAATTCCTACAATGGCCGACCCTCGCCCGCGAATGCCCCTCCCCCAAACCAAGGCCAATACCGACCGCACCCGTTACATCCCTCTCCACCCCCTCAGAACTACGGCCACGGTCCCCCTCCATCTCAGCCGCAGCGTAACCGACCCCCGCCCGTCTCGCGCCCTCCTCCATCCCCCCACCCGCCCCCTCTGTCTGCCCCCGGCGATGACCCACAACAGCTCTTCCCTCTCTTCCGCGCCGCCAACTCGTCGCATAGCGGCTCGCTCACGGAGAACGAGCTCGGCTCTGCCCTGGTGAACGGCGACTACACATCTTTCCACCCCCGCACAGTGAAGATGATGATCCGAATGTTCGACCGGGACGGGAACGGCATCATCAACTTTGACGAATTCGTCTCATTGTGGAAATACCTTGCCGCATGGCGGGAGTTATTCGACCGATTCGACGAGGACCGCAGCGGGCGGATCAGCTTGCAGGAGTTTGAGAACGCGCTGGTCGCGTTCGGGTATCGACTCACGACGAAGTTTGTGTCCGTGCTGTTTTCTGCGTTCGAAAGTAAGGCAAAGCAGGTTAGTGGCCCTCAAGGGCCGCAGAGGAGTCCTGGGCAGAATGGGATGAGCTTTGATTTGTTTGTGCAGGCTTGTATTAGTTTGAGGAGGATGACGGATGTGTTCAAGCGGTATGATGAGGATCGGGATGGGTATATTACTGTGAGCTTTGAGGAGTTTTTGACTGGTAAGTTTTGGTTCTGTTCAAGCCGACTCGATGGTTGCTCGGGAAACGATTGCTGACGAGATGTTGCAGAGATCATCCTGCTGCAGGATTAATACACTTTTGCTACGAGATGCTCTGGAATTTGCATATGGTTTTTTCATGTTCATCTGTTTTGCATTCTCCGTTGCGCTCGTCGTTTGTGGCGATTGCCTTGTCTGGGCTATTGTTTCTGATCCTGGTTCTTGAGCTGTTGAAGCCCTCCACATTATACCCATACCCTACTCTGTTCTCCGTCTACTTTGTGATAGAGTTCCGGCACAAGGCCGTTGCATGTTGACCCGGGCGTTGTCCCGTTATTGTCTTGCACGGAATCAGTTCTCCCAATTTAGCACATTGTTTGTCTAAGTGCCCTATCATGGTTGTAGGTTGACAGTTTGACGCTTACCTCTCGACAATCAATCTTAATGGGGCGATGGGAGTATCGTACTGATGATTTATACTTGTCGTTCTGGTGTCTCTAAACCTCCCCCTTTCGGCATTTGGACATGATTGGCTAAATTAGAGTTGAATCTAGACCTTAAAATCATATACGATAATACTTTAGCCATGGTAATAACTAGGAAGCGTTGTCTCCATTGTACGCATTATACCCATTGTTGGCTCTTACCAGATTGATACTCTTCTACTAAGTTTCTTTCATGTGTGGGTCGCTTTGGCTTCGTGGATCTTTTCGTGCAGGTGGGGTCGAAGCAAGCCTATGGATCCGCTTTCTGAACTGTTATTTAAAGGGTCAACTTGAAAACCCAGTGGGACGATCATGCGCAGGGCAGATTCATGTCAGAAACTTGTCTATATCCGGCGATTGAAATAATTATAATCAATCCACGTGTGACTGTGTGATAATCCGTCAGCTCTGTATTTTTAGTTTTCAAGTAGAAAAGTCCGGGCCGAGTCTTGGCGTTCGTTGCTTTTTTTTGCCCAGCGGGACATCGGCACATGGCATGTGGCATGCTTTCCGTCGATGACCAAACAGCAATCTGCATTTGTGACTCCTGCAGCCAATTCCCCGAATGCATCTTCTAACGATCGCAGATTGTTTCACACCGCTAGAAGGCCATCAACGATACCTCGATACCTCGTATCTTGATCTCTCTCCGAGCTGCATGTACCCTTGACAAGTTGCCATACCCCTGCTACTCGGCAGTTCGGCCTCCATAACTTCCGCCACCCGATCCTTTTTGGCAGCCCCAGAATTAACTCCGAGCTTCATCCCCCAAATGAGTCTTCTCAATACGAGCACCACGGTCACATATAAGCCAGATCAGGCCGCGCTGATTGCTGTCAAATGACCTCCAAGCTCTGAATTGCTCGTACGACAATCTCGGCCTTCTCGAGAACCCCCGTGGTGACCGGATTTCTGCAGAACCTGCGCGGCGATTGATCGATCCTAATCACCGAGGCGGTACCTGTTTCTGGCTGCAACACCCTGACCCCTCGCGAAGACTTTTTACCTAACGATTTCCCCCTCATCTATCGCTCTGTCCCTGTCAAACTTTCTGTCAGTCTCGCTTGAGCCTTCATACCACGATGACGGGCGTGCACCAGAGCCACGACTCGTCGAGCGGCGACACAGTCGTCTTGCAGACCCCCACGGAAAAATCTTCCGTCGAGACACCCTCTCCTGCTGCGCAAGAGAAGGAGCTAGAGAACCACCCCGACCTGGACACATCTATCCCAGCTGAGGACCCAGAGAAAGATGAAGAAAATGACACGATGAAGAAGCAACCCTCCGGCGCGCCGTTGGACCGCACGCCCTCCCAAGCAGCAAAGATGGGCAAGAAAAAGATCATCGTCGTTATGACCGCACTTTGCCTGGCGCTGTTCCTGGCTGCGCTGGATATGACTATCATCTCAACGGCTTTACCAACAATCGCGGCTGAATTTGCTGCCTCGGAGAGTGGCTACTCGTGGATTGCGTCGTCGTACCTTCTTGCGAACGCGGCTTGTATTCCGCTCTGGGGCAAGATTAGTGATATCTGGGGTCGCAAGCCAATCATGCTTCTCGCCAATGTGTGGTTCCTTGTCGGCAGTCTGATCTGTGCCTTGGCTAAGAACATGGCCATGATCATCGCTGGCCGTGCCATTCAAGGCGTTGGTGGTGGAGGTATCATCATCATGGCTAATATTAGCGTGACGGATTTGTTCAGCATGAGGTATTTTGAAAATCTCTGATCTTCTTCTTGGTTACAGCCATGCTAACTCTTCTTCAGAGATCGACCCATGTACTATGGCCTCTTCGGTGCTACTTGGGCTATTGCAGGTGCTCTGGGACCTATTGTCGGCGGTGCTTTTACCACCAGTGTTACCTGGAGATGGTGCTTCTACCTGAACTGTATGTACACCTTGCCAAACCGCTGAAATCTCAAGCTAACAAGACCCGCAGTGCCCATCGGTGGAGTCTCGTTCCTCATTCTGTTCTTCTTCCTCTCTATTGAATCCCCCAAGACACCATTCCTGGCTGGCTTGCGCAGCATCGATTGGGCGGGAACCTTCCTCATTATCGGCGGCACTCTTATGTTCCTGTTCGGCCTGGAATTCGGTGGCATCAACTACCCGTGGAAGTCAGCCACTGTTATCTGCCTCATCGTATTCGGTATCTTCGTTTGGGTCCTGGCTATGCTCGCTGAATGGAAGATTGCCAAGTACCCCATCATCCCTCCACGCCTGTTCAACGAGTGGGGCAACGTTCTCATCCTTCTGGTCTGCTTCTGTCACGGCTTCGTCTTCATCTCAGGCTCCTACTACCTCCCGCTCTATTTCCAGACCGTCCTGCTAGCCTCCCCTATTCTCAGCGGTGTCTACACACTGCCCATGGTCCTCTCCCTTTCCATCGTCTCCGCCGGAACGGGTATCATCATGAAGAAGACTGGTCGCTACCGCGAGCTGATCATCGGCGGTCTTGCTTTCATGACTCTCGGTTTCGGTCTGCTGATTGACCTCAAGCCCTACGCTTCGTGGCCACGCATTATCATCTTCCAGCTGATCGCTGGTATCGGTGTTGGTCCTAACTTCCAAGCACCCCTCGTCGCCTTCCAGACCGGCATCCGACCAGCAGACATGGCAACTGCTACCGCAACATTCGGTTTTATCCGTCAGCTGTCGACGTCCATGTCTGTCGTCCTGGGCACAGTCATCTACCAAAACGTGATCGGTCAACAAGCCGACAAGCTCATCGCAGCCATCGGCCCCGAGCTCACGGCCCAAATCTCCTCCTCCTTCGCCGGTTCCTCCAAAGAGCTCATCAAGAGTCTGACCCAGCCCCAGCGTGAGGTCGTTCTCGAGGCCTTCACTTTCGCTCTGAACCGCATGTGGATTTTCTATACAGCTGTTGCGGGCCTCGGCTTCATTCTTTCGTTATTCATTCGCCCTCGCGAATTGACCAAGACGCATACCATCCGCAAGACCGGTCTGGAGGAACAAGAGCGTGCACGCCAGGAATTGATCGATTCTCAACGTACGACCGAGGGAAGGTCTGAGGTTGAGGCTTGAGTTGGTCTGGCCTGGCTTCGCTTTTTGATACCCTTGTCTTCACCCCACCTCCTTAATTTTCTTTATACCTTGGGCACTTCTCCCCACTCTTCGTGACCACGGCTTTGCTATTCGCTGTATCTATATTCAGTGCTTAATGTCTATGTATTTAATTGAAGCGTCTGCATCGTGAGCTAACCTGTTCAACGGGTTGCCGCGCACTACGTTCGTGTCATGAAGAACACAGCTCTGATCGTTGGTTTGCGGGGCTCGTTGGGCTCTCGCGGTATATTAAAAGTATGAAGGAAGTCTTCTGCAAATAGAATCAATATAGGATTTGTATTATTGATTTTCTGGACAATTTGTATAGGAGCTGTCGAATTGGAATCCTTCCAAAGTACCGATGGGACATCTGGCTGAGTGGCTCCACCCACCCACCTCTGCATCCGATCAATTTTAGAATCCGAGCCCGAGTCGGTTCAGAGTTCAAGCAGACCTTGACGGACGGTACAGTAACATACAGTATCCCAATCCTTGGCTAACCCTCTATCAACTCTACTCAGTCGAATTGATTACCATTGCTTCCTTTCCATGCTTTAAGCACGTCATTGCGTGGTGATCCTCCAGTAGAACTTCGGGTCATCGAAGCCGCGATGAACCTCAAATATCGGCCATACGCAAGTGACCCACATACCGGACTCATGCCGAAAAATCGATAAATGTCGCCGACAGCCTTGCTAACTCAAATCCCGATATTAGCAAAGGGCCAAGAATAAGGACTGATGAGCGCATAAGATAATAATGATCTTGTATCTGTCCCTGCCGAATTCCCTTCAATCTTCAAATTCAACCCCCACACGACCACCCGGGAAGAATCAGAATATTGAGAACCCTAACCGGTGAGAAAAAAACCCATCGCGCGCCAAATTTCAGTCTAACCCCGAGTTGTGAACATGCAATCCTATCTGCAATATCGTCGATTGTGAAATTCTGTCTGCGTTCAGCTGGACCACGCATATATCCAGCGCAATGCCAATACCAATGTGAAAAGAGACTCGACATCGGGTTCTTCATCAAGCTCGGGCTCAGCCACTTCTTGCGCAATCGCAAATCGTATTAATGGCGATGATGCTGCTGCAGTCACACCTAGTCCCGAACCGCTGGAGAAAAGCAAAACGTAGCGCTGTGAAAAGACAGCCCTAGCGTATTCCCTTCCGGGCGTTGATATCCAGAAAGAATTTGCGTCAACGAATCAGCCAGTTGATTTGTTCATTGCCAGCTGGGATGGCTGAGAGTGCAACGAAGTGCCAGTTCTTGATTACCGTCCACGAACCGATCATTTTGTTGATTTCGCCGTATATGATTGTGGTTTGCGATGTTCGGGGGCACTGGTATCCCGATCAGTCTGTTCTGGTTGTTGGACTGACTTTGTAAGCATCACTGTCCCCTCTTCGGAATCATCTCTATCTGGTCTTCTATATAGGAATCGACATAAGTTTGGTCACCTATAATCGTCTACACCCTTTTCGGCTTTGGTACCATCTGCGTGTTCATTAGTTCCTACATGTATGTCATCGACTCGTGCAGCATTTATGCTGTATCAGTTCTGGTGTCATGACAATTGTTGGGATTCCGTTCTATCAGAATACGGGTGTTCATTGGACGCTTCCTATCCTCGGGCGTATCAGTGCTTTGCTGGTCCCTGTGGCATATGTGTTCACATATATGGTCCTGTTATTCGGTGGTGGAGTTGTTATGCTGTGAGGAGGAGAGCAAAGTTTTAGATCGGATATATGAGATATTGGTTGAATGATTGGATAGAGTTATGGAGCATCCCGATGCTTGACCCACCAATGCGTTCTGGGGCTTGTGAGTAGAAAACCTAAGATAGAAGCTGGTAATGAGCGATCCTCAAAGAGTTTAACAAGTCAAGTATGCAGCCTACGCTATTTTCCCTTCAAATGACGTTTATGGTTCTCTATAGTCCAGAATTTAGTTGTACCTGTTTTGGGCATTTCACAAGGAGCGTGACAGCATCTCATCCCGCACGAGCATTGCGATATGCGGAGAACAAACACTGCAAACATCGTGGTGATTTGGATTTCTCAGCACTCACCAGCAACACCATACATCAATCTATACCAGACATACGGACTATACATAATTGATTGCTCCCGTTCTTCCATTCAAAGTTCCTCGAGCCTGAAAGCAGTGTATTTCATCGGTCGGCATTCACTCGAAGTCGCTTAAGCAACAGCCTCACTGCTGGACAGGTATATCTCGGCTCGGCCAGAATGGCGGCAGTTTTACAGGGACATCAGGTACATCCCGACGGGCGAACGTGGAAGACACATTTTCCGAAGGGGGATTTATGGGTATTTGGATATGGGTAAGTTAAGAAATGTGACTTATCAGTCATGGTGAACGACCATCACACAATCAATCTGGCCACTTTCTTCCCCTCGGGAAAATAAAGAATCAAACGCTGATCCCTACCCTAGGAGCTTGATTTGGAAACCACCACCACACTACGGTATGCATTATGCAAGAATGACCTCCCGCTCTCCCCGAGCAAAAAGACCCTCCTCGCACTGAGCCTATCTACCGAGCTGGTAGCTCCTGGAATCGTGCCCGAACCCAACTAACCACGTCAACATCCAGACCAGCGGGTTCCGGGCTACATTAGTGGCTACGTGCGGCGATTCTGGCAGGTACGTGAAGTGCAAACCCGTTTCCCTCCAGCGCCAACAACTCTACCTCACATGTGTACCATCGTGGCGGAGTTGGCGCATTCAAGTCTAGAGCGATCCACGCTGACCCATGGCCTGGGGTGGCGTTCCTCTTTTAGGCTAGGTATCTTCTATTTCCCCCAAATGTGGACGCGAGGCGTCTATGCCACTGCAGCTTGACTGGGTGGTGGTCTATGATAGCCCAGCTACAAAACCGCATCAGGGAAAATGCAGCCCACTAACAAGGAATGAATGTAATAGTACCGACCATCGGGGCACGCCCGAGCAGCCGGGACGAGTCGTTACCGTAATCGAGCGCGAGTTTTGGGAAACGCTGGATGATCCGGTACGTGATTTCAAGTAATATTCCCTGTTGGCTGCCTATCTCGCGCTCGAGCTCGAGTGGGGATTACTTTCAGCCTCAAGAGTTTCGCCATTTCCGTCCCACACCAGCTAACCAAATCCCGATACTTCTAAAACACAGCTAGCGACCCTGGAATCCGAGTCTGCTTCGACGGGGAAGGTCTGGGGTGCAGCGTATCATATTCCCGCCTCCCACGCCGAAGAAGTTCACGACTATCTTGACGAGCGGGAAATCGATGGCTACAGTGTACATTTTACACCCTTCCACCCTACATCTGGGCCGTCCAAGGACCCGCAAGAGAATGCGAACCACGCTACACCAATTATCTGTATGGTGTATATCGGGCGGCCGACGAACCCGCAGTTCTTGCGTGAACCTGAACAGCGCGCCCCGCAGGACGTCGCGCAGGTAATCAGCGCGGGACATGGGCAGAGTGGGAAGAATACGGAGTACCTGTATTTGTTGGAGAAGGCGTTGGAGGGACTTGGACTTGGGACTGCGGATGTGCATGTCACTGATCTGGTGAAGAGGGTTAGGGCTATCGAGGCTGCTGATTTGGCAGATCGCGAGGAACGGCAGGCAGAGCAGGAGGTGAAGGAGTATTTGGCGCGGTCGCCAGCAGAGCATGTGCATGGGGACAAGATAGAATGAGGCTTGTGAAACAGGGTCCTTTCCCGCAGCTAAAATGGGATACATAGAACTAGACAAGACCAGGACCCTGATTTGCAGATTCGATGAACCGTAAATGGTGTTACAAAACACGCGCAGTTAGCCAGATAGAAATAAAGATCTGGCTTCATTCACAGGCATCCCAGTAGATCTCCAAGACTGCACGGTTCTTGACCGAAAATAAGACATTTATCCTTTTCCAATATTGGAACAAGCATCACATCCCGTGAGAACACAGAGGAAGAGCATGCAAGACGAACCAAAGGCTTCCAATAAAAGGGGGGGGGGGGGAAATAGAAACAACGTCCATATCATAGACAACACATCATGAGCCAAACTAGTGCCAGGACGTGGACACAATCATCGGTATTTACCCATACAGCCTCAAGTAAAGGATTCGATCAACGGTCAACGACTAACGATCAACGATCAACGGTGCCTCATCGCACGGGATAATATGAGATTAAACGGAAAGAGCATCAAAAAGAGACAAAAAGATTAGAACGAGGATTTCTGTTGCATGTTCCGCGTAAAAAAAAAGTCATAACCCAGTTCTCTCGCCGCATTGCATTGATATCCCGATCCGGTCAAATTTCAATTCATCGCTCTCCTCGTCTCAAAAGCAGTCGTAAGCAGTTTTGCGTGGGTAGAAAAAGAGAAAGGACGTCAAAAGAGGGGGGTATGCTGAGCATCTGGTCATGGCACTTTAGTTGCCCTCGGGAGCGGGGGCCTGGTTGTTTCGCCAGCCTGGAAATCGATGAGTTAGTACGAGCGAGCGATAGCGTTGTCACAGCAAAAGCCGGAGGAAAAAGGCATTGAACTAACCACCGCCACCACCGTAGCCAGCGTTGGCACCGCCGCCTATCACAATCAGGTTAGTTTGGTACTCTGATTCATTGTGAGAGAGTCCCCGGTCTGCCGACACTGAACCTGAGCCAAGCCGCCGAAACAGGATCACAACTCACCATAACCACCGCCATAGTTGCCGCCGGCGTAACCACCGTTACCACCATTTCCACCGTTTCCACCATACTGCTGCTGTTGATAGCCACCGCCATATCCTCCACGGTTGTAACCGCCGCCACCGTTACCGCCGAAGCCACCACCACCACCACCACCACCACCCTGACCACCCTGGTAGCCACTACCGGGCTGCTGGTTGTATCCGCCGCGACCCTGGAAGCCACCATCGGGACGGCTGGGACGGTCAAAGGCCTTGTCGACACGAATGACGCGACCATCGAACCTGCACGACGCGATTAGTTGAACGGGTCCACTGATGGAAATTTATCAAGTCAGGAAGAAAAAAGAAAGGGTCCTTACTCCTGGTTGTTCATGGCGTTCATGGCAGCATCAGCCTCAGCATCAGTCGCAAAGCGCACGAAGCCGAAGCCACGACTGCGCAGAGTTGCGCGATCCTTGACGACGATCTTTACATTTCTGGGGTTAGACCTTTGCGAGTTGTATCTCGGGGAGGAGCAGGTGCGGGGCGCTGGATCGCGCAATAATACTGACAGCTTCCTGGATCTCGCCGAACTGCTGGAATCCATCGCGGAGAGTATCATCATTGGTGTGCCACGAAAGGCCGCTTGAGAGAAAAGGTATTGGATTAGTTCTTGAAGTTTCGGATTCAAATCGACGGTGCAGGGGGTATTGTCGTTATCAATTTTCTTTGTCCGAACGGACGAGGTTCGGCTGCGGGAGGGGCCAACAGAACCAGGAGCGGGGGTCAGATTTCGGGGGCGGACACATACTGGACAAAGAGCTTCGACATGATGGCGGAAGCTGTTCTCAAAAGTGGAAGTGGTAAAGGGAGAGAAACCTTAGGAGGGGATTAGCGATCAACGAGGAAGGAAACCAAAAAAAGGTGACGCACGGAAGGATGGGCAAAGAGGAAAAGAGCGCAACCGAGTGGAAGGCAAAAGGTAAAAACGTAAGAACCCGAAGAAAGAGAGGGAGGGAGAGAGAAACGGGCAGGGAGGATCCTAGTGGTTGCGAAACGAGTCCGCAGTCAAACCCGTGTAACAATCACACTGCCTTAGGGCTTCCACATCCTTGGGGATTTTCTGCTTTGGCACCAATAATCGGCCGGGAATGGCAAATATAATGCTTACTTGAGGGTTTTTGTTTGTTGGCCGACCAGTGAGCGGGCTGGGAAGGAGGACGAACGAGGTACGAAGTAGGGGGAAGTTGAGAAAAAGTCGCCAAAGGTGGCTAAGCTGTGGAAGTGGGGGGATGCTCCTCTGACAGTAGTGAACACTGTGTTGTTTTTAGTTTGAGTTGCGTGCAGATAGTCTAGTCTCGTCTTAGTCTACTTGGCCGGAGGAGCATGTACATACTGGCGTCTGTTGGAAGTATTCGTTTTGGTCGTATTTTGTGTTCGGAATCCGTACAAAATGGTGCCAACTACGACTATCACGAATGGAGACTCCCTCCTCCTCACCCATCAGTCCCACCAGCCTAAACTTTGAACCGTTTGATTTGTCGGGACCCTGTCTTTGCAAGCTCTCCGTCAATCAGATGTTACCCGAGGCTGGCTCTGGAGACATGGGGAACGCTAGCAAGCATCGGCTGATGGTCAATGTCCCTGCCCCTCATCTGCATTGGACCTCTTTTTTTCTGGCCTGCAAATACCCCCGGAGACCCGACAAAGTCCTCCTATCCGGATCTACCAGTGGTTGCAGAGACACGGGGACTCAAGGAAGCAAAAATGAAAAGGTCCTTCCTGGGTCTCTCGCGAGCGGATTATACCGGAATCTCGCTTTGATGGAAGTTGTCCGATAGATAGCAGGCAGTAGCGGGTTTGCCAGAATCACCACCCAAAGCCAGACCAAGAAAAGGTACCTTGGAAGCCATCGCGGCTTGAGCGGGGCCATCTTCCATGCATTGCGACCCGTGGAAACCAGTCCGCGCGAGCCCTCAACATTTGGTCATGGATATAGGTCGACACTGAGGGGGCATCAGGAGTGGAAAGGACGAGGGCATGGAAAGCAAGCACACTTGCAAGTTAGAAGCCCTTCATTCCCCCGTACCTCACAGTTTGCCCATGCATTTCGGGACATCTGCGATAATAATGTTGACTTTCTCTCGCCCCCATGATTCAGCCGGGGATTGGCCCACCACCGACCATCAGCACGGTCTAGCCACCATGCACCATGCAACGCCTTTGGAGATGGGTTTAGCCCTACCAGGCCCATTGGGGATCCCGTCCGGCCACAAATGATCATCCGCAATTGCTCGCCCGTGTGTGCAGGAGGGGCATCAGGACCCACAAGCCGCTTGGGCCGTAATCCGTCCTGTCGGGTGGACTGCGGACGTGAAGAGCGATCCGCGCATGGATCGGCTTGACAGCGCCGACGATGAAAGTCATGAAGGGGGGAAGAGAGAGTATCAGCCTGTTGTCCAGTGGAAAGAATAATAAATCGAGCCGGGAACCTTGTAAGGAGGCGTTGCCCTCGAAGTTAAATTGATCCCTTGCTGCTCCCAGCACGATGGGGACTAAGTGTGCTGCAGAATATCGTACAGTATTCTGGAGCATGGCGTGCATCCATGAAGATGACAGTCGAATGGTACCATAGTTCGGAGATGGTCAATAATTGAAAGACAATGACCGCGAGGGCAAGAAGAAACTGACGCGGACGGAGGAGGATGCTGGTGCCGACTGCAGGGGCGTGACTTCCTCGGGCTGGGCACGTCGGCGTTGGCAGACAGTTCAAATCTCCAGTCGACTTGGTACATTCAGAATCAAAACTCCTCTTCTCTTCAATCATTGTCACCTAAATGGAGATCAATGCCGAAGAATCTATACAGCGGTGGCTGGCAAATGTCCCCGAAGGTCCGCCATCGCAACCGGATTGCGGTGCGTTTCGCGATGAGTATTGACATGTCGGCTAAATCACTAATAAAGGACAATATGCAGAAGGTCTGAATACCACAGGCTTTGAGTCCAATGGGAAGCTTTCCACTGCTCTGGAGCCAAGTGACACTGGCCCAGCCATCCGTTGGCCAAATATCAACAAACGGCCGCGAGACGAAAATGCAGACTCTGGACAGTGTCTACACCCACGGGATGTGGGCAACCGGTACGAAAGAAGACCGCGTCGCAAGACTCGAGATGATAAATATGAATACAAACGGCCGGGTTCTCCAAGAAAACGACTAGCCCGATCACACAAGGACAAGGGTAAAAGGACGAGGACGAACAGGAAACATGCAATGAATGATGCCTTTCATGCATCCAACGTTGCTCGGGAAAGACTCACCGTAAGTGTGTCAGCACCACTGCAGTCGACATCTCTAACTTGATGGATAGCTTCGCAATACTATGAACATGGGTATATTTAGCAAGGGCAAAGCCTCATCGCCGATCAAACTTCGCGACGGTAAGTGAACCAAGACGTGAAGACAGTCGACAATGGCTAACGCACTGTGACACAGCTCCTGACCTTTCTTTCTCAGAAACCCGATTTCTGGCTCAGAAAGATCAAGTGCCTTTAGGGACAGGCACTGGCGCAGGTACAGGTTTTGACGAGTCTCCCCTGCAGAAGAAACTAAGTCAACATTCACGCCCGAAGATTTCCCACTACGTGTTTCGTGAGCCCTCAAAGGTGGTGGCCACTGAGCGACCCACTATTCAACACACGGCGTTGTCCGTACAGCTCAGTCAAGGAGACCAGTGGCATCCCTCGGGGCCACAGGGTATTACGCCATCCACCCCAGCTGCAGCTTCTGCCGCCCAATGCAGCCTGGGTAAAAAACAGGCCAAGCTTCAACGTTCGCAAGGTCAACTGCCACACTCTGATCATGAATCTCGATCTCCAACGCCATACTCTTGGTCTGTCAGTGATAGACGGGGGTCGCAGCAGAGCAGAAAGTTGGAAGATCGGTTGCTGAAGATTCTACACACCGGCCTATCGCCACGATCACTTGATGAAGTCAATAACTCTCCTGGCTCCATGAAAGGTTACTGCAATATACAGGATCTGAGGGGTCTTCTCGAAAGTCGAAAGACCCATTGGCTGCCACAGACGAGCATCCATGGAATGACGACTTGCAACGAGGCACCGGAGTCTCTTGCGGTGGTAACTGAAACTGCCCAAGGCCTCGAAAAGGTCACTATTGCGCAGTTCGAGAGCTCAGAAGCGGCATTAAAGAGTGGCAACAGGCCAAGTCACATACAGAAAACCCCAGATGGCCTGTTCTGCATACCTCAGCGCAACCAGGTTCGCAGCCAGGAGGACGAAGTCCCAAAGGACCTTTCACCATCGTCTCAGCAACACCGTCCCGTCCTTATTGAACCAAAATCAGTGGGGCTGGATTTGGAGGATGACGATGCCTTCTTCCAGAAACTGGATGCAGCATACTGCTTAATCTTCGAGCCGGAGGGCGTTAGGCCTGAACCTTTGGGTCTGGGACCCATCGTACGTCACGGGTCAAATTGGTCTATCGCAAAGCAGACCCATAATCATGGTTCCATATCCTCCCGCAGGATACATCCATCGCTTTGCGAGTCGATTGATACGTTGTTGTGTGGTCAATTAGGTCTTGATGTTTTACCTACATTCGCGAACCCTTCTCATCGTCCACACGAAGAGTTGACAGCGTTTCCTCAGAGTGATATCATGGCATTGCAAGCCTTGGAACGTCACTCGACGGGAGAAGTCTTGGTACAAGGCCCTGAAGTGGCGCACAGGTTTCATCTGAGTGGTCCTCTTCCTGCAAATGCTTCCGAGCAATTCTGCCCCCCAGTCCCACCGGAATTCTGGAGACAAAAGAGACTGTATTGATATGTGAAGCAGTTTATACTAGGTTACTTACCTTTAATGTCTCGTTCGGTGGAAATGTCCAGTGTACATGTGCTGCAGACGGCATCATTTCTATTTCCCACTGTTTCAATAAGCAGTCCCAAAGACTTCATAGTAGGGTGATATAGATCCTTGGTGCTTATACTATACATCCAGGCACATCTTGAACCGTTAAGGACTCAACGTCTTTCCTTATAGGTGTGTTTGTATTCCATAACGAAACCATCACGGACTACACCAGTAAAGAACCTTCTCCACCCGGGTCAGACCGTGGCTTTTGTATCTATTCTCGGACACTCTTTCCAGATACAGCAAGAAGAATCATAATTCCGAGAGCCTCGTTTATCCGGGCTCGGTGATGCAGCTAATATTAACATGCCAGGGCCGGGTTGGTTCATTCAATTCGCAAGGTTGAGATAGTTCGATCTAAGCTAGAATAGAATCGAAGCCTGAGACCTGGATGCGCAAGCATCCGGCCCTAAATAATGTCGACGGTGTTTTCCGCTACGCTTGGAATAAATAGCTGAGCACGCCCGCCTTAACAGCAAACACACAGTTCAGATCCAATCTCTCTCTCCCAGGGCATCGCAAATTATCGACCATGTCATCCGAAAAGCCAACCATCCTCCTCATCCCAGGCGCATGGCTTCAAGCCAATGCTTTCGAGGCTGTAGCCACCATCCTCCGCGCTCAAGGGTATCCCATCCAAACAATGACACTACTATCAGCCGGTGGCCTGACATCAACGACCGTAGCCGACGACGCATAAGATATCAGACGACGATTCTTGAGTCAGCTTGTCACGTACGGGAAAGAAGTCATTATTGGCATGCACTCGTACAGCGGCATCCCAGTTGTAGAAAGTGTAAAAGGCTTCGCACGGAAGGACCTGCCCGCGCAGGGAAAGAAGGGAGGTGTGAGATTAATATACATAACGGCGTTCTTGATTACCGCCGGCCAGAGCGCCGCGTCCATTCTTGGCGAGCATATAAACGAAGTTATGACATTTGACGTATGAAGCCCTATTCACATCAAGCAAGAAGGTCTGCTGTAGGGGTTGTACTGACGAGCCCAGGGCGATAAAACATCCCCGATAGGCCCACGGGAAAAGTTCTATAATGACCTCGACGAAGAGACGGCAGCTAAACATGTCGAGGCACTGGTATACCACGCAAAGCCCAGCTTTTATACACCACTCACGTACGAGGCATACCGAGATGTTCCTACAACATTTATACTCTGCAAGAAGGACGCACATTCCCTTTGAGGTGCAGCAAGGTATGGTCGCTGCTATTGGAGAAGGGGCGGTGCGAACGCATACCTGCGAGGGAGCACATTGCGCTATGCTGAGTGTTCCGCAGGATGTTGCGGATGGAATTCATGATACTGGGGTGAAGGGGGTTTGAAAGTAGCTCTTTTGGATTGTGGTAGGAATGTACATGTGTATGAGGGGAAAGCGTATTCTAAAATGGGACAATTGATTGGGTATAGAACAATCTTAGAGCAAGATTTGTGACAGCATCTTCGGATGTCAGTGGATGCTTTGGACATGTTGTAATGAGGGAGGTTTCCGTTGTGACTGTTGTCTGGGAGAGAAGACATGGAAGCCATCGAAGATTCGAGGTCGCAAGTGGCTGTTTATCCGGTGTGTCCAGGTATACCGGAGCACATGGTATTGGGTGACATTCGCGGTGGCGGGTGTCGTGTTCGAATAGGAGTGATGAGCGGATCATAGGAATGAGGTAATCTGGCCCGGAGAGACCTGAATCGCCGTCAATGAAATAGAGGAATCTAAATGAATCATAGGCTTGCGGCCGCCTCGATGACACCGGCGCCCTTGAAGAGACCAGGGCCCGTAACAACGATCTCGACCGGGTACTTCCATTGCATGAATCTCGTCCAACCTGTCGAAGGTCAAGATTAGTCGGACATTCACGCTTAAAATAGAAGGCATTTCACATACTCCAGTAGGCACAGCGGCGGCCCAGATATTTGCCAACAAAAGGCACCAGAACCATCGTCAGAAGCAGCTCTAATTGCTCAATGCTTTCCCGCCATTCCGCCTCGGCATCCGAGTAGTCGTCGGAAAGAGTCTCCAAGTCCGAATCTGTTGTTGATTCTGAGGGGAGAGAAGCAATATCATCGTCTGTCTCGGATCCGAAGGAGTTCTCGCGCGAAGGCATCATGTACGCCGACATGGAGAAGGAGGGATTGGACTCGGCAGGGGGAGGGGCTGCCATGGCGGCGAGAGTCTATGAGGAATAGGAACCGGAAAGTGACAGAGGAAAAGAAAGATGGATGAGCAGCGGCCTGCCTACTGCCCGAACTGTGACACAAGCATCTGCTGGCACAAGGCGGAGGAATAGATCGAGATGTAGTCGCGAATCGGCTGTTGACTTGCTCGTTGATCCCAAACGTAATGGGCAGCACGTGACTTTGTATGATGGTTGAGTCACGGTCACGTGCCAGTGTCCCGCGATAACAGGCTCGCCTCCCCCAGCGGCGGCGGAGATCTCAGAATTCGATCAAATTCGACATTGTCGACCTGTTCACGAACTACGCGATCTCATACGAAACTCAAACTCTCATACCCGCATCGGTTGTGAAGTGATTCGAATCTTATAACCACCCAACATGGCGGACGCCGTACGTTACATCTCGTTTTCTTTTTTAACGACACCCACATTTTCTTTGAGACTGCACAATACCCCTCGTCCCATATCCTTACAGCTCGCGCGGAAGCACCCTTTTGCCAGTTTAAAGGAGCGACTGTTTTCTATCTGATAGATTCAGTTTCTATCATCATCTGAATCTTCTCTGCCTTTTTTTTCTGGCGTCATAGCTAATCTGGTGCCTGCCTTGTCCCGAACAGGAAGTCGAGCAAAAACAGCGCAAGTCGGTCGCCTTCAGCGAAGGATCCGTCATCATGGACACCAACGGCCAGGTCACAGATGCCCCGGCTGCCGAGAAGCCCGCCGGTACGCAGTCCATCCTATACCGCAGTTTATCCCATCCCCGCACAGTTCGAGCTCCGCATGCTTGTCGAACCGGACCCGCTAACGGACCCTGTCCATTTTTAGAGAACGAGGTTGACGAGATGACCGATATGTTCAAGGGTCTCTCCAAGAAGAAGAAGTCCAAGAAGTCCAGCAAGGAGACCGGCGATGCGGAGGAGCCCACCGCCGACGGCGAATTCGATGCCTCCGCCCTCAAGAAGAAGAAGAAGAAGCCCAAGAAGGACGCCGGCGACTTCGAAGCCAAGCTCGCTGAGGCCGGTATCGATGAGGAGGGCGACAAGGAGGAGGCTGAGGACACTCTCCCCGAGGGTGATGCCGAAGCTGGAACTGGCATCTGGGCACACGACGCTACCCAGGTCATCCCATACCCTCTCCTCGTCTCGCGCTTCTTCACCCTCGTCCAGAGCCACCACCCCGACTTGCTCTCCAGCGGCACCAAGGCCTATAAGATTCCTCCACCCCAGTGTCTGCGTGAAGGTAACCGTCGTACCGTCTTTGCCAACATTGCCGAGATTTGCGCTCGTATGAAGCGTTCCGATGAGCACGTCACGCAATTCCTCTTCGCCGAATTGGGTACAAGCGGTAGTGTGGACGGCAGCAAGCGTCTAGTCATTAAGGGCCGGTACGTGAAACCGCATTCGCAACCCCTATCCTCATATTCTGGGCCCCTCATGACTTTATCCTGTTTGATTTTGGTATGCTAACCGGTCTTTTTGTCCATGCACAGATTCCAGGGCAAGCAATTGGAGTCCGTCCTCCGAAAAGTACGTTACACTCAACCAAGTACAACCTCCGTTATGAAACATCCACTAACCTCCTTCAAGTACATCGTCGAGTACGTTACCTGCAAGACCTGCCGCAGCCCGAATACCGAGCTCAACAAGGGCGAGAACCGTCTGTACTTCATCACTTGCAACTCGTGTGGATCTCGTCGCTCCGTCGCCGCTATCAAGACCGGTTTCCGATCCCAGGTCGGCCGCAGAAAGCGTGTCGGTTAAATGGAGTCGTGGGGCTGGCTGGTTCGGCATATTGTGGAGGAGGGAGTTGTTTTTATCTCTTCTTTGTGGCGTATCATCTACTAGGACGTTGGTTGATGAAAAAAAGACTCCATGGTATTGTATCTTTCCACTGCGTGGGACTTGAAACGAGAGAACGATATGAAGGTTAGAGACAGTTTGGCATGAAATGGACCGATATGACTTAATCTTTCCTTTCAAGGTGTATGTTCTGCACATTACTGGTTTTCAGAGTTGCTAGGCATGAGAACTACGCAGCAATGACGACGGGTCAATGGGATCAAACTTGGCAGGCTGCTGCTTGTGAGCTGACAGTCGAAAGGGTCAACTTTGTAATTTGTTGTAGACAAAGCCTTGAAGCTTAATCTAGTGGTCCTCTACAACCGACTACCTCAGGTTTGATTCTGCAAGCTCAAATACATTTCTAGGAAAATAGAGGCCTGCTCTACAAGGCTGCTGTACATGATGTTGATCACACCGTGCCAAAGAAAGTGATATAATAAATGAAACATGACCCGTAGGAAATAGATTTCATGGCCCAGGAAGAAGCAACATTGGCTGTGCCCAAGCCAGGTATTTGCAATCATCTTAACGTATGATTCTTCCCGTTCACCGATTCGCTACTTAACCGCTTGCCGTACTGACCTTCATCTGGCTAGCAAAGGCATTCAAGTTCCTTGTTTGCAGATAGACACTTCCAGGGCCCTTGAACTTGCAGGCCAGACCTTCTCCGGAACTAAACCCTGAAATGATTCCACCGGATGCGACTCGCTCGATATCGTATTTGCAGTTCCAGGCCACAAGATGGCCGTTATCGATGAAGTATGTCTCACCATCCTTGAGCTACAGAAACAAGTCGAATTAGGAGAGTCAGCAGGTCAGATTTGAGGAAAGGCTTGACTTACATCTTTCTTGATGATTGCACCGAAGCTCTGCATCCACAGTAGTCCAGTCCCAGTGATCTTGTATATGAAAAGACCTTCTCCGGAGAACACTCCCTTGGCGAGACTCTGAGCTTGGTATTTATGTTTCACACCTGACGTAGAAGCCAAGAACGCATCTCTCCCTATCTTCCACTCCTGTTCACCGTCTAGGCGAAGCACGATCACATCACCCAGAACCGAAGGAGCGAGCAAGAGCTCGCCGGGACCGGTATAATGAGACATCGACATCTCGCCGCCTGCAATAAGCTTTTTCCATCCAAAGGAGACGTGACCTCTCAAAGTCATGGTAGTGGACATTGCAATCATGACACCTGGGCAAGGTTTAGTTTGTCATTCTTGGTACAATTCTGCGCCTGGATTGAGATCTTTCATACCTGGTTTCGCAGTCAACGGGCAGCCCACAGCAAGCTGTAAAGTCAACAGGGAGTTTGAGTCGCGATGGCTGATCCGGTAGCTTCCACCATTGAAAGTTCCAACGCTGTCTTCATTGGTGGCCTGGGCACCGGTAAACTGTCCCGGTGCTGGGGCTCCGTACAACTGCACCGCTGGTGGGGGAGACTGCGTTGATAAAGAAGGAGTCCTAGGCTTTTGTTGGGCCAACCCATTCTGTTGCACATATTGCTGCTGGGAATACTGCTGGATTTCATTTACTGGAGGAGACTGTGCTGGCGGGCTGACGGATGGTGGGGGTCCTGGATAAGTTCCGTGCATAGGACCATTTGGAGGAGGGGATTGTCTCGGCGGGGGAGGATAGCTGAAATTAGGAGGCGCAAAGCCAGGAGAAGGTTGAGGGGGAGGAGGAAATGCTGGGATTGTTAGTCAGTGCGAATTTCTCACGAACAATGTGAGAACACCGTACAGGTAACATGGGCGGGCGCTGATTCTCATGGTTAGTGAACGAGACCTATCCGGATGTGTATGAATAGCCATAAGCTTACCCGACATGGGCGGAGGGGGGTAATGCGTTTGCTGTGCCATTATTGAAGACTCGAACTTGATGCGCGGAATTAAAGCTAAACGGACCATCTATGATCAGCAAATCTGTCCATTCCTTCTTCGCTGATGCCCACCTCAGATAGTAGAACGGTGGGAAACACACAAGAACAAATCCAATGCGGGGAGGGGAGTCGAAAGAGTCACAGTCTGTGAGTAAATACGGTAGGGATAGTATAGCGCAAAGGATAGACGATTTTCAGGTTTTCATCATAGCCCACAGGCCCGGCGATGCATCGAGGATTGGAAGAGCAGGTATGTGATAGGAATGAGGGGGAAAGGTAGCAGAGGGGAGCTATGTATACGAGAAAAGCAACCTCCAGCTCCGCACGGAGAACTTCATGGCTATTATTAGTTAGCTCTGGCGGTCATTGGAAGCGATCATCAGTGGCCAACTCGTCTAGATTGGCACTTATTCATCTGCTCCCCTGTCACAATCGACTACTGCATGGTAATCCCAGCTGGCGCCTACAGGTTGCACCTAAGCAACCTGATGGGCTGGCTGGTTGAGCGCCGGAGTGGACCTCCAGTTCTGATTGGCGGTGGGAGTTAGCGCTTCCATAAGGCCAAGGGCGACCAAGGAACTTTGCATGCCCCACGTTGCGAATGTGTTTCAAACTACGGACTCGGCTTAAAGAGACAGGTAGGAGAACCGAAGATGGACCTCATACTCGGTCTCGGTCCTGGAGCTGATCAACAGTTCAACGGGCGCTAAACCAGTTCATGTTTTCGCTGAATGCGAAATTCCTACTGAGTCCAGTCGAAGAATATTTCTATCTTAGTATAGGGTCCAAGTCTGAATTGGAAGGTGCATGTCTAGCGGCGTTACTGTGTAAGCAAAACAACTCTTCAAGAGATAGTTTCAACTGTTCGGGGTTCTATTCATGCTAGACACTTTCAATCTATACCCACCATGCCTATGTTTGCTCTAACTTCTCTTCACCATTGTAACCCTCCAGTATAGCCACAATAGCATCACAATGACCTCTCCTTGCCCAGTCCAAAGCAGTGAGCCCTTCACGATCACGCAAGCGAGTGTCAGCACCCCTTGCTAGTAACTCATGAAGAATATCAACGTATGAATCTTTTGCCGCCAAAATCAAAGCAGTCCGGCCAAAGTTTCCGTCGCGGGCGTTGATGTCAGCGTTGCCGTCAAGAAGCAGCTGGGTCATTCGGAGATATCCTGCCGACACAGCAGAATGAAGTGGTGTGACTTGCTCCAATCCAGTTTTTTCAATCTCTGCTCTTCTAGAAAGCAAAAATTTCACCGTTTCTAGTTGGTTTCTTGCGCTTGCCCAGTGCAGAGCAGTTCCTCCGATGCTGTCTTCAATCTCCAGATCAGCGCCGCGATCCAGTAGCAATCGAACCATCTCCGTCATGCCCTCATGAGCAGCTAACAGCAACGGACGCGAATCTGGAACTTGCTCATCTCCATCTGGATTGGCCCCGTTGTTCAGAAGAGTGCGAGCAGCTTCCAAGTCTCCAGTAGCAACGACTTTCATCAAGGCAGAAATGTTTCTCTCGTTGAGGATATTAATATTCGTGCCGTATCGCAGAAGAACCTTTACACCCCAATCGCAACGGTTCTTTGCAGCAACGCAATAGGCATGCTGGATGAGGCTTGCACAATCTGCACCAAGCTCAACCCATCTGACCAGAGTGAAGTATATAAGGCCGTAATACTCAGCTGCAAGAGCCCATTTATACCCAATCTCGTCCTCATCGGCGGAGTATTCGCGTTCAAAGTCAACATGATTCAAAGTGAGCCAGTATTGAATGACCCTTGGACCAACCTCAGCAACTTCTGCTATATCAGGGTACGAGAGTATAGTCTCCCTAACTCCTCGTCTTCTCAGTGCTGGCTGGATCCCTTTCACCCCTTTCACATTGATTGACACATGCCAAGCGATCCACCCAACCTGCTTTGCAAATATAACCCACCACTGCTGATGATTTGCCAATCTAGACCATCGGGCAGGTGGCGTCAATCTTTGGGCTTCGAAGAAGTCCTCTTCAACATTAGAGTCAAGTATTCGGCAGATATTCTCAAGCCCTTCTTCTTGGGCAACTTTCGAAGTGTCAAGCAGCGCCCGACGACAGATATACCCGAGTTCGTACACAGATCGCTCGAATTCAAGTCCTTCAGTTCTTTGACAGATCCATCGCACGAGATCAAACGCACTTTTCCAGTCATTCCGTAGAATCAATTTTTCTACTTGTTTTCTGACATTGGTGCAATCTGCAGAGAACTCTGGTAGAAGATTATGTTGTCTCAGGACAGGGACTATGCACAGCAATGCGTCCTCTCGAGAACCCAAGGCACGACTCTCAAAGCAGTGCATCAACTCGTCGATACGGCTGTTGTGGACCCGGATGGAGTTCGATAGCCCGGTAGAAATTCCAGTCTCCCCTCCAAGTTCGTAGAAGTGATTAAATGCATATTGGAGAAAATTCATATAAAGGTCCTGAGCAGCCATAAGTTCAATCTGATTTTCCGTCCGCATGATGAGAATATCCTTGTCGTAAGCGTAGTCGTCTAAATCAAATCCGAATAACCGCCGCGATGAGTCAATTACCTTCGCCGAAACAAGCCTTGCCTCAGTCTGCCTGGAGATCCACTTGTGAAAGAGGAGATATGTTTCTTTTTTGCTCGCCTCAACTTCAGTGAGCCCAACCATGCGGTTGAGCGGCTGACGCCAGCCTTCTTCAGATTTGTACAGAGACCAAACCCAAAGACCAAGAACGGCTTCTAGTTCGTTTTTTTCAACGCTCCATCGAAGTGCGTCGCCGCACCTTTGAAGGAATATCGAGTAGTCGCTTCGAATGGGTGGATTACAATCCACAAGTGACGGTTGGTACTCGATAGTTAGCCGAAATTCAAAGGACTCGCCAAACTCGACTCCCCAGCTAGACATAAGATCCATTGTTGATTCAATCACGAGGGCGAGATTTTGAGCTACCTCTCGAATCGGCATATTGTCCCATCCAACCATCAAGCCGTGGCTTGAGCTAGTTGTCAATTCTACCAAACGAGTCCTTGTTTGTATCAATTGACTGACGAGTGGCCCATGTGCTTGAATGACTTCGCTTGAAGATTCCGTTGAGGATGTCTCCGGGAATGACGGTGCAAGCACTTCAAAAGACTCGATATTCTTGAGATGAAACGCAAACCAATCGAGCTCCTGTTGCTTATGCGATGTGAGCTCCCGCTCAGATCTCATCTTATTTTCGTCTTGCGGCATTCGCTCTGTTCGAAGACACGTGCGTAGTACGGACATGATGAAAGTCGATCCTAGCTGGGCAAGGATCACAGAAGCGTGTAGCCCTCTTAGCCCAATAAACTGAAATATGAATCCAAGCATTGTGGATAGAAGTGTCATGTAGATCTCTAAATGTCTGTCGTCATATTTTCCAACTCGTACCGATTTGATGTACTCCATTTTCGTCGTCATGGTGAATTTTGGGCCCTCTTTGACTGCCATGAATGCATTGAAGACTTGATCACCGACATTTTGTTTTCCTGGCTGTAGCCAGAATATCTTGCTTGGTCTGTTCGGTTTGAAGTGGTACTCTTCTGAAGAGCGCTCAATAATGATCGCACAGCACAGCATTCCCATGAATAGGAAGACAGTCCCAATCATATAAAAGGGGAATGCGTAGCTTGGAACGGCTTTGCCATCCTTTTCAAATGATCCAGGAAATATAAATACTGTGACTGCAGCATAGATCGTAACCCCTAGAAATATGTTAGTCGAAGTCCCTAACAGAACTCTCATCCAACTGGAACTGACCAATCTGCAACGCAGCACCCACAGCTGCAGCACAATAAAACCAGAACTGGTCACGTCTCTTGATTCCCTTGTTCAAGGAAAGATTGGGAACATCCAATTCAGGCAGATGAGTTGGATCAGACAAGTCCTCATTCGAGAGACCTGAACCCTGGGCGGACCAAGCGCCGATCTTTAAAGCATCACGTAACGTTCCAATCTCTATACTTTTCTCACCATTCTCCGCATTTTCGTTCTCCCACATTATAATCTCCACAATCCTAGGTCTACCAAAGACCCGCGATATACCTCCTTCATTAAACAATTCTGCCGTGGACTCCGACACACATGGTAGAAGCTCACTCTCGGCTTCGGCGGGACCTTCTTGGGCTCTACCGATGAAGGCTCGAAGGGAGGAACCGCCACATACACGAATCACAGAGACGATGGCAGTTAATACGCCGAGTGGCGATAGAGCGAAGATGATGTTGTCCAGGAGGCTGATTGACTCGGAGAGAAACTGTTTGGTGAGACGCTCGCCGAAGAGAGTAATTAGAGGGGCCTTGTAGTATCATCATGTCAGTTTTCTTAACCTTGTTGAACCTTTCGTGCGTTGTAGAGATTCAAACATACCAAGTCCGTCGCAAGATTGTTAGTAAAATCCTCCCAGCCATCGGCCAAAACACAGGGCGCCAGAGACAATAAACACAGTATAGTCAAATGCATGATTACTCATGAATCATGGACAGACCAGATCCAGAACAACCAACCGGCATGGCTCAAACAGATTATTTCAAAATGCCCTTGCGGTCTACCTCAAGGTCTTAAGAGCTTTAGCCCCAATTTTCATCTCCTAATCCCTGTTCAAAAAGGGTGCGTAGAGCGGGGCATCCACCGCGCGAAGCGCCCAGCTCATACCATGGCGAATCAAATCGGTAGAGTAGAACTATTCTTGTTCCAAAATTAAAGATCCTAAAACTGCTCCCACGATGTGAGTAAGCGCCGTGTTATAATGGGCGTCATAAGTTGTGACGCTGATTGCATGCCACATCACAGAAACGCTCCATACCCTGGGAAGTTTGAAACACCGATATTACTTTTTAATCAGCCCTATCGATCAGTCATACATTGAAGTGTCTAGTGTTTAACCCTCGGGTGCATATCAAGATCAGATCATCAGAAAACCATTCAGAACGACTCTTTCGAGGAGAGGAAGCTAAGACACCCCAGGCTGGACATCTCATGTCTCTGCTTCGGATTCTCGAATGGCCACTGTTCCCAGAACAGTCGGAAGCTAAGGCGATTTCAACGTGAGAATATGTCATCCAAAATACCTCTGACTTTACCTAACGGCAGATCGTGAATTTGGACAAGGACTTTGAGTGAATGACCCTATTATGAAGAGCCAGAACACCATTTAGGAGGGGGGGATTATTTGAAGAAAAGAACACAATGTACGAGTCGATGAGATCATGAGATGCACTTCGATAGCCAAGGGTTATCGGTGGCAGGGCCATGACGAATATCATGATATACATCGCAGAAAAGAGGATTATCAGCTGAAGAACGGGCTTCGTATTTAAGCAACAAGCAATCCCTTCTGGGGCCAAACAAATTCCACCAACGCCTTTCAATGATAAGAGGAGAACAAAGTGAGTCAAACAAGGTATTCCAAGCGAAACGAGGTCACCAAAGGTAAAACGAGACATATATCTTGTTTAGAAAATACTGTTCACGATGTTGGAGCCGACAGTAGCACCAGCACCGAAGATTGCTGCAATTGTGGTCAGTCTCTTGGTCAAGATCGAGCGGTATACAGCAAACATACCTGCATTACCCAATTTCTTGCCAAACTTCTTGCCATTCTGCTCAAACTTGCTCTTCTGCTCGGGATCATTGGAAGTTGGGCCAGATCCACTCTGGCTAACAGCCAAAGGCATATTTCCATAACTGGTAGGCGGGGGCGGCGTGTAAATTCCTGCTTTCTCATCAAGTGGCTTGACATAACTCTTGGGGAAGATACCCTCCTCGCCGGTACGCTCATTGTGACCACGCCACCCTGCATATGCACGTTAGCTCTTGGGTCATGTTGCAATCCGCATTCTCCAAAACATACAGTCAGCATTCATATGCTCCAGAACCAGGATTCGGTCATTCGGCGCCAGCGCCAGATCGCCATTATCAGTTGGAGTGTATGCCCACATCGCTGAGGCGACGCCCAGAGACGGCGCGGTGGCGGCCTGAGGGTATGCGGGTGGTGCCTGCGGAGGAGGGGTGGCGTATTGATTATACACAGGAGTCTTTTCGTTCAACGGGACATTCGACGTCTGCGAAACCGGGGGCGAGTATGGGGCTGGAGGAGGTTGCGCTTGAACCGGTTGAGGCAGGGGCTGAATCTGCAATGGTGATGGGGGTGTTTGGTTCTGGCGCGCGGCCGCGGCGCGGGCGTCGGTCTCAGTGGGCAGTTGTGCGAGGATAGCATTGAGCTGATCGGGTTTGATCACGGACGAGTCGGCGAGAAACTCCAGCTCCTGATTTATCGTGAGTCAGTGGCTGCCACGGAGCCCGGGGATGGTGAGGGGGGTTAATCATACATTCTTGAGTATGCGGAGCGACCGGATGGTCATGGCGGACTGGAACTCGCTCGCCATGGTGGGTGGGATCGCAGGGGACGGTTAAGATAGGGTGTATACAGTAGTGGAAGGTAAAGAAAAGTTTGCTCCGATCAATGAGAGGAGTTTAGATCGAAATACAGGGGAGCAGAAGGAGCGAGCTGGTGGAGATGGGGGATTCGGGGAGTTGCCAGGTGTGGGATTGCCCAGCCGGAACATGTCTTGTCTGCCTGGGGCCAAGACTTTCCGAATGTCCAATGGCCTTGACAATCTCCAGGCAGAAAAATACATACATAAGATGGAAATGCGCTAGAGAAAATAACCGGGTGCCTGTAATCTGGATCTCCCTGTCTCACGAAACAAGCCCCAATACTCCCTTGTTTTTCATTCCGCGTTCCCAACTGGTCTCGTATTCGTATTGGTTCCTGTGGCTGTGTGGGGAATGTGCAAACGGCAAAGATCCGGATCAGATTAAGTTTGATGCTCCTATAGAAGGGTCTTAAGTCCCGGATTTGATTCAAATCCATAGTCGATAATTTCTATGAGGACAGCCTATTTGCAAAATGGAGGATGATATGCCAAAATAGAAGCGCCGATATTCAATCGCTATTTGCAAGTGGTCTTCTCCATCAACCAGAAGCTTGCGCTTTGGAGTAACATGGATAATTTCAAGCTCAGACCGAATTACTCCACTGTCTTTTACATAGCACCAGCCGATATCCATCCGGATCCTCAACGGTCACTCCCCAAGTATTCCAATACGGGTTCTTCGCTTCCACCTTCTTCCCTCCAGCATCAACCAAAGCATTGACCACGCCAGGATCGACCAGTCCATCCAGATAAATCACGAGAAGGTCCTCTTCCGTTGGACGAGGCTGCATATCCACGCCGTCTTGCTCGTACACTTGTACTAGTTCTAGGTGCCAGGACGCACCTGGCCAGCCCAACATGAGGAGTTCATGACCACCTTCAACATGTTCCGCCGAACCGGAACGCCAGAGCACATGCAAGCCTAGCCCGTCTTTCCAGAAGCGCTCGGCGGCGGCAAGAGACCTAGATGGGCGTGCTATCCGAACATGACTTGTTGGGGATGGACGATTGCCTTCACCCGGATTTGTAGCGAGAGGCGAAGATGGAAGAGGTGAATGTGTAGGTTGCTCGGAAGCAGAAGTCATGACAGTGGATACAGTATTCGGCTAGATGCGGAGAGTCTACTCACTTCACGGAGGATGGGACTAGATTGTAAGTATTCGAAGAACCCCCCACGGGTCTTATATATCTCTTGAGATTTCTGGTAGTATTTGTAATGCCGGGCAATCTAGAACATTAATTCGAGCCAGATTTATGACTGATGAAAAGAAAGCGGGGTCGGAGTTAAGGTTTTGAAGGTTATTAGAGAGCTAATTATAGGACCACCTCGGAATACAGGGCTCACATTTACCATAAATTGATTTGCGCTTGAAGTCCCAATGATTAACTTGTCGCGGCAAATCGGCTACTTATTACACTATCTGAAGTCATTGATTTTGACAATGTTGATCTCAACTGTGAATAACGGGCTACAAGGATGCCGTGAGGCAGTGACCAAAATTCTAAAGGACAAATACAAAGAAAAAACATAATAATTCAGCTAAATGTCGCGCTCTCTGGGCTACATGTCAAGTATCACTCAGTGAAAATGGAGTGAATGGCTTAGTTCAAGCTCAGAATACAGGCTGGGGCATAAGGGTGCGGACATATCAGATGATTTTGAAAAGCCATGAACGAAGAAAGCAGTCAAGCCTTTACCTCTCCAACTACCTTGGTAATCGCCAGGCCATCCTGTGGCGCGTTAGTAACACTCTTTCGCACAGCATTCAGGGCTCGAAACATACCCTCCCCCAGTCACCTTCAAACACCGGCACCTCCGTCTCATATATCAGGTTCGGGTTAGGCTTCAGCGACCCCAGGTTGAGCTTCTCAACCATGCTGCGTTTCTGGGCTGGGCTGCCCTTTACCCATTCCAAGTATTTCGGAGCACCAGGCATAATCACATTATCCGCAACCAGCAAGGTCCTGTCCTGAGCGAGAACGCCCATCTCTTCCAGCAACCACAAATCAGGAAGATACAATTCTTGCCAATGGTCCAAGAACAGCATCTCGATTCGATCGATCTCTTTCCGCTCACGAACAAGTTCCACCAGGGACTCATCACTAGATCCGATCACAATCTGGACGACATCGCGCAAACCAGCGAGCTCAACGAGTTGACTCGCCACAGCGGCCATCTCGGGGTTCTTCTCGAGACTATAGAACTTCTTTCCGCCATTTGCACGGACTGCGTCACCGAAGAGAATGGCTGAGTAGCCAATGTAGCCACCGAGCTCGATCATAGTCGACGGCTTATGCTCGGCGATCAGGCCGGTGATATGCGCACCCTTGACAGGGCCAACGTTGATGAGCATGTTATAGTTTGAGTGGTATTCATCAATTGCGGCGAGGACCTTTTGTGGGTTGCCACGCAATTGCTTGATGTCGGGGCGCCCATAGATGTAATGGAGAAGGTCAACCTCTCGGCCATCCTGGGACTCGTTAGCAAAATTACCCTGGAAACAATCAAAGTAACTTACTAGGCACCAAGATCGGGGCTCGGGGGCATGTGGCTTCGCGATAGTAGACATTTTGCAGTGTAGGAATCAAGCAACAGGAAGTGAGACTGAGATTGTTGATTAAAAATGTCTTCGTCGACTGGGATGATTCTGAAATTGGATGTCGATGTTTTCGAGGCTTTATACTTCATTCTTCACGAACTTTACATCTCGGACTTATTAGGAGATTAGCTATGATCTCAGATAGGAAATTCCGAAGCCTGCTCGGGGCTGGAAATAGTAAGTGTCAACTGCCCCGAACGGTCGCAATCTCCGATGCACCATAAGGCTGTACTAAGCCTTGCAGCTCCACATCAAAGACGAACCTAACAACTATATGATCTAAATTTCATTATACACGAGGCTGGAATCTACATTCGGGGTGAATCCTAATCGTGTAACTGTCTGGAGTGAAACTTGTTCTCAATAAGGCACCAAGGCAGAATTTCATAGTAACTCGGGCTTAGCCTCGTGGCGGGAAGTCGGGGACCCGAATAGGACAACTCCGTTTATTTTCCCGACTGATGGAAGGTATTAGACATACTGAGTCATTTAAAGATATCAGCTCATGACTGCCCAGAGTCTTTATGCAAAATTCTCCCAATGCTGTGTCCAGCCTGAACTTGTTGGTCGACTTGAATACGTAACTGGAGATTCAAGGAGTATGACATCAAGTGCGTCAGTGAGATCACTCGGATCGAGGATTCGATTTGCAAGAAGAGTTCGATTAGACTCCGAAATTCATGATAGCCATGGCTAGGATATGATAAGATGACAAAAACAGCCTTAGTAATCTACGTAGAAACAAACCTAGGGCCTTGGAACTGATGGCTGGCGAGTGGAAATGACAAATATTCCAGTGGCAAGGGTCTTCTGTACCGCACAAACGCGCATTTTGATTGCCTAACAAGGTATACGCCAGAGCCTTACAACCACAGTAATGATCCCTCGGCAGTTGAATAGAGAGAAGAAGAAAAATCTGATCTGTCCGCCACAACCAACAAGTTCAAGACGGAGTTAACCCTCAATGGCCTCGACGGTATTACCCGCACTAAACCTAAAATGGACTAGCGCGTGACTCCCCTCCTTCATCTGTCGAGAAGCTTCTGTGCAGTATAAATTGCATCTTCAACCTCACGCGAGCATCGTCATACCCCAACCTTCTCTTCCACCAACAACCCCTCTCCTACCACCCAAAACAACTACTCCTCCATCAAAATGAGCGACTGGGACACCGTCACGAAGATTGGCAGCAAGGCCCGCGGTGGCGTTGCCCCTCGCGAGACCGTTATCAAGGGCAAGAGCGCCTTGAACGCCGCTCAGCGTTCCGGTCTGATTCTCGGCACAGAGAAGAAGTACTCTACCGGCAACGTCGTACGTTCAATCACATTTTCAAACTCTTCACAAACACAGGACAGCCTTGCTAACTAAGTGATTCTTCTACAGGCCGCTAAGTCTGGCGCCCCCGAAGGCCAGCACCTGACCAAGGTCGACCGCAGCGACGACATCATCAAGCCCAAGACTGTTGGTTTCGCCGTTGCTGATGCGATCAAGAAGCGTCGTACCGAGGATGGCTACAAAATGACCCAGAAGGAACTCGCCACCAAGTGCAACACCACCATGACCGTCATCCAGGACTTTGAGCGCGGCACCGCCGCCCCCGACCAGAAGGTCCTCAGTTCCATGGAGCGTGTGCTCAACATCAAGCTCCGTGGTTCTGACATCGGTGCCGAAAAGTTCCCCAAGAAGAAGTAAACTCGAATCGGGGGTGAGCCCGCGACTTATGTTTCTTTTGGGGATGAGACCGGGACAAATTAAAGTTCTGCATCTGCTTTTTTTCCTGCACTTGATATTTTTTTTTCGTTTTTGATGATCGTCATGTCCTCCTTGAAGTTTACATCTCGATAAATCGGGATGCTATTCTTCTGTTCTTCCTTATGGGTTTCTTTTTCTGATGGCTGTATTAGCGTCGGCCATTGCATGGAAATGGGCTTAGAGAAAATAACATGAAAAAATGTATAAACGAGATACCTCAAACCCCGAATTCTGCCAAGGCACGTTGTACTACGTAGATATATGTAGATATATGTAGATATATGTAGATATATGTAGATATATGTAGATATTGGCGTATCCCGGGTCAGTTGGTGAGGGCATGGATATGTGACATCAGGTGCTCGTGCGTCTAACTGAGCATCTGGCAGACCAAAAAGTTAATTGCACTCATCGCAGGCGCCCGGGGGTCCGATAGGACAATTTAAAGGGAAAATCGCATTCGGTGTTACCAGTTGTCGCTCCTAGAGCACAAAGTCGTGCCTCGAAGGGGTAGTACAGCCCGGGGATATATGTCGCCACCTTATTCCTACATGTCCCGATGATCATTCCAGAGACAACCTCCAGGGAGCCTACCAGGCGAAGCCAAGACTTTAGACCTCTCAGCTCCAGAAAGTCCAGGTAAACCCATTAAACGCAATCTTAATTTACTCCCAGCTCATAGCTTTGAAAGTGCATCGACTTTCATGCAGAGCCTCCAGCACTAAGGATAGGTCATGGCCCAGGAAGTGCCTCTTACAATACCGGTATCGCCTAAGGGTTACATGTGAGGTTCGATTTCATCCTCATGTGATCCAGGTTGAACGTTTTGCAAAACTTCATATTGTCTATTTCGCGATATGCATATCCCCTGCTGGTCACAACCTCACCAGCAAAAGGAACGAGTGCTACCCCGAGAACACCCAGAATGTGAAGCATGCCATCTTTTATTAGAAAACCAAATCAATAACAAAGGGGGGTACCAACTCCGGTTGATCATGTAATCAAGTAATGAAATGAGAAACCGTGCCTTGGGGAGGGTCATCATCTCATTCCGTATGCCGGACTCGGGGGGGGGGGGGGGGGGGGGGGAAGCACAAAAAAAACTACCCCCGAGCCTCTTGTTCGCATCGTAAAAACACATTCAGACAGACAGCGCAATGATTGAGAAAAGATCAATCACTTTTCCTTTTTTCCTCTCCGGATTATATTTCCTTCCGTCTCCTCTCGCCTTCTTTCGCTTACTTCCGCAGCTGCTCCCGCTCAACCTCGTACATGAAATCGAAGTAGGGCTTGTCGAAGTGGTGGATACGGACGTAACCGTCCTCACCACCAGAGGCATATGCGGTACCAGCGGGGTGCACATCGATGGTGTTGAGGGGACCGAAGTGGCCGCGGACACGGCCGATCTCGTCTTCGAAGATCTTGTGGTAGAAGCGGGCCTCGAACTTACCCTGACGGGCAGAGGTGGTTGTGACATCCATGGCGGCCTGACCACCACCCAGGATAACGTAGTCCTTCTTGGGGGTAATAGAAGCAGAGTTGAGGGGGGTATCGGCGACATAGGTCTTGAGGATGGCGAGGTTGCTGGCAGACATGAGCTAGAAAGATAATGTTAGCAATGCGGTCTTGAACTGACGTTGATCAGATGGCGCATACCTTGGCGGACTTGTCTTTGGAGGCAGTGATGAAGTAGGTGTGGTCGGGAGAGAATTGGAGGTCGTTGATCTGGCTGTCGAACTCGTGGGCCTGGACGTTCTCCAGCTGGTCACCAGTCTAGATTAAAGGTAGTTTATCAGTATTCCGGTCAAGAATTCCGTGTATCACTCGCGCGAGTAGAATACAAAGCTCAGCATACCTTGGGGTCGTATTGGCTGACGCTACCATCCTCGTGTGCCGCGATGATGTACTTGCCCAGATAACTCCACCCCGCCACGGTAGCCTTGCTCTCATTGCAGGTAATGCGCAAACTCGGCTCTTCAGCCTGAACGTTCAAGTTGTTGAGCTCGCCGTCGCCGTAGGCAATATCGAGAACCGCAATTGCACCCAAGAAACCCATGCGCTTCTCCGTCACGGCCAGCAGCTTAGATCCATCGGGCGAAAAGGCCACCCGCTTAACAGCTGTCGGGAAATCCCAAGTCTTCACACACTCTCCAGTCTTGATGTTCCATAGCCGAACGGTGTTATCTGCGGAGCCGGTAGCGAGGAGGACGGTGTTGGGGCTAACGTCGACAGTCCAGACGGCACCCTGGTGACCAGAGTATGTTCCCAGACGCTCGCCGTTGGCGGACCACCACGCGCAAACAACCTTATCCTTGGAGGTCGAGAAGAGGAGATCGCCATCCTTGTTGAACTTGATTTGGGTCAGGGACCGTTCCTGGAGAGACGCCGCACGGCTACGGTTAGTTTCTTAGAGGATCCAAACGGGGCAGAAATCGCACGCACATGGCCCGACAACAGAATAGGCCGCATTTTGGACGGTGCGACAGATGTATTCGAACCGAAGGAAAGAGCTTCGAGGTGGATCGGCGTAAGAGGGAGGGGTTCGAAGGAGGCGGGTATACCGGAGGGGGTCAATCTCGTCAACCTCACTTTCTTTGACTAGTGAATTTCATCGCACACTCGGCCACTCAGCGCCAAGACTTGGCCGTATCGAATCCCGCTTTCCGGAGAAAATAATGTTCCGGTATCTACACGTGACTGTACCCCTCCAGCCCTAACCCTACAAAGGTACTAAGGAGATATCTTTCTCCGCTCCGATGATTTTTCTGACTCATCCCCGACTGTCTCGGCATTGCCTGCCTCAGGCCACCAATCCCGGTGCAACCAGCCTTCCGTTGGTATCACTCCCCGAGAGCCTCTCACGAGCAGTAAAGGGAACAAAGACCAGCGGAATGCAAGGTGTACAAGGTGTGAGGGGGACCAAAAGCTACTGTTGAAATGTGAAGCTTGTCGCTCCGATCCTTTCCTTCATGTTGCCACATTGAAACTGCGCTCATTGCTCCCATTCCTTGTGATCCCGAAGTGCAGCAAGGTAGCTCCGAGGGTTCTCGCCCCTAAAGAAGCAATAATATTCCATGCCACTCTTCCCCGCCACGGGACCCCGCTGTCGCTTTTCCTGCGCAGCGCGAGCGGCCAATTTTCGTCTCCGCACCCTCTCTCCGCGGTTTTCTCTCCCTCTCAACCACTTCTCCTCCGCACGAGGGGTTCGAGGAATTGCT